GGCAACCGCGAATTTCCTATTATACGCGAATGTTTCTACTACCTATTTGTGCGTGTGCACGGTCATATTTTTTCTTTTCTCTCTCCCTTTTTTGAGTATTTTTTTGTAATTCAAGACTGTTAAAATTTCTATTCTTCAATCAAACAATGCAGAATAGTGATCGACTAGAAATATGTTGCGGATAATTTATCAGCCACTACAATAACGGCTTTGATAGGTCTAAATTTCTTGAATTATTTCTCATAGATGCAACTCATCTATGGCATACAAAGAGACGAAACTCTAAACCACAACGCCTTCAAATTCTTCCTGGTAATTCTAGAATCTAGTATTAACTAATTTTATCACATGGGTAGAGAAAAAAAAAACCCCTGTCCAACAATATAGCAAGGCGAGAACTGGTAAAAATTGAAGAATCTTGATACACGTGCTATGTGGAAAGTGAATTAAATTTTAATCTCCCATTAATTTTTTCTTCACTGGTTTTCTCTTTGTGATCTCTTTGTTTTCGCTTTTCTCCTGGGCACTCTAGTGGATGGTTGACTTTGGACCCAAGTGCTTAAGCTGTTCCACATATTACTTATTTTCAGTAATATTGTGCAGATGAAAAAATCAAATAGTAAAACTGGCAGGCAAACAATTTTAGGCATGTAAATACAAAAAACTTTGATGCCTTTGAATTATGGTGGGTGTTGTAATAGCTCATTATCTATGCAAAAAGAATTCAGAGGAGGACGGGCTGTCACTGAATGAATAAATTTAACAGCTTGCAGCGTGAAGAAGGGCAATTATTTCACAATAATCTACTGAAATTAAGTACATCGTCCTTTAAGGAAACTGCTTAGTTGTGGAAAAAGAGTTTTATGATAAAGGATGAAGACACACTTAGAGAATTAAAAATGCTGTTGACGAGAAAAAAAAAAAGAAAAGGTAAGACACTTCAACAACTTTTCAGGGTAGTTACTGATGACTGAAACACAATAAAAATTGACAACTGATACTACTTCAAAACACTACCGAAGAAAGAAGACCACCATTATTATAATTTTTTTTTTTTTACTGAACAAACTTTTATATTTACAATAAATTACATCAAATTTCATTCCCTCTAAACTGTGATAATTTCACTTAGAAAAAATTCGAAGGGTTTGAATGCCTTTCGAACATCATACTGACATTGTAGAAGTTGTGTTAGGATTTGAAATCCAAAGAGTACCGCAGAGATACGCATTTTCTTGAAACAAATAAGACAAGTGCTTCAACTGTTGATGCGGGATAAAGTATGTATTTACATGGAAAGAGTAGGAAGGAAAACTATCTGATAACTGACGTACAAAAAATAATTTGTTTAAAAATAATGTAGTATTGATTATCACACCCAAGTGTATCAAACGAATGATACTTAAAGAATACAGAGAGGAACCCTGCCTGTTGAGTTCACGCAAATAAAATATTTTTTTTTAAGTTCAACAAAAAAAATCGGAGGCTATTATGTAAATAATTAACGTGAGACCAAACACTGGGACGAAATTCTCGGAACAAGTGAATCCTCCACCTGAAATACGTGGGTCGCACTTGCGCTGGTCACAGAATTGTTTTATCATGGTATAAGCTTATTCAATTGCAAAAAATAATGAGATCTGGTCAAATGTCATGTTTCTAGGTCCAATATTATCGGTAATATTGCTCTTTGAAAAGTATGATGTGCGATTTCACCCACCACAAAAAAGCATGCCAACCGAGATTTTTTCTACCTTAATTTCAACGATCAGTGATACACAACACACATTTTTACTGATTGCTCAACTTAAAACACAGGTGAAACCAAGGTGGAGGAAACTATAATTTGTGCTACCGCGGTAGGGACATTAGACAACCCATTTTTCGATTAGCAACATATTCGTTAATATTGGACACAGAAAGGATATGTCTCATTAAAGAGGGTATTTTGGCCCTAACTTTGGTCGAAAATTGAAACAGCTTAGAATAATGTCATGTATGGTCAAATTGACTCTCAATCATCTACCCTGTGAGAACTTGTCCTTATTTGATGTGTTTTTGGAAGGTTTTTGCCTGATTTACCAGCGCAAGTTTTGCAGTTTTCTCGAATAATTGCTCATTTTCGGTCCTAAATTAGATTGTTTATGTATGAGCGCAAGCGACAACCACTTTCTCCTTTAAATATATTGTAATGGGTGTACTAAAGATTAACATATTTAAAGAAGAAAGTGGTTGTTGCTTGTGCTCATACATAAACGATCTAATCTAGGACCGAAAATGAGCAATTATTCGAGAAAACTGCAAAATTTGCGCTGGCAAATCAGGCAAAAACCTGTCAAAAATACCTCAAAGAAGGACAAGTTCTCACAGGGTAGATGATTAAGAGTCGATTTGACCATACATGACATTATTCTAAGTTGTTTCAATTTTCGACCAAAGTTAGGGCCAAAATACCCTTCTTAATGGGACCCATCCTTTAGATTTTGAACAAATCTTGTCACTTTCAGCTGATCTAAAATCTTAAATCATCAAATCTCAATTCTGTAACAAGCGCAACCAACTTGTTGCAGTCATGATTACAATATTGACAAATCTTTTTACAAATAAAAAACCGAGGCAGCTTGCATAAATAAACAACCCTTTCAAATGAGTTGATAACTAAGACAGAAAAATTTCAAAAACATAGGGATTTTTCACAGTTGAAATTTGGAAGAATTACCACACGAATTGAGGTGAACTTCTTTTACAAAAACCACAAATTATTATCTATTTTGAGAGCTCAACATACACATGTAAACTTTACATGCCACCATGTACATCATAGACGCTAAAACTGGACCAGCAAAACATCTTTCCCATAGAGACTGTAGATTGTTAATCGAGCACCTGATATAGTATTGAACCGACTTATTTAACCCACAAACCATAAAATTGGATGAAATTTTGCATTTGTTTTCAATGCAATCTGATTGAATTTCAATCTGAGCTACGACAAAAAAAAGTTGATTCTACGACATTATGAAAATCTGTTTCATATTCACATTTTTAAAGGAGGAAATCACGTCAAATCTATGATACTTATGGTGCACGGAAGTATTAGAATACAAGTTTAGGGAGAAAATAAACCAAAGTATTTTTTCCATGAATTAAACAGAAATTTCTGCCTGATCAAGTAGAAGAATACTTGTGTTGTGACTTCAAGCGAAATCTATGAATTTGAGAGGAAATTGATCATATTTTAACAAGGAATGGAGATACATATGAACTAGGTATCAAAAACTCTAGGTAGATCCATGCCTAATAGGTTTACGCACTTATAGCAAGCAGCAGAGGATCATCTGCCGTCATTTTCACATGGAGAGTAAATGCAAGAATCAAGATGGCATATCTTCTGTTGCAGTCGAGGAGTGCACAAACTTAGTTGGCATGGACTCTACAACGGACTGTGAATGCATTTCTTCTCCCACCTCGCCCAAAAGGACTAACATTACTGAGTAGCTCTCTCAAATTCAAAATAATACTTTGAAAAAATCATTCAATTCGTTTGAACTATGAGAGATGAAATAACAAAAGTCTAGCGAATATAATCTTCCCCTCTAACTAAAAAAAATGAAGAAAATACCAATCAAGTTCTTAAATAATAAGAAATGTGATTCATGATTAGCTGCATAAAAAACTGACACGTACCTTTTCAATTAGACTTTAATCATCTAAGAGCTTAAATTTTCAAACACCAAGATAAAGATGCATGTTTTTTTTTGGTTTCAAAATCATAAAACTAATGGGTTTTAAAAATAATGCGATAGACTTTCATTCGTAGCTACTATTAAGAGAATTAAACAACTTGGACTCAACTGGGCAAGGAGAATGACTTAATTAATAATTTTGCCTTTCTTTTAACTATTAAAGCGCGACAACTTAGTGTGAGTTGGCTCTGCCTAATAATTTTGAGTATTTGACGCATTTTAGAAAAAACCAATTCTCGATTTTCTAGAAAATCTCTTCCTCAGGCTCACCATTCACCGTGAAGAAAAGCGATTTCTCCAAAGTTAAATTGTAAAATTGAGAGCTGGAATTCCGTTATTTTCTTCTTTAAAAAACCACCAACTTCCATCAAAAACAGAGGGGATGAAATTTTGACATTGGAAGAAAGAGTTCGTCTCTGTTCATTTATTCTTTTGTTCATAGATCAAGAAAAGAAATAGAGAAAATTGTGCTAGTTTACGGCTTCATAGATAAATGTGGAGGACTATTTTCAAAACTGCATAAATCTCCTTCCTGACTGTCTGTGCAAGAGAGCTTTGTTTCAAGAACGAGCACACTGAAATCATTGGTGATACGGAGAGCCTTTAAAAACCTCAAGCACAAAAGACTATTGAATATCCATCAAGCGTTTTTGTGTTCGAAGACTAGAACAATGCTAATATTGCACATTCATCAATTACTTTAGAATCAAATATTTCGCCGCCATGTTTAACCAATGACTTTCCATTTCATTTGTCACTAATATTTTATGCATCATTTCCAGGTGCGACCTGAAGCAGAATACTTTTACCTTGTTCATGCTCATCCTCGTTTTCAGCTTGCATTGATGTATCTTGGTTAAAATTTCAAAGTAGACTCAAGCATACTGTGACATTAGTGTGCCACTTTTCGAACTGTGTTGACTACTACAGGCCAAATTTTAACCCCCAATTTACTACGTCAGTTATAGCATACAATTCGTCATTCATTAAGATTTGTGTAGACAAGAAACAAGCCACCTTCGTTGGAGATTGAAGCACATCCCTTGTAGCTTGAAAGAAAATGAAATCGAAATTGGTCCACGTATTACAAAACAACAGTTGCGTGTAACAATCTGAACGATTCTAACAACAACGGAGAGAAACTTACGCAAAAACATAGGAAAGACAGTGACTTCATCATTGCCAACTTGAGAAGAACGGGCGGCCTCTGAATGTGCCTGGGCTAGGCCTTGTCCGCGGCCGGAAGCCTCTCGAATTAGGTCGAAACTGATTGGGAGCAGTTGGTTGGTTGAACCTAGGCCTAAACTGCCGCGGCGAATTCTGCCACCCGGGAGTCCGAACACTGTTGAAATTTCCTACAGGACTATTATTAATGACTGGAGAACGAAACCTAGGGTCTGATGCAGCAGTTCGTTTTTGGAGGTTCGGACTATTCACTGATTCACTATCACTTATACTACCATCAAGAAGATCCGTCGGAAACTGCTCGTCGCTTGCTATGGGCGGCGGGTCTTTCAACAGCTCTTGACTATCAAATTCATTCAGGAAAGCTGATGTTTCGTCCAAGAAAGACTTGGAGAAGTTGATTTCGGTCAATTCCTGAGCATCGTCATCATTCAACAACATTCCCGGTGTGACCGGTGGTGAAAAGAGATCCTTCGATGGGAGTATTGGGTCCACTGACGGGTCTTTGACGACCGCTGCTAGTGCTTTGTTGACTGGTTTTGGTATCTCAAACGTTTGCGAGAACATGTCAATATCTTTCATTGATTCATTTCCATCCGCCTTGGGGGTGGGAATATCCGAGTACAAGTCGGTTTGATCTAACTTGGCGGGCGAGTCTCTCATAGTTTCACAGCTAGTGTTTGCGGAGCTATTTTTCGATCTAAAAGGCGAAGCTTCCTTCCCACTGGCATGGTCTTCGTCGTCTGACATTTCCATATCGACACTCTCGACATTATCGACATTTTTCGGTGGAGGAGGGAGTGAGTTCATCGGCGGAGGAATAGAGGTTAGGGGAGGAGGAATAGAAATAATGGGTGGGGGAATTGAAATATCAGGAATCATAGGAGGGACTGGGGGTGCAGGGATGGGCGGAGGGGGAGCATCGAAAATTGCAGGTATTGAAGGTGGCGTTGGAGGCATTGGGATCGACTTATAATCAAAGTTGCTTTTCTTTTCTGTTTTAGAATCTTGCTTTGGAGATCCTGTCAGACTAATGAGATTGCGATGATCGACATCCTTATGCCCACGGAGTGACTGTGTTCGGCGGTCGAGTAGCCGATGATCAGTGTCCTTCATGGCTTGTTTGAACGGGATGCGTCGATCGTCCCGATCCGTTCCAACCATGGAGTCCATGTTCCCTGTCGTGTCGTTATATTCAATAGGTTCAACGTAGGACTCTTTTTCAAAGGTCGGCGGAGAACTTGGTGTGTCGGAGACTTCCCAAGCAGGATTGGGCTGATTCCAGGATGGGAATTTCGCTGGTAAGGCAGAGTTCCAACCTTTATTGCCGTTGGTGCGTTTAAAATCGTTAAATTCTTCTTTGAAAAACACATCTGGAGGCATGGGCGGTGGAGGAACCATCGGCACTTCTTGTGAAACTGGAATCTCTAACACCGGATCAGGAACTGGTTGAGGTGCTGTGCTCCCGATGTCGGGCATCGATGTAGGCATCAGTGACTTTAAGAATTCGGATACATTGAAATTTAAATCATTTGGTTTGGCTGTAGAGCTGATCACTTCAATAGGCTTGCCCTAAAAATGATAAGAGAAAAAAATTAGAAAAATTAAACATTCAAGGAGGCAACATCTAAAGTAAAAATTTCACCAATATGGGAAAGAAAAAACCTTCATACCCTAGTCCCAAAATCTTAACATGTATTGTTATGCATCCTGTTGAATGAGTGAATTCATTTACTTTAAAACGTTCACTTTTAATCATTTACCTTTTTCCTAAAAAAAGAAAAAAAAAAAATCAATCATTCACTTATGGAAGAATCTAAAAATAATCTCAGAGGAGAGCTATGTAAATCCTTAAGTTTTCGACGAAATGATGTAAATGAAGTCTCATTTGGATTGCATTTTGCAATTTGAACCTATAAATTCTGGCTTGTCTGAAAAAACACTTATGTGCATAGGGAAAGTAATGGCACATACGTTGTTTTTACACCGGGCCAGAATTTATAGTTCCAAATTGCAAAATGCAGTCCATTTCCAAGCTAGGAATTTGTTGAGTGAGACAATATAAACTGCATTTAAATATCAGTTTTAGCACGCTCACAAATCAAACGATCGCATTATTTTAGGGGCTTTTTTTCAAACCATGGTAAAATTGCCAGAAGCCTGATTTTTGAAATTTTTTGTTTGTCAGGACGACAAAGCTGACATAGGTTAAAAGATGGAGCGTGATTGGTCAGCTATGTCTTATCACTGTTTTGTGGTGCCTTTGTCAGGTGAAATGGACGACAAACTACTGGAAACTCAAGAGGTGCCGATAGCTTGTCGTGAGTTCAACCCGACATAGGCATGACAAAGCAGCGATAAGGCATAGTTGACCAATCACGCTTCGCCTTTTAACCTATTTCATCTATGTCGTCCCGACAAACAAAAAATTTCAACAATCAGGCTGCTGTAGATGATACTTGATCTGATTTCAGCTGGTTAGAATTTTGTTCAAAATCTTCACAAAGTTTCTTAATATCATGGAGGTCATCATAGCCCGAAACCCAGGTAACTCAAATTTTTTCTTGACGCTTCAACTTTAAGTTAGTCAGCTCTAATGTTACCTTACTTAATGACTTATAAAAACATTGGCTGAAAGTAAAATAATAATAAAAGGTTTGCTGCACTCTGATTAGGGCATGGCCTCCCTCCTAGACAGTATAAAAGTAACAAATACAATAATAAAAAAAAATTGAACATTAAGGCTGTTGCATGAAACAGGAATTGTCTTGAAACTAGGTTTAACTAAATTGAATTTTACGAAGTAATGTCTCTCTCAACTTAAAATAGCTCAAAATGGTTTTTTTTACTGATAAAATGCTTAAAATGTAACGATAAGAAAAACAAAACGTTTCTCTCCAGTTACTAAACAAAAATCAGAATTCTTAAATTCGTATCTTATCTGGTGGTCAATTACCAGTGAGGGTTTTAAATTAGTTCTCGATGGTTGTATTCAGAAAGTATTTTTAGAGGTTTGGTGGTAGCAGATGCAGAGCTCACACGTTATTGAACAATTTAAGTTTGGCCTACTTGTATTAATTCTATCAAAACATTACAAACTTTTTTCTGTTCTTATGTTGTCATGGCCTTATTAATTTATTTGTTCAAGATTTTGATCTTGAATCTTGATCGAGAATGGAAATACGAGGGGCGTTCGTAAAGTAAGTATATATCTTTATTTTCTCCGAAACTAATGAAGATAAATTATAACGGTAAAAAGTGTTTTAACCGTCATACTTTCAGCTTTTCAAAAAGCCTTCATTTTTTAAATTTGGTCCACCCGTTCGCGAGTGACGTCATTTTTCCCGCGCCCATCTCTCGTCACCGTGTGTCCAAAATATTCGAGTGCGGCGGAGCTCCTCAGAAGAGGACATGTTTTGGCTCCGGGATTTTGGGTCGCTCAAGGAATATTGCTGATCGATTTCTCAGGAAGAGGAAAAACGATCGATGCCGCAAAATATTGTGAAGTTTTGAAAAAACTTAATTCAGGGATCAAGCGAAAACGGCCCGATCTTTTGTCTCGTCAAGTTTTGTTCCTTCAAGACAACGGTAGGCCTCATGTGGCTCATGTGACTAGAGACTTGTTCGCCTCATTCAAATGGGACCTTTTTCCTCATCCATCGTACTCACCGAACCTTGCTCCATGCGATTTTCATCTTTTTCCTGCGTTAAAGAAGAGCTTGGGTAGCCGAAAGTTCTCCACCGATGCAGAGTTGCAAGAAGCTGTAAAAAAAATGGTTCCAACGACAGGATATGCGCAATTTTTTGAAGATTGAATCCACAAACTGCTAACATATAATCAGAAATGTATTCAACTGGGTGGAGATCATGTCGAAAAGCAAGGTAAGACAATTCAAAGCCTGAAAGTTTCACATATTTATCCAATTAATGGTGTTACAACCTTTTTTAAAGTGAAAACGTGCGTACTTACTCGTCTGAGGAACTCCGCCGCATTCGAATATTTTGGACACGCGGTGACGAGAGATGGGCGCGGGAAAAATGACGTCACTCGCGAACGGGTAAACCAAATTTAAAAAACGAAAGCTTTTTGAAAAGCTGAGAGTATGACGGTTAAAACACTTTTTACCGTTTTAATTTATCTTCATTAGTTCCGGAGAAAATAAAGATATATACTTACTTTACGAACGCCCCTCGTAAAATAAAATGCAGTTACCTCTGCTCCATTGGAAGGTGAGTCTAACAATTCATCTATCTGTTGATCTATTGGTGGGGAGGCAGGAGTTTCTATATCAGCGTCTTGCTTGAACAGAGTCTTCTGAAACAAAGGGAAAAAGTAAGCAGGGAAGGTAATAGAAAAAAAACCCTGAAAAATCAGTTTCAGAATTTAGATAAATCTGGAGAAATTCATATTGACTGATGCAAACAAGAACGAGTTGTACCAATATTGGATTAAGAATTTTCACGAATTTTGGAGTGTAATCACTTGTAACTTTTATAAGAGGGATGGAGCATAATATTTCTTAATTTTCAACTGACTTGTTCATTTCAACTCTTTTGAAGAGAGGGTCATTCCAAGCCAAGTAGTGCCACCATAGAAGATTGCCTTCTCGTAATTTGATGAAATTAAGCGTGCTTAATCTCCTAAGTCAAGCTGAATAAAAATAAACAATTTCAAATCTGGTACACCTCCTGTAGGGCTTTTATTAGACACTCGAAGTTGTCCTCATTCAATGGAAGTCACCACTGCAGTCTAAAAATCCAATTTTCCAAAGTTTTTGACAGTGCCAAAATAGTTCAGTTTGGATAAGCCATTCCTCAGTTTTTATTGCTGAAAGTGATGACATTTATCAACTGAAAAACTTACGTAAACGTCAAATGTCTTGCATCGGCCCACATAAAGGTCGAAAAAATTTGAAACTTCGAATTTTGTCTTGACTTGGCACGAAGACTGAGCATGCAATAGGTATTCCATGGAATCAGAGGAGATCAGTTTTTTGGGTGCCACCACTTGCCATCCAAAAGTCTCATTAAGGAAAGCAGTGTTTTAAAATCTAATTATAGGATCCTGGATTTCAGAAAAAAAATTTGTTGGGAAACTCGCCCTGTGATTAAATTATAGGCGAATTTCTGCCGCTAAATGTGGTTCAGTTTTTGACTAGTAGCTTTTCACTAATCTTCAAAACGAAACAAAACAAAATTTCCCCTTTGATTTAAAATTTGACAAAGGTTGAAAACTCACTGGTCACGACTTTTTATAGCGGACGCGTTTTGAACAGGTGGCCCATCATCAATGTCGTCCCAAGTAAGAAAAATTAAAAATTAAGAAATATTATGGTGTGCTTCATCCTCAAGAAAGTTACAAATGATTACGCTTAAAAAGGCAGCAGACAGAAGAGCAGGCTTTTCTGCTTTTCTGTCTGCTGCCTTTGTTAAATTTTAAATTAAATTGTCATTCTTGCGCAGAAAATTCAGTTCCAGTAAAAAAAAATCGAAAATTTCCTCTGACAGCTATTGCACCCAATTTTCTATGTTGATTTTTTATCCGAAATTTTCTATCCACCTCCCCTGGTGGGTACAAAAATGGATGCAAATGTTGACCGCAATGGACCACTAGACAAGGTACGAATTCAAGCATTCTGATACATGTTTCTTCATTGGAATTTCACGTAGAATATAATTCTTTCTGTCATAGTAAAGTTTAGTGTACGATTTGACTCATGTAGAGCATTGAGTTTTTGTGAGCGGGAAGTTTGAATTCACGCGTCAAGAAACATTAAATATTTTAGTTAGGGGTTAATTTCAGTAATTTTTGTTGCATAAATCGTGCTCTACATGAAATTTTGGTCAGAAAACATGTATCAGAATGCTTAACTTCGTATCTTGTCTAGTGGCCCATTCTTCAAACCACAGATCAAGTCATTGAATGCTTCTCTTGTGGGTCTTGACCCTATTTATTGGATTCATAAAGTGAACCGCATCCAGCGGAGGAAGTCTGCAAAATGAACTGATCAAATACAGAGTGAAATGTACCTGTATATCTAAAGGCAAGTTGAAATTTCCCATAAAACTGGAAAAGCTTGAGTTATTCAAAACTGAGGAGTCCTCCATGGGCGCAGCGGTGGTTGGTGGTGGGACCGAAGCGTTAAAAGGGACTGTATCATTGGCCAGCGGATAGGTGTAGCCATCGTTAGAGTTAAAGTTGGTTGCTTCGTAGGCATTGTTCGACTCGGTTGGGAAAAAACCCTGATTTGACTGATAGTTGGTGTAGTTGCTCATGTGAGGATTGTAAAATTCAGCACCTGAAAATGAAAACGGATAACGTTAATTCTTTTAGAGCATCAACGAAATTCAGGGGAAAATTAAGTCTCACTTTAGCCATCGGCGATCTACCCAAAACTCTCAGGAACAGGTGAATTATCTGCCACTAATTTTTCGGTTGATGACAAAGCAGTAAGTTTCCTTTTGCAAAGTTGCTGTTTGGTTCTGACAGTTTTAAATGCTCAAGAGATAGCAAAAAGTGGACGACAGAAATAAATTCCAATTTTGACCATTTTTCTTGAAAATCTATGTTAGGCTATAGTAGCCGAGCTGGAAATTTTTAAAGCCCGTATCATACGATCAAAGTTGAGTTCTTAAAGTGGCGTCACGTGGGGTCATATGACCCTCAAAGATTGTCGGCCGGACAATCTTAGAGGGCAATGGAGGGTCATGTGACCCCACTTTGAGAGCTCTACTTTAATTGTATGAAACGGACTTAATGAGGGGTCTAAAATCAAAAATATTTAATGCAGGTGGTCCCCGGAAAATTCTTTCAAAAAAACCACAAAAAATGACGTTTTTTGGAGGATCAGACCACAGGGAAAGGGGGATCTAGAAACTCTGTAGACTTTTGGTTACACCACTTTCAGCTTATATTTGGCTTTGTTTTACTATTTCACTTGAATTTTTTTGCAGAAATGTTTGTCCTCGCTTTCCCTCATTTCCCAACTATGTGAAAATCCTGAATCATAATCAAAGAGGGATTAATTTTGAATCGAAGTGATATTTTGTGAGGAACACTTGAGTGAACCAAACACGAGGCACGGTGCGTTTTAAACAATTTTAATGCGGTCAACATACCACCCGCGATTTTTTTGCGGAAATGTCAACTAGAAGGCCTACTGATTGAGGAACAACAAACCGCGAAATCTGTGATGGGGCCGTTTTTGAGAAAATGCGATTTTTCGCTTTTTTGGCGGGAATTTCGGGTCAAGGCGCTGAAAAAGTCAAGTTAGGCTGTTTTTGTAGTTCGTAAATGCATATCCTATACATTTTGAGTCAATCAAGTGCCAGTAGATAGCTATTCGTGCATATTGCCCAAAATTCATATCCTTAAATCCACGACTTTTGGGTTTTTGGGGGGTTATAGTCAAGGAGAAATCCGAAAAAAATAGGGTTAACATGGAACAAATTGCTTAACAAACTTTTCCTACGTAAACTTCTTCAGTAGGTCCTATTGAACAACATACCAAAAGTTTACCACGGTTCGCTCCCGGAACACACCCCCAAATTGCCTAAATTTCAAAATGGCGGCCATAATAAGGCCTCTGGGAGTTCGATTTTTTTAAAAATACGCATACAGTGTCATGTGAGGTGTCAATTCCTATGTAATTTTGGTTGTAGATTTCAAATATGAAGTCAAAAACGTCCCTTGATCAAAAGGGGGTACCCCAAATCCAAGATGGCAGCCAATTTTGAAAGTCAAGAGGGTGGATTTTTAAAAAGTTCGCGTGATAAGGCAAGTGAGGTATCATTTCTTATGTAATTTTGGTCGTAGATTTCATTTATGAAGTCATAAAAGCCCTCAAGTCAAAGGGATTGCTCCAAATGCAAAGATGGCGGCCAGCTTTGAAAGGCAGGAGGGTGAATTTTTGAAATGTTTACGTGACATCCCTAGTAAAATAGAATCAACCTGACGTCAGGGTATGTTTCATAAACTACCCTGAGTCAGATTGATATCAGCCTGAATTAGTCTGACTCAGGGTAGTTTATGAAACGTCAGGTTGATTCTATTTTACTAGGGATGTCACGTAAACATTTCAAAAATTCACCCTCCTGCCTTTCAAAGCTGGCCGCCATCTTTGCATTTGGAGCAATCCCTTTGACTTGAGGGCTTTTATGACTTCATAAATGAAATCTACGACCAAAATTACATAAGAAATGATACCTCACTTGCCTTATCACGCGAACTTTTTAAAAATCCACCCTCTTGACTTTCAAAATTGGCTGCCATCTTGGATTTGGGGTACCCCCTTTTGATCAAGGGACTTTTTTTACTTCATATTTGAAATCTACGACCAAAATTACATAGGAATTGACACCTCACATGACACTGTATGCGTATTTTTAAAAAAATCGAACTCCCAGAGGCCTTATTATGGCCGCCATTTTGAAATTTAGGCAATTTGGGGGGGTGTTCCGGGAGCGAACCGTGGTAAACTTTTGGTATGTTGTTCAATAGGACCTACTGAAGAAGTTTACGTAGGAAAAGTTTGTTAAGCAATTTGTTCCGGGTTAACCCTCTTTTTTTCGGATTTCTCCTTGACTAACCCCCCAAAAACCCAAAAGTCGTGGATTTAAGGATATGAATTTTGGGCAATATGCACGAATAGCTATCTACTGGCACTTGATTGACTCAAAATGTATAGGATATGCATTTACGAACTACAAAAACAGCCTAACTTGACTTTTTCAGCGCCTTGACCCGAAATTCCCGCCAAAAAAGCGAAAAATCGCATTTTCTCAAAAACGGCCCCATCACAGATTTCGCGGTTTGTTGTTCCTCATTCAGTAGGCCTTCTAGTTGACATTTCCGCAAAAAAATCGCGGGTGGTATGTTGACCCAGGGCCGGATTTACCAATAGGCTACATAGGCTATAGCCTAGGGCGCAACATTTTGAGGGGCGCAAAATTTTTGAGAATTTATTACAAAACGTGACTTATTAAGAAATGTCTACGTTGTGGTTGACAAAGGTATTTTTTTAAAGGTGAATTTAAACATTTTCCGGACACCTAACATCCTCCTTCTGATGTGGAGGGGAGGGGCGTCTGGAAGGAATCCCCCCCCCCCACGAGAGCGCCTACTTTTAGGGGCGTCACCCTAAATTTAGCCTAAGGCGCTAAAAATGTAAATCCGGCCCTGTGTTGACCGCATTAAAATTGTTTAAAACGCACCGTGGAGGGTACCTTCAGTTTATAAATTGAACAATCATTAGAGGAGATATGACAAAGTGATCTACTCTCCTAATATACATGTGTTCAACTGAAAATGCTGAGAAATGTGCATTTTTTCACTTTTGAATCTGTTTTTATATTATTTTCCATGTAAGAAAAAATTGTAAACAATACTGCAAAATCAGCTCTTAAAACATTTTCAGATGAAGCAATACAAAAATTTGCGGACAAATTCTCCACTATGTATTTTACCATGTTTAGGAGTCGATCAGGTAAGTTTCCAGAAAGTGAGACATTCTTGATGAATTCTTGAGAGGTGAGTAATCGCAGTGTATACATGTGTGACCGACTTTTTTTAATGAAATTTTTCTTGAAAACACTTCCACTGATCCACTGACTTTCCGTGACCATTTTGGTAAAACCATCCAGGCTAGCAATAGGATTTTCCAGTGTGTTTCATTTTACGCACTTGTTGCGCCTTCAGTTATTGCAAAATAACACAAAATTTCAACAAGATTCTGTACCTGTATTTGGGTATAGATATGGTTCCTGAATTTACCACTCGTTAACTTTTTCTGTTTGTAAGTATCCTGGCTACTGAGTTTGAAAATATCAACATTTATCTTTCAATGGGCAATCAACTAAGCACTGCTTAAATTTGAGGCTGCAAATGCGCTTTTGGCAGCTTCCGCAATTCTTGGAATAATGAGAAAACTGCATCAGTATAACTGCAGAAGGCTTCCAAAATTTTTAAAATTGAAGCAACTAGATTTTTACACTACACAAAAAAAGAAGAAAATATTGAGGGCTTTCCACAAAATTGGCAATCTTAGAATAGCAGGATCTAGAAGATCATCAACCCCTGCCTAGCAATTTGAAAGTTTTTCATTCTACCATTCCTTAGGATAAAATTCAAACAAATTATTACCATTATTATCATCAGGTAGATCAATATCCGACTCAGGAGACGGCGAAGGAGCATTGACATCTGGCGAAGGTAGAGGACTAGGTAAAGTTAGGATTAAATCCGCTAGCTTCCTTTTCAAGCTTTTAACTCGGCTGCCAAAGTTGCGATAGGCATTACAAACAATCTTTGCTTCACCGCGCTGTGTTTCGTAATACGATTCACTCGCCTCCAGAAGGTCAATCAACGAGGTCCGCTCTTTAATTTCCACTTCCAGGGCCTTGATGTACCGCTCCATTTTGATGATACCATCATCGATATCCACTGATAACTCATCACACTCAGATTTGACTTGTAATTTTACTGCAAGGGCAAAACAAAAAAATTTAAATTGGAAACAGAATTTCAATGAGCACAAATACACACTCTTTGTTCATACGTTTAACCACAGTGGCAAGCCTGTTTTCATGGTGGAAAATTCTGATATTTGTAAGTTTGCCTGACACTCCGTCATAATTTCTAGCATTTCTTTTAAGAATTCTTGATTTTTTTAAATTATCTTGGTACTTTACAAAAATTTTCGGATCTTATTTAAATTTGTTTGATGTTATCCGGAATTCTTCTGTAAAAAAATTAGCTATAAAATGACTCTTTTGATGAGATACATAAGCTCAAAATAATGAGTACCAGCTTTTCATCCCAAACCCTTCATTTGTTTTTGGATTGCCAACAATTCTGAATGTTTCCCTATTTTCCTTCTCTGACTACAGCACAGTTATGAGAGGATAAGTGGGACATTTCTCCACTATTTCTCAAAGTTTTTCTGCAGCTCCAGCGGATAGTTATCTGAGAGGGAGAGATGAAACAGATGGCAAAAGATTGTAGGAAAATAAAAAAAAAATGGAAAAAACTAGCCTCTTGAGAAACAAAAAATAATTGACTTCCAGAACAGGCGTAAAACCTGCCAGGGAGCGTAGAGAGCTGGTAGAAAAATAAGAACCACTAACGCTTGAAAAGTTACTTTTTCTACAGCTTCTCAAACCATCACAAACGAGGAATAATAAAAAAAAAAAACAACAAGATAGAAGAAAAACAATAGATTTACCTTTTAAAGTTGCGTTGAGTGCTTTAATATCTGATATATCGACTGGATGCTCTTTAATTTGCTTCAGCTTCAGATCAGTGTCTTCTTCCAGTGTTTTACAACTTCTGATTTTAGCAAACAGAGTGGTGGGCTGAGAATAAAAATACAAATTACAGATAAACGTATTGGCTAAATCCTCTGCGAAGAATGATTGAAATGACTCAAACAATATCGTCCTTTTTAGGACCCTTCTCAAAATTTTCTCCATGGCTTTAGACAAATGTCAGTGAACTAAACCAAAGAAGAATGAATTTCAGGTTTGGTCCTCGATAGAGAACCATGCACAAGATTAAAACTTGATTACCCGGTAATGAGGTATCACCTTAAAAGTCTGGACTTCTGAAAAACAATACAGTGATTCTCCAAAAAAGATAGCACTGATTTTAAATTTTCAAATACATACAAATCGCCAGATAGTCTAATTTTTAAAGGAGAAAGCTGGAAATTTGATTAAGCCCCAAGTAGATTTGAAAAACTGTCACTTGTGATGATTGATTTTTATAAATCCTAAATTTTCATAAAAGAAAACAAAAATGAATTGAAAACTTGAAAATTGACTTCATCAGAAAAAATAGGCTCAGATAATTGCTCTTCCTAAGATCAAAAAATTCCAAGAAAATAATTTCATCTCTGAGAATTTGCTTTGGGAAGGTCATCGGATAAAAATCTGGAATGAAATAAAAAAGCATAGGAAGTAGGAATTGTCTATGTTACATCAACATGGAATAATGATTAAAAACTACCTGAAACTCTGCTGGATCTGAACTGACTGGTTTCTTAGGATTTGATGACAAGAGGCCAGATAAGTCCATGAGAAATGCCTCATCGTAGATAGATCTTTCATCCCAAATTTTGAAAAGACGTAAAATTTTATTCCTAACTTTGTCATCTCTGAAAGAAATATTAGAAAAATCATAAAATAAGACACAGGAGCTCGAATGCTTAAGCTTAAGATACAAATTTATCATTTAAATCCTGACTTGAGGAATTTTTTTTCGTTTTTCAAATTAGCAGAGGAAATTATTAACCAGATAAAACTTTAAAATAACCAAAAGTATCATTCCTTGAAAAAGATCTGTCCAGGATCTGGCTGGCATCCGTTGAGTAATCAATATCGGTGGCCAAAGTGCGGCACAACGTATCTTTTTTTACGACAATGCAGACTTCCTCTGATACTTTATTTTTTCTTTGGAAAACCAGTCAACTTAATTTCTTGAATTTTTCTTCTTCTGCCTTGATTTTTCTTCTCTACTGGCAGATTATTCCGTAGAAATTTCTGGCTATAATTTTGACTTGTTTCTCTTCAAAAATAAAATAGGAGCAGAGATTTTGAAACACCACATAAAGATACATGGTTTTGCACTTTAGCCATTGATGTGATGCATAAATTTAGGCAAATCTGAGCAAATTTGCTTTCCCTCTCAGTCAGAACAAAAAAAATACCTTAAAAAATGGAAGAGAAATTACATATATACCTAAATAAATAACAAAATAAATAAATAAATAAAAAGAGTTGAAATATTTAGATGAAAAGTTCTCACAAGAGGAACCAGTTGCTAGGCTTACCTGACCATTGTGGTTGCTTTTTGAAGGGCCGTCCCCCAACTTTCGACAAATTCATAACCTTTCCGCTTGCTATACTGAATAACATCATTGGCCAAATAAAACAGTGTTAAGCGCTGTTCAATTTTAACTGCAAACCAAAACAAAAAACCTCAGTAAATAAGAGATAAAAATTAAAAATCCTGTATAAATTCTAGCTTCAGTACCCATAGATTCCATTCAAGATAAAAAAATTGAGTAACGAAGGATATTTTTTATTATGCGAGAGAAATGGTTTTTAATCTACCTCACATTAGAGGCGACTAATTTTATAAGATTGAGTCAACTGAGCAAATTGATTTGATATTTCTGAACTCTTATGGATTCAATAAGAATACATCTTGGAGTACGTGGATGGATTTATTGCAATCAGCCTCACTGCATTTCAATGTGCCTAATTTTTCTCTCATTTTTCATTCTTTCATCAGAGAACTAAACAACTTAACGCCTTCAAATTTTCTCTGAGTGTACCCTAAATTATGATGACTGCACTCACAAAATTTCAAGTTTCAGCGTTGTTTAGTTTCCTGTTAAGAAAATGAACGACGGAGAAAATTAGGCAACATCTAATTTAGTTAGGCTGATAGAGGTGTTGTCAGTTAAATTGGCACATTTCGTTTGCATTCAAGCGCGATGCAGTTGTTCGATAGAGATTAGGGATTGACTACGCTCACGATCAGGCTGCAGTCAATCCTTGATTGCTATCAGGACAATTGCATTGCTATCGCTTGTAAACGGAATGTAAACAAGTGCCAACTTAGCTGACGACACCTCTGTCAGTCAAATTTCTCCATTTCATGGATGAAAATTTTTTTACTCTTATGAAATCGTTCAAATTTTGAAGAGCCTTCAAAGATAAATGCTAAGATTTTGGCAAAAACTTAAGTAAGGACAAAGCTACAAACTAAGTTCCTACGTTAAAAAAGTTTTTAACTTTCAGAAAAGCACCAAATTATTTTTGAAAAACAGGGGGCTTGATTCGTCCAAAAGCCTGTACTTCAAAAATTAATCTAAGATGTAATCTTTTCAAATATATTTCTAGCGCTGTGGTAAGAGAGAAGAATCATCAGGCCATGTGCCGATTGACTGGCCAGAACAAGGAGACATGTCTAAATGAACCCTCGCAAGCTTACGATAACGTCTCCCAGACATCCTCGGAAAGTCAGTTTGCCCTAGCGTCAGACCGACATCAAGTCCGACAGCAAGCCGCATGAAGTATGGTTTGCCAGTTTCAGTATGATTATTTGTAATTTTGTTTTATAATAATAAAATAAATAAAGAAATAAATAAATACATGAATTTATGTACTTCTAAATTGCGATTTAAGATCAGCTGTCTTCAATTATGGCTGAAAGTAAATACGAGAATGAATATGGAAGATCCTCTGTCTCATTCTAAAATTAAGTGAAGTTATATGGCAGTGGCTCTACTAACATTCTCATTTCTCTTTTTTCGGAATCATTGTTTGTGGGAAAAGTACTTTACTCATGTATCTGATAACATATGGTCTCACTGACTAAAGCAAGTTTTATGTTTCCTCTTCAAGAAAACACCCACTTACTCTTTGAGCTTAAAGCCCTAGACTTAAAAATGAATATTGAACTCAATGAATACAGGGCGCCTCCAAGGAGACTGTATTGGTAAACAAGAGTGCAGAAAGTTCCAAAATGCCGACTGTTTGCTGCAATCCTATGTGTTGGCCTCACAGACAATTGTCCAAATTTACAGCAAAATACCCAAATTTTTTAAGATAAAAAGCAGTTGACTGTTTCTTCAAAGATACTCAGCAAGCACAACCAAAAAAAGGTTATCAAACATTTCTGATGATTGCCACACATTTGCTCCAACCCTAGAATTGCAAGATAAGGCACTTTCCTCACCCCTGGGAACACCCGATGATCAGGAACCAATGAGCCAATATAGCTGCATCAGGCAGACAGAAATTTCATCAAAAGATTTAGTGTTCTGTGCAAGAGAAAGCCGTTATCAAGTCCGATCTACCCTGTCTTCAACATAGTTGCAGAATCAAATTGTGGATTCTTTTCAGGGCTATGAATAAAATGGTTTTACAATGCAAGAAACTAACAAGTTACGAAAATAGAAGTGTAGTGAAGCAAGGTACAACAATGCGAATACAAACCTCTCTTCAGGATGCGCAGCCATGCTGCGACAATTTTCTTGTGATGGCTGTGATGCTTTAGGCACCAACTTGACAGAGCAGAGATGCTTTCCTGAGAATCCTTCAAACTGAGAAGCTTTTGCTCAAACAACTGCTCATTCAGCTCCCCCATTTTCTTGCTTTTTGGAATGGTTTCAAGTTTGAAGAGTGGCCATGTTTCTGAGTTTGTGCGGAGCTGATTGTTAGGTTCTCGATGGGCTAGCCCAACTTTGGAAACTTAATCGCGTCTCGAATCAACGGTTTCCGGATAAACACATTGAACATTGATAAATAGCATTCTAATGCCGGTAGAATCATCCGTGATTGCACTCGAACAATGTTGTATTTACTTACGGCGAGGGGATTCAAAGCAAAAAATTCAAACGTTCAGTGCACACATAACCTCACTGGCAAGACTTTTTGGCGTAAGCAAGAACTATCACAGAGGAGAAATATAATTAGGTGATCTACGAATTAATCTCTGGAACATAGATTTGAAATTCCGCACAATCGTAGTATTAGTAATGAAAATCAGAGCAAATTAAAATCCTATGAGAAAATCAACAGCAGCGGGCAGCCTCGTCACTGAAAACAATTACAATTAACAAAAATTCCGGAATTCACTGCGCAAGCTCGCAAGCTCTCGGCACTTTCGGTGCTTTGATAGCTCAGCCAGCGTTATCGGATAAAAATATGCCTCAGAATATTTCTGTCAACAAATTTATTTTCCATCTGTTTGCCTGACCATAAAAATTATTGAAATTTAATACATTCATCATCCAAAGACATACATAAAAGTCGCACTCGCAGCCGAAATATTCCGGAATTTCGCACCTGAAATGCAGAGATTTATCTGTATATCCGACAACTCTGGAACAGCTAAATGACGGCGCTACTTTTAAAAAGAGAATGATAAGGCATCTTCTCGCCGGCGATAGCACTTTCATGTAATGATAGATAATGATGTAATCAGTAATGGTATTACAGAATGAAAATTCGTGGTGTATCCATGGAAGAATCCGTGGAGATGTCTACTGTCAAATTCTTGATTATTACTCGTCCGAAAATTCTACATTTCATGAGACGATGGGAGCAAGAGCAACACTTCTCCATTACGGTGATTCAGAATTTCCGCTGCTAATTTACATTATGGAAAGGAGACTAGGTACTCAGTAATCCGTCTGAAATTTTTCATTTAAAGCAATAAATATTATGGGATTTATTCCGTAAAAGTTTCAAAAAGTCACAGGTAGGTATTTACTCAGTTTAAATTGGATGAAAATGGACCGTGTAATCATGTGCTTGTAAGAGTTCATGAAATCTCCTCTTCCTACAGGAAATTAATGGCAGATGCTCCGTTTCTACATAGTACTTATTTGAAAACTTCACTGACTTTTTTTCCACTGTGAGAAGAATATTCTGAGAAACATGTGATCAATGGTCTTGATTCATTCTCCTTCGATAAAGTAGAACGGGAGCTCAGATTTAAAAACACCACGAATGGAATATACATTCGACAACATTTTTTCATTATTCATATCAACGGTGAAACCACAGAAATGCATATATCTCCATTTGTGGCATTGCAAACTTTTAGTCATACTTTACTTTCTACATCAAAAACTACTGATCATTTCTTAAAAACCTAGGTAATTTTTCTTCTCTATGTGAGTAGGTAATATTCCATGAAAATTTCAAGCCACCATGTTGGTTCAGCTTTTTTTTGAGAAATAAAACAAAGGCGGAGATTTTGAAACACCATGACCGAGATACACATTTTTGCAATTATACTGTCTTTTGAGGCCCCTCTATTGAAAAAAGCTATTTGAGGGACGATTAAGAACATTAGCTACTTCCTGAACTTTCCTGAACATGAGTCTCTTACTATACTCTTCAGGAAAGCATTTGCAATTTTTGACTTATCAATGGCTGAAGTACAAAGCCGCGTGCCTCCGTTTGCGACGTTGAAACTTTCTGCCTTCCTTTTTTTTCCTTTGGAAAACATATCGACATAATTTCTTAAAAACTTCCTTGATTTTCCTTCTCTGTTAAGAGAATATTCTGAAAAAATTTCAAGCTAAGGTACGCTTAGGTCTCTTCGAAAAAATAAAATAGGAACAAAAATTTTGAAAGAAAGGTACATGGTTTCGCATTTTGGTCATTGATAGTTAAAATTTAATTTTCCTGAAAATTGAATGTTCAGCTCCAATTCTGTGTTGACATGGCAGACTTGTTGATTTTACACGTTTTCTTAATGCAGAATATTGCTAATTGAATAGCATGGCATAAACTCGAACAGGAAATTAAAATCTAGAACACTAGTTAAATTAGACAGTGGTAGGCTTCAATTTAATTTAAAATAAACTTTTTCAACAGTTCAATTATAGGCAATAGAATTTTGTAAGGCATGTTTGTACAGTCTAGCAAAATTGTTTACGAAGAATTTTACACAATTGATAGGTACTTAAAATGTTGCTCATTATCTTTATTGTAACTGAAAATTTAGGTACAATGGTTTCAACTCTGCAGTTAAACAAAAACATATCACATGATCATATGCAAAAAGGTAATTTCTGATATCAGTTTTGGACAAGCTGCTGTTTTTTGTGACTTGTACAAGCACACATGTTGTTTCATTTACGGCATTCCAATGAATATTTCAACTTAATTAAAAAAATATTCGAATAAGTTTGTCTATTATGCTTTTCAGAGAGCATACAGCACTGGTGTTTGCCGCAAAAAATTGGTTTCAAGACCATTCATGTCATTTAGTTACCTACCTAAAAGATTCAACAATCCACATGCAATTGGACAAATTTCTGCTAAAAGGAACCAGAGATGGGTGGGTAAGGAGTGTGCTCGTTAGTTGAGGGTCGCAAGAATAAATGAGAATTAAAAAGCGCCAGTGACATCAGCGGCGACGACCAGGTTTGAGGAGCTCAATGCTACCGCATTAACTCATGAGCCCTGCCCACACGCTCTTATCACATGCCCACGGCTCATGAGTGCCGCATATTTTGGTGCTTGGTTCCGTTTGATTTACTGTAAAATCCCGCTTTTCCATTTCCACAAAAGGAATCAGGTCTACTTTTACACTGTTTCATATCGACGGTGAAACTACCAAACCACGTATCTCGGTTTGCGACGTCGCAGACTTCCTGTCATCCTTTATTTTTTAAATGAAAAACTACTTAACATCCAGTCTTGAAAATTTCTGTGATTTTTCCTCTTTGTGCAGATAAAATTCCGTGAAAATTTCAAGGAATGATATTGATTTGGTCTACTTCAAAAAAATAAAATGTGAGCGTAGATTTTTAAACACCGCAAACGAGATACGTGGTTTGGTAGTTTCACCGTCGATATGCAGCTGTCTGAAGCACACTCCATATTTCTTACCCAACTCTATAGTTCCTTTAGGCAGAAATACGTCCACCTATGTTTGAAAATCAGAGCTAACTTATTGCGCATTGTTAAATTTGTGGAGGAAAGAATCAATATTCAGTTATCACTATGACTGTCAACAGCAAGCTTATCAAAAACAATCCCTCATAATGTGTAAGAATCTGGATCACAATCCAAGGAGAAAATTTTAGAGCATGTGACTGACAACAACAATACTACAAGGGAATTTGTATTCACACACAGTGAACTACTTTGATTTACTGACCATCTTGTTTCCGTGATCTTAATTTTTAAAGATTTCTCTTCTTTGAAAAATATCTTTCAATGGACTATTTCTAAATGGCAATGAGGGTATAGCCAACAGCTATAAAAGCTACAGCCAAGCGGTAAACTAAACAGCCCAGCAATAGGAACTTTAGTCCGACTATATTGTTTTATATTGCTTTCTATCTCCTTCTACAGCCAGCTGTAAGGATTCCTATGGTGTTTTACAACGCAGCTCCTACAGCCAATTTTTACAGGGTAATAATTAAATTTAGGAATAAAAGGTGGAAAACTCTAATTGCATCATTTTCTCTGCATAAAAGGAAGATATCAAAATCTGGTTTTGACGGGGGTTTCTGAGACTTGCACATTCAATTGGTAGCTTTTGCCCCATCATTTACCGAAGTTTCTAACTCCCCAAAAGTTTTGGGGAGGAATGAGAGGGGTTAAAGTATCAAATTTTTCCGACTCAAGTTATATATTAGTGGTAATTTTCAAGCATCAAATACACCCGACAAGGCCAGAAGCCAGAAGAAGACAAGCAAATAAGTTCAAAATGAATAAAAAAAATACAATACGCAAACAAACAGAGACTTTATGATGCAATAAGGTTAAATTGTGAAACGATTCTTTATGAGTGGCACTAATTAAATTCCTAAAACCATTGTGTTTAATAAGGCTTCATATATCAATTTATCCTAATTTCCCACATTCAAATAATATCATCCTCAATGTGGTACCCAAGAGCAAAGACATACTTGAGAGGGCTACACAAATCTGTACAAGTTTCACCTCTGTTGAAAATTTCAGTCTATGCCCTATTTGACTAGTTTCCCTTACTTCTCAATATTTTTAAAATATAAGAGAAAAAAGTATTTAGTATTCAGAATACCATCATATTGCACCAAAAAATAATGGAAAAACACAAAGAAAAAAAAAATACTGATGACTTGATCATGAAAACAGGGAGAAAAATTTTCACAAAATCAATCAATCTTTTTATGGATACCTGCCGGCCCTCATTGCAAGTGCGCTTCCTTCTGTGAGTAGGTAAGTTAACAGAATGAAAACAATTAGACGAATCAGTTATTTGAAATTAGGTTAATTTTTAAATTCAGTTAATTTATATGATTTACCATTAACTCCATCCTACTACATCCTACTTGGCTGTGCTTTTCCCAAATAAATATACTACCTTAGTGAAGCTGATTTGTGGGGTAAAAATGTGGGGAGGCCAAAAAAGATGATTGCTTTGGTGATAAGATAAATGAACATAAAAAAAAAAAGGGCGCAAGAGTCTCAGATCTTCCTTTTGCATTAAAAAAAACTCAAATTAGATTATTGTTTAAATTGTGTAAAAAAAGCGAAAACTTTCAAAACAGTACGACTATATCTAAACGGGATACTGAGTCTCTTCGTGGACTTAAAATTAAGCTAAGGATTGGGAGACGTTGGCCACAAGTTTTGGTTGAGCAGGTGGGTTCATTTTGGTTTGTAAGGCTTCATCAAATGCTCCGAGAATTCTTTGACCATATCCGGTCCACGAACTTCATGGTCTAGTAGAGGCAATTTTGTCACGTGGAAATCTTCGTACAGATCTGATATCTGAAAATAACATAAGAGAATGATGCTCTTTAGAATAAGGCAAAACGTGGAATGACAAAAAAGTAGGCTTTCTCATTCACAGGAAGTCGCAAATATTGAGTTTTTTGGATAGGGCTTTTTTAAAGTCTGAAATATTCTACGAAAAGTTTCAAGATTTCTCAAATATACGAACAGGTTGTCAGTGCAAATATTCAGTATGCTCAATTAGGATTTTTGAAAATCTGCATGCGTCAATGCGCGAAGAAGATTGTAAAATGAAGAGTTATTGTTACAAGCCTGCAATCGAAATTACTTCGATGGACCACTAGCTAGGGTGCATATTTAGACATTATGACACACTTAGCTTTTGCACATTGCTTATACTTTGAAGAAACCTGCCAAAACCTTTGTAGGGCGCAAATTGATTCTTTGTTATCTCTGGTTTTCCCTTTAGGCATGAGCTTCAAAATATTCATAACCAGTGCTAGATAAAAACGTTAATATCTCAGTTGAGAGTTGATTTCAGTAATTGTTGTTGCGCATATTATGTTCTACATCAAATTCAAGAGAATGCACACGTATCAAGGTGTTTAAATTTGTACCTTGTCTGTAGGTGGTCCATTATCGAACTCATCACTCCTTTTTTTGTGGTTTCAAGAACTGAAACTTTAGCTTTGCAGTCCCATCATTAGGAGAAGTATGTGAGAGCACTGACGTCTCTTTAAAAATTTAAGTCCTTATTCATACTTTTCCTTGCTAAAGATAAAGATTAAGTGCCGAAAAATTCTTCGAATGAATGCTGATTTGTTCTTTCTCAGAGGCAGACAAAACTTCTCCTTGGGTTACTCCGGCTTTATAGTTTTTGTGGTTCAATTCTTCGAGGCCCTTCTATTACACACTAAGATACCTTCAGAGGGTTTACCTGATCTAAATATTTTTCCTGGATTTTATATCGTGCACTGCACATTCTGCAAGGTTGATCTCCTGTTCCAGAAAACAATAGTAGGTTAACGATGATGTTATGCGTGTCTATACCGCACTTTGTGAGTTCTTGCACTAACCTTTCCGTTTCATACAGTGACAAGAATTCGGCGATGCAAACACATACAAACGTTGTTTGATCCTTGAAAAAAGAAAAAAATAGTATTTAATTGTGGCAGGCAAAGGTGCCTTTGAGAGACAATGTGTTATACTGATGAAGTGGCTATGTTAATTACATATCTGCACAAAGAGCTCTCTCAAGTTTTCAATTTTGACGAGCAAGAAATTCAAATAGTCAACAGAATGGCTGAATTATGAAAACTTTTGACAGCCAAATTAGGAGAGCCAAAAGATTATTACTGATTACACTTAACGGGTCTGTTGCACACAACAGATACAGCCGACTGAATATACTTTTTGAGGGCAAATTCACTTGAACATCAAATTTTCGTTAGGCACATCAAAAAAGTCTGAAATCTGCTCCTTAGCATGCAATCTGCGTGGTTTGTAACACGCCTAATTTTCAAGTTTCCTGCATCTGCGGCAGTTTTTTCAGTCACCGCCGACTAGGTTTCCACAAGCAGAGGAGTAAGAAAGAACTACCCAAAGTTAACAGATAATTACCAGACTTTTTCTATTGTATGATTTCGTTTGTTTTCAAGCGTTTTTCCCCCTTTATCTTTCTTTATTTTGCAAACACAAAAGCTTCTACAATACTTCACACGGAGAGTTTATAACAGTTTGCAAGATTGTTTGTTTATTCAGGTTAGGTCTCTCTTTGGGCAAACTTGACTGCCAGCCACCAAGAAAAACTGCCCGCATATGCAGTAAATTTAAAAAGTGTGTCACAAACTACGCAGACTACAATGCCAGGGAGTGGATTCCAGACTTTTATGATGTGCCCAAAATGATTTTTGAGCGCATTTTCCATTTAAAGTGTATTCAGTTGGCTGTATCTCTTGCTTGCAACAGACCCATTGAATGGGTCAGAGGCACCGATTTTGATTTTTATTCACTTTCTGAAAGAGCGAGAAGAACTGAGCTTCTAGCAATTTTTTAAGGCTCTCTTTGACTCCTCAATGGCTATGATACCCAATTGTGAAAATGCCAAAAATCGGACCCATTTGAAACAGTATTTTTTGGCGGTTGATGACATAGCCAAGAAGGGGAAACAACATTTGCTGATTAGCTGAGCTCAACTTCAGGTAATTGAATTTACATTAAAAATACTCACTGGATTCCTGAACTGTTCATTCACTTGTTGAATAACACTGAGCATATCTTCCATCCTTGCGGAAAACGACTCGGCTGTTAAATCGAAACTGCCGAATAGTGCACCAATCTAGAAAATAAAAAACCTTAACATTATCTACCTAAAATGAAAGAGAAACTCCAATTAGCAGAGATATCAATGGGAACAATTGTTGAGATCTGAGGGAATTTTTCGAAGGATCGATGCTTTTAAAATTTCACTTTTCCGCTATATAATTTTCTTCACTGCATTTACTATACTGAAAGGAGGAGATTCTTAAAAATGTTTCTCTTTGAAAATGATGACAATTTGTTGTGTTTAAAAATTCAAAATTTTCACAAAAAAACCGGTGAAAAATTGCTGTTTATAGACTTCTGTCTAATTTCTTGACTGTAAAAAAACTTTCATGTTTAAAATAGCAAGCGAAACTCACTTGTACATTTCACAAACATGTAATTTGTAAATGTTAAATAGTTTCAAAGTGCAAAAATTAAATTAGATACACTGTAAGTCTTCCAATACTGCGTCAGTTTGTTTGTTTTTTAAGTTCTTTAATTTCTTCATGGCTGATGATTTATACAATGCCACGAAAAACTTGGAGTCAAATCGACTGTAAACTTTTAAAGGGACTCTTTTTTTTTAATCAGAATATCATTTCCAGTGGTTGCTTCTTTCAAATTATGACTGCAAGAACTGTACCTGAACATCTTCCATAGAATTTTCTTCCCAACAGAATCTTTGATGGTCCCTAAAAATTTAGTTTTATGGACCTAATGGCTCCTAAAACTCAAACAGTGAATTTTGAGCACTGATCAAAAGCTGCTGATGATTTGAGAAAATCATGATAAGCAAGCTCTTGTCATTAATCATCTCATGTGCCAACAAGATCAGGGTTTTCATACGTTTTTCATTTTTTGATTCTCTGACTTTTTTGCTTTCACTCTCTCCAAAAAGTTCCAGGTCCCTGACTTTCCCAACAGTGGAGAATTTGCATACAAATGTTTAATTGCTTCATCTGAAAGTGCCGAAAGAGCTGATTTCACAGTATTTTTTATAATTTTTTTCTGATATGGGAAATAGTATAAATATGGATTTAAAAGTGAGAAAATGCACCGCCTAGTGACGTTATCTGGTGGCATTTCCCATTTAAACACACGTATTTTAGCAGATTAGATCATTTTGTCATATCTTCTCCAATAATTGTTCAATTCATGAACCAAGAGTATCCTCCTGTTCAATTCACTCAGTAGTTTCCACTTAAACACGGAATTCATCAAATTTCAGACACCTGCAAATTCTCTATTGAATGAAATTTCCACTTAGATTTTTTCCCTTTAATAACACTCAAGTCTCCTACTTGCTACTGGCAAAATCTCCTGACTTTCTTCTAAAGTCCCTAACTTTTCAAGGGTGCCATAAATTTCCTTAATTTCTAGGGTTTCCAGACTACTGGCAACCCTGGATATTTAACTTCTAATGAGGCATAGAGCAAATATTCGACCAGCTAGTGTCGAGCAATTCTTACCTGATTGAAGAAAGGCCCAATTTTATTTTTGAAACGGAGAATTTTACCTAGACCTTTTTCTATGACTTGCGGAAATGAGAGGAGACGGAGTGTGTGGCCAGTTGGAGCTGTGTCAAAAACAACCACGGAGAAATTCATGCCTTTCACTAGCCTGATATACAGAAAAAGCAAAGAAACTTTTTAAAATATATGTTCTACACCAATTTACTATAAATATCTTCATGATGATACACTTAAGAGGGTATTGCACCAATCACTGTCAGAGTTGTAAATTTAACCAAACCAAAAAATTCTCAGAAATTTTTAGTGCTGTACTAGAAGATTCATTGACAACTAACAGTGAGTAAAGTCCCTAGACATCTACAATACAATTTTTTTAGAGGCGCGAGAATAGAGCTAATTATACCGAAAAATCAGAATCATCGAGCATCTTTTGTGAGTAACTTAACGTTTGAGAGGTCAAAAACATCTACAAACATTACTTGCAAACAATCACCACAATATTTTTTACTGCTTAATTTTATTAAGAAAAAAAAAATTTAAAAAAAAATTAGGATTATACTTCCAGGAGTTATTTTCTTTGTTAATTGCAATCTCAACACTAATTTGTTCTCATTCTTCACAAAAATGTGCCACCCCATTAGTAATGATGAAATTTTAGGGATTGGATCTTCGTGCTTTGAAAAATCTGTTCCACTTAATTTTTGTTAAAATGTAGCTTTAAGGCAGTAACAAAGGAAACAAATTATACCAATTGAGAAGTTCTTGCAAGTAGTTTTTTCAAGATGAAAACTTCATGATAAACATGATTTCGAGCATTGCAAGGCTTACTATGGCTCATTTTAACCTGAATACTAGTTTAAATACGTTGGAATTTTAGGAACATCAAAAAAATTCAATTCTGACTGATCAGTTCTGGTTTTTTGTCCTGTAGACCATTTACCCAGGAAATTACTGCAACAAAAATTATCTTTTTCTAAACTTCACTTAGGACTTCGGAGACTTACTTCATAACTTCAGCATAACTAATGGCTTCATCGATTCCTGGAAATGCACCAATGATTTCTTGGAAGACACTTTTACTTAGTTTCATGGCATCATCTTCTCCATCTAAATACTCATCTGGTAGCTCATTAAAATTGATATTGGGATCAATTTCCTACAGAAATATGAACAAATTCAGGTTGAATCATTGTACAGAATTGATGGATCTGATGTTAAATTTATTGACATCTGTTTAGATAACTGATATTTAAGATACCAAGGAAGACGAATAACATGGGCACAAACTCAAATTTCTAAAAATGCAAATCGGCAGAGATTCCTTCCAAAATACTGCCGTGCAACACAAAAACGCCATTTTACGTTTATTGGAAACAATGTATCATAGCAGAAAAACTTTCGTATTTTCGGGCAATGTTGTCACAAAGTGCTCTTGCAAATACTATCAAGAACTTAACCTGAAAATTTGAGGTGCATGGGTAAAACAGTTTTTATTTTATAAAGTGTTAATTTCCAAAAAAAACGAGGGGAAATCTTGATGGATTTACAGCGATTTTGCGTAGCACGGTAGGATACAGCGGTGACTTAATTTAGTGCTTGATAAATTAATGGAAAAAAACTAGATTATAAATTTTAATATGAAGCTTTTGGCCATCAAGAATGCTTCTGAGCATATAGTGTCTAGCATATTGCTTGTGAGCATAAGTTCAGGCTCCCTCAATCTCCCCCTCCCCTAAGAAAAAGTACCCAAAATTCATTTTTTGGCTCCTATTAAAAATACAAGTTTACTGGCTTAAAATGTTCCACCTGCTCTTTAGATCCTAGACAGAATTGAATTGCTTCCTGGTAGACGGACGTACATCCAAGAAATCATGAGCTCTGGCTTCCTTTGATCATGCAGGATGCTAGGGCTCGTGAGTTTTTGGACTTACGCCCGTCTAACAGAGACGGATTCAATTAAATTGTAGGGGTAAAAATGAATTAAGATTTGGTGTTAAAATCGATGGTTCGTTAATATGCCTTTGGAAAAGAGTTAAATTCAATTTTCCTTACTGCCCTGTCCTCTCATTGCCCCACCTTACCCTATGGTTCCTTTTTTCACATTCTCATTAAGAGGGATACATTTACATAAAGCTGTTATTTACCATTGCATGCAGATTATTGAATCCTTTGATTTTTGTGGGCACTTTGGAAAATTTCTGATCAAAAGCATCTGAGATATTGTGAGCTGGGTCTGTCGATATTATGAGCACACTATCTCGCACTTTTGCAAGCTGCACCGCCAAGCTACAGCTGAAACATTTAAAGTAAGAGATTAAGTTGCTGACAGAAAGTTCCCAAAAAGTGTGATTAACATAATTTTCTTTGAATTGGTATGTCAGTAAAGGACGATATCAAGAAATTTGGTGCTTGGTAAATTTCGATGCTTTTTCATGTGATGCTCCAAACAATCTCACGAGCCCGATGAGCTTTTAAAATTGAACTTTCTGTGTGCCAATCTCTAGAAAAGTGAGTCTGCAAATTGAATTTTTTACAAATTTTAAACACAATATCGTGTGGAAATGTTGCGACATGTTATTGGTAGGTAATCGAGGTCTTTTATTTTCTTGGAGGCCGGAAAAATGAGATACACAAAATCAAGTTCTTCAGAATGATAAGAATGTGCAGCGCAGTGTTTACAAACATTTAGCAACAGTCTCAAATCTCCATACGAACAGACGCGTGAGAGGGCCCAAAACGTTCTTTTTCAGCCTTACTTTTCACAAGATTGGCTGACAGAAAGTTCTATTTTAACATCCAGGGCCCCAATGGAAAAAAACACAGAGTTCATTTTTCATCAAAAGTATCTCAAAAACAAGGAAACATTGTACGTTGGAGGTTTTAAAAAATCAAAAATCTAGATTTTTCTGAGGAGATTGATGGGTAATGTATGACACTTTTTTCTCACACTCACCGAACAGCTCGGCCTGGAATTTAACTTGAAGTATGACACTTGGTGTTATATTTCAAGTTGAAAAAAAAAAAAAAAAAATTCAGGCCGAGCTTTTCGATGAGTTTGAAAAAAATGTGTCCTGTATCATACATCAATTTCTTCAGGAAAATCTGGAGAACTGATTTTTCAAGTCTCCGACACAGAAATTTTTCCTTGTTTTTGAGATATTTTTGACGAAAAATGAACCCCACATTATTTTCTTTAGAGGTCCTGTAAAGTGGGGACCATCAGAGATGACTCCCAAAAATGGGGTGGGCCACTTGGCCTGTAATTTGTATTGCGGCTCTTGTTTTCTTTTTGTTTGAGAGCGATTTTTTTATCAATTTCTTTCTTCATTATATGCATGATATAATGCTTTTTTAACTTACTAAAGTAAAAGAAATTGGAGCCTATCATATGGAGAACCTTTCTGTCATATGATTTTACCTGCACGTAGTTTTGCCAACGCCACCTTTTCCACCAACGAAAATCCACTTCAGCGATGTCTGTTCAACAACATTTCTTAGAGAGGGCTCCAGCTCATCAATGCAAGCCGTACTGACTGCCTCTGCCATGATAAAATGTACTTTTTACCTGATGTTGAAGTGAATGAGAGAACTTAAAACAAAGCCATTGCTACACCGATTTCGTTATGGCTGATAGCATGATCATCAGGAATTGTAGTAGTGGGACATACCTACGAAGAAAAAAATACAAAACAAGGATGATACAGTAATAAAGACCAATTTAAAGTATTTCTCTACCCTGCAGACAGAAAAATACCAAATTTGATGGTCACTTTGCTTGAATATTAAGACCAGTGTTCGAAACTCACAGGCGCCAACGCGCCTAAAAAATCGGCCATGGCGCCTAAAAAATGAAGGCTCTGCAGCAGCCTGATTGTTGAAATTTATGTCGGCACGACAAGGCTTGAAAATCGATATCTTACGCGGCGCAGATAGGGTTATGTCTTGTCTTATCTTGCCGACACAGCTAGTTAAAATTACAGCAATTCGGCTGCAGCGGGCCGATTATTGAAAGTTTAAAGCAGCCCGATAAGACATGGAATTACTATATATTGCATGGTTAAGATAGGGATATGTCTTGTCCTGTCGGGCAGACATAGTTTTAATGATCGAGCCGCTGGTTGGCAAAGTTTATCTGAATCCAAAAATTGTGAAACAGATTGCAATCTATAGATCAAAAGCTCCATGAAAACGATGATTTTCTGTATTTAATGTGTTCATAAATACTTACGAAATTTTTTACTGGGAGGAGAGAAGTTTCAGGATGGAAGCAAAGATAGAAAAGAAAAGCTCCCTATATGAGTAAGAAAAGCAACGTTCTTCCAACGGCGACTGAAAGTACTGAAACTGCAAGCTTTCACACATTCAACTTCAACACATGACAGAACGTCTGGTATCTAATCTACACTAAACTAGCTGAGGACTAACTGCTCGTTGAATTTACTGAAAAAGCTCAGGCTCGGGTAGCTGCGTTCTAATTGAAAAAGAGATGACAAAAATATAAAACATTAAGACTTTTGGCGTTTCAGCTCTTATCAGAAACAGAAATTCAGAAAATCAGGATTTCAGATTTCACTGATGCTGATGATTTTATAGATGACGTCAGACAACACCGTCACCGTTGTTGACGTCCTCTAGCGGATGTGAACGTAACTACTGCTATCCCTATTTGTTTTTGTTATTTATTGCGTTTTCGTTTTTCTTCACCCCTTGCGTTTCCTTCTGCAACGTGTTGAAAGTTTGAAGAATTTTACTTATTTAACTTATCTCGCGTCTTATAATTCAACTATTAATTACAATTCGTCTAAATATGAGTTTGTCAAGCATAATCATTTGCAGTAATCGTCTTGTCTCTAAGATCATAACAGCCAAAATCTGTGATGGCAGTCGTCTCAAATGGAGGTACAACCGCTTACATAATTTTGCTGGAGGTCACTTTTTCCTACTTTAGATGCCACCCACAATAGTTAATAAAGATGAAAGCTCAATTGCTTATCGTGCAGTTCTATATAAAATTAAAGGGTTCGCCCTCGCTTGCTCTATGAAGCAAGATCACAAAATTTTTATGACCGTACTTAGGGTAGGGCTCTATCAACGTTTTGGATCAATCAAGTGTCAGGTCCACTCGTCAATCATTGCAATTGATTGAGAACTGTAGATAGCACGTCCATTGTTTTACAATGTGGTACTGACTACCATAACAAGAGGGTTTTTTTTCTATCCGTGGAACGCAATGGATCGGGATCCTTGCGGTTCGTACTGGTTCAACTAGCCTAACTGTGGCCTCAACCCAGCTTGCTAGAGTGGTCCAAGCGTTTCACTGGAATGCATGGAATGCGCCAGTGGAACGGGATAAAAAAGTGATGCGTTCCGAAGCGGTTCGGATAAAAGAAAAACCCTAAAGTGACAACCAATAAGGATCCTGCACACTCCTTATAGGAATGTGTACTACATTGATTTCAAATTTTTAATCTAACTTGTCGATGGATGCTGATCTAAAGTCATCATAGGCAAACTTTCTACGAGGTACCCTTTTTCGCTCAATCAGCCTTGGAGGTTTCAATAATTACTTGACTAAGTGAGGCTAGAGCGGTGATCTAAGAAGGGTATCCAAACTGGTGATAGGTTAGGAAAAGAGTGGGAGAGAGAAAGAATCTGATTTGGATGGTGGAACAAAAATGCGTGTGAAATCTGAGATAAAACTGCCAGGTTTTCCTCATTTTTAGCGAGTGCTGAAAGATCGATATCACCATGCTGGCCTCACTTATTCAAATAATTATTGAAACTGCGAAGGCAGATTGTGCAAAAACGGTGCCTCATACAAAGTTGGTGCAATGATAACTTTTCATCAGCATCTTAAGACGAGTTTAATGAAATAAAAAAATAAGAAATCGATCGTCATACACATCCCTGTAAGGAGTGTGCGGGGTCCTTTAATGAAAGAAGGGGCAGACCTACTTAGGTCCCAATCTAAGTAGTCAACAAATTGTTTTCTGACACTCATCAGAATCTGAAACAAATAAGTTAGCAAATGTTTATCTCTACCCATCATGCATACTAGACTTTTATCCTCATCTAGTCATGGCAGCATTGCCTTCAAGCATTTCTCAATGGTCATAGGTCAATAGCACTGCAGTCCTTTTTAAACGGAAAGCAAGAAAACAAAGATCATCTTATTTAAAGTGAGCTGTAACAAGACATATTTAGCAACATTTTCCTAATCTGTGAATTTGCAAATCAGAAGCTGACAAAAGTACAGGAATGCCAATGTCTGGCGTTATGCTGTCATCAAACAACTTGGTAATTTAGTCCATTTTTGCTTCCAACTTTCCATTCTTTTTTTCAACCACCTTTGTTGGATGAAAGGCTTGTCTTTCTGAAGTGGGTTTTAAGGAAGCCACAAAACTAGAACCTCGTTAGCACAATCTTATGTTTAATGCTCATTATTACTTATCATACTTAATCCTCTCTGTTCCAGGCCTGTCATGTCTCAGAGAGCCCTCAGTCAGTTGCAGCGGAAGGATGAGGAAACATTTGATCCAGACAAACCGGTGGTGTTTTCATCAAGTCCAGCTGCCATAAGTCCTAAATTAGTAATTGTAAATAGAGTCCCTGTATCTGATATCGAAAGAATGCCCTGGCACCATCCACATGCTACTCTTATTAGCTCTATGATTTTCATTATCTATTTTTTTTACTTGCGTGAGGAGAATGATATTGACCTTGCGATATCAGGGTCAAACACAGAAGAGTATGCAAAGAAAATTTACGCCATGCAGAAGGCTGCGGAAGCAGAAGAAAGAAAGAAGGGTGCCAATCGAACATGGTAGAAAGCAAAGCAGAAGTTCCCTTGCTTATCCTAGAGATAGCCTCGCCTCACGCGTGTCATTTTTGTCAACTGCACAACAGCTTCTGAAGGGTTGAAACTATCTCTTCTGAAGCTAGAAGTGAATTTGTAGCTGAATTCAAATTGGAGGAACTGAAATGATAATCGAGCCATTCTTCAAAAAACAACAGATGCAATTTGCAATGATGCTTAAATTGTGTATCATGTATTCAATTTGCAATCATATGATAAGGAGCCCGTGGTGACATTTTGAACCCAAAAATGTAGCCTAATTTTACCGATTTCCTCATGAAAATTGTGCGTGTGTGTTCGTTTGATCTGATACAAATTATGTTCAAAGTTAGACAGTCTGAATAGCATTTCAAAGCTCTGGGTCATATCTGCAAAAAAGAGACTCAACTTCTACATCATGGTGCTGAAGAGTCTGCAGTAGAACTGTAAAGGCAAGATTTGAATGAAAGTATTTGTTGCACATTTTCTGTACGAAATTTTGCTCGGCAAACATGGTGCATTGTGTTTGAATCATGAAAAAGAGGCATCAGCACCTTGCATTTTAAATGTATAGGAACCAATTTTATCTCTTCTTGTGATTGAGGGGCTTGGAGGGCAAGGTGCATAAGTGCAGTTTTTGAAAAATTGAGATAAGTATTAATGATTTCACGTAAAACTTGATCCATATTCTGCGAAAAATTTTCTCCCAAATTCTGATTTTTACGCATCAAAAAGTCAGTTTAAACTTTCTCTCCGCTGTAAGGGTCCATGTAATTCGGAAACTTGTAACGCCTCCAGATGCTTGTAGTGTAATTTTCTTTCAAATTCAAAGAAGCGCAGTGTTGTTAAAATGTTGCTGCAACCTTTTCAGCTCAATTTTTGCTGCTCATGGACGGTCATTTGTCCAGTCCAGTGGCAAACTTTCTCCAACTTTCTCAAGAGGCGAGCCCCTCATAGGAAAGGAAGGAGTCCTCCCCTGATAAAAGAGGGCAGAAGATCCTAAAGAGGCCCTAAATGGCTCTGCGATATTTGGACCGCGTTAATCAGAAAGGAACCAAGCCACATCAGCTATTGCCAAATTTAATTGGGGGCAATTTAATTTTTTACATGAAAACGGTTGTGTGGATTTTCGTGCAAATTTCAGTCAAAATTCTCCGTGATGCGTAGCAAATTCCTTAAAATTTTCAAAGAAATCCGAACAACCGTTCTCTCGTAAAAAATTTAACTGCCCAGTTAAACTTGGCAATCGCTGATGTGGCTTGGTTCCTTTCTGTTTAACTCGGTCCATTTCTGTGTAACAAAGTGCCAGACGGGGCCATGAATAACCTGTCAAAAGGCATCCTGCGTGTCCCCTATCGGCAGAAGTTTAGAGGGCGATCGTCTCCTCATGCCCGTGAGCCAGTTCGCTCCTTGTCAAGTCCTTGGTAATTTTTAATCACAGCACCAATGTTTGAAAATACCCGGGAGCCTCTTCATGAACGTTCTGTACAGTGTAACCTTTAATAACTTAGCCATAATAATGTCCTGTAAGCTTGTTGTTCTGAAATCGTACAGCCTGGAGCCTTTGACCTAAATGTGCACAAAATGAAGTTTTTGCTTTCTAGTCCTTTTTTTCTCTTTCTCCTACTGTTTCTTACAGTTAAGGTGTTGGGAGCAGGAAGGGCCTTTTTTAGTCGTGCTGTTTCAGAATCTTCAGTGCTAATTTTTATTTTAGAGAGGAAACTATTCAGTGAATTTTTTTAAATTATAAATATTCAGCACTGAAAAACCATAGAGAATATTCAGTAGAAGTTACAACAAGTTGCATTTATTTGCTTCAATTATAATGGATGAAACGTTAGCGGAGATTTTGAGACACTGCAACCAAGAAATGCCCTTTTGCACCCAGCGTTTTAATTTGGTATCTTGATGATTTGTCATTGGTTTGTAATTATGAATTTAAGTAATAAAGGCATTGTTATATTTTTAATTTGTTAGCTGCCGTTCATTTCAAATATCTTTGCATTGGTCATGGCATTTGACTGAATTGAGAGCTTTCTCGCCCCAACAAGTTATGAATATAAGCATGAACATTCACAATAAGTACAGGGTTATCCATAAGTCCCGCATTACCAGGATTGGGTACAGCTTCTGAAAGTTTTGAATAAATTGAGATGGAGACTTGAAATTTTGTGAGTACTCCTAGGTAAGAGGAAACAATCAATGGAATTCCCCAAAATTTTAAGAAGACCTCTCTTAAATAGGAAAAGATCCTTGAGGTTCAAAGGGATGGTGGAGGACTTTTGGATCACCCTGTAGATAGTACCAGAATTAATTCAACGATCATAGTTTAGAGAGGACTCATAGATGTCCATGGACCACTAGAGGACATCATTATGATTTTGGGAGGAAGGAATTGACAAGTTATTCGGCAGTTTGGTTAAACGAGAATATATTATGAGTGTTTGATGGCGTAGCAATGAGTTATTAATTCATGAAGATAATATTACACGAAAATGTGAATTGCATATTCATAAATTACATAACGCACTTTCTAGGATTTCAATTTTTAAAAGGAGTGCCTGTTGGTAGTGCTTAAGTACTATAGGTACAAATTTCGCAAAATTTGAACATTAATTTTCACTGAATTATTTCTGAACTTTTTCATTGGTCATATTTGTAAAAAAATACCATTTTAAATGATTCCTGAGCTCTCTAGCTATGGTGCAGCAAAGATGCTGCGTTGCGGTGATACAGGCTCACTCGCACTTTGGTGGTTACTGCAAGTGTAAACTGGTGCTTATGTGGATCAAGGCACTGCTCCAAAATTACTGACAGACAAGAAACAGATCATTAGACTTCCATCCAGTTGGAAGAATATCTTTATCAAAGTCTATCAAAAATGCCACATTTCATACTTTTTTTCTTTTTTTTTAGAAAAGAAAGAAAAACTGACTTGGCCCTCACAGTAAATTTTCATTGAGTTAGGGGAAAAATATTAAACACAGCACTTAAAAAAATTAAAAATGATTAACTGTCTGTAACAAGAACGAAATGCAACAGAAGATGAGTAATGGAATAGACGTACACATTTTATAATTAATAAATCTGCAGATAGGCTTTTCTAAATAACCCGGATGAAATTTGAAAAATGAATTGTTTTAAAAAATTCACATTAAACCAATTTCTGTTTGAGAATTCAAAAAAACTTCAGAAAAGAATATTCACTAAAAATGTAAGGATTCGTAAATCATTATGACAAGAAGTAAGAAGAATACATAAAAAATGCATTTCTCGATGAAGCTTTTCTCACACTCAAGAATGAAAAAAAAATACTATTTTTCAGGAAAGTAATACACTTAGGTAAGTGATGAAGAAATTTTGTTTAGAGAACTTAACCCGTTCACAATAAACCTCATAATTTTTTTCTGATGTGCAATATTGAAGAAAAATAGTCAAAGCATGTTTAGTGTAGAGACAGCAATCTGTAGAAGGATCACACTTTTCAGGGAAATTTATTCTAGCAAAATTAAAGACATTTTTTGAAAAAAACACTAAAATTTGCTGAGCAATGATTAAAAATCAATTAAACTAGGGTACAGATGGAATGCAATTAAGATGAAAAAAAATCCCCCCAAAAAAAATCCAAAAAAGTAATCGACAAGACAATGGGTTGAATTTTCAAAATATGACAAAAATCATTTGATTTTGATCAATTTTAAACTTTCACCTAGGAATTTTTCCGATTATAAATTGACTTAATGAATTGATTATATTTATTGAAATAGCAACGCCAAGAACTGGACGTATCAAAATAATCACGATCAATCTGACCTGTTGAGTTTGTTCAGTTCGCTTTTTCGTGATTTTCTCACTTGAAAACAAACGCATGAAAGAAACAAGGAAAGATATTGAAAAGCTAACGCTTAAGAGACACTTTAGGAAAAATGGCGATCAATGGTGTCCATGACCTTGTTGATTCCGATACTAACATCCCGATTGGCAGAATCTGGATATTCAAAGCCTGCTTCCTCATGGATTATGATGACTGTGGACTCGCAGGAAACCATGCTCTCATAATCCGATTCGTTACTTATATGAATCGACACCGGGCTACCAGAGATTTCCGCTAAACCACAGCTATCACTTTCTAAAGCTCCTTTGCACTTGAACAGCATAATTTTGTTATTGATTTTCTCAGCTGGGGGCTTGTACTTCAGTAAGCAAAGAATTAGATGGAGAAGCCCAGAGAAGCTTTCTTTCAAACACTGCTGTCGTTGTTTCGTCTCGTTTTGCAGCAGGTAGTCCAACTGAGCATCTAAATTTGATTCCGCAGCGAGCAATTTTTTTGTCTCCTCCGACATGGTCCAATACCGAGACATGAGTTTCCGAGGACTGGCTCCGTCTGTAAATAACGACCGTGCCCAATTTTGCCCTGTTTCAGGCGCACCCTCTAACAAATACGTCATCACTCTTTTACCCTCTAATTCTAGCAAGTGAACGATTTGAAGAGTCAAAGCTCCTCCCCAAGAATCCCCGATAATTGTGTACGATATTGAGTCTTGAATCTGTTTCATGCTACGAACAAGTTGCTCCGCTGTATTTTCGATCGAGTCCATCACGAGAGGCAATTTTGCGACGAAAGTTGGATGTGCAAGCCTACGATATAGTTTTTCAAGGCAGGATGAATTCAGCCCGGGGATTATGAAAAATGGTAGTGTTCCTTTCGCGTCTTTGAATTTGAGACTTCGCGTGGGAACCTCTTCGAACTTCGGCTCTTCTGCAAGACAGCTGCGGAACTGAACAAGATCGTTCAATGATGATGGAAGATGCCACGAGACATGAAGAGATGCAATATCAACATCTAGGTCTCCACTCAGTTGATGTTCCGAGAGGGTGACAATTGCAGGTTCGTTGGATTTCATGCAAGTTTTAAGCAGCAGTTCATCTAAAACTGCCAGCACGCGACTAGTTTTTACGGGCATTTTGCTCTCTGGGAGTATGCATAGACAGGGTTGCTTATACTGCTTCCTGATATAGCACTCTTCAACTCCACCACTGAGTAAGGAAACAAAAAGCGTTTCCATAGAGAGAGCCTCCAGGGCTTCGTGCAGATTCCTTACTTTATTACTGGCGTTGTTGAGTTTCAAGAAAAATACTGTTGATAAGGGAGCAATGCTGGTGATATCTTTCAGGAACTGAATTGTTTCTGGAACAGAGGAAATTTTCAATGTGGACGCCATTTGTATTACCGTTCCTGGATATTGCACCAAGAGGAGGTTGAACTTGCGCGCCACTGAGCTTGACATTCCATGTTTGTCTGCGGCAATGGTCAACTTCCTCACACCTCTACTTACAAGCCAGTCCGCAAGTTCCAGCCAAGAGCCTGATTTTCCACCGAGAATTAAATGCATTTTATCTGGGTCGAAGTAAAATTTCTCTTTCAAATGCTTACAGCGTAGCTGTTTCGTTTCAGATTTTTCGCTCTGGAGCGCCAAAACTACTTTGTGCGTACCATATTCTTGACTCGAGCTCATCAAGGCTTCGATTGCCTTTTCACCAGAGCACGGCCCAGGAATTACTTTCCGTTTCAATGGCCGAACTACCCCAGTATCGATTCCTTTTTGGACGAGGGAATGAATTTTGTCCTTGTCACTTTCCTTAATGTCAAACAGTCTGTTGGGACTGATGCTGTAGAACTGCAAAGCAGCCAGGAAACATCCCATACCTGAAAAAGAGAAGAATTTTGATGAGGAAATGCGTTAGTTTTGACACACGCTCATAAACGAGGTAAAATATTTGCTACTAACAAAAAAAGATGAAAACCTTGTGATGTTTTAAAGATGAAAACCTTTAGCTTGAGCAAAGATCTCTTTTCCCAGAGTTCTTGAAAGGTTGAGGGCTGTACAAAATCATGGTCGTTCCTCAATTTACCCCTCTCTTTAAGAGGCCTCACATGTTTTAAATCATGGCCAAGGGAGGTTGGAGGACGCTGTTAATCTTCAAAAGAACAATTATTCCAAACCAGGAGTGCAACTATGGAAATAGATTCTTCCAAGGGCTTAAACGATTTACCGCTGAAATAAGCTCGACATAAAACAGAAGAAATTTTCTAATTATGATGGACTTTTAAGTAGGTGCGAACCTATCTTAAAGCTTGTGAAAATTGTAGGATTTTTAAGGTTTTTTTTTTTTTTTTTTTTTTTTTTTTTTTTTTTGCCAACATGCGTTAAAAATTCAGCATAAAGCTGAAAATCTCAGTACAGAGGGAGAAAGCTCATATGAGCACAATTTCCCCTCAAAGAGATATGCTGTTTGATGTAACACTAGTTACGAACATTCAGGAATTGACCTTGTATTGAGATTTTCAGCTATGTGCTGAATTTTTAACAAACGTTGGCTAAAAAAAACTCCAACATACTGTTTTACGAGCCGTGCGTCCACCGCAATCAGTTTGTGGAGAATTTTTTTCTTCGGATTTGGTATCTTCCAGAAAGGAACATCATTTTAATCCCTTGTAAGAATTTATTTTCGAATTTATATACTCTTGAATTTAACTCCAGGTTCGGAAAAGTTGTCTTTTTTATGATCCTATTTTAACAGCCTCCTGACTGATCAAGAAACAACTTGACCGCATTTTGCAATTTGGAACTATAAATTCTGGCCCGGTTTAAAAACAATAAGCCATTAGTTTCCCTATGCACATAAGTGTTTTTTCAGATGAGCCAGAAATTGTAGTTCCTAATTGCAAAATGCAGTCCAACTATGAATACAACCCCTATTTCTTTACTAGTTGCTTCATGCATTGGCCTAGAGCAATGCCGAGAGAGAAAAAACTTACCAAGTTGCTCTTTATTATATGAATCGGTGGAACTCATTTGTAAAAATTTCCCATGTACAGCTAGACATCGAACTGACGCAAACGTTTTAGTTCCACTCAGACAGTTCACAACTATGTTTACACCGCTCCCTTTTGTCATGAACCTGAGCTTCAGCTCCCAATGAGGATCAGAAGTATCGAGAATATTTTCTTTTGGAATCTGAAAAAAAAACCTCACATGAGGAAATTGATCTTGAGCAACAAATTCAATGAACAAATGAAGGAACAATGAAAAACGACAACACACGACATTCTTTAGGGAAAATCCACTGATAAAAGTGGAGAAGATAGATAATGTTGATGGCCAAAATGCGAAACCTTGTACCTCCATTTGCGACATTATAGACTTCCTGTCATACTTCATTTCTTTTTTGGGAAACTGGTCACGGTAATTTCATGGAAACTTCCTTGCTTTTTCTTCTCTGATGGCAGAATATTCTGTATGGATTTCAAGTTAAAAATTTGGCCTATTTCTCTTCAAAAAATAGAATAGAAGTCGAAATTTTGAAGCACTGTTTTGGAGATACTTGGTTTTCCACTTAGGTCATTGATGTGTACTGTTCAAACCCCTTTTCAGAATGAAAGGGCTATGCACAGAAAGAAGACCAATAAATTCGGTACCGTCAAAATTTCGATATTATTTGGTATGGTGCTCTTTACGATTTTCTGAGCACAATGAGCTTCTAAAATCAAACTTTCAACGCGCCAATATCGAGAAAAGTGGAGCTGAAATTTTTGGCCTTCTTAAACATGTTCATTGATAAAGATGTAAGACTGTTGCTATATATATGTGAGTGCTGCGCTTTTATCATTCAGAAGAATTTGAATTTTTTTGTCTAATCTTCAAGGCCCACCAGAAAACAAAAGCTCTTCTTGATCACCAATAAGATATATAACATTTCTATCAGATGTTGCAAGTAAAAATACTGCAAAATTTACTTTTCAGCCCTGCTTTTCTCAAGATTTGCATAAAAGAAGTTTGATCAAAAAAGCTTGTTGCCCTCAAGAGGCCACAGGGAACATCATATAAAACAATCGCGAAAATTAGCTAGCGCCTAATTTTTCAATAATCCATCGTCATCTTTCCATCTTGGTTTCTTTTAGTCTTTTCCTTTAAAATGCTCAAATTGAGATAAAAGTAAAATAATTATCCCAATATCAGTTTGTTAGGATGTGCAAATGTCAGGGTCGATTGTAATCTCAAATAATATTTGCGACTTGCCAAAATACTCTGATTAAGAAACAAAAGTTTAATAATTCACATGTGTTCAAATATTCTTCACTGAGTTAAACTTTGAACAAATGCTGCAGAATTTCTCTGTTGTGATAAAAAAGTAAATTTGAATGTGTAGGGGGTTGCTGCTAAGTTCTTGAATTTTCATTTTGAAATATTTTATTGACTAACGGTATGAGACGAAAACCCAAAAATAAATGATATGCATGATAGATAGTGAAATGACTTACAAACGGACATAATTTGCTTAGTGCTGCGTGGGCTGCTGCATGCGGGACAGTGGTGAATGCCACGGCTCCTTCACTATGGACAACTGATAACATCGCTTGACCAATGGTGCTGAGCCCAGCATGGATCAACACTTTGTGTTCTGGCAGGAGATCGGCTACCGATAGTAAGGCAAAATATGCCTGGAATCAAAAATAAAATGATTTAGACAAGAATAAAGAGTTGGATGAAAATTCTCCATCTACGTAAATTTATACTGAATTTTTAGGGACATGGTGACAACATATGAGAGATTCTTAATCACACATCGAAGCCAGAAGTAAATAAAAGGGTTACAATTCATTGCAAAAGGTCAAATAAAGTTCTTAGGGGCTAAATGAACTGTTATCCATTGTTTCCTGATTAGTTGTGAAACATATATGCCTCCTGAACATCAGAAGTCCTGTTTTGAGTTCGATAAATAGAAAGCCGAAATGCAATAAATTTTAAGAGATGCATATCGCATAACCCGCTACACCATGACCTCACAACCCCTCATGGGTCAAACGATGCATTTTACAGCTGAAAAATAAATTTCCGCTGATGTGCCTGTTTTCCTCACTTAAACCAATGTAATATTTTTTTCAAAATTTGTATCGCTATGCATTTCACCTAAAATACTTCACATTAGTTCAAATTATAAATGATGCATTCTTTTCGTAAACAGTACCAATTGCTACCCACTGAAACTTGATTTTCAGTCATGACCGAAATGAACCCCACACTACTCCAACATGTTATTATTTAGCTTTTTGTATGATTCTAAAGGTTTCTACTTTAATAAATTTTCAAGTTGACTATATTTCTCATGTATTTTCCTTGCAGTAATTCTTTGCTAAACCACGTTCGCCTCAGAGGAGTATAACTCTGGTCGCTGACATCCAAAAAAGCTACCTTCGCTTTGTACAAATCTAGTCCAACTTCACTGCCTCACAATACTATTCTACATTGGAGTGGTTACATGTGAGTGGACGAAACTTGCACCGTTTAAAAAAGCAAAAGTTCTAGAGTTGATTTCAAATTTCTTGGGTTCTCCCTCCAAATTCAATGCCCTAGGTCTTCCCGTTTTCTCGGTTTTCCCAGGTAGTAGAGACCCCAAATGCAGTCATCAAAGCACTATTCTGTGATAACAGTGGAAAAACAAGGATGAAAAAACGGGAAACAAGGCAAAAAATACACAATTTATGAACCCGAGACGTTTCGACTCAAAACTGAGTCATTTTCGGTCAGAAACAATAAAATTTAAAAGGAAAAACGATAAAAACCTGAGCCCTACATGGTGGCGGCCGGGATCTGAGAGAAAGAGAAAATTGATAACAAAAAATTTTATTGTTTTCAATTTTGTTATTAAATTTTATTAAATTTTATTGTTTCCGACTGAAAATGACTCAGTTTTGAGTCGAAACGTCTCGGGTTCATAAATTGTGTATTTTTAGCCTTGTTTCCCGTTTTTTCATCCTTCTTTTTCCACTGTTATCATTGTCTTGGGCTGCTCTTAAAAATTTATATCTATTCTGTGATAGGGGCAACTAATTCACTTCATAGCTTACCAAGGAATAGTCCAACGGCACTGTTACCGCATCCTCCATGGTCCAAGTGGAGGGAACATGCCAAGACAATCTCTGGTCCGGGACTAATTTCCTCGGCACAACGGGTAACTTCACCAACCCCATCACGGCTTTGCCCTCCGGAGTGTACCCAGAGCACTCCAAGGCACCAAGCTCCAGATTCTTCCAACTCCTATCCAACGATAAATTCTTGACGTTGACTCCTAGATAGTGAACAGCCACACCTTCGAACATCGAGGCAGAGAAATGAATGCGAGGTTCTTCGTCCGGGTAGAAGTGCTGGATGGCATCTTTGATTGTGCTCTTCTTGAGGAAACTCCACTTTCCGTTGAAGTAAATGTTGACCGGCAGATCTTTGAGTAGTTCTTTGCGATAGAAGATGTTGCTGAAAGAGAAGTGGGGTGCAGTTTTGTCCAGTATAAAAACATACCTGAAAAAATATGAAACAGTTCGGATTATTTTCTGCAAAAATATTTGCCCCATGTTTATGAAATAATACTGCCATGCTAAGGGAAAACGCCGTGTGAACAAGATATGTTTATTTTTGAAGGGGATTATGAACATTTTCTCTTGGAATTTTTAGATAATTTAAATCTGATGGAAAATTAAATTCTCTGAAAACTGGAAGAAAAGTTTTCTAGAATTTCTTAGAAAATTCGTATTTTATCGAAGGAAATTTGACAAAGTCTGAGGGCTCATTGTAGAATCGGAGACCTACTTTAACCTACTCTTTAGCCATGGAGAGCAAATTGGGCTTCAGAAAAAAGACAATAATCGGCTATTTTACCAGAGGTGCTTTTTTAAGTTTTCACATTGTAAAACTTCTGTCACTCGTATCTGTGTAATTAGGCAGAAAAGATCATCTTCGGACTTTCGTCCAACTTCATCGGTTGCCATGTGTCAGATGGATTCTAAAATGGGCCTAACAACTCAGAAAACTGACCAAATATGGCACCTAAAAAATTGAGATCTGCAGAGAACTCTTAAAGTAGTGATAGTGCAGCACTCTCAGCGAGCGCACTTTTCGAGATGGGAATAAAAACCATGCAAAATAATCAGTCAGGTGACAAAAGTGATGGGGGAAGAGGAGAGATAACGCAGAGTCATACAATTCCCCAAAACTCTGCCAATGTTCCAATCTCTGGAATGTGTTGCATGTGCACCAGCTACAAGTCTGTGTGCTTTTTGTTTATACTTCCGGTTTGGATTTATTCATGGGGCATGATAAATTTATGTGCAAAAAATCATTTTGGCTTCTAAAAATTAGACTTGGCGGCGAAGATGGATCCTAAATTTATATCCTAAAGTTGGAGTATTATGAAGAAACTATAGGGTGGTAAATGTACTGAAATATCAAAATTCCCTTACTTTTCAACGAAATTCTCTAACTAATTTTAGCAAAATTTCCTATCTTTTGTAAAAGAAAAATCCGATTCCATCGACATCTAAATCAGAGCGACAGCTCTATGCGGTATCCTCTACAACTGGAAAAAGACCCTGACCTCCAGTAAAATTCCCAAACTTTCCAGGTTTTTCAAAATTCCTTAACTTTTCCAAGTCTCCCGAGACGTTTAACAACCTCAACTGGTTGTAGAATCTAATAGAGAATTTGCAGGAAATTTGATGAATTTCTTGTTTAAGTGGAAACTACTGAGTGAACTGAACACAAGAATACCTTCAGTTCATGAATTGAACAATCATTAGAGGAGATATGACAAAGTGATCTAATTTGCTAAAATACATGTGTTTAAATGGAAAATGCCTCTAGATGACATCACTAAGCGGTGCATTTCCTCACTTTTAAATCTATTTTCATACTGTTTTCCACATCAGGAAAAATTTATAAAAAATACTGTGAAATCAGTTCTTTGAGCACTTTCAGATGAAGCAATAAAAAATTTGCATGCAAATTCTCCATTCTGGGAATAATCTGTTGGGGTTCTAACACATAAGAATTGAGGAGACATTTCACCTGAGCAGATGGGAAAACTGCAACTTTGCCATTTCTTTGATGAAAAGCTGGATTCCATAGTCAGGCTGCCGATAAACGACCATGAATACCAGAGCTTTCTCCTCCGCAGCTTCGTTCAACTTCCCTTGGGTTTCGTTGATCCAATCGGGATGGCTCCATGCATTTACCACACTGTAGTGCAACCGAGGATTAAGAACACTATTGACCTATAAGAAAAATAATTCGGTTAAGAGCTTCTGGGGAAAAATTTTTTGAAATTACCAGAGTCACAACTAAGAGAAAATGCGATCGGACTTCATTTTGCAATTAGGGACTACAATTTCTGGCTGGTCCGTAAAAACATGTATAATCATGGGAAAACTAATCGTGCATACACTGTTTCTAATCTGAGCCAGAGATTGTGGTTCCTAATTGCAAAATGTAGTCCACTTGATTGGATCATCACTTGTTGAATAGAAAGATTCTTACACAACTTTTTCTCCCTATTCTTTTCAGTCCGATGATTTTGGTGAGCTATTAATAGATGATGTCTAAAAATAAGTAGCTCAATAGGTCAGTGGAACCCATTCTTTTGAATTCATTTTTTGAAGGTACAGAATGAACTGAGCCTCTAAGAATTTTTCAGATTTTTTTGACCCTAAGTGAAAGAGACCCGAATTTGAAAATGCCAAAAATACGACCCGTTCGAGACAGTCCTACGTTTGACAGGCTTTGATGACGTAAACAGACAAGGAAAACAGCGTTTACTGATTGGTTGAACTTAGCTACAGCCATTGCCTTGCTTTGTCAATTCGACTGCCGGCTTTTGATTTGTCAGAACTCGTTTAGCTTTCTCTCGCCGAAGGAAGGATTTTTTTTAACTTTTTTGTTTTTTCATGGAATTCCATGTCAGAAAGACCTATACTGCAACCCTGCTAAAATTCCTTGCCCCTACCTCATTGTGTCGAGTGAGATGGATGTTTTTTATCTGCAAACAAAAAATTAGAGGTGGGGAAAATCTGACGTTGGCATCAAAAGGAGAAATATTTGACAAAATTGTGCATGCTGAAATAAAGTGAATACTATGTTTTTGAAAAGGAGCTAGTATTGGGTGGGATGAATATTCCATACTTTCCCTTTTTGTTTACTATCGCTTCAGGCTCTCCTTAAGACAAGGGTCAACATTTTTAAACCTCATAACTATAAAGTTAAAAGTTTTTCTCGTTGAGGAAAAAAAGGAGACTTTCAAGAAATGTTTATGTAAATGTAACAGCGAATGAGAGGGAAATGTATGTTCTTCTTACATAACGATACAGGATCAATCTCTCCTTTCCTGTGGAGTTCTCTGCTATTTTCTGCAACTTCGGTGCTACGAACAAGAACATCGGTTCATCGGTGGGTATTCTCACGAGAAGGAAACCATTGCGTTTGTGCTCGAGGACTGACAGGGCGTCAAAAAAGTGATAATGGCCAGTCACCAGAAAGTGACAACTATCAGAGTCTTTTCCGGAGTAAAAGTCTTCGTTCATGTCATCCACAGCCATTCTTTTGAAATACGTCTGAAAGCAGGAATTCAGATATTACCAATAATGGTTAAAAAATGATGCCTGTTAAGGAAAAAACAGCGTACACAAGGATTTTGATCTCTATCTAGTCGACACAAAGCTTGATAAAAGTAAGACCGCACACAGATTTCTTTCTGATAGTATATTTTTCGACTTGAAACATAAATATAATAGAGTGACTTATCTTCATTCATATTGCAATATCTTGATTGAGAATTATTCTAAAAATTCTACTTAGGTTAATTGATCAATTTCTTTCTTTTTGAAAAAGATAAAAACCGTTTTCATTAAAATTTCATAGAAAATTGTTAAATTTTCATAGAATAATTGAGGATCTTCGAAACAAAATTCTAAAAAATGGCTATCTTTCGTGCACTAATAACGTGGGATAAGAAGTTTACAGGTTTTCAAACAGCAATATTTTCCATAGTTTACCATTTTCGTGGTCTAATACTTTTTTCACTTCAGATTTTGCATGCAAGTTATGCCTCAAACACTTTAATAAAAGGACTGTGTTCATTGGCTTCAGGAAAATGGACTTTTCTGGCCTCCTTCAATATAAAATCCAGATATATTCTTAAAAAAAAATGAAACAATTTCTTTCGACAAATCTAAAACTGAGAGTGAAGTTTGCAAGAGAGAATGAGAAAAAATTAATGAAGAGGGTAAAATTTCTATGTTTATTCTCAGCAAGAATTTTTTAACATTTCCCAATATCACCTTCTGGCTTTTCTAATTTGTAGCCTCATAAATACTGTGGAAAAGTTATTCAAATACCTCCAGGTTGGACTGTTTTTGAAGGATGCTCTCAATAAATGGGATGAGGACTCGGATCTGAATTCCATTTTGCACCTCCAGAACGGTTATTTTCAATTTCTCATTGAATTCTTTGGATTGATTACAACAATCTACCATCATCTGCACGCAGAAGGCAACAAAGTCTTTCTCGTCCTGTGAAAAAAAAAGATTGGCTTTAAATTGTGGGCAAATTTATTTTCCCCACAGAAACTTCTGAACAATTATTTGATTCCACATCTATTAAGGGGATGTCTCATAGTTGATCGGAGTGTGACCATATAAAACTATTGGATTTCTACTTTGTTTTCATCGCAAATGGGACCTAGAATTTCTAAACAAAAATCAAAAATGCCAAAGAAGGTTGCTTGCTGAACTGAGATAGTAACATTCTTACATGTCAATGCTGCACTGGCTAGAAGTGTTGCGCTCTGGCGGAAAGGTCTGTGGTTCAAATCCCAGCATTTTTAGTAATTTTTATTATTTTCGCTTACCATTTCATATTGTTTCTTGCTTTTATCCAGCTGTGTACACAACTATCTTTAATGTTTTGATATTCATTTACCATCGGTGATTAGTATTACAGCTGATAATAGCTTAATTAAAGTCATTTTATTATTTATATTTTAATATTATTTACTCCTTAATTGTTTATGCATTCGTTTTGTAGATGTAATGTGTTGAAGGCTCATACCTTCAGGTTCAAATTATCTGCTGGCATGAACTGTTGAGATTCAAGCTTGAGTATTGAAGGATACGGTGCGATATCCAGAGAAGTTGCTTTAGCTCCATTGATAAAGATTCCTTCACATTTTAGAGTGTTGCTGATTAAATGATAAACTGTGTTGAAATCTGTTGATAAAAAGATTGAGTTATGATTAAATAACTTTCATGTGAGGAAAATAAAGCTCAATTGAATCAAAGAGTTCAAAAACACACCAACAAAAGTTTTTTTTATTTCCACTTTTGACAGTTCAGTATCACTTTGGATAAACGCATCTGCATACAAAAGGAAATTTTGAAATCGCAATCGGAAGTGCTCAAGACAGCAATGGGAAAAGGGTGGAAGAAAATCGCTCTGATATCGGGCCTCCTTATTTCATTCGAGGGAGGAGGAGGGAGCGGAGGACTGTTTTGAGGCCAGTAGCTCACAAAACACTTTTCTAGTAGAATCAATTTAAATATTTGTTAGAAAAAAATTACTTAAGAGAGAAAAGATTTAGTATTTGATTGGAAATACCGATTTTGGGCCTTCCAAGAGAAAGGGGTGGCCATCGAATTTTGTGGTTTTCTTTTTTCGGTTCAATATACCTTATACCGACAAGTTATGAAAATATTCAAGGGTTACAAGTCAATAAATATAAATTTTGCAGGGCAAACCACGAAACATCAGTATCTGAGAGTCAAAGAGAAAGAAAACACACCAACTCAGCAAGTGGTTAACGCCTAATTTTTTGTCATTAAACATGGAGCATCTTTTTCAACTTGGTCCTTCACAATGTCTCCGAGCAAGTATGTACTTGCTTTTTGGCAACAAAAAGATTTTTCCTAAACTAACTTCTTCGCCTCCTGTGCAGTTTTTTCTGTTTCCTGAACATTTTACTTTTTCAGAGTTGGTTGTTTTCGAACTCACCGATTCAATTCCTCTTTTCTCCAACGGTATGTAACCATTGCCACTTGGCAGTCCTTCCAAAGTTATTTTCCACAAGGATTGAGAAAGTGCAAGATAACAGGATGCACTGTCTCTGGCCAAGTTTTGGAGGGTCAGGAAGATTCGGAAAGTCTCAGCCTTATTTTATTTAATTACAAGCACCATTTCAAATTTTCAGGAAGAGTGAAATCTCTATTCATCAGATTACAAAAATTCCAAATTTTCAGGTGCAGTTGAAACTCGATTCATCAGATGGCAATTTAACGAATCAATCCTCTAGTTCCCCCAAGGAGGCCCATAAGATGAATGTTAAAATGTTCGACCATTGACCGATTGAAATTGCAACTGCATTTGATTGAATGGATCAATTTCCTATTTATCTTTTCCCCGAAGAGACAATGTTACCGTTAATGTAATGAATTACGCAGATTATACGTCAAAAGATAAAAGAAAATAGTCAAAGATCCAATCAAAGTGCCCATCTAGAGAAACGCTTCCTCAAGGAGAAGCAGCCAGAGTTGCCAAGGCGATACTCTAGTCCGCCTGCATATTTGTCTCAAGCAACACTGCCGTGATAGCGAAGAGAGCCGTCAGTGCAAAAATGAAGTTTTGAGAAAACGGGCTCAGATTCTTCTGACAAGAACATTTTATTGAAAGAAGCCTCCGTTCTTTGTCAAATTGCCACTAATCGTCCGGAAGACTCCTAGAAATCGTATGGATGATTGAAAATCGACTGATTTGATTTCCATTACATAAAAAGGGTATTTTTCATTTTCATGCTAGGTTATTAGGTATGCTAGGCAAGACAGCCGTAAGTGCTATCTTCTGCATGCTTTCGTGGTTGCGTTTTGGACGCACAACAAACACATTTTCAGGTTAGAAATTGGCAGAAGAGGGCGGCACTTTGCTGGAAAGCACTGTTCTCATTGGCTCTCATGCATCTACGGCTGTCTTGAAAAAAAACTGTGTCATTTTTTGTGCACTTAAGGCTTTTACATACGTCTCGTTTTCATTAAATTAGGATGAATTTTGCTGTTCTAGCTGTCTCAGTAATTTCATCTAAAAGAGTTTAGACAAATTTTGAAGAAAACTCGATTTCGAAACTTTTGCACTTACGGCTCTCTTCGCTATCACGGCAGAACAGGAGAAACTTGATGATGGTATTGGTGGAATCATATTAATGGATTCTGCGATTAAACTGATTGACCCTGTGAAATCTGATAAATCAAGGCTTTACTGTGTTGTTCTACTACAACGTTCTAAATTTTTTTTTGAAATTTTGATTTTGAATTATCGCATCAAAAAAGTTTGAGATTTAAATTAAAGGGTCCCAAGGAAAGTTCGAAGAAACATTTTGCACTTCGGATTCTCAATTTGTACACTGAACCAAGGTTCTACCTACCTTTTCGACGTTAGTTTAATTGATTCAAGATGTCAGATTAAATACCTTTTAAAGGTTTATTGAACACTGTTGGGTTGATGATCAGCTGTTGAATTTCAGTTAGTTTAACCATTTTGCCACCGCTTTCAATTTCTTTTAAAATCGACAATTTCAGAAGAGAATCTAAGAAGACAATCCAGTTATCCTTCCATGTTACGACTCCGTGCCATTCTAGAATAAAAGAAACAGAAAAAATTACTTTTCCATTGCTCGATAACAGGGCCAATTATTTGCTGCGTAATTCATGAGGATTTGAGAGGGGAAAAAGTCAATATTCCTATTTTTAAATTTTCAGGTATACTTGTGTCCATAGTGCGGTATTTTTTCCTTCCTTTATTTAAAAAAAAAAATCAAGATTTCTGCACTATGAACAAGAGACATTTAGGCATGTACTCATTTTGACAATTTTAAATCGTCCATAGCTGCATTTAAACGCAGTCTGGTTGCATTTTGAAAAAAAAAAATGAGTAGGGAGTGGTTATGGATTCAACAAGTCGTAAATTTTGCACTGTCAAAAATTACAAATGAGAAAAACATTTTTGAACATGAAAACAACCATTAAACTATGTCCTTAACATTGAGTATTACTCAGGTAAAACTTCATAACTATTTTTCCTGGTTCATACTTGATGCGCCATAGCGCATTTCTCTAAAACTCAGGCTAACCACCCCTGATTTTAAATAAATTATAAAAACAGGGAAACCTACCGTCATCATAAAACGATTGCCTGATGATGGTTTGCCACTTCTTATCGATGTGGTAGCCACTTCCTTCTAGAAGCTGGTAGATTTCGTCGGAGGATATACTGATGTTCGGTTGGACTTCACTGGCTGTTAATATATCTGTTTCAACGCTCAGAGAGTCAGTCTTTCCCTCCCATAAACTAAGTTTGCCTTTGCAAATGAGCTCGTCATTCCAGTAGTACTCAAAGTCACCACTTCCTCGCTGGTAAAGCAAAAATAAATGGAGCACAGCTATAAGAAAAGAATAAAAACAATTTAGGCTTACTTGAAAGAGATAAAAAGTGAAGGATATTGAGCACATCATTATTAGGACTACATTTTGCAATTTGGAACTACAATATCTGGCTCAACGGGCCGATTATTGAAATTGATAGACAAAGCTATAGACAAAGAAGACAAAAGAGATATGAAGGGATCCTGTTGGTGGAGGCGGGTGATTGCAATGGACAAAGAGGGTAGGTGACAGACTAAGTAACAGCAACCCATGAGGGACCCGATAGTTAGTCCATCATTTTCTCACTTAGTATATTGGAACAACCCATTTCAACCAATAGGATAGCTCCATACTCCCTATGTCTTCTTTGTTTCTCGCTTTGTCTATCAATTTCAATAATCGACCCGCAGGTTAGAAACAACGTATGTACCATCAGTTTCCTTGAGCACAAAAGAGTTTTTACAGATGAGCCAGAAATTGTAGTTCCTGATTGCAAAATAAAGTCCATTTTGTCTCTCCTGAAAAAGCTTTGGGTTCAGGAGAAGACATGCCAGTATTTTAAAAATCATTTAAATTTGGAAGTTCATTGATGAACAAATGCAGAAATGACAAAATTATCCGCAAATCAGTTGCAAAGGCCGCGTCCGATACAAAGGAAGTCTGATAGCTAAAACCGCCAAAAGAAGACTGAAAAATGCAATTTTAGACGGTTTGTGACCAAAAAGCACAAACTTGGCCAATTTTTTATTGTACATATAAAACAGTCATTTAATTGGAGAAAAAACAAAAAAAACACAAATTGATGGCTAAGGAAGAATACCACTTATCTGCATATTAACGATTTTGCAGGACAGAGAAAAAATTCGCCATTTTTGTAATTTTGAGGTTTGATTTGCAATTTTTCTTTTTAATACGTTGTAGCGTCATTAAAGTACTTCCATGCTGACTTGGAAAAAATTCAAATATATTTTACAATGCAGAATGCGGCAAAGTTGACAAAACGTTTTTTCTAAAATATTCAGTTAAGCAGTATTATTCCTTGGCTTTTGATATATGATCAATTTTTGCCCAAAAAAATGGTTTTTGTAATGATGGCTAATTTACTTTTCAACAAAAACTCAATTTTCACGACAACCAATGGCTGAAGCGTTGGATAATTGGTGGTCAGATGATCAAGCATTGCTGTACAAACTCTCTTGTGTAAGCACTATCAGAAAAATCTCAGAAATCCATTTTACTTGTGTGGTTTGGTACCTTCACGTAACTCTTTATTGAAAAATTAGAGGGACCTTCAATCTTCCAGAACTTGCATACTTGTGAAGTGCTTCAGTCAGTTTTTCATTTTTTAAGAAAAGTCATACTTAGTTTGAGCAAAGATTATATGCATTTAGCGATTTTAAGGCCTTCAGTGATTATTCAAAAATAAATTGTCTTCGTAAAAAAAAAAAAAAAATTACCTACATTTGTTAGGAATTTCAACGTTCTTAAAGAACTGCAGATTTTCAAACATGATTGGATGGTCAAGCTGATTGCTGTTGATCAATTTCTGCGTTTCCCAAACATAGAACTGAATTGACAAACCAAAAATTTAAAATTAGAACAGAATTAAACAGATAATTTAACAAGCTATGTAGAGCCAACACCGAATAAGTTTACACACTTAGAGACTATGACAGAAGATCATCTGATGTTATTTTAGCGGGGAAAGTAAATGCAAGCATCAATATGGCGGATCTTTTCTTGCAGTCTAGAAATGCTTACACTCATTTAGTGTCAACTTTGAAGACAACAAATTGGATTATCGCTAGGTACCTGAAAAACGAAACGTTGGCATTGGCATTAAATTCTTCAGAATCAGGCTACGAAGACAGGGATAAACTAAAAACTTTGGAAAGTATTTTTGTGAACTCAACAAAAGTGACACACATTAACCTTCAAAGAAATAACATCACAGTAACAAAAAAAAAATGAGGACTGGACCAACAAAACACGCCATAGAGGATCTTTTAATATTTGAGGGAAATTTTTGAGGAAACCCCTTAAAAACTCATTTTAAACATATTTACAATGCTATAATTTCTATGTTTGCCAAACGTTCTCGGCAAGATCAGTTTATAACTGAAAATGATGCGCAAAATACATTTCTACCAATCAGTTACAGAACCCTCTTAGTTACGGTACTCCAGATTGCATACTTTTTTAAGAAAATAAATAAATTAAAAACGATTTTTTATTATAAATATTAAAAAATAAATTAAAAAATGAATATATCGTTAAAGAAAAAAAATTACCAGAAGAGCAGCTGAGGGTAAAACATAACGATCCCGAAGTTTGAAACAAAGGAAAAGCTGATCATCATTTAGATTAATATTGATGAAGCGTTCTCCTGGAATTATCCCAATCTGGAAAGAAAAAATTTGACACTTTTCATTTAGAACACAGATCTTAAAGAACTGAGAACTGCTTAATTTGCATAAAAATGGAAAGAGAAGGAAAATGATGTGATCTGCCGGTTTTTGAATGGTGATGAAGTCAGGCTGCCTGCTGCGGCGTCTTCCGGCCAGCGTGCGCTGGAATTGAGTTTAAAACTCAGATTCTCATTGTAGAGGGAAAACGCTCATTTGAGAGAAATTTCCCTCCAAGAGATTAGCCGTTTGGCGCAACACTAGTTATGACCAATCAAGAAAGCAACTGCTGACAAATTTTGGGTCTAATTTAACACATCATCAGAAAAGCGAAGCTTCCTGATTTTGCTGCTCCCAAGAACAGAGGTTGTGTGAACCAGTCCGAGGTTTGAGGACGTGATCACTGCAGCAATTATTTAATTCTTTGAAAATAATATTGAGTTTCAAACATGGTGTTTAGAATGTTTAGAATTCTTGACCCTGCTCATTCCTTGATTTTTAGGAACTCATTTCCTATCGAAAAATCAAAATTTTCTCTCACTGCACCGGGATTTTCTTGGAAAAAACTGTATGACTCCTTGAGTTCCAGATATGAATATTGATAATTATTATTATTTTCTTTTCTCATCTTTCAGCTGATTTTTCGGCACTTAATAGAATTTGGTCCGGAGGTTTTTAGTATCCAGTTGATGAAAACCTCTCTAGATATAATTTCTGATAATTTAAAGATTCAAATACCTCATTCAAGAGGTCAATAGTAGCGGCTCGGGTGCAATTACAATCCTTGGCATACGTCCAAAAGCAGAAGAAGAAATTCCCGGCTTTTGGAACAGATTCCCTTATTTTTCCTTGAACTTTTTCACTCCCTGATAAAACCCAGTTTTCCTGGTCCTTGCCACCATGGTTTCATGATGCATGACTTAACAAGTCCATTCACCTAAGGATAAACAGAGCTTGCTGAACTAATTACCACTGTCATCATGTTGCCAAGGGACCACTGTTCATGGTGATCCCAAGTTACCAGCGTGCTGAGAGACGGAGTACCTCTTGAAACAGGGAACTGGACTGGAGGGTACAAATTCTCAATTTGAGGCTCAAGTCCAGCTAAGTACATCCTGAAATGAGAGAAAAATTCATGACACTTATTTACCTGATGAAATAAATCAACTTACAGTTAGCTTAAAATACGATAATTTATGTTCCTTACCTAACATGTTGATACTTCAACTTTCTAAGAATATTGTTTCTTTTTTTTTTTTTTTTTTAAAAAAATTCTAAATTTGAGACTTAAATTTGGACATTATCTTGTTAAATCAGCGCAAAGCTATTGAGAGTCTCAAAAAAGAATGATTCAGTATTTTTCAACTTAATATAAAGTAAAACATTTGATTGGTGATCAAGGAGAGCTTTTACTTCTTCGGAGGCTTTGAAGATAAGACAAAAATAATCAAAATCCCCAAAATGAGACAGCGTATGGCGCAGCATCACTCTCACACACACGTAGTAAATCTCTCATTCTCATTGAAACAATCTCATGAAAAAACTGATGAATTAACTTTATAGCCCTACTTTTCTCAACTTTGGCGCATAGAAAGACCGATCTAGAAAGCTCATTAGGCTCAGAGGGTTGTAAGGAAAATATCATATAATAATATCGAAATTAAAATTTCTTGCACAGTTTCTTGAACTGATGCGTGAAACTGGGCTGAGAAATCTATACACAATACTGAATAAGACACTCACTTTCCGATTGCAGTCATGAGGAAGTACAAAGCTTTCTTGTTGTTCCTTTGAGTTAGAGGTATGTTAGTGCACTCCGAGTCCAAGGATCTTCTTAAAATTGCCTGTAGCAATCCATGAGGAGCGATTTCGATTACAATTGCATTCTTGGGAATGTGTTTGCTTGCTTCTTCAAAAAGAACAGCACTAAGAAGGTTATTTGTGTGATACTCTGGTGAGCTAGTTGCTGCTAATGGTGATCCCCACTCTGTCTCCGGGATAGAACTGCTGATCCACCTTTTGGATCTTGGTTTCGGCTCCAAAATTACCTGGAATTAGGAGATGGGTATAAATTACGATCAAAGCAATCGAATTTCTCACGACGAGAATGAAAGTTAAAATCTACATTGAATAGTTCAGGATGGAGCTGGGCGAATATGGTTTTATGGCCTTGAATCGAATCAAATCAAATTTAAAAAAAAGAAGTTCGAATATCGAATTAAATATTTATACCTTCTGATCAGAAACACCTCGTCGTCATTCAACTCAGAGCAAAAATTTTTGATGTTGTTTAAATTGATACAGTAAATGATTTCTCTTTACGTTTTATCTCGTAATTCAATACATTTTATTTTTTGGGCACTAAAGATAGAAATAATTAAGTTAAAAAGGAAATCTAGTATTTACTATCATTGTTGAAGATTACAAAATCAGAAATAAATAAATTCATTGGATATTAGGTCGGGTAACGTTTTTGTAGAAATTCGTATTTGCTGCGGAGAGAAAAATACAGAATTACCAAAATATTTTCAAATATAATAACTGATTAAAGAAAATAAATAAGTTCGAAAATTCGAGGTTTTCAAGTTCGAGTTCGAATCGAATATCAAACAAATTATTCGAGCTCGAATATTCAAGATTTTCGGGTACTTACCCAGCCCTAGTTCATGATCAAGGAAATTCGTGACCTGAACTTGGCAGATTAGAGGTTTAACTCTCCTTCAAAACTGTGTTTCTTGCGGACGAGAGGTCCCCACTCCATCTTTGCCCTCTCATCTCTCTCCAGTCTCTTGTGAATAGTTTTGATTTGTGGCTTTGTTCGAAATTGCACTGGTAACCAGGGCTCTCTTCCGCAGGAAGAGCCACCCTTAATTACGTTGATCGTAATCGAATTAAAAAATCCTTCATTGCACAGCTAAGTAAGGCGATTAGTTTGGTAAAACTAATGAAAAAAATCATACCTCCTTCAGATATTTCAGAAGTTTGGGAGCAGCAGGAGAAATATATCTACTGTGATATGCAATGTCCGAGACATTAACGGCTCTGGCAAAGACTCCCCGCTCCTTCAAGACTGCTACATATTCTTCAACATCGTCAGAGGGACCAGATAATGTGCAACTATCAGCTGCATTATGACAAGCGACTTCAATTGAAGGAGGAAGCTCATCTTTTATTTCTTGATAACCCATTCCTGGAAAATAGTGGGTTCAAATGAAGCATAAGGGACCTTCCTCAAACCATTGCTCCATTGTAAAACTTCAGATTTGTTACATGAATAACTAAATGAACTGACAATTAAAAACAGTACTCTCTCTCTGTAATATATCGTCTGCATTCATTTTCATCATTATGACCAGGTGTAACTAAAATAAGAAGTTCGAGGCATCCAGTAATTCCTTTCATTGTAGAGAAAATTATCTTATAACGGGCGTTGTTATAAAGAGAGACTACAGTACGTGAAAAAATCAATTCAAATCAGGTGTAAAGACTTTTTTTATGTAATCTCATAGTGGCACTGAGAAAGTGATGACAAAAATTGTTGCACCGCTGATTAGTCTCTCCTGAATTAGAAAAAGATTGTAAAATTAAAGAAGTGGAATTAACTCTGTAATGTGATGCAGAAAGGATAATTTGTAAAACGTGCGCTGATCAGTAGAATGAAAGGTCATGTTAAAGTTTGCATTTTTACATCTAACTGTTTTACGTTTAATTTAAATTTGAGAAAAGTTTGAATTTTAGTAGCTGACATCAGAGCTTGAAGTTACAACCAGAATTTCAAAGTGATGAAAATTGCCACTGAATGGAGATGTTGCATGTGTGAGGGATTTGCGATTTGACTGTTGATTCTTATGTAAAAGTTCGCGAGAAACACGATGGTCCCACTAGTTTTCTCTGAAATCAACTCCCAAGCTCAAAAAAAGCTCTCAAAGTGAGGCCAAAATGGAGGGGATATCCCACCCTACCCTGAGAGTCCACGTCTACATCAAAACAAACTCTCCATGCAAAGATAGGGAGAAAATACATTGACAGGGTTGCCACTTTATTTGGGGACTCCAAAACTGGAAACACGGCATCACTGCTAATGTATTTGCTCCCTATCTTTGCATGGAGAGTTTGTTTTGATGTAGAGGTGGACTCTCAGGGTAGGGTGGGATATCCCCTCCATTTCGCTCTCATCTTGAGAGCTTTTTTTGAGCTTGGGAGTTAATTTCAGAGAAAACCACTGGCACCATCGTGTTTCTCGCTAACTTTTACATTAGAATCAATGGTCAAATCGCAAATCCCTCACACATGCAACATCTCCATTTTGAATCCTGACAAACGATGGAAAAAAAAGCAAATAAATTCACGTAATGGAGATCGTGTCTTACCAATGGCAGCCATTTTTCCGTGGATCAGCTCCGTCTCGATGGAGGCTCTACCTCTGGCGTAAGCAGACAAGATCATCTCTTCGGCTGTAAAACAACCGTCAGCGTAGGCACAGCCCAACTCTCCGACCGAGTGGCCAACGATACCGTCTGGAAAAATTTGCAAAGCATTCAAAATATCGACTAGACCAATCTGAAAAATAAAATAGAAAAAAACCCAGATAGTGTGAAAATGATTCGTTTTTGCAAAACTCTATTGAAATCGGGTTTTTGCGAAGGGTGCGGATTTTCATGACGGGGAAATAAACAGGTGGTTTCACTGATTAGGATCAATGCTGGGTTGTACCAAGGCAGTCAGACAAATGAGGGACTTGGAGGACAAGGCGCATAAGTGCAGTTTTCGAAAAAGTTGAGATATTCATTCAACTAAAGCCAGTTTGAAAATATATTCTGTGAAAAATTTACAACTAAAATTCAACTTTAAAGCATCAAATAGTGAGTTTAAACTTCCTTTCTGCCATAAGGCTCCATGTAATTTTGAAATTTTGCACAAGTATTTCTTGAAATAGAAAAAACTGCACTTACGCGCCTTGTCCTTCAAGCCCCTCAAATGATAACTCAAAACTGACTTAGAGACTTTATAATTTCAAAAATTGAACTTGTAAATACACATTGATTGAGGTGTTTCCAAATTTACTTTTTTGAGGAGAAACAATTTGATTTCAGTGATCATTTTCTGTTCTTTCTGTAAAACTTATCTGTAGTGACCGTGATTTCTTAGTTTTCCAGGTTTACGGACAGTAGGTCTACACGAAAAAGGGCTACAAAAAAGAGGGCTACCTTTTTTGGTCTACAGTCAAAATGTCTACATAAAAATGCCTATTAAAATAGTGTCTATAGTAAAATATGTCTGCAGTATTAAAATGTCTTTGGTTTGACTGCCCACTCCAAAAATGTCAAAGTAAATATTTATGTCGTCTAATAAGAATTTCATTTGAAATTGTAACCCCAAAGACAGGACGAGGCTGTGGATGCTGCAGAAGCTGATGCGTAAAAATTTCGAGTCACATTTCGCGAAAAATCGACCCTATAAATACCAACATGTATATTTTATATATATTTTATTTATTTTTTATTTTATACATATTATATATTTTTAGTGGCCAACATAAATATTTTGACATGTGGGCAAACAAACCGTAGACATTTTAATAGCGTAGACATATTTGACTGTAGACATAATTTCAGCAGGCATTTTAATGTAGACGTTTTGACATTAGACTAAAAAAGGTAGCCCTTTTTTTTGTAGCCCTTTTTTCTGTAGACGTACTGTCTGCATACCGTTTTCCAATCGAAAAGTAAAGTATGCAGTAAGTCTGCACTGTAGCAAACAAATATCAGTGATTCCTAAGTTTAGCCATTTCTTGTCATTCGACACATTCTACAACAAAAACCTTCTGCCTGATTTTGTTTATTTACCTGTCTGTTTATTTGTTTTAAATTATTTTTTCTCTCTCTTCACAGCCCCGCAAACTGGGCAGAGCCTCGTTAAGCTGCCATTACTGCACATCCATGCTCTTGGCTTTCAAATTTTCAGGGATTAAGGCCAAAACGAACTTGTTTCTGCGGATACATTCATCGGTTCTCTGAAAATTTATTGCCGCCACCAGGATTTAAACCTAGGACCTGTTGACCAAAAGTCAGGCTCCCTGGCTACTAGGTCGACTGGGCCAGCATTTTACCATTGTTTTCAAAGAATAGAAGATGGAGGTAAATGAGGGTAAATAGCTTTTAATTACCTGTATGGCAGCAATTCCAACGAAGGAATTCAATATGTTATCGAACAACTTTCTGTCAGTGCTTGTTAAAATGTGCTTCAGGTCTACGCCTCGTGGCTCCAGTATTCTTTGCAGCTTCTCTATCGTTTGCGCAAATAGGGGAATCTTCATCAACTGAGTTCCCATTCCATGCCATTGCGAGCCCATTCCAGAGAAGACAAACCACAATGGCCGCTTATTCCCTCCGGGTAATTGCGCAATCTGCAAGTTTCAGACTTTTTATATTGATTTTATCTCACATGTTTATTTAGAGAAATAGTTTTCAACGGAACAAAAAATTGCAGATTGAATACTCTCAATTTTTCTTGTCAAAGAGATGTGATGAAATTAAGCTGAAATAGTGTGTTGTCTGTGGTTTGTCGGATTACAAGATTTATTTACAGTGCCTCTGCCAGGTAAAACGTATGACTGGCTATCAAAAACAAAAAAAAAACAGATGTTGATAGCTTGTCATTGATCTGATCCCATATAAAAATTACCAAAATCAACTAACTTACAGTCAACTATTAGAGAATTCATGTTTAAAAAAAAAAGTAAGAAATAAAGTGGTACTGTTATATTTTACCTGTTAGTAAAAAAGAGAAAAATGTTCATCTCATTTCTGACAGAATCATACAACTATTTTATGACTTAAGAAAATAGATTCTCTATGCTTTCCCTAGAAAATCTAAGTTTTGTTTATTTATTTTTATTTTTTAAACCAATTTTCAAGAAACCCGCAAAGCTAATACCATGCTTGACACCCCAGTTCCAGGTGACCATTGCATTGCATGAGACAATTAAACTCAGGTCACCTGGCCAGGAATCGAACACAGGACCTCTTGGTCACAGAGTCAGCACTACAACCACTACACCACAGGAGGCCAACAAAATAGTTGCGTCCCTCTTGTCTCTGCACTACTATCCTGTTTTGAGACTTACCTCATGTTCTTTTTCCTTTTCTTCTTTCAAGTTCGGCATCATGGTGAACGTTCGGTAATTATAATTGAGGATGTTTTTCCGGAAAGCATGGTGAATCAGAGCAGCATACTCCTCATCTGATCCATGGCTCTCGACAACTTTCAACATTTCACGAACGCCTTCCTCGTGGCGCCCGCACAGGAGGAGGAGACGAGGCAGCTCATCAGGGAACATCTCATGAGGAAGGAGTTTGGGTTTCTTGGCTTTTGGGTTTCGTCTTAGAATCGAATGACTATAATTACAGCAGAGACCAAATGAAGTAACACCCACAAGATCACTTGTTAGGGGAGTTTTTTCACTTACAACCTGAAGCAAAATTGAAAAAACTAAGTGAATATTTCAACACAATATTATTTATTTTATGTACATTAGAGTACATAAATGACACAAACATAGTGTCTAAGCATACTTGTCAGTGAAAATCCCCCAAAATTTACTTTTTAAACATCATTATAAAAATAATTTAAAGAATGAAATGCCTTATAAACTAATGAGGTTTTCAACCCCTAGAAAAAAGCGTTAACTTCCCAGTCTTTCAATAGTTTTCTTAATTTCAGTGGAAGATGATTAAAAAGCCTGATGGCAGAATGTGACACTGACTGTTCAGCGATCTTCAAACGAACCATTTCATATTAAAATAACTATGACTTTGACAAAAAAGACTCCGACAAAAATTTTGACTCATGATAAATATGAATTAGGGGTTGCAAGATTTCCTCCTTTTTTAGGATCCTTAACCAAATGAGTTGTAACTCAGATATTTCGAATAAGGAGTAATTTTTCCAACTTTATACGACTAGACCTCACATAGAGTCTCAACTTAGAGTTGCGTTATCACTAAAGATGAGTTACAAGCTCAAAACCAGTCCAGAAAAATTGTTCAAAAAAGAATGTGCAACAGAGTCGTCAATTGGCTCAGCTGTAGCAAATTGCTAAGAGTTTGAAAAACACATGGTGGGAAATGAACATTGCTCAATTGAAAAGCTTGCTGAAACCGTTGTAGTGCGTGATTTGACTCATGTAGAGCTTTGAGTTTCTTGTGAGCGGGCAGTTCAAATTACTCGTGACCAATGTGAAATAAAAACGTTAATATCTTCGTTAGGAGTTAGTCTCAGTAATTTCCGTTGTGCAAATCGTGTTCTATGTCAAATTTTGGTTGAGAAACATGTATCAGATTGCTTAAATTCGTACCTTGTCTAGTGGTCCATTAAAATGATCTTCCTCAAGTTATTACCTTAATTTTATAGTTTGAAATGGCAGGAACATCATTGTTTGGATTGTCATAGTTGATGTTAGGAGGAATGAAACCAGTGTCAAGGGCAATGATCGCTTTTGTCAGTGAGACTAAAGAAGACGCAGCTTCGGTATGTCCAATGTTGCTTTTAATCGAGCCGACTAGTAGAGGATCTTTCCTGTCATCAGGGCAGAATACATCTGCCATTGCATTTAGCTCCATCGCATCAATCCTCTGGAGGACATAAAGTAAGCCAGTAAGATTTTTAAACTCCAATGACCTCCCTGCTTAGGTAGGAACACAGTAAGTGCCTTCTGAGGCATATTAAAATAAACGTGCTGGAGGAAAGCAGAAAGTTGCACCATTTAATTACTAAATATCAACTAACACTGAGGGAAACAATTTTTGACGTTTCCTTGACTGAAATAATGAAAACTGTTGCACTGTTTTTATCAAAGACCTTGCAATGTGAGTATCAAAGGGACAATTTTTTAATTTTGAAATTTTAGGATCCACCACAAAGTTCTTGGTTTCCTTGTTTGAAGTTGCGATATTCCAAAATTTGTGTTCTAACATTTGAAAAATTAAACAAATTAAAAACTTTGCCAGGGAACCTTAAAAACTGATAACTCCTTCAATTTCAGAAATTTAAGTGACAAGTTTACTCCAAAATGTCCATATTTTCTCCCTCCGTGCACTTTCAAAAAGTCTAGGGAAATTTTCCCCTGGAAGATAAGCTCTCTTTTCATAGATCCAGTCACATACTAGAATATTGGTGGCAAAACCACGCATGTCCGCTTGCAACGTTGCAGACTTCCTATCATACTTTGTTTTTTCTTTGGAAAACTAGTCAACGTCTTTCTTGAAAACTTCCTTGATTTTCCTTCTCTGCTAGTAGAATCTTCTGTAAGGCAGATGATGCAAGAATTTCTATGAAAAAAGATGAATAAAAGACAAAAGTTTCGTTACCTTACATGCTGATCCTTCTGCTTCGACAAATCCAACAGTTTTTGGGTCTATTCCACTCTTCTTGTACGACTGTGTTAATAATTCCTTCAAATGAGGGCCTGAGTCTTCAACATACATACTATCACGATCTCCGAAACACTGATTGTTCACAGAGATGACAGTGCCGTATGATCTCCGCGCTTCGCAAGCTCTTTGTAGGAAGAGCACCACACAGCCTTCTGCTCTATTGTATCCATCGGCTAAAAAGTAAGATATGAAGGTTGCTGTATAAATGAAAAACTAAAAAAACTGAGGGAAAAAATATTACAGTCAGATTTCATTGGATTTTTCTGCTAAGTGTAACAAATTAGAATTACTAATTTAATGGCATTCCTTTTTAAATTGGCTTGATAGCCCCCCCCCCCTTCCATTGGTTGAAGGAAACAAATAATTTTCCATTGGCGTAACCCTTTTGCTGATTGAAAAACCTCCGTCAAGACCTTGATGTCTGGGGAATTCTTGACTATGCTCATGCCCTGTTTTTGCAAGATTTTCGGGAGCTCTTTCCCTGATGAAAAACCGAAGTTTCCTCCAACTTCTTCGTGATTTTCTTGAGAAAACCTGTATAGTTCTCCAGAATACAGATTTGAATGTCAATTACTTTTCATTTTTCAGTGGATTCTTCAGCGTAGATTCAAATTATTAATTCCAAAAGCGTTCCTGATGTTTTAACTATCTGGTTTCTGAAAGCCTCTCTACTAAAATGATGATTTGAGGATTCAAAAATGTCATTCAAGAGGTCAAGACTGGTGACTCAGGTGCAATGACATAAACCTTGATAACAATAGGTGCTTATATTTTCCACAGAATTTAAAAACAAAGAGGCCTCTGAGTGGTAAAAAATTGATTTCCGGCTTCTGAAACAAATTCCATGATTTTGTCCAGAAATTTGTGATTCCCTGATGAATCCCAGTTTTCCTGGTTATTACCAGTTCTAGACACCATGGTGAAGACACAATAGTGCTTTTTAATTATCACCATCAAAATACAAGGGTCATCCAAAGGTAAGGTTCTCAATTATATAACTCCCAAACTAGTTCCCTGAGATTCAGAATGAGGAGAATCGATAATAGTTGTCTTAGATTAATGTGAGTACCGTCTGCACAGAACGACTTCGTTCTTTCCCCGGTCGTCAGCTTGCCCATACTCTGGAACTGTAGAGAGATGGTCGGATGCAAAATCAGATTGGCGATGCCTACGATTGCTGCGTTGACGTGTCCATTTTCAATCAGCGTTTTTGCCAAGGAGAGACCCTGAGTACCGCCCGTCCATGTGGAATCCATGGTATAACTAGGTCCTGCAAGGAAAAAATATTTTAGCAAGGAGGAGGAACTTCCCTACGATAGCAAAATTTGTTACGCCCAGGCATACTTTGAAACTCTATATAAAAGTGTGGAATTATAAACCAAATTTTAGCATTCATCAAACCCATGAACAATTGCAATGGCTGTCATAATCAAATTAACCCTCTAAAATTTAAAAGAGCAAAATATTGGGGTGTCTGAATTTACACTTTCATTAAATTACCAGGGTGGGGAGGGGGGGGATAAAGGCAAACAGGACTAGTGTTTTATACAGTACATAGACATACTATGTGATGTGAACCGAGGTCAGTCGATAATTTTTTTTCCTTGCGCCATACTGTTGATTGAATTCATGAAAAATCAGAATATTTGGAGACATTGCACACTGATGATGGTTAAGAGCTGTGAAATTGATTTACATTAACGAAGTCTAGAAAACTGAGGATAGAAAGGAGCTATATCATGTTACAAACCATATAAATTTAGAGAGTATGAAACCCTGTTGGCTTGCATAGCACGATTGTGTCCCAGAATGCCAAAACCAGTATCTTTAGAATCAAAAATGGAGAAAAATTCTGATTCACTGACAGTTGAAGCCATTAAGACGGCGGTATTGGATCCATGTAAGTCTGAAGGACATATTCCTGTAAAAACAGACAAAGTAAAATGGTTATTGATTCGATTTGGCAAAAATTGAAAAACATAACTTTTGTAACTTCAGCTTCTGGAAAAGCAAATTGTGTCTTTGTAACTATTTGTACTTAAAAAAGGGACTTGTAAAAACTAAAAAACATTTATTAAACTTTTGAGTGAGTTTACATCCATACCGTTGAATATCAAGTTGACAGCAATAAAATAATCTTCATTTCCACAAAAATAGAATTATGTTGATGGATATTTTAATCTATCTGCTGATCAGTTTTTTTCCTCATTAAGCGTACATAGTGATTTTAAAGAATGGACAATGCAGTTAAAAATAAAAGCAAGGAGGCAGTTTTAAGCATTCTAAACATCAATCTAAGGAATCCCTTTACAGCAATTAAAGTCACGAAAAAAAAGTTTCTTTCAGAATTTAATTTGATCAAGAAACATCTACAGAAAGATAGTCAAAAATTAATTGATATCAGTATTGATGCTCTTTAAGTTCATCTCCTGGAATAAGAACATCAGTTACTAATTTTCTTAAATTTTCTAATGTTAGGAGAATCACGCCCAAAATATGACGATAAATAATTTTGAATAAAAATAAAAATAGATAGTCATAAAAAGTTATAGACATATTCCTTATTTTTGAAGGATTAGTACCATACTTATTACAGGAATACATATTCACTTTGAGCTTCAGAGATACCCATCAAAAAATCACATTCACCCAAGAGGGATTTTGCAACGAAAATATTGCATGGAATCGCGATTTTTTTTCCATAATATTGCAATATTTATGCATCATTCAGTCAATAAATGTCCATTTTAAACAATCAATAAAAAGATTATTGCGTATCAGAAAGATATCTGGTCAATTTGCAGTGCAAACAAAACTGCAATGTTTTTAAATTTTAACTAGGAAAATAAAAGAAGCCACTTCAGTTAGTAGGTAGGCAAAGTATAAAACCTGTGCTACAAAAGTATAGAGTCCTAAAAGCAATTTGAGAATAATTCTGTATAAATGTTAAATTTATAACTGTGACCGCATTTGCAAAAGGGACCTTCTCTTTCGGCATGAAATTTTCCTCGACTTCCTGGAAATGCATGGAGGAGAAGGATCTGGCAAGTTTGACACAAGCTTGACCATAGAAGCTCAAAAATTAAATAAAATATGAGTCCTGAAATTCCAGGGCCAAAATTCTTGGACTTGAGGCAAAACGTAGTCTCGGCTATTTAACAAAGTTAAGGAAAATTTCTTCCAGAAGATAAGGTCACTTCTCACAGATCCAGTAACAGTTGGACTACATTTTAGAATTGAGAACTACAATTCCTGGCTCAGTTTAGAAACAATGTATGTGCCATTAGCTTCGCTATGCACATTATTGTTTATGCAGATGAGCCAGATATTATAGTTCCTAATTGCAAAATTAAGTCCAATTATAGTTCAATAAACTTTACCAGCATCAATAATGGCTTCAATTGCACGCTCCAAACTATGTCTGGTTAAAGAATCGAGACTCTCACATAATTTACGATGGATTCCAAAGAATAACGAGTCAAATCGATCAATGTATTTCAGTTTGCCAATTGCTGCTGGCGCATTTAATTCACCTGAAAAAAAAAAGATAACAGTCAAATTTTCATTAAATCATATCAGTTGAAACGCATCTTTACAAAAGTAAGAAAGCTGATGAGATTCATAGGTTTTGCTTCTAGCTGCTTATTTTCAACGTCGAGTCTAATTTTCGGATTGATCAGCAGGATTTAGCATTTGATATGAAAATTTCAATATTTCATCTATAATTCTACTAAAGAATACGCTAGAAATAATTTCATTGCTTCACATTATAAGTCATTGTCAGCTGAAGCCAAAGATTTCTTGAGATCTTTTGAAAAACGCTGTATGAACTTTCGAGAGTCGCAAAATTTTCATTTAAGGAAACATGGGAACGTCTGGAGGCTCATACAGTGTTCTTCCCTGGCACATCATTGTGTTTCTGTACAGTATTTGTACAAAGCTCTTCTACTGACAGCAATTTTATACCTCCCAGTTTCAAGGAAAATTTGACTTTTAAAAAATCCTAGACTCTCTTGTAGGAGAAATTAATATTAATGTTGTCCAAATCTTTGGCTTGATTAAACAAAAAATTGGCAATGGAAAAATTCAATTTTGGAGACTTAGAAAAATAATCAAATCAAATGCTCACCAGGTGTCCATCGTCGCGAATCAACTGTGATTCCATTCTTTTTGTTGAATAAAAATTCTGTCAACTCGTCTACATTATTACATTCCGGGAAATGTCCACCTATACCGGAGATGACGACTTCAAATTTTTCACTCATCTAAGGAATAGAAAAAAGTCTTGGGTCAACAAACAAAAACCTTGTCAGTTAAGAAAAAAGTTTTTAATGGAATCACTTTTAAACGGTCATAATTATTTTTTGCAGGATAGAATTTCGGGAAAACCTGATCTCCATCATCCTCTGAGTCAATATGACCATTTTTTAGTTCATATTTCCAAGAGAGTGGGGGCCATAGATTCTATCTCCTACAAACATATCAGGGTTTTGAAAGGAAGACAATCCAATGTCAGCCCCATTTTTATAAAAATTTTGGGGTTTCCCCAACACTCTAACTCTCCCTATAACACCCCATTCTGTAATTCGTAAGCTTTCTGGATCAAATTTGTATCAAAGTAAAGAAATTTTCCTTCTCTGATCAGAGCCAACGGTGACTAAATTTTGAATTTAGTACTTTTACCCAGATCCAGTGATAAAAACATCTTCACTATCTCGCCAAAGTGTCAAAACGCCATTTGTGCTCAGGCCCCATTTTGCCAAACTTGTCCAATGTTTTAAGGAAAACTAAGTAATGAACAGAATCAGTTAAAAATGTTACCTAATATTTATTTTGGCATCAATATTAATTCTTAAAATTTTCATGGAAGTACGTGCAGAAGTCTTAAGGAAAAAATTAAAACAATATTAAGATGTTCGCAAACGAAGCGTCCAAGCAAAAATAGCGCTTCAGATACTTGGGCTGGAAGGTGAGAGCATTATGATGAGGGTGTTTGTGCAACCTGCTTACCAAATAGATGAATTCTCTCCATTACAAAGATATTGTCTCTGTTCCCCTGGATTCTCGGATTTTTTGGTGAAATATTCGATACATATTTGACATTGATTACCTGACCAATTTTTTTTCAAAAGTATCATTAGTTGTTACAAAAAGCTTATAAAGGGAAATTATCTCAATTGATTTACTTACCTACTCAAGGGGGATCACACCCCCTCAAACTATCAAAGGCTGTCTTGAAACCTTTTTCCCTCGAACTGAAAGAAGAAGGGGGGGGGGGATTCTTGAGTCCATAAACAGGGAGAAAGAGGGGATTGGTATGCCATCCTACGCAGGGTTGCATGGGTGAAATAAAAAATATGAAATACCTATATTGAAAATTTCTGTGAGGTATTTCATAAAATTTCACAAAGATGTGAAAAGAATGCCAAAAATGAAACATATTTTCAGGTGCTGGGTACGCAAAACGCACTAAAAAACGCCAAAAAGCGAAAACCAGTCGCCTTTCATTTGATTTTGCATTTAATTTCGAAAAATATGTTTCAACACTATCCATATTTTTATGAAATTTCATGAAGTATTTCACAAGAAATGCCAATATATTATTTTTTACTGATGAAAAATTGCAACCTTGCCTACGAGAGATCCAAGAGCCTTCCCTTGAAAATGGGGCAGAGGCGAGGAACTTTTGCGGAGTTGTAGTGCGTTGCGTAAAATTTCGTGAAAAACCAAAAGGTCCATTAAAAGTTAAAGATACGATTTCTGAGGGGACAAAAAACTGTTCGAAATCGACCAATAAAAAGATGTATGTCTAGTTGACGTAGTTAGGCAATGCCGGAAGCTGAATTCGAAAATCGGAAGCTTAATTCGAAAATCGGAAGTTCGGAATTCGAGATGCGCGCTTGCCCCAAATGAGCGACGATTTATGCTCAGCGCAAAAGCAGAGATTCAAAGGCAGGATTTTTACGACAACGCGACAAGTATTCATGAGGTTAAATTATGCATGTCAAAACAAATTGCTGGAAAGGTACAGCCACGTGGTTAAAAAGAGTAGTTTTTCTATTTTTAGTTACGGCAGACTATAAGCGATGAATGGGAATTATTCCAGGACATCGAGAGGTCAATTAGCATACAATCAACTTTACTCCAGTTTCATTGGGAAGAGGCGCGTACTTTTTTTCCTTGTTCCGCTACGGTTTGTTATTGAATTTATTCTATTTTTCGATAGGTTAAACCGCGTACGTGTATGTAAATCGAGAGGTCCGATTTCAGGTTATATAGTTTTGAAAATTAAAATTTGCGCCAGAAAAAAAAAAAAAAAAAAAAAAAAAAAAAAAAAAAAAAAAATTAGTTAAGCCCAATGCTGTTACACATGTTCAAAAAGCTCTTTCTTGGGGCTTTCCAACGACACCAGAACGGTTGATTTAGTTTTGAACCATTCCGAAGTTACACATCAATAAAGTGGTGGCATCCCCCGAAAGAGGCCAACTTCTGCGAACTTTCAGTGTCTCATAAAAACCCAACAGGTAGTCGAATCAACCTAAAATTTTAGGTTTGCACTGAGCTATACATGTACGCTAAGTATGCCAAAATTCATCAAATTCTGAGGGGATCACTTTTTCTAAGGGTCACCAGTTGGCATGGAATGACCCTGCTTTCGATCCTCCTTTGTATGTAAATCCTTAACCTCCTTCATGGAATCCTTGGGTATAAGTTCGAGGATTCCGTACTTCATGGGGATGGAAACCAGACATTTCTACGGAAACCATATTTCCTTCTACAGGAATTTTGAGCCATCCATGCGAAAACCGTAGATTTTCACGGATATCGATGCAAAATTACGGATTTCCATAAAACTCGACAGATACTTGTGAGAGATTGCGGATTTTGTAGGTATTTAAAACTTTAGACAGGGTAAACTTTTCAAGTAAAAATACAGGGGACTATTTGGATATTTTGTGGTAAAGACTCACTTCACTACAGTTAGAGAGATCAAAAGATACACGAATAATGAGCAATCGTGGATAATCGGGGATCACGGAAATTCGAGAAATCGCGGATATTCGAGAGCCTAAGATGAGCGGTAAGCTACACGAATAATCGGCAATCACAGATGATGAATACACGCGGATAATAATCGGAGGTCGCGGAAATTCGGAAATCGCGGATATTCGAAAGCCGAGGACGAGCGGTAAGCTCGAATTATGCAGGTAGGCTACAAGAATAATCGGCAATCGCGAATGATGAAAACTCACGGATAGTCCGAAAATCGCGGATATTCGAAAGGCACAGATGAACAGTTACCTCAAATGGGTCACTAAACCTTGTTTATTTTATTGAATATTCTGAAAGTACAATGTGAGTAGATAACGTGGTGATTTTTCCGCATTTTTATGGAGCCGAAATCGCGGAGAAACCCGCTTTTGAAAAATCTAAAAACTGCAAGACATTTCAAACGCACCCGAATGGCGGGAAACTGACGGTGTTGACGCACTGCGGTAGTCATATCGCAATCTTCTCTCATTTTTCTCTAATGTTTGTTAAGAAAAAACGTGCTTCAATGTGGAATTGTTGCTCGTTTATTACAGCTAACATATGAATGAGATTCAAGTCTTGATTTCAAAAGATATGATTTCGACTTTAGTGTTGTTTTCATATACGAAGAGTAGATAGACATTTGACGGAGGTCGTGGAAACCCGTGCCGTGCCCGCTTCTGATTGGTGCCGGATGACATCATTCGGCGCGGCGCGAAACCGGGGCGTTTTAAATTTGCGTATAAGTTGAGCGATTTGAACTGCGCATTTCTCGGTTATTGAGTTATTTGTTCGCCTTTTTAATGTGCGCATCGTGTTCTACGCATCATTTTCCTTCAGAAAACTATATTCGCAAGTCAAAATTCGTTCATGGTTTAGTGACCCAATCGGCAATCGCGGATAATCGGAGGTCACGGAAATGTGGAAAGTCGCGGGTATCCGATAGCCGAACATGAACGGTAAGCTCGAATTATACAGGTAAGCTATAAGAATAAACGGCAATCGCGGATAACGAAAACTCGCGGATAATCGGAGGTCACGGAAATTTGGAAAATCGCGGGTATCCGAAAGCCGAACATGAAAGGTAAGCTCGAATTATACATGCAAGCTAAAAGAATAAGCGACAATCGCGAATGATGAAAACTTGCGGATAATCAGAGGTCACAGAAATTCGGAAAATCGCGGATATTCGAAAGCCAAAGAAGAACGGTAAGCTCGAATTATACAGGTAAGCTACAAGAATAATCCGCAATCGCGGATAATCGGAGGTCGCGGAAAATCGGGAAATCGCGGAGATTCGAGAGCCTAAGATGAACGGTAAGCTCGAATTATACAGGTAAGCTACAAGAATAATCTGCAATCGCGGATAATCGGAGGTCACGGAAATTCGGAAAATCGCGGAAACTCGAAAGCTAAAGATGAACGGTACACTCAACAGCGGAAATTTTGAGACGTTGCATGACGCTTGTGATAGGTATTTCGGCCGGAGGGTGGCGAAGTCCGTAATTCGAAGACTATGGTAGATATCTGAATGCGGTTTGTGGTAGGTTGTAGTTTACAATTACCAGTCAACTGTTAAAGTTCAAGCTCATTTGATTGAAATCTCACCGAATTTCTTGTACAGCTAATGGAATAATCTACAACTTTCCATAAACCGCATTTTGATATCTATCACTGTTTCCGAATTACAGACTTGTTGTTTTAGGACAGGCCCTGTAGAACAAAAGAGGGGAATCAATTGGGCTCACCGTGGCGGAATTTCCTCGAAATTTACGATTTTAACGCATTAAAATTCTATATTTAACGAAATGTATCATGATTTGGTCGTTTCCGGTCTCATTTTAGGTCTAATAGGGCTTAAACATAGGTCAGAAGGCCGATTTTGGTGGGAAATGCGGAGTTTTTGGAATTCGACCGTGAAACCGCATTTACCTCCAGAATTAGCTTTCAGACCCATGTTTAAGCCAAAATTCGGCCCGAAAAAAGACCACAAATAACCAAATTACGATAAATTCAATAAAATATAGACTTTTAATGAACAAAAAACGCATGGTCGAGGGAACTCAAGGTGGGCTTAAAAACGGTCCTAATCGATACCCATCCTTTCGAGGTTCTGCCGGTAAATCCTATAATTTTTAAAGAACTTGTCACGCTGCATTTACAGGGTTGCCATAATTGCTGCTTCTTCAAATTTCCTGGTTTTTTCCTGATTCCAAAATTTCCTGACTTTCCCTCACCTTTAAACAAAATTTCCATCAATTTTTTTTTCTTAAAACTTCGCTGACTTTCGCTAGACTTTGATGGGTAGATGTGTCAAAAATTCAAACTTTTTGAAATTCCCCGACATTTCCCTGATTTCCTAAGACGTTTTGGTAATACTCCCTGGCACTTACGTATGGACATGCCAGATGATTTAAAAGACGAAATTTGAAATAGTTTCCACGCAAAATCTGTTGTTTGAATTGTCAAACCCACCCTGGAAAGCAAATAAAGGTGACTTCACAATTTTTCCCTGACACTTTCGTCACTTTCCCTGACATTTCCCGGTATTCCCTGACTGTGGCAACCCTGGCTTTACAGCACCCTGAGTTACTTGGGCTCATGAAACAGTTCTTAAGAACTTCGAAAACCAGTGCCGAATTTCGGAACTTCTGCGGTTATCCTGAATTTTTCCCGGAACTTTTGAAATTCGCGATATGTTCGAAATCTTTTGCATTTTCCGGAACTTTCTTAGAACTTTTAAAAAAATCAAAAACGAATCTTGGAGCTTTAGACGGTCATGGAATGGGAGAAATTGGAACAAAATAGTTCCGAGTCCCGGAACTTTTGACGGAAATGAAATGGGAGCACTGTAAGTGTTCTCATTTCCCGGAACTAGTTCCGAATTTTGAAACTTTTGAGATTCCTGAATTTTTACCGAAATTTTTGAAATTCCTGAAATGTTCGCAATCTTTTGCATTTTCCGGAACTTTCTCAGAACTTTTGAAAAAATCAGAAACGAATCCCGGAGCTTTTGACGGTCATAGAATGGGAGAAATTGAAACAACAAAGTTCCGAATCCCGGAACTTTTGAAGGACATGGAATGGGGGCACTGTCAGTGCTTTCATTTCCTGGAACTAGTTCCGAATTTTGAAACTTTTGAGATTTTCCTGAATTTTTCCCGGAACTTTTGAAAAAATCAAAAAGAAACCCGGAGCTTTTGACGGTTCTGGAATTGGAGAAATTGGAACCAAAAGTTCCGAATCTCGGAACCTTTGATGGACATGGAATGGGGACACTGTTAGTGCTCTCATTTCCCGGAACTAGTTCCGAACTTTGTAACTTTTGAGATTTTCCTGAAGTCAATTTTTGCCGAAACTTTTGAAATTCCCGAAGTGTTCGGATCTTTTGCATTTCCGGAACTTTCTCGGGACTTTTGAAAAAATCAAAAAGAATCCCGGAGCTTTTGACGGTCATAGAATGGGAGAAATTGGAGCAAAAAAATTCCGAATCCCGGAACTTTTGACAGACACGGAATGACAGCACTGTCGACAATTGCTTTTTGGCATTCGCTGCAAGAGGAAATCATGAAGGGACTTACACTTTCGTTTCGTAGAGGGATCAGCAGTCGGAAACTAGACTACGCTCGACGGCTCAAGAGACGGACACAGGACATGAGGAGCGACGAAAGAGAACCGCGGAAGAGGGACGGACACTACCCGGCGCCGGATCTCGCGAAAGCGCGGACTTGGAAAAAGCTCCCGGAGAGAAACCGCGAGAGGACGCACCCTGCTTTCCGGCGACACGTGCGGGAAGCGGTTGATGACGGAGTGACATTGAATTCCGAGGCGAAAATTCGCGGTCGCCGACTCCGAGGAGCGGCGGGGTGGGTTAGGCTAGACACCTAAACGAATTAAAATTAATTCCGGAAAAATCGGGAAAACATTCTGTCCGCCGGGCTGTGGCCGCGTTCCGGCGAGGTTTTCGAGGAAAGCGTCCCAAATGGACCGAGCTCGTGAGAAAGGAACCAATCCACATTAAGTTGAAACTGAGGAAAAGAGGTTTGAAGGTTTATTCCTGCATAAGGAGGAAGAATTATTTTTGGGGTGGAAAACTGAAAGAAACTGAAAATGTCTGTTTCATTGAATAAAGAAAAAAAATAACAGATACAGCGAGGAGATTAGTAAAAATTACAATAGACATCGAGCGATTTTAAGAAAGAAACGGAAAGAGGATAATAAATGGACCGAGCTCGTGAGAAAGGAACCAACCCACATTAAGTTGAAACTGAGAAAAAGAGGTTTGAAGGTTTATTCCTGCATAAGGAGGAAGAATTATTTTGGGAGTGGGAAACTGAGAGATGTTGACATTTCAGTATCTGTTTTTTTTCTCCTTTTTTAGGCCTGTTTTACTAAATAAAGAAGAAAAAAATAACGGATGGAGCGAGGAGATTAGTAAAAATTACAATAGACCTCGAGAGATTTTGAGAAAGAAATGAAATGAGGATGTTGAACGGACCGAGCTCATGAGAAAGGAACCAACCCACATTAAGTGGAAACTGAGAAAAAGAGGTTTTAAGTTTTATTCCTGCATAAGGCTCAATGTAACAAATAAAATTTTCTTTTCACGACAAAATTTTTGTTTTTAGACTTTCAGTTTTTGGCAGAAGAAAATTTACGGCTGGTGAAACTCAAAAACATTCACAACTCAATTTTTACAAAAATGTGGGTTGGTTTCTTTCTGACAAACTCGGTCCGAATAGCCAGGGTGGCATGAAACGTAAGAAAAAAACGAAAGATTGGAAATTTCAGTGAAATATTTTATAAAATTTCACGAGGCTGTGAAATATTTCATGTTTTTCAGAGGCTGGAGTGTACAACCCGCACTCAAACACACAAAAAGAAAGGAAAGTCACAATTTCTACATTTATTTTGTAAAACATGGAGAGGAGCCGGTATTTTTCAACTTTCATAAATTTCTGAAATTTCAGGGAAATATTTCACGAGGCTGTGAAATATTTCATGTTTTTCAGGGACTAGAGTATGCAACCTGCACTCGAACACACGAAAATAGAGGAAATACACAATTTTTACATTTTGCGAAACAAGGAAAGGAACCGGTTTTTTCAACTTTCATACACTTCTGAAATTTCATGAAATATTCCACGTGAAATTTCAAGATTTTATTTTTCATGAAATTTTGCCAACCCGCAAGTCACAAAGACAGTTAAAAAAAAAAAAAAAAAAAAAAAAAAAAAAAAAAAAAAAATTGTGCACTTAAAATAGATAACTTCAGACGGCTGAAATATCTGATGGAATTCATTTTTAAAATGAGGTTGAGTTCAATAAATAGAGGAGTAAAAAATACTTGAAGGATTTTAAAATTTTCTATTGAAGTGGATGTAGATCAGTCTGCATTCCCTTGGGTACATTGTCCTCGGATCGCCGGTTTCGGCTCTTTGTGCGACGTGATGCGGCTAATGCAGTTCATAGTTGCAGAGTAACCTTTTCGATTTATGCATGCAGATTGCACTTATGAAAAATACCGGCGCCCGCCGCCGGAACTGCGAGCGTCCGAGACGCGCTACTGCAAACCACGTCCGGTACGACTAAAGGTAATTTCACGGCACTCCTCTGATGTACGCCAAGTTCTTATTAAATACGTTAAAAAATGAGAATCAGAATTTTCTTGGACTAGACCGCTTGATGGGACCGCAAGACGTGCCAAAATGAAGATGTTGCATGTGTGGGGAATTTGCGATTTGACTATTGATTCTCACGTAAAAGTTCGCGAGTCACACGATGATGCCACTGGTTTTCCCTGAAATCAACTCCCAAGCTCAAAAAAAGCTGACCAAAACCGGAGGTCAAAATGGAGGGGATATCCCACGCTATCCTGAGAGTCCACCTCTACATCAAGACAAACTCTCCATGCAAAGATAGGGGGGAAATACATTAGCAGGGTTGCAGTGTTTTCAATTTTAGAGTACCCAAATAAAGTGGCAGCCCTGTCAATGTATTTGCTCCCTGTCTTTGTATGGAGAGATTGTTTTGACTCTCAGGATAGCGTGGGATATCCCCTCCATTTTGGCCTCAACTTGAGAGCTTTTTTTGAGCTTGGGAGTTGATTTCAGAGAAAACCAGTGGGACCATCGTGTTTCTTGCGAACTTTTACGTGAGAATCAACAGTCAAATCGCAAATTCCTCACGCATGCAACATCTTCATTTCACAGCACTCCTCTGATGTACGCGAAGTTCTCGTTGAACACGTTGAAATGGGAGAATCAGAGTTTTCTTAGACTGGACTACTTGATGGGGGTACTGAAAAGAGCATCGCAAGCAGTGGCGTGGCGTGGCGTGGCGTGCTTGGCGATATTTCGATTGATCTGCTATTTAAACCCATGGAAAAGAATCGATACACAGCGTGTTCGCAGCGAATGCCTTGATAATAGATTCTTCACCATAGCTTCAAATGGGAAGTATCGATAACCGATCAGTCACGCCACGCCACTGATCGCAAGACGTGCCAAAATTCACGTACGGGTCGCATCGCGAACTATGAGATGACTATATAATTCTGCCGTGATGGCGGAGAAAGCAGCTTAGTGTGTGTCAACTTTTCGAAATCGAGTTTCCTTCAAAATTCGTCTAAACTCTTTTAGATGAAATCACTGAAATTGCTATAACAGCAAAATTCATGTTAATTGTACCATGACGAGACATGTGAGAAAGCCGTGAGTGCGCAAAAAATGACGTAGTTTTAGGCAAGACAGCAGTAAGTGACATTATTCCTACAGAGAGCCAATGAAAACAGTGCTTTCAAGTAAAGTGCCGCCACTTCCGCCCTCTTCTGCCGATTTCCAACCTGAAAATGTGTTTGTTGTGTGTCAAAAACGCAACCACGAAGGCATGCAGAAGACAGCACTTGCGACTGTCTTGCCTAACAAAAACCTAGCATGAAAATAATAAGTACCCTTTTTATGTAATTGAAATAAAATCTGTCGATTTTGAATCATCCAAACAATTTCTAAAAGTCTTTCGAACGATTAGTGGCAATTTGACGAAGAAGGAAAGCTTCTTTCATTAATATTTTCCGATCAGAGGCTTCTGAACCCGTTTTCTCAAAACTTCATTCTTGCACTTGCCTACTGTGGTCTTCGCTATGACGGCAGAATTAACAAGACGAAAAAAAAAGAACTCCTTTACGCGGAATTGGATTACATTTTGCAATAAGGAACCACTATTTCTAGCTTATTTTTGAAACGACATATATGCCATTGGTTTCTCTATGCAGAAAGGCGTTTTCACAAAAGAGTTAGAGATAGTGGTTCCTTATTGCAAAATGTAATGCACTTTTCTTTTAATTAAAAAAAAAAGGAAAAAAAAGTTAAATTTATTCATTTTTTTTAACAGGGTATTACGATATTTATTAGATTTTCTGGAGTGGTGTTTTTAGAGAATTAAGTATTTTCGGTGAAGTCCTCGAGACGTGTTTTTCAATTCCAAGTTGTTCGCGATTTTTCGTTACCTGTGCCGAACATCGCGGATAATCATACCATATCGCGGATAACCTAGGGAGTAAAAATCAACTCCCCAACCTGATCCTTGGAATAACTAGTGTACCGCGTAATCGAAGCAATAAATTAGACTTGGATTACAGGGTGAGCAGAACTGCTGAATAAAGGTCACTTCCAGTCATTTTTTGTCACATAACGTTGATGTTTCGGTGAATATCCGCGAATCCGTGAGAACCTAACTCCTTTGATAAATGATTTTAAGGGGTTTTTTCCCTGCATATTTCCGCAAATAGAACGGAACGTGCAAGAGGACGCGTTCATCTTTTTCTACGGCGGAGTCTTGAATATCCGCGGTAATGGGGACCGGAGCTACCGCAGATCATACCATATCGCGGACAACCTAGGGAGTAAAAATCAACTCCCCAACCTGATCCTTGGAATAATTAGTGTACCGCGTAATCGAAGCAATAAATCAGACATAGATTATAGGGTGAGCAGAACTGCTGAATAAAGGTCACTTCGAGTCATTTTTTGTCACATAACGTTGATATTTCGGTGAATATCCGCGAATCCGTGAGAACCTAACTCCTTTGATAAATGATTTTGACGGGTTTTTTTCCCTGCATATTTCCGCAAATAGAACGGAACATGCAAGAGGACGCGTTCATCTTTTTCTATGGCGGAGTCTTGAATATCCGCGGTGATAGGGACCGGAGCTATCGCAGATCACACCATATCGCGGATAACCCAGGGAGTAAAATCAACTCCCCAACCTGATTCTTGGAATAATTAGTGTCCCGCGTAATCGAAGCAATAAATCAGACTTAGATTATAGGGTGAGCAGAACTGCTGAATAAAGGTCTCTTCGAGCCATTTTTTGTCACATAAGTTGATATTTCGGTGAATATCCGCGAATCCGTGAGAACTTAACTCCTGGGTGCTTGATAGATGATTTTCACGGGTTTTTTCCCCCTGTATATTTCCGCAAATAGAACGGAACGTGCAAGAGGACGCGTTCATCTTTTCTACGGCGGAGTCTTGAATATCCGCGGTAATGGGGACCGGAGCTACCGCAGATCATACCATATCGCGGACAACCTAGGGAGTAAAAATCAACTCCCCAACCTGATCCTTGGAATAATTAGTGTACCGCGTAATCGAAGCAATAAATCAGACATAGATTATAGGGTGAGCAGAACTGCTGAATAAAGGTCACTTCGAGTCATTTTTTGTCACATAACGTTGATATTTCGGTGAATATCCGCGAATCCGTGAGAACCTAACTCCTTTGATAAATGATTTTGACGGGTTTTTTTCCCTGCATATTTCCGCAAATAGAACGGAACATGCAAGAGGACGCGTTCATCTTTTTCTACGGCGGAGTCTTGAATATCCGCGGTGATAGGGACCGGAGCTATCGCAGATCACACCATATCGCGGATAACCCAGGGAGTAAAATCAACTCCCCAACCTGATTCTTGGAATAATTAGTGTCCCGCGTAATCGAAGCAATAAATCAGACTTAGATTATAGGGTGAGCAGAACTGCTGAATAAAGGTCTCTTCGAGCCATTTTTTGTCACATAAGTTGATATTTCGGTGAATATCCGCGAATCCGTGAGAACTTAACTCCTGGGTGCTTGATAGATGATTTTCACGGGTTTTTTCCCCCTGTATATTTCCGCAAATAGAACGGAACGTGCAAGAGGACGCGTTCATCTTTTCTACGGCGGAGTCTTGAATATCCGCGGTGATAGGGACTGGAGCTATCGCAGATAATCTGAAACTAATTTCTCCTTGGCCGAGAGAGTGATCCAAAAAGCTATATTATTAAAGACTCTGTTGACAAAAAATGTTCAAATATTGGCCAGAGATGTTCTTTTTAGTTTCAAATTAATTGACTTCACCTTAAAAGAGGCAATTTGAACAAACATCGGTTCGGGGAGATATGTCATTTAGAAGGTGGAATTGCAATGTTTTTGGGCTGCTATTTTTCCCATGAATTTTAGAATCGGCAGCTCCGCTGGGGAATCGCGGATATTCGGGACTCAACTCGTCACCTTCCAGCCGAAGTATCATGCGACGTTAACAAATTTCCGCCGCCATTTCGTTTTCTTTCAGAGAAATTGTTCTACGAAGCTGACCGAAAATTTCGATGAATTTTCATTGTGCTGTCGATACAATTCAGCAAAATTTTCAAACAGATTCAGCCAACAATTTCTCTGTAAAAAAATAAAAAGGCGGCAGAAATTTTTAAACGTCGTATGGCGCTTGTGATGCTTTAGCAGGAAGGTGACGAAATGTATTTCGACGGTGAAACTACCAAACCACGTATCTCGGTTTGCGACGTCGCAGACTTCCTGTCATACTTTATTTTTTAAATGAAAAACTACTTAACGTCCAGTCTTGAAAATTTCTGCGATTTTTCCTCCTCGTGCGGAGAAAATTCTGTGAAAATTTCAAGGAATGATATTGATTTGGTCTACTTCAAAAAAATAAAATGTGAGCGTAGATTTTTAAACACCGCAAACGAGGTACGTGGTTTGGTAGTTTCACCGTCGATTTCCTCCTTCCTATCTGAAGTGGTTTTAATTTAGCCATTGGCACTACCTCCGTCTTAAGAGGGCAGAACTGTGTATTGTCAGTGACGAAGATGGTGTACGGACGTGTCAAATAGAGCTGCGCTCAAGCGAGTAAGTTTGCTTTAATTTTGTATTAGTTCAACCCAAACATCTTAATCTGTTTAACCAGTTCACTCTCGCATTCTTCGTACTCCGATTTTTCTATCTAAGGTGATTCACCCCAGGTTCTTGGTGTGATTTAACTAATGTGCGATATATTGCATCTATCCAGTCGAGAATCTCTGTAGATTTTGACTATTGAGCCAAAAGAAAGGACGATAGTCCCTGCACATGAGCTTAAAAAGTCAATTAGCTAAGAAGTGGCAAAATTCAGAGTGACAAAAGCAGGTAATGTTTTCCAAAAAAAAAAAAAAGTTGCACTTGATACAGTAATAAATTTCTGAATACGCCACTGAGGCTGCCAATTTACAAAAAAATATGAAAATGTTTTATTCATGATTCGACTTATCATAACTTCACTGTTTGTGTACATAGAGGATTAATTGGATTACATTTTACAATATGGAACCACTATTTCTGGCTCATTTTAGAAACAACATACATGCCATTGGTTTCCTTGGGCAAAAAGGTGCTTCTATAGAGAAGCTAGAGATAGTGGTTCCTTATTGCAAAATATAATCCAATTGTGCCTTAAGGACTCAGCAAGGAAAACAAGAGGATTGGGTTTCGAGTTGAATTTTAGTGTTATTTGATATGATGTTCTTAACAGCCTCTTAAACACAATGAACTTTTACACTGAACTTCCTATAAGCAAATTTTTCAGTAAAGTGGGGCTGAAAAGTGAATTGTTCAGCATTTTTACAAGACGTGGCATTGCTCCTGTGTTGCTTGTGAGAAACATTTAGTTCTGAAAAATGTAATTAAAGCTTCCAGACCAGCATGCGACTAGGTAAGAGGAGCTCTCCTTTATCACCAACATTTCTGCTATTGTCTACAACACGCAGGTGACGACTGAGAGGCAGAGTCATGTATCTATCTATCTATTGTTTAAGGGTTGGTTGGCTGCAGCGAACCCTGGTTCTTTGAATGTGCCAGTACACCTGTATAAGAAATAGATTGAGCAGCTCACCTGACTCTGTCCCTCGGCTGCCGTTTTACCTCTTGTAGACTAAAGATAATACAGATATAAATGCTCATAATGAAAGAACAATAAACGTCCTTAAATTATGAATAAAAAAATGAGGTCTGAAATGAAGAAAGTCCCGGGTAAAATAAATTGTCAATTTAATTAGGTAGTTTGCTAAACATGAAAATGTTTATTACAATTAGATATATGTTATATTATCAACTAGGTAACTTATCTATGAATCACCAAGACATGAAATGGAGGAAGTTTTTGCATGAGTTTGTAGCTTCCGCAGATCAATTTTTGATGATTTTGAATGGTTGACGATTTGATGTTCTGATGCTACACTAATTGGAGAGATCTGTGATTTGGTTGATGTAAACTGGAGAATTATCTTTGAGAAAAAGCATTAGAACACTCTTGGCCTTCGCTTTCAGGTTGAGAGGAGCAGAGGGCGATTCTGAATCAATCTCTTTGGTGTGAAAACTTCTGAGTCATGGATAAACAGTAAAACTGAGGCACAAATTGAGATTGAACTTCATCGCGAATTCCACAGTTTTGTTCTTGAATGTTCAAATGAGAAGTTTTTAAGGCACATCTGCTTCTAGGATTCGTGAATGATTAAATGAAGGAAAATTTTCCCAGCTAGTAGCCTTCCTTCTCTGTTCATTTTCAACAACCAAAGTAAGATTAACTTAAATGAACGACTGAAAAAATGAAGTGCCAATATTTTACGGCCAGTAATGAAAGGAAACCTCATCGATTGCAATCGCACAACATCTAGAATCATTTTACCAAGATTTTCCTAAGTATCTACTATTAAAAGTTCTTTCATAGTTACCAGCTTACATAAGATTTTCTTTCCTTTGTAAAGAGTACTAATACTGAAGGTAAAACGTTGACGGAAAACCCAGAAACAAAAAATTAGCAGTTAAACTGATATCCTGATGTACTTTTTTCGTAAATCTCACGCTACTAAAATATTTCTCGTACAGCATCAAACGAATAATATGCAGGAAAGAGATAGAACATTCACCTGTTTCCGTCATCCAAAAAAGAGAACTTTAACCGTAAAATTAAAACGAATAAGTACAATAAATAGGAAAAAATGTTTACAAAATGACCAGAATTGCCCAAGTTTTTTTTTTTTTTTTTTTTTTTTTTTTTTTAAGTTTTGTCTGACTGCCTCTGAAGAAGGTTAGAAAAACACACTTTACCCACAAGATGAGAAGACTGTAGTTCTTCTTCTTCTTCTTCTTTTTTTTTTAGACAGTTAGCAACTAATATCTGGAATCACCTGACTAAGGCAGCATCCTTGGCAATTTCCAAATTTTTCCTGAGTTTCAAAAATTCGAAAACTATTTCCTGTCAACTTCTAGTTCCCTAATTTTCCAAGTTTTCGGAAACCCTAAGTGCCTAATATAAATAATCAAAGGCCTGCGCAATATCAAACTTAACATCCATCCTAGGATAACGTTGAATGTTCCATTACTACCCTGAGAGGCTTACAATTCAACATTGTTGTGATCAGTCAAATGAGATTAGATTTGATTTTGGAACCTTTGAGAAACCTGAGGAGCCGGAAATACAAATTTTTGTTAAAAAAAACAAACATAAAAATGAGGCAGTTTCATCAAACTGCTAGAGTCGCAACATCTTTTTGCACCGGCAAAGTCGAATAAACAAAACAAAAGATAAGTATAAATATCACAAAACACGCTGCTGGCACAAGCAGGACAACAGGCGCACAAGGTATTAAAAACTAAAATTAGGTTCTGTACCTCTAGATCGGGATGTGAAGATCGGATAGGGAACTTGTAACTTTTTCTGAAGCTGAAGGCTGAGACATGACATGCAACGAAGGGCTACTCTCGCTGCCTGCGGAGGTAGTGGAGGATACTTGAGACTCTCCAACTGAAATGAACATAAGTAAATAAAGTTGAATGACAAAATAATGGACCACTAGACAAGGTACGAATTTCAGCATTCTGATACATGTTTTGTAACTAAAATTTCTTGTAGAACACAATGCGCACAACAAAAATTACCGAAATTAACTCCTTAAGAAGACATTTAATGATTCTTGATTCGTGAATTCAAACCACCCGCTCACGAAAACTCAATGCTCTACGTGATTCACATCGCGCGCTACACATTATCATGACTGTCTCTGCAATATAAAAATCTGGCAACCTCAATCTTGACGCTTTGGCTCAGCTATGGCAAGTTGCTGATAGTTTGAAAAATACATGGCGGGAAATGAATATTGCTCGGTTGAGAAGCTTGCTGAAACCGTTGTAGAGCACGATTTGACTCACGTAGAGCTTTGAGTTTCTTGTGAGCGGGCAGTTCAAATTCCTGGTGACCAATATGAAATAAAAACGTTAATATCTTCGTTAGGAGTTAGTTTCAGTAAATTTCGTTGTGTGAATCGTGTTCTACGTGAAATTCTGGGTAAGAAACATGTATCAGATTACTTAAATTCGTACCTGGTCTAGTGGTCCATTCTTTCAAGTGTTAAAATAGCTATCAACATGAGCAGGATGATCAACTGGTATTGTTATCAAAGAAATATTGAAGCATTGTCCCCGCTTTGTGGAGAAAAAGAGATACAGTAAACCCAGTGTTTGAAACACCCGCCGGCTAAACAGCAATTTGCCGGTAAGAAATCGCCTTTGGCCGCTAAGAAATGAAACTAGCGGCCAAGTTTGGCTGCTAAGAAAATCGTTATTAAACTCCATTTTTGGGATTTTCCGCCGTATTCCTGACTTAAGGCATTTTGAGAGGGCAATCTTTCATTTTGGCCCCTGAGAAAAAAAGTTGCAGGCCACATGGCTGCTAAGACTTCATGCTGAGTTTCAAACACTGAGTAAAACTCTGATATAACAAATTTCTAGGGACTGGCAAGAGAATTCATTAAATCGGAGACGATGGGAAACCCGATTTTAGTCCAATATAAAATTTCTGCAGTTTTCAGTTTTTGTAGTTTTGTGTACACTCCCTCTCCCTTAACCCATTGACTTATGATTTAATTTGACCCTGCCGGGCCAGGAATTACGATTTAATTTGGCGAAAATCAGCAACTTTGAACACTTCAAAATAATCCAGAAATTATTTCTCAAAGGGTGAAAATTGACATAATAAGCATTCACAATACAACGTTTGAGAAAAATGGTGAAAACTTTGAACACAATGATTTTTTTATGTGGTTTATAGCTGTCAAAATCGCAAAAATCAGAAAATTTTGAGGTTATTTCAAGTGCAAACGCACAGTAATATGAAAATACCGCAACAAAACAAGAAATTACCGTACACAATAAGTCATAGAGTGGCCACACTACTCATATAAACATTGATGAGAACGCAATCTACCGGAGAATTGCCAAAATAACGCGAACAATCAGTGGACGGCTCTGAGCCGTCATTGCAGAGCTGGCCCAGCGCTGCGATGACGGCTGGGAGCCGTCATTGTAAGTCAATGGGTTAATCCACAACAATATTACTTGCAAAATTGATGGGAATAAAATATGAAAACAAAATGATTACAAACAGGAAAAATTACCGATTCATATTACACTTTAACAGCAGAGTGATAGAATTTAATTTACGTTGAGAAATGAGAGGATAGGGATTTTTTGAAACCATGAAAAAAAATTTGTCGATGCAAAAAAGTTGTCACATCAAAGCTTTACTTTAATTTACCTGTCAGAATGCTACAGTTATGTAATGGCACTACGTATTGTGGAGGCCATTCTCTTTGTTGATTTCACTTTCTGAGAACGTTGGATTAACCTTCTAAGAATTCCAAGAATGTAAATTCAACGACCGAGGCAGTGTACTAGATTTGAAGAGAATCCCTCAGACCTAAGTTCTTACAAGAAAACTCCATGAGTTTTGACTATTTTTGGGAATCATACCATCTTTACATCATTTTTCCTAATGTTCGATTAAACTTATCATCAAAAACTTTCTGCTTTTTCTATTCTTTTTTGCCGAGAAAGTGTTCTTTTTGATTTAATGCAATCCACACTAAGCTTCCATTTATCTCAAAAATATTTTTGGAGACACACACAAACAATAGTTCAAAAAACGTTTATTATGTACTGTTAGACTCACTTGAGCGTAGAATTTATGACAGGCGTCTGTTATAAAATCTACGCTCAAGTGAGTCTAACACTGCGTAATATATGTGTCACAGGCAAATAGTGAAATCAGGCATTTTGTCAAATGCCTAGGCAGATTTTGACAATTTACAAAATTTTGTGAATTTTCGGCGAAGAGCTCACGAGTTTTCAATATTTTTGGAAGATTAACTCATGAAACCTTCGAACTCTTTTTGTCTCTTCCTCTTAAATTGCTTCTCGTATTTTCAAATGTTAAAATTCCGAAACTTCTGAATTTTATGACATGCTGAAAATTTCAAGATAAATGGCTGCTCAGAGGCTAGAAATCGTTTAAAATACTTTTGTGTGATGCAATTTTTTACTGAGAATTTTTTCTCACAAGAGCAATGAATTATTTTGTGTAAAATTAGGAAAATAATCACAATTTCAAACTAAGTTGGAATATTTGACTATTTGTCTCGGCATTCGACAAAATGTCGGATTTTACTATTTGCCTGCGTAATATATGTTTTTTGGTTCATTCATCTCCTTCAAGAAGTATCCATAACTGGAAGTTAATACAAGTTAATCATGAGAAATACTTACATGTTGTGTCGGTAAATGATAGCGTACACCCTTCATTGAGATAACTGTTTAATTTCCCACCGGCAGCGAGAATCAAACCAAGGAAAGGCGGCGATGACTTCATAGGCCGACTGAGGTACTCGGGATGAAATTGCGTCGCAACATAATATGGGTGTACCTTGCTGTCAAGCTCCATAATTTCCATGCGTTCTAGGGCTTCGTCAGTTCCTGAAACAAAACAGTTAGTGTTATTTGTTTAATTCGGAGAATATGGAGCTTCTGTTTCAAATTAATATCAATTAGCATGATCCTTGGATGTCTGTAGATTTTTTCAGGTCTTGGGAGCAACAAGGCTCAATGATAGCAAATTTTCTTGGATATAGTCCCACTCTCAAAGTTTACTCTCTCCTTTGCGTTTAACCCATTGACTTAAAATGACGGCTCCCAGCCATCATCGCAGCGCTGGGCCAGCTCTGAAATAACGGCTCAGAGCCGTCCGCTGATTGTTTGCGTTATTTCGGCAATTCTCCGGTAGATTGCGTTCTCATCAATGTTTATATGAGTAGTGTGGCCACCCTATGACTTATTGTGTACGGTAATTTCTTGTTTTGTTATGGTATTTTCATATTACTGTGCATTTGCACATGGAATAACCTCAAAATTTTCTGATTTTCGCTGATTTTGCGATTTTGACAGCTATAAACCAACATAAAAAAATCATTGTGTTCAAAGTTTTCACCATTTTTCTCAAACATTGTATTGTGAATGCTTATTTTGTCAATTTTCATCCTCTGAGAAATAATTTCTGGATTATTTTGAAGTGTTCAAAGTTGCTGATTTTCGCCAAATTAAATCGTAATTCCTGGCCCGGCAGGGTCAAATTAAATCATAAGTCAATGGGTTGAATAGTTGCAATCGACTCAAACTTACAGGTAAAATAGGGATAAAAAATTGATCGCTTACCGACAAACTTCAATCCATTTGCCTCGAGTTTTTTTATATAATCTGGATTGACTTCGTACCTATGCCTGTGCCTTTCTTTGATAGACTCTTTGCTTCCATAAAGTTTCACTGGAATAAAAACAACTACGATGGTTAAATCTGAATGTCGAATAAGAGAAATTGAAACCTCACATAGGATTTGGGTATTGTAAAAAGAGATAAAAATACAAAAATCCATAGACTTGACTATTATGTTAGAAATCATACAATTTTCCAAAAATCTTGAAAGCTATTGAACATAAATGCCAACAGTTCCCAATAATTTTTCAGTCCCAATTTTTTAATTTTCTTGTTATTATGTATTTGTTCATTTCAGTTATTCAGTCTTCTAACTTTAAGTCTTTTTTTCCATTCCAATTTCAGTATGTACATCAACCTCTTTATCCAATAATAGGGCTGTGCGAATATTCGCAATTCCGACTATTCGCGCCGCGAATATTCGCTTCGTCTGCCTCGCGCACTATTCGCAAATTGCGAATAATCGCGCCGTCGCGAATAGTGAATTTTTGAACTGACATTTTCAAATATTCCTGCTGTCACAAGGAATGAATTTTCAAATATTCGCGCCATCAAAAATAACGAATTTCCGAGTGGCAATCGTGAAACGTTGCGAGGACCTACGCAAGGCTTCCGCTTCCACCCGAGACATCGCAAACGGCGGATCTCCTTTGATCTTTACCGACTTTGCCGAGTTTACGAACAGCGAGCGCGATTGCGATTGGGGGAATAAGCAAAGAGCCCAAATTAAGGATTGAAAGACACAGAAATTTCTGAAATTGAAAAAAAAAGTTCTTCAACACATTTTTATTTACAGTAAAAAAAATAAAATACTAAAATGTGTCTAGTGATCCTTCGATACTAGCTTGACTGCCTGCGCAGTTACCTTCAAATCCTGGAAATGCATAGGTAACTGCAGGGACAGTCAAGCCAGCATCCAGAGATCTTCGAACAAATTCTTAACAGCCTAGGCTACTATCATAGCATTTCATTGTTTTCTGTGCAAGCGTATGAGCAAATGGAAAATTCTTAAAAATTAGTTACATTTTTTTTGTGGACTTTTCTAATATTCGCGAATTTTCAGTTAGAAAAGTCATTTCCAATTATTCGTTTTACTATTTGTAGCTGCGAATAATTGACTTAAATTATTCGTTATTCACTTCGCTATTTGCGAATAGTTGCCGAAATTATTCGCTATTCGCTTCGTTCGGAAAATTCACTATTCACACAGCCCTATCCAATAATATCAATTTTATGATGATTACTTGATCGACAAGATTATAGACAACCGAGAGCAGAGCCCTCCAATGAGAAAAAGGCAACAACCAGCATGATTTATGATGTGATGTCAATTCCCCTTTAAATACTAGAGCTTCATTTGATACTTGGTCCATTTCCAACTTTTCAACCTGGAAACCCGTGGTACACTCCTCCCGCATTTCCGAGCGTTAGTCAGTCAAGTCTAAACTATTCTTAAATAGTGTACATCCTGATCTCAAACTAAATGGTGATCTTTGTCTTGTGTCGCGAGCATTATTACATCCTCTCCCATACCTTGCCACCTTTCTATTAGACTCTTAGATCGTCCCTCTACTTCGGGTTTGGTATTTTTGTTTCCAGAATTAAATACTGACAATAGAATACTTCAAATATTCAAACACAAGTTTCCTTAAAATTCTTATGCTTTATATTTTTTGTCAAAAATTGCTTTGGGAATGATTTTGCTGAAGAAGGTCAGATGTAAGAGGAATAGTGACTAAAATCCCATTGTCACAGATGCTAGATGATAGAATGCCTAAGAAGGTTCTGGATTGGGTCCTCCCTGGTAGAAAACGTAGAGGACACCCTGCCAAATCGTGGATTGAGGGAGTAAGGCAGGAAATGAGGAGATGTGATCTGCCAGAGGAGCTCTGGCAAGATTGCTGTCGGTGGCGGTTGGGTGTCGCAGAGCGCACAGAGGCGCTATAAGAGCGCCTTATTAACCCATTCCCTTAACAATTAATTTTGCATGCCCGCGCACAGAGCTACTATTTAATTTTGCTGTAAAAAGCTGTATTTGGTTTCTTCTTAGTTTTCTGCTTTTCCTGATTATTAGGAGCGAGTTTTTGGCCTAATTCTTATTAGTTATAACTAGAAGGATGTTTATATGAATAAATTTGCCTGGATGTTGCACTTTTTCTGCAGTAAGTCAGCTTATGTTAGGGGAATTTCCTGAGAAAAAAAAAAAAATGTTAAATTTAGGAGAAAAATCTTATTTATTGTAAGAAAAAGTACATGCAATGAGCCACAAAACCTCCAAAACTCTTAAAACATATGCTCAAATAAGATCTAAGCACCAATTAGCACCAAAATAAGAAAAAAGAGCGAAAATAAGCTTACATCTCGTTGTTGTGATTCATTGATAACAAGAAAATAAACAGAGAGCAAATTTCGAGGTTATTCCAGTTTTCCACATTTTCAAACTAACAAAATTCCCTATATTCGGGGAAATTACCGTACAAAACCAATACAGGTTGGTCACACTACTTCTAGTTACAACATCTGTCGATTTACGTGGCGCTATCTATCGTGAAAACATCAAAACACGGCAATACGCGTAGCCAAGTTGCATGACGAGTGGGACTCGTCATTTCACGTTTGTCCCGGCGCGGCCATGACGAGTCAAGCTCGTCATATTAAGGGAATGGGTTAATAATATTAGTTCAATAATTACTCTACTTACACATGATTGAATCTGGATGGTTGCTGGAGAAGACTGTTTTCATTTTGCCCAACCTCATGGTTCCACCCAAATCAACGTTAGTGTGTCCGGGCATGTCTGAAATCACAGGATGGATAGTTCTTGGATCCATTTCGGTAGAACTTGCACCCGCTAAACCTAACATGTTTCTGAAATCAAATAAAACAAGAGAATTTTTTGAGATTTGGTTTATTATTTGATCTGGTTTAATTATGATCCCTGGTTTTTCCCTGTTTTTTTACATATTTATTTATATTATCATGAAGATGGCGATAGTGAGCCAGTGGTCAAAACAATGGAAGTTACAAATTTGTGCAGAATACAACAATGAGAATCAAACAACACTGAAAATAAAACTTCATGGGAATTAAAAAAAGTGTGAATTTCTGAAGTCTGCTTTTGAATGAACTTGACTGACTTCCCTCGAGGCAACGCAGAATTCTGCAGCTTAAATCAGTATTTGGAATTCATTCAACTCTTGCCTGCGACAAGTTACCTAGCAGAAAATACTTGGCAATACCTGGTTCAGGCGCTGATTTCTACCCTGTTACTGCTTGTGGTTACTGTAGTGTGCCCTGTGCTGGTTTTTACTTTCTGTTACTAGAGTCATTTTCTGCGCAAGATTTTGAAGAAAACATGTGATATATCAATGGCCAAATTGCAAAACCTTGCACCTCCGCTTACAGCATTGCAGACTTCCTGTCATACTTTTTTTAAATGATAAATAATAAGCGAATATTCGCGATCGAATATCATTCATCAAACGAATTGATCAGCGCTGAGTGATGCCGATGATCGGTGATAGCAGGAGCCGATCAGAGTTCAGATTTTTTTTTAAAATGAAATTAAGATGAAAATAAGAGCACGCGGAACACTAAGACACAGCAAGTTGCAAAAACACCAGACTTGATTTGACAAAATACAAAAACAGAGAGAAATGACGAAAAAAAAATTCTGGTGAAGGATGAAGTTTCTGGCATCGATTGCATCAATTCAAAAATAGAATTCAAGTCCCAAGGTGAATTCGAAATTTCAAATTGATGGATTTCATTGGTCGCCAGTGAGACTGACGAAGAAGTCAAAAATTATTTGAAAAATGCACAATCGTCGAATATCATTCAACGGTGAATGATATTGGATCGCAAAAATTCGCTAAATATATGTATGTAATTTTTTGAAAACCCTTGATTTGTCTTCTCTGTTAGCAGGATAATCTGTAAACATTTCATCAGGGTGGCTAGCAAAATTTCATTTTATCATTCCCTCACTTTTCCTGATGAAATTCCATGACTTCTTTATGATAACCTAGGGGCACTTAATTAATGTGCTCAAAATGTTGGCACAACGACGCGATCAGCTGGCTTGTCGTAGATACAATTTTTACGGGGATCCCAGCTGCACAAAAATTCCCTGACTTTTCCCAATTTTCCTGGATGCTCGCCATCCTGTTTCAAGCTCTATAGTTGACTTCTTTTTCTTCAGAAAATAAAATAGGAACGGACAATTTATGGGACATTGTGATGAAGAAACACAGTTTTGCACTTTGGCCATCGATATGTTTCTAAATCAGACCTTGTCCAGTGGACCATATGATGCTCACAGAGCTGACCAGTGACCATAATAGTTTGAGGTATAAGAGGTATTGGAGCAGAAATTGTAAAATAAAAGGTAGGAAAATATGAATGTGTTCTACCTAGAGAATTCAATCACAGCTGCATGCATGCCAAGGCAAATTCCTAGGAACGGCTTTTTTGCGGTTCTGCACCATTTGCAGGTCTCTATTTTTCCCTCCATTCCTCGCTTACCAAAACCGCCAGGAACAATGACTCCGCTGGAAAGAAACAGTGGATTAAACAACTTACTCAACTTAAGTAAAATTTTCAACTACTTGAATGAGATTTCAGAATGAAGATGTTCTAGCAATTTAGAAAATAAGTCAAAAATTTGATTTTGGCTGTCATTTATTAAAAATTCAGTTTTTTAAGCTTTAATAGCTGGATTGCATTTTGCAAAAAGGAACCACTAGCATTGCAATGATGCTAAGATTGTGCAATTTCATCTTTTGCAATAAAATTGCGGAGATCGTGAAAAACTATGAAATTTAGATGGTAATTTTTGTCTTAAAGTTACAGTTTTTAGCAAGTAAAATAGAAACTATGAATGGATAATCGGGTTTTTCCTCCGAGACAAAAGAAGTTGCACAATCTTGGCAACATTGCAATGCTAGTGGTTCCTTTTTGCAAAATGCAATCCAGCTGATACTTCGTTAAAAGATTGCTATATTTAGAAAATAAGTTAGCATTGGTGAATTTGAAACACTATAAGTTGTTGGAGGGAAAACAGCAAATGAATCTTGAAACAGAGTGAAATCTTTCCATGTTATTAGTATTGTACTGAAAAAATTTAATTATTCCTTTTCGACACCACTTCAAAACTTACGAGGAACCTGAAGCGTTAGTCGGACCAGGGGTGCAGAAATTTTGCGGCCTTCACATATTTCAAGGATACCTTCATATTGCTGAGCACATGAGACTCTCTTCTCATCACATACATTGCTGTCGACATAAGACTGTGTACTTGACTATTTTCGTTGCATAATTCCAACAATTCATGGTTTCCTTAGCAAAAATGAATGCGCTTAGAGATTTCTATTTGAAAGAATAACGCGTTTAGTAGTTTCATCCACAAAAAGCAGCACTGCCTATACATTTTTTTCCCTTTTCAGATGCCCCCAATTAAAAAACCCCTTTTTGGCCGCCTTCACATTTTCATTGCAACGGAACTCAACTGGAGAGTTTGCTTGGTCGCAACAGTTTTGCACCCTTGATTTGGACAGATTTGACTAGAGTCAGCCTAACTTATCAAATGTTGCCAAATGTTTTTTGATGTTTTATTTATAAATAGGAAACTAAGAAACACTGAAACTTGAGATTTTGTAAAGGTATTCTTCATAATCTAGGGTAAACCCATAGAATGTTCAGATGCGTTAAAAGGTACAGTTCAATATTAGAAAAACAAAACGTGAAAGAAAATTCGGCAAGATGAAATACAATAAAGCTGTTTCCAGTTAAAGCTGTCCATTTTACCTGTTGTATCTGAGTGATCTCTTTTCCATTCTAAACGACATAAAAGTGAAGTAAAGCAGGTGACTTACTCGCTTTTGCACAGTTTCAACCAGCTTGCATGGTATAAGTCTGGATTTGATTTTTCCATCGTACGTTCTAGATTTTCTGCATCAACAAACTTTAAAAGACATAAGTCCATGAGTGAAGATCAGAGAGGAAAATAAAAAACTAAAAAGTTTGAGCAACATCAGACAATTTTTGGATGAAAAAAGGCTCAGGCTCAGCCACAGATCTAAGAAAAAGAGAATTGATGAAAAGATACATGGAATTGTTGCGTTTTCTATTCATAGTATCAGAATTATTATAAGGCGTCAATTTATTGGATTTTACAGGATTGAAAAGTCAATCTTTTAAAGCTCGGAATCCGTCGGAGTGTGATTTGATAAATTGAGGTCTTACTGTAAATATACGTCTGCAAATGAAGGTGCAGACCATTAATTAAAGTGATTCAATTTTCTACAAGACGAATTTCCATTGGTATCTTTAAATCTTGCTTCACTTGCTACCAATATCCTGCATACGTCTCCTTATAAAGCCAAGTAAATAAGGCAAGATGAAAAGGCTACAAAACACTTTTACCGCTAATTGCTGCGTCTTGGAAACATCCATGCTACAAAATTCATTACTAGATTCATTGTGCACTCAAAGGTAGCGGACCACTAGATGAGGTACAAGATAAAGCATTCTGATACACATTTCCTGTGTAAAATTTTACATAGAACTTTATTCAGGCAATGAAAATTGCTGAGGTTAACTCCTAAAGGAGCTATTCAACACTTTTTGATGCATGAACTTAAACCCATCGCTCATTCTATAAAAAATTATTGAGACTCAATTAATGTCAAAAGGAGCTAGGTCCCCTGATCAGACAGAGTGAAAAGATGCTAATTATTACCTGAATACTAATTTTATAGTTAGCAGCCAGCGCAGCGTGCTCCAAAGCTTTAATTACAGATGAGTAAGCATCGTGCAACTTAATGTACTTCCCGACCAGAGCTATCTTCAATTCCTGACGCACTGTTTCTAATCTAAAAGGGTGAAGTATCAAATTAGGAGACATTTTAAGGTTTCATGTACATGTTGGTAAAAAAAATTGACATGATTTAAAATACAGTATTCTCTCTTAATAAGGAAAATTTCTTTATAACAAAATGATCATCCAGTCTCTTGAACTTCTAATGTTAATTATTGTTCTACATTGGAAGAAACATTCCTCAATGATTAAAAAAAAATCGGTCCTTATACACTTAGTGACAGAGAGAAAGCTGTGTCTAAATTTGTGGTGTGAAAAGCTGAGGCAAGTGTTTAAGTGGCCACCGTTGTGAAGATTGTGCACTTGGATATTGCAATATTTCGATGAATCTGTTTCAGCATTAATAAGAAACTGAGCAAATGAAAGAGTTAAGTAGGTAATATTATTGTGATTTCGATTGACACCAGATTAAAGAGTAGAAATTTTAATACGTCAAGTAGTCCATAAAAAGTTTTAAGTCATGTTGTGGAGCTGATAATTGAGTTCTTGAGGAAGTTCATTGCAAACTTTACTTCCGGACAAGTTTAGTTTAAAATCACCATAATCTTATTGTCGTAAGAGCTGTTATTCATCTCCATTATTGTCGGCCTCCTATGGTGTAGTGATTGTAGCGCTAGCTCTATGATCAGGAGGTCCCGGCTTCAATTCCCGGCCAGGCAACCCAAGTTTGATGGTCTCAAATAATGGTTGCCTGGGACTGGTTGTAGGGACGGACAGGGGACGGGACTGAAGCGCAAAGATTAGCCCTTGTGGGCTATTTAAAGTAGTTAAAAAAAAAAAAAAAAAATTACTGGAGGCTTTAATTTAGTTTCATCAAAAACCAAAGAACGAGGTTTGTGATGCTACTGGGACTGACATTTTGGTTTTTTAAACCTAAATTTTACAGAAAAATGTGGTGAGAAATTAAGGATATTAATTGATAACCTCATTAATTTAGGGTGGACCTCTTGAAAGTTGGTTAACGAGTGTTTCAAAATTTTAAAAACAAACCAAGATCTTCATCGATATGCTGTGAAAGAAATAGGAAAAGCCTGAAATTCTGCCAAATGGTGTGGATTGATTGTTCCGTGCAAAACTAAACTTAAACAAGACGTCCTTAACAATATACACTAACACAGTGGATACTTGATTTTTTAATATCTTAGCATATTACACTTTAGACCCCAAAAAATTCTGGTTAGTACACTATTATTGTGGTTAACATTCTGCGGTGAAATATTGGGTAAATTTTCTTGATTGAGCATGGGAAACTGACAAAATTTTAAAATTTAATAGTGCATAGCTCTTTGTTTTCTAAGTAAAGTATACAGACAGGTTTTCAATGTCTCAACTGAGGGTATCGATGGCAAAAGTGCGAAACTACGTACCTACATGTGCGATGCAGACTTTTTGTCGTACTTCATCTTTTCTTTTATTTTTTTTAACTGGTCAGCATAATTTCTTGAAAACTGCCTTGGTTTTGCTTCTCTAATATCAGAATATTCTGTATGAATTTTAAGCTATGAGATTGCCTTGGTTTTCTTGGAAAAAATAAAATATGGGGAGAAATTACGACACATCGAAATTAAGATACAAGGTACAACGATCTCGCACTTTGGCAATCGATAAGTTTCCCTGATTTCTCTATTTGAATGCGATACAATGAATGGAGGAGCCCTCATTTTGAGATAAAAGGTACTCCTCAAGCCTTAGAATGATGGTGTTTTGACGAGAGAATTTACATGCTAATAATTTCACTTACTTTTCAACCAGAGTGTGCCAATTCTGCATGAAATTTCTGGGAGGAGGTAAATTGAAAGTCAAGCCGAGCCGTTTATGAAAATACTGGACCAGACCCTGTTTTTCCATCATTAAGGGAACGTAGTAGATAGAACTTTGATCATGCAAGCAGACAACCTGTTAAGTACAAGTACCAAAATGAAACGTACTTTGAATTGAGGAGACAGGTTTTCTTTTGATGCTTTTCTGTTGAATTTGGATCATACAGGAGATAATGGATGTTAGATGACAAAAACAATGAGAAAACTTTTCAACGTATACTCGACCTCTGACAGTAAAAAAATAATGATAATAGTAAACGCAGCGTGACTCTTTTTTCTGATCAGATTGCAAAAACCTCAAAGATAAGACCTGTATTGCCAAGCTGAGGAAAAACGCTGTATGAACATCCGAGAGGTGCCAAATTTCTTCCGATCAAATATTCATAATTAAGGAGAGTTATGAATATTTTTTTTCAAATTTTCAGATAATTTGGATTTGATTCCAAAAAAAATTCTCTGAAAAATCGGAGGAAAAATGTTCACAGATTCCTTTCAAAAATCATATTGTATCAAAGGAAGTTCTGCACTTCTACAGCATAAAAAAGGCTTATATGGGGTTCTTCCTTAGTACAACAGTGTAATACTTACTCTTTCGGCAGTTTTTTTCAATTGATTACTTTTGGACAAGCTTTTTCAGGTATTTTAAAATTTTCGGACAATTCTGTTTTACATGTTCCTGGCAAACATAAAAATACTAAGCAAAAGAAAAAAGACTAGGAAGTTACGAAAAAAAATCTACCTCATCTATGCCAACATTGCAGAAATCAGATATTTTTTCTTTCACAGGCTGCGGAATGGGTTGCTCACTTCGGCACACAAGCAAATCAGGCAACAGACCACAATCTTGAAGCTCCTTGACGCTCTGGCGAGTGGGTCTTGTTTTCTGCTCCATCGTGGCGTGAGGCTGTAAAGAAAGTTCCATGAGTATATAGATATATTTTATACATTAATGACAATGGTAAATACATTAATGGAGGATGATTTGGTATTGTAAACTTACTTGGGCGTATCTATGCTAAAAGGAACTATTTTGTACGCAAACCCATGCACACAGTTCCTTTCGACATAAAGACATCCAATTAAAAGCCAAGGAGCACTGATAGCTTTACGCTGATATCAACATGTTCACTACCAAGGTAAGCGTTTACATCGCATATGAGGAGCAGTACGGAAAAAGTCAAATTGAAGTAGGTATACTTTTAAACAGGAATTCTTTCCTACTGAGGGTTCTTACACATCAAAGGGGCTTTATTTTGCAATTAGGAACTACAATTTCTGGATAATCAATAAACACTTCTGGGCGTAAGGAAACTAATGGTGCATATTTTGTCTCTAAATTAAGCCAAAAATTGCAGTTCCTAATTGCAAAATGTAGTCAAGATGGTATGAAAAAAACTGCTTGATGCAAGTTATAGCAAAGAAAGTAAATGGATCATGGGTTCTAACCATCATTTCTTTACAAAGAAAAAAAAAGAATGTTATTCAAACACAGAAATTTTTAGATTTAAACTTATTTACTGAAGGGAGACAGTCAAATAGCTTCATAATTGATATCAAATAAAACATATTTTAAAAAAAAGAATATGAGTAAGGCTTTTGAAAAATGTGGTCCTTTCACATAATAACCTGTGGTCCTTCCACCTGTGGTTTTTCTGTGGTCCTCTTAAACATACAACGCAGAAATTGAAACTATACAACAAGTTAAACAACAGTTACTTTAAGAGTCCAAACCCTGGAATCAAGATAGATATAGAGGGCAAAAAACACTTGGAACGCCAAAAAGCTCATTTGATCTCAAAACACTATTTTGCTGATCATGATAGAGTAATGGGCTTTTACAGGAGTATACAGACTTTGAGGCACCAGACAACATGTCTCAGTTTGCGATGTTGCAGAATTTCTGTCATACTTTGTTCTTTAAATGGAGAACTACTCAACGTCCATTCATGAAAACTTCCGTGTTTTTTCTTCTATGTACAAAGAAAAAGCAGAGAAATTTCAAGAAATGCTTTTGATTTCCTCTCCTTCGAAAGAGAAAAAAAAAATGGAGGCGGATTTTCAAGCACTGCAAAAGAGATATATGGTCAGGTAGTTTCATTGTAGATAAATAGTCTTAGTGCAGTGCAGATGAAAAGACACTTTTTAGTCCTTGTCAAATGGCATAAGGTAAATTAGACTCCTCAAATAAAAATGATGATTCAAGTGGCATAATTTCAGGACATCCATAGGCTTAAATTTATATTCACTGACCGATTTCCCATCAGGTACCAGAGATCATGTCAAAATTTAATACAATCAAGTCGAGGAAAGTTAAAGCACTTACTTGTGGAACATAAGACACATGGGCGACGCAAAAACTATCATGATTCTTGCGTGAGAAGGGGCGAAAAGCTTCAGTGAAAGGTCTACCTTCTATGTCACCCACTGTCCCTCCTAACTCTACGATGCAAACTTCAGGTATGGAACCAGGTGAGTCATCATCCCAACTGTTCTTGACCGGTCGTGAAGCAACTTTTTCGACCCATTCAATGATGGCGTTCGTTATATGCGGCACAACTAATCAAAGTAATACAGGCATATTAGACGACTAACAGAAAAAATCCCCTTTGGTGGCTGCTCAAGAATGCATCAAATTATTCTAAAATTTTGACACATATTAGAAATTCAGGACACAACTTGAGAAATGAGAATATTAGAATCCAAAGGTTGAATCTTCCGACTTAAGTTGTCCAAAGTTATTGTTGAAAAAATTATGCCACAAAAGAGGGCCAGGGCTTCCACTGGTACTTGTTTACAGGGGTGCAGAAAATGCCCAATCACACGCCCGGGCGGGCGTCTGAAGATGTGGATAAGCCCCCAAAATATGGCAGGAGGGAAAATTTGGAAGGGCTACCGGTCAAAAGTCAAAGAAAAACAAAGAAAAAGTTCATATTTTTTAACTTGGTGGGAAAGTGGGAAACCGACGAAAAAAGATGCGGAAAGCCCACGGGCGGGTGCGTGAAATTGTGGAAGCTTGGAAGATTCTGCACTCCTGCTCGTTCACACTGGGACTTATCTTGGAAAGTCCCTGGAAAATCAGGTAAACAAACATTGAAACTATGTAAATGGCAACACTGTGAGATTGAGCAAACTCCTCAACAGGACCCAGTATTCAGAACGCAGAGAGCAATTCTATGCACTATTGTTGCTATTCTACCCCTATTCACCTCAAAATTCTTACTAGAGGCATTTCACAAGAAACATTGTTCTTTGGTGTAAATTTGGCAATTTTTATAGAACAGTAAAATGGGAAATTAAATGTAAAGGGCTTTTTTTTAAGCGGATCGCAGTGGAACACGTTGGATCGCGATGAACGTCGGTATTTTTTGATTCCGTTCCTCAGCGTGATCCAAGCGTTCCAGGTGGATCAGGGTGGAACGCCGGATCGCTCTTCCGAGGTGGGGCGAGCTCGCGATCTACTGTGATCCTAACCTAATGCGAGGAAGTTGCCGTCCCCAAAAATTCAAAACAATAACAAATCGAACCAAATTCCAAGTTTGGATTTTTTTATCACTTGGAACACTTGGATCGGTCCGGATCGCTCAGGATTCCGATCCAGTGCGTTCCACTGCGATCCAACCTGATCCGCGATAAAAAAAAGCCCTAAGGAGAGGTGACTCCAGATAAGTTGACCATTGTTTACTTTCAGTTTGCATGTGCAGATGACGAATTTAGGCCTCTGCACAGACCGCCTACTATCCGCTACTATCCACGTTGAAAGCATTTGTCTCATGATTGCATCGTAAAAACACTACTAATCAATTGTGATTCATGACTTTGATGTGGTTGCTACATCTGTGTGGCTGAAAATTGAAGTGATACAAGGTTCGAAGGCATTATATAACCTATCCAAGCTTGTGTTCTCGGTCCTTTGAGAGTTAGATGTTATCATGTGGACAGTAGTGAAGCGAAAACGCCTGCAAATCGAAAGTAAACGATGGCCAACTTATCTGACGACACCTCTGAGAGGGTTCTACAATCTTGAGGCTTAGCATTGTTACACAAGCTTGAAACTTGGTCCAGGTTGGGGTGACGCAGCTGCAAGCTTTCTTAAGAAATACCTGCACCTCAGAGATCTTCTAAAATGGGCCCTGGAATAGAGGGAAAATCTGAGCAATGTCTGGCAAATTGATGCGTCTTATTTAAAATTGTACATAATAGAAAACTTTAACAATTACCTGTTCAGGTAAGCTCAATCTTCTGACATGGCATAATGCCCTTACCTTGAACAGTTTTCCCGAGATATTCTCCTTTTCTTTCTCGATTGATTACTTGCTGATAGATTTTTCCTGTCGTTATGCTGTTGTCTTTATCTAAGGTAATGTCCAAGAAACGTTCGTAGTTTCCTAAATCTAAGTCGACCTCTCCTCCATCGTCTAGGACATAGACTTCACCTGAAATAAATCCATGGGACACTTTAAAATAATGAGAAGGAGGAACAATAAAATCTTATATTAGAGAATAAGTCAGGTAAGTACTTGGTCACCAAACATTTTCCATCTGATCTAAAGTTCCTTGTAAACCTGAGATTTCAAAAATTATAAATCCTGATACGTTTAAAAGCTAAGGATGATGGCAACATGACAGACTTCATTTGATGGAGAAAATGAGACTGCATACTTCCTCTTAGAGCATTCAGTCTTGACATGATAAACCTTTCATTAGATGACAAGGACAGGAGTGCAAATAGTGGCATTCGGCTGAGCATCTCTCACTATTGGGGTTTTTTCCTCATTCACTTCAGGAAATTTTACTCCTTCCCAAATTTGTCTGAGTTCACTCTTTACTCGCCTCTTCACTTTTGAGAATTTGCTCGAAATGTGTCCGGAAAATATCGTTACTTCTTCACTTAGCGCCATTTTGCTTGGGCAACATTATACGATCGTCACCTTCCCGCCAAAATACGCAAGCGCCATGCAATGTATTAACATTATGGCCACCATTTAATATATTTACGGAGAAATGGTTCAACAAAGCTGTTCGAAAAATTTCACTGAATTTTATCGGCAGCACAAAGAAAATTCAGTGAAATTTATGGACAGCTTTGTTGGACAATTTTTCTGAAAAAAATAGAATGGCTGCCAAAAATTCTTAAACATCGCATGGCGCTTGTGATTCTTTGGCCAGCAGGTGACAAGATTTCCATGAGAGTTTTGAAAGTTGAAAAATAAGCAGGGCAGATTTCGCTGAATTTACGTTTGGAAAATTAAATGTAAATAAACACGGAAGAAACCCGCAGACAGCCATGCAACATAGGGGGGCGGGTCCTCAGATAATTCTCCGAGTTTTCCGATCAACGATCCTTTGACAAACTCGTGGTGAGTTTCGCAACGCACCTAATGACGGAGTTGTAGCAGAAGAATGTGAGAATCGGACAATGCACATTAAATGTCGACTTAGGAAAAGATTAAATTACCCAGGTGAATAGATCACTGCGGTATCTTACCATGCTCATACGGAGAGAAGGTACCAGCATCAATGTTGATGTAGGGGTCAATCTTGATGGCAGTTACATGGATACCGCAGGACTTCAGAATCGTACCGAAAGAACTGGCTACCACTCCTTTGCCCACACCACTGATGACACCTCCAGTTACTAGAATGTACTTCATCCTCTTGAATAACGGCAACGCAAGTAAGCAAAGGAATAGTGAAGGCTTCGAAAAATTGATAGGACAGCGGCAAAACGTAAGAGGACACGGACTCACGAGTCACAGAGAACGTAGACACAATCAGTTGCTGACATGTAAACTGTGCGAAAATTCAACGATACTACCATTAAAACGTGAAAATACGGCACTCCAAGAGTGAGAATCTAAATTTCGTAAATTTTCAGCCACAGTGAATGACAACGAGATTGAATGAAACCGACTCACGTGGGATTCGTATCGTAAGTTGCAACGATCGCCTGGAGAGTGGAGAGGGATGGACGAATATCGAAATTGAATGCGATTATAGACGCTATTAGTGCAACGTCACAGAAAAGCGATATCTATCGATTTTTCCGCATTGGTAGCATTGAAAGAGGTTACGCCAATGATATTGTTTGGTTCCAATTCGATATAATGGAGAATCCCTATGATGACGTCGCCACTAATAGCGTCTATTACGATTGTTTAAGAAATCGAATCTTGCGATTTCAGATACACCTTGAGTGCGCAAGCTCCTGGCAAGCTCTCAAAAAAAAAAACGCTGAAAAAAGGGTGCAACCGCTCTCAGAGGGTCGCGGGGGAACGCCATGCGCCTGCTTTGCCGGAAAAACAACGCAAGTCCCGCCTGGCGATTTTCTTTCTCTCTCGCACTTATACGCGAGACGCTTGGCTATTTTCTATCTCTCTCGCACACTTAGGCGAGCTGCCTGGCTGTATTCTGTCTCTCTCGCACACCCAGGCGAGTGAGGGTAGGTTGCAACCACTCTCAGAGGGTCGCGGAGAAACGCCATGCGCCTGCTTTGCCGGAAAAACAACGCAAGTCCCGCCTGGCAATTTTCTTTCTTTCTCGCACTTATACGCGAGACGCTTGGCTATTTTCTATCTCTCTCGCACACTAAGGCGAGCTGCCTGGCTGTTTTCTGTCTCTCTCGCACAACCAGGCGAGTGAGGGTAGGGTAAAACCACTCTCAGAGAGTCGCGGGGGAACGCCAAGCGATTTTCTTTCTCTCTCGCACTTATACGCGAGACGCTTGGCTGATTTCTATCCCTCTCGCACACTGAGGCGAGCTGCCTGGCTGTTTTCGGTCTCTCTCGCACACCCAAGCGAGTGAGGGTAGGCTTCAACCACTGTCAGAGGGTCGCGGGGGAACGCCATGCGATTTTCTTTCTCTCTCGCACTTATACGCGAGACGCTTGGGTATTTTCTATCTCTCTCGCACACTTAGGCAAGCTGCCTGGCTGTTTTCTGTCTCTCTCGCACACCCAGGCGAGTGAGGGTAGGGTTCAACAGGTCTCAGAGGGTCGCGGGGGAACGCAATGCGCCTGCTTTGCCGGAAAAACAACGCAAGTCACGCCTGGCGATTTTCCTTCTCTCTCGCACGTATACGCGAGACGCTTGGCTTTTCTCTATCTCTCTCGCACACTTAGGTGAGCTGCCTGGCTGTTTTCTTTCTCTCTCGCACTTATACGCGAGACGCTTGGCTATTTTCTATCTCTCTCGCACACTTAGGCGAGCTGCCTGGCTGTTTTCTGTCTCTCTCCCACACCCAGGCGAGTAAAGGTAGGGTGCAACCATACTCAGAGGGTCGCGGGGGAACGCCATGCGATTTTCTATCTCCCTCGCACACTTGGGCGAGCTGCCTGGCAGTTTTCTGTCTCTCTCGCACACCCAGGCGAGTGAGAGTAGGGTGCAACCGCTCTCAGAGGGTCGCGGGGGAACGCCATGCGCCTGCTTTGCCGGAAAAACAGCGCAAGTCCCGCCTGGCGATTTTCTTTCTCTCTCGCACTTATACGCGAGACGCTTGGCTATTTTCTATCTCTCTCGCACACTAAGGTGAGCTGCCTGGCTGTTTTCTGTCTCTCTCGCACACCCAGGCGAGTGAGGGTAGGGTGCAACCACTCACAGAGGGTCGCGGGGGAACGCCATGCGATTTTCTTTCTCTCTCGCACTTATACGCGAGACGCTTGGCTATTTTCTATCTCTCTCGCACACTTAGGCGAGCTGCCTGGCTGTTTTTTGTCTCTCTCCCACACCCAGGCGAGTAAGGGTAGGGTGCAACCGCTCTCAGAGGGTCGCGGGGGAACGCCATGCGCCTGCTTTGCCGGAAAAACAGCGCAAGTCCCGCCTGGCGATTTTCTTTCTCTCTGGCACTTATACGCGAGGCGCTTTGCTATTTTCTATCTCTCCCGCACACTAAGGTGAGCTGCCTGGCGGTTTTCTGTCTCTCTCGCACGAACAGGCGAGTGAGGGTAGGGTGCAACCACTCTCAGAGGGTCGCGGGGGAACGCCATGCGATTTTCTTTCTCTCTCGCACTTACACGCGAGACGCTTGGCTATTTTCTATCCCTCTCGCACACTTAGGCGAGCTGCCTGGCTGTTTTCTGTCTCTCTCGCACACCCACGCGAGTGAGTGTAGGGTGCAACCGCTCTCAGAGGGTCGCGGGGGAACGCCATGCGCCTGCTTTGCCGGAAAAACATCGCAAGTCCCGCCTGGCGATTTTCTTTCTCTCTCGCACTTATACGCGAGATGCTTGGGTATTTTCTATCTCTCTCGCACACTTAGGCGAGCTGCCTGGCTGTTTTCTGTCTCCCTCGCACACCCAGGCGAGTCAGGGTAGGGTGCAACAGGTCTCTGAAGGTCGCGGGGGAACGCCATGCGCCTGCTATGCCGGAAAAACAACGCAAGTCACGCCTGGCGAGTTTCCTTCTCTCTCGCACGTATACGCGAGACGCTTGGCTTTTCTCTATCTCTCTCGCACACTTAGGTGAGCTGCCTGCCTGATTTCTGTCTCTCTCGCACACCCAGGCGAGTGATGGTAGGGTGCAACCGCTCTCAGAGGGTCGCGGGGAAACGCCATGCTATTTTCTTTCTCTCTCGCACTTACACGCGAGACGCTTGGCTATTTTCTATCTCTCTCGCACACTTAGGCGAGCTGCCTGGCTGTTTTCTGTCTCTCTCGCACCCCCAGGCGAGTCAGGGTAGGGTGCAACAGGTCTCAGAGCGTCGCGGGGGAACGCCATGCGCCTGCTTTGCCGGAAAAACAACGCAAGTCACGCCTGGCGATTTTCTTTTTCTCTCGCACGTATACGCGAGACGCTTGGCTTTTCTCTATCTCTCTCGCACACTTAGATGAGCTGCCTGGCTGTTTTCTGTCTCTCTCGCACACCCAGGCGAGTGAGGGTAGGGTGCAACCGCTCTCAGAGGGTCGCGGGGGAACGCCATGCGATTTTCTTTCTCTCTCGCACTTACATGCGAGACGCTTGGCTATTTTCTATCTCTCTCGCACACTTAGGCGAGCTGCCTGGCTGTTTTCTGTCTCTCTCGCACACCCAGGCGAGTGAGGGTAGGGTGCAACCGCTCTCAGAGGGTCGCGTGGGAACGCCATGCGATTTTCTTTCTCTCTCGCACTTATACGCGGGACGCTTGGCTATTTTCTATCTCTTTCGCACACTGTGGCGAGCTGCCTGGCTGTTTTCTGTCTCTCTCGCACACCCAGGCGAGTGAGGGTAGGCTGTAACCATACTCAGAGGGTCGCGGGGGAACGCCATGCGACTTTCTTTCTCTCTCGCACTTAAACGCGAGACGCTTGGCTATTTTCTATCTCTCTCGCACACTTAGGCGAGCTGCCTGGTTGTTTTTTGTCTCTCTCGCACACCCAGGCGAGTGAGGGTAGGGTGCAACCGCTCTCAGAGGGTCGCGGGGGAACGCCATGCGCCTGCTTTGCCGGAAAAACAACGCAAGTCCCGCCTGGCGATTTTCTTTCTCTCTCCCACTTATACGCGAGACGCTTGGTTATTTTCTATCTCTCTCGCACACTAAGGTGAGCTGCCTGGCTGTTTTCTGTCTCTCTCGCACCAACAGGCGAGTGAGGGTAGGGTGCAACCACTCTCAGAGGGTCGCGGGGGAACGCCATGCGATTTTCTTTCTCTCTCGCACTTATACGCGAGATGCTTGGGTATTTTCTATCTCTCTCGCACACTTAGGCGAGCTGCCTGGCTGTTTTCTGTCTCCCTCGCACACCCAGGCGAGTCAGGGTAGGGTGCAACAGGTCTCAGAAGGTCGCGGGGGAACGCCATGCGCCTGCTATGCCGGAAAAACAACGCAAGTCCCGCCTGGCGATTTTCTTTCTCTCTCCCACTTATACGCGAGACGCTTGGTTATTTTCTATCTCTCTCGCACACTAAGGTGAGCTGCCTGGCTGTTTTCTGTCTCTCTCGCACCAACAGGCGAGTGAGGGTAGGGTGCAACCACTCTCAGAGGGTCGCGGGGGAACGCCATGCGATTTTCTTTCTCTCTCGCACTAATACGCGAGACGCTTGGCAATGTTCTATCTCTCTCGCACACTTAGGCGAGCTGCCTGGCTGTTTTCTGTCTCTCTCGCACACCCAGGCGAGTGAGGGTAGGGCGCAACCACTCACAGAGGGTCGCGGGGGAACGCCATGCGATTTTCTTTCTCTCTCGCACTTATACGCGAGACGCTTGGCTGTTTTCTATCTTTCTCGCACACTGAGGCGAGCTACCTGGCTGTTTCCTGTCTCTCTCGCACACCAAGGCGAGTGAGGGTATGGTGCAACCACTCTCAGAGGGTCGCGGGGTAACGCCATGCGATTTTCTTTCTCTCTCGCACTTATACGCGGGACGCTTGGCTATTTTCTATCTCTCTCGCACACTTAGGCGAGCTGCCTGGCTGTTTTCTGTCTCTCTCGCACACCCAGGCGAGTGAGGGTAGGGTGCAACCACTCACAGAGGGTTGCGGGGGAACGCCATTCGATTTTCTTTCTCTCTCGCACTTAAACGCGAGACGCTTGGCTATCTTCTATCTCTCTCGCACACTTAGGCGAGCTGCCTGGCTGTTTTTTGTCTCTCTCGCACACCCAGGCGAGTGAGGGTATGGTGCAACCACTGTCAGAGGGTCGCGGGGGAACGCCATGCGCCTGCTTTGCCGGAAAAACAACGCAAGTCCCGCCTGGCGATTTTCTTTCTCTCTCGCACTTATACGCGAGACGCTTGGCTATTTTCTATCTCTCTCGCACACTTAGGCGAGCTGCCTGGCTGTTTTCTGTCTCTCTCGCACGAACAGGCGTGTGAGGGTAGGGTGCAACCGCTCTCAGAGGGTCGCGGGGGAACGCCATGCGATTTTCTTTCTCTCTCGCACTTACACGCGAGACGCTTGGCTTTTTTCTATCTCTCTCGCACAATTAGGCGAGCTGCCTGGCTGTTTTCTGTCTCTCTCGCACACCCAGGCGAGTGAGGGTAGGGTGCAATCACTCTCAGAGGGCCGCGGGGGAACGCCATGCGATTTTCTTTCTTTCTCGCACCTATACGCGAGACGCTTGGCTATTTTCTATCTCTCTCGCACACTTAGGCGAGCTGTCTGGCTGGTTTCTGTCTCTCTCGCACACCCAGCCGCGTGAAGGTAGGGTGCAATCGCTCTCAGAGGGTCGCGGGGGAACGCGATGCTGCTTTAACGGAAAAACCACCCAAGTCCCGCCTGGCTATTTGCTGTCTCTCTCGGACTTATACGCTTCCTACCTGGGCGATTTTCTGTCTCTCTCGCACTGGAAACGGGGCAACCGAGGGTGCAACCACTCTCGGAGGGTCGCGGGGGAACGCGATGCTGCTTTGACGGAAAAACCACCCAAGTCCCGCCTGGCTGTTTTCTGTCTCTGTCGCACACATGAGCGGGCCGACCCGCCAAATTTGAATTGGACGAGTTATTTGAGGTTATGTCATTGTTATCTGTTATCCTTATCAATTCATATTCAATCGGCTCGTGTCGTCGCGTCCTATGCCTATCTATGCGTCATATTCATTACCATTATATTGGTTTTCTGCATGACAGTCACTGACTTTTCGGAAGTTAAAATTATGTTAGACTTTTGCTTGGGAAGATGAGATCGTTAGTCAATTATCTCTAATTTTCCTCAATTTTCACACCACCTTCCTAGTTCCTGACAGTGATGGGCTCAGCGGAGGTATATGCTTTTTTGACCTTTATTTCCTAGCTCTTACCGGCGCCAGTAGGGACGGTCGAATATTTAGATATTTGATATTTAAATCATCGGCATGGAGGTAATGGCATCACATTCAAATATTCGCTGCCGAAGTATTCGAAATCGCCAATTCGAATATTCGAATAATCGTCGTCAAAAGTGTCATTTTATCTCTCATGGTTCTTAAAAAATCAAATATCGAAGCAAGAATCGAAAATATTCGAATATTTGCATCAGGACTATTCTCAATTGCATGATTCGAATTATCAAATATACGCAATAATCGTATTCGAAAAGTTTCGAATTTGATATTCGTCCATTCCCAGCCACTAGTACATTTCATTTTCATCGACAGCAAACAGACCCTCTTTAGTTGGGGCTTATGCACAACAGAAGTTCTTTCTTTTAATTTTAGTTGTGTTGTTCTCAGCAAGATTTAATGTTGAAAGTCGCAGGATGATGTAAGAAAATTGACCAGAACCGAATCATACAGTTGCTGTGTTACGCCAGCGTTGATAGTATCTATACAGACTCAGAGTGAGACTGCTGCTGCTAGCAACTTAGCAGTCCTTGGATCGGTCAGCAACTCGAGGGGCATCTACTTCTCAATGGCACTATGTGGTAGACGGGTTTTTCATCAGTAGTTCACTAACGGTCTGTTGGGAGCACTGGACGACTAGATAGGCAATTTGACAAGATAAACAGGACAATTCCCAGTAACTTTAGTTATTACATCAGATGTACGAAGCTTGTCTTTTCCGGTTGACACAAGACTGGTTTTGTTCAATCTTCCTCTCACAGCTTTTCTTGTGTTGTGGTTGATAAGCCTAAATCACTCAGCTACTAAAAGTAGAACAAATTGTTGTAGTTTCTTAAGGATTTGGCCTTTAGAGATGGATAGATAATTTTCTTATTCAGAGTATTACATGTTAAAAAACAACATTATTGACACTTCACAGATGGTGCCAAGAGGAAAAAACCTTGTGCTGCACAAGTAGCAAATCCAGTAGTATTTTTGTAATTACTTAAGTGTGAATGTCACACATTTTGTTAAATTTCTATTTTAAAAGATATGTTATGACTGTAATCGGGCAAAACAGCTGCTAAATAATTATGCCGTGTATGAATCAGCAAGCTTTGGGTAACTACAGTATGCTCTTTTCAATCTCAGTAATGAGTTGAAGGGTTTCTTTTCGTTGAATTTCTCATTTTGTTTGTTCTTCGCAGGATTTCAATGAAGCAATTCTGAGAGGAGGAGACTTTGCCAATCTGGACATCATCCAGAAAGAGTTAAACAATTGTTTGGCAAGAATGAAAGTGGAAGGTAACTATTAGTACTGACTTTCATGCATTTTTTTTACTGAATATTTTCTAACAATGGACCACTAGACAAGGCACGAATTTCAGCATTCTGATACATTTTTCTTAACAAAAATTTCACCTAAAACACGATGCGCATAACTTAAATGACCGAAATCGACTTATTGCGAAGATATTTAATGATTCTTGATGCGTGAATTCAAACCACCTGCTCATGAAAACTCAATGCTCCACTTGACTCACATCGCGCGCTAAGTGTTATCATGACAGTCTCTGCGATATAAAAATCCGGCAACCTCAACCTTGACGCTTTGGCTTAGCTATGGCAAGTTGCTTATAGTTTGAACAACAAATGGTGGGAAATGAACATTGCTCGATTGAGAAGCTTGCTGAAACCGTTGTAGTGCGCGATTTGACTCACGTAGAGCTTTGAATTTCTTGTGAGCGGGCAGTTCAAATTCCTCGTGACCAATGTGAAATTAAAACGTTAATAACTTCGTTAGAAGTTTATTTCAGTAATTTTCGTTGTGCGAATCGTGTTTTACGTGAAATTCTGGTCAATAAACATGTATTGGAATGCTTAAATATGTAACTTGTCTAGTGGTCCATTAACTAATTTCTCAACAAAAAGGCGTAGGAAAGACTTTTTTTTTTTTTTAAGACCAAAAGGTCCAAGGCTTTAAATCAAGTATGCTTTTGGTAGTGTACTCTTGTGTATTTCCATAAAGGTATTAATACAACCTAGGGTGCGCTTAGGATATTTTGGTGAAACGATAGGCAACCTGGATCGCATGTGGTACCATCCAGCTGTCTCTTGGTCCCTGGTCCAGCTATTCTGCCAGCAGCCGTGAGTGCCATTGAATTTCTGCAAATGCAAACCACCCCCAGGCAAAATAGACGAGCAGCCGCACTCCTACAATAAGTGTCATATGTTACTACATGCATATCAACAGTTTTTGAAACACACGCCGGCCAAACAGCAATTTACCGGTAAGAAATCGCCTTTGGCCGCTAAGAAATGAGACTAGCGGTCAAGTCTTGGCAGCTAAGAAAATTGTTGTTAATCTCCGTTTTTGGGATTTTTCGGCGCATTCTGCAAGGTGCCACATCGTGTCGGGCTATCAATTCTTCCTCTCCGTCTTTGTCAAGTTTTGTGACACATTACTGGTCTTGTCGTATCATTATTGTGTGGAAAGAGGGAGGGGAAGCTCAGTAGGCCGTGCTGCCTCTGGCTGCGGTTGGCTGGCGACTGACTGGCGGCTCCCTCTCTTCTCCTGTCACCAGCAAAACAAAGCGAAAAGTTGCCCAATAGCCCAATAAACTAGTCCAATATGCCACACCTACGCCTACATCTCCTACTGCCTCTCCCACAATTCAGGAAAAAAAATTAAATCTAAAACATGAGTTAAAAAATTAAAAATTAAATGTAAGCAATTTTTAAGACCTAATCAATTTAAATGATTAAGTACCTCTTGACTCATGTTTTTCTGGCAACCTCTGAGCTATTTAAGGGCTAACTGACATTGTGAAGATAGACTGATGCTGAAAGAGAGAGATAAAGAAAATAGTAGTTTTGTATTTGGCCTCAACATATATGGCATTGGGGTATTCCGAACTCCTGGCATTTTGAAAGGGCAATTTTTCATTTCGGCTAAAAATTTGCAGGCCAGATGGTTACTAAGACTTCATGCTGAGTTTCAAACACTGCATATCAGGCTGTATCAAATGAACTACATTTTGCAATTTGGAACTATAAATTCTAGCCTGGTTTAAAAACAACGTATGTGACATTAGTTTCCCTAAGCGCATAAGTGTTTTTTCAGATGAGCTAGAATTTATAGCTCCAAATTGCAAAATGCAGTCCAAATAAGCTGTAGGCAAGTCTTTACCCTGCTTTATCCCTCCAGCCTTCCCATTTTAAAAACCCCTTTTACCCAAAATTTCCAAAGTTATGGCCTTTTTCTTTCACCCTTATTCACGTAGTAGCCTTGACATTGCTAAAACCTGCGAATATCGAAAAACTTGCGCTTTTAATGGCATTGCGAGCTGGCCTCCCCAATTTTCATAGTCTTCCCTGTTTTTGCACAAACGGTCATGCAATCATGAGGAAATATTTTCTTTTCTGCAATTAGTTGTCTCTGCACATTATGAATCAGTGACTACTTTTAATTTTTTATCTAGATGAAGCCTTTAAAATGCAATTTATGGACCGCAATATCCATACACTTCCGGAGAATATCCTCAGTCCGTTGGAGATCACAGCTGATCATCAAATTGTAAGTTGAATAAAATATTACTTAAATTGATATCAAAAGTCATTTTTGCATTTACCCTTTATTGTTTAAATACGTTTGTGAGCAATTTATAGAGTCCATGTCAAGCAAAGTTGCACACTTTTAGGTGCGACAGAAGATCAGCTTGATTTTCGGGCTTACTTTCAATGCTAAACTGGGAACAACTGATCTTCTGTTGCTTTCTAAAAGTAAGTAAACAAATTTGGTGTGTTGGTTCCCAAACAAGAGTAAAAAATCCTTTGATTGAAGATGCTACAAGAGGTACAGTACAAGTCTATGCCATTCAAAAATTCTATAATTTTTCGTTACATCTTTTTAGAGGTTTTGATCTTGTTTTACATTTCAAGATTTGTCTCACGCCCAAGATCAACCTAACACTAGGTGCAATCCCATGATAGCAAGATCGAGCCTTTAATGCACCCCAGCTGCCCGGTACTGATTGTTGTGGTGGGTCTAAGCGAACCTCAGCTCGAGTAAAAATGAGAGATATTTCATGTGGAGACTGGCCAAAAAATGGAAATGAGTGTATTGACTAAGACCAAAATTGTCTAAATGAAGAACGATTCGCTTCCAATTATATATGTACTTTAATAAAGAAATTTTCTATTTTAAGGATACCCTAGTGGCAATGACCTTTTAAAATATTTTTCAAGATCTCTTGAAAAAAATGTTAAAATATTCCTATTAGGAAACCCTTTTTGACTACTTTTTAAAGTAAAATTTAAGTAAAAAAGTGTTCTTAAAAACTCTTAAAATATCACTGTAATTTTTTAACATTTGTTTCAAACATTTTTAACTAACAACTACAGTTGATATTTTAAGAGTTTTTTCTAACACTTTTTTACTTTAATTTTACCACTTGTAAACTTTTCCAAAAGAAAAATTCAGAAAGGGTTTCTTACTTCAAACATTTCAATTGTTTTTTTAAGAGTAGTTGTCTCTTTGAAATTTAAGAGCTTTTTAAAGTTTTTTTTAACAACCGTTAATACTAGGGACGCAAAACCCTCTTAATTGTTGTACTATTGAAATTATGGCAGCAATGATATCCTAGGAAATGTTGTGTTTGCTTTAAAAAAAGGCACAGAGACTTTCGTAGATTCTGAAAAAAGTTTCTGGAACTCTGATATGGGTCAATGTGGGTCCCATTGTTGGTACTTAGCTTTATTGTCTCATAAAAGGGACAGAAATGAGTTCACATTGCTCAAAGGTCTCAGTCTAGGTTGAACAGCCCTTGGACGTACCCTTGCATGAGAAATAGTGCAAGTCTTCCTCTTAATTTTTGCATTCATCAATCTCCACTAATCAATACCTCGTCACCTTCCGGGCAAAGTATCACAAGCGCCATGCGACGTTTAAAAATTTCCGCCGCCATTATATTTTTTTACATAGAAATTGTTCAACGAAGCTGTCCAAAAATTACACCGAATTTTCTTTGTGCTGCCGATAATATTTAGTGAAATTTTCGAACAGATTCGACCAACAATTTCTCAGTAAAAAAATAAAATGGCGGCGGAAATTTTTAAACGTCGCATGGCGCTTGTGATACTTTGCCTGGAAGGTGACGATCTAACAAGGTGGTAAAATGATGCCAGGTCCAAACTATATTGTAGAGAAAGCAAGGCCAAAAAATTTCAAGCAGAGTCGAAAAGAGTTGTTTTAAACAGAATTTTGAGTTCTTCACTTGCGTTGAAACTCATGGAATTTTTGCCTTGCTTTCCCCGCAAAAAAGAGGGGACTCAGCTCTTTTTTACCACCTTGTTGTATACAGTCAGGGCCTCATTTTATTGTCTTTTTACTTGTTCCAATCAATACCTAATCTCTATTAATTTATTAATTAATATATATCGACGGTGAAAGTCGGCAATCACATAACTCGGTTTGCAACGTCGCAGACTTCCTGTCATACTTTATTTTTTAAATGGAAAACTACTCAACGGCAATTCTTTATAACTGTCATGATTTTTCTTCTCAATGCGAAGAAAATTCTGCAAAAACTTCAAGAAATAATATCAATTTGTTCTCCTTTAAAAAAATGACGTAGAGGCGGAGATTTTCAGACACCGCAAACGAGTTATGTGATTGCCGACTTTCACCGTCGATATATTTTATTATTCAATCAGATACAAGTTCTTAGTTTCACTGTATGATATAAATTAGAATCTGACATAATTTTCGACTTCTTGATGTAGGCACAGGACATTGACGAAATCAATGATATAAGTATTTTATTGAGTACCTCTGAGTCAGTTTTAAACAGAATCAAACAAACTTCAATTCAGCGTCAACTAAATTGTGACAAGCGGAAATTAAGCACTATGCAGAAACAGTTGGATCAGTCTGTGAAAATTTTGTCAAGGTAAGCATTCAGACAGTCATACTATTTGAGCTCTTTTTTAAGGCAAGACAAGCTAGAACTTCTCCAAGTCTAGATGAAGATGAAAAATCAACCTTTCGTATTTGCTAATCTTTGGAGACTTATTAACCAAGAACACTTCTCAGATCTACAGGCTCCTAAATTTCATTCATAGAGCCTGTAAAACACATCTGTGAAAGAAGTTGCTACAATCCACAGTGCCAGGATTTCATGATGGAAGTATCAGTTTCAGATGTATACAATTTTGAAGGATGTGGCACTTTAATTGAATTGTTATGGTTCATCAGATTCTAAATTACCTGTGCAATTAAGACCTTGTTGAGTCCTGCGCTTCAAAATGACTTCTATACAAAGTGAGAGCTTCAACTATCATGGTGAGGAACTATCAGAATACCCCCTCTCTTTTCAAAATTGTGAAATTTTGTGCGAAAGAGATAATTCCCGGCAGGTTCTTTCTGTCTGCGAAAGAGACAGATAATCGTCTGGCGCCACAGAATTTGCCAATGAAAATGAGCCAATTTCCCCTTACTGTGCCTCAACATTATCTTGGTAAGTTCAAAATTAGTTCAACATTGCGTTTTCAAGTCCCTGAGCTCCCCCTGAGGGGGGGGACAACAATTTTGACCCCCCTAGAAGATGGTCCCCTTTAAGATAGAGATATTCCCGAAGTTTCGTTTTTCTATCTCTAACCGTTCAAACGTTACAAGGGGGTATGGACTTTTGGGACACCCTGTATAAGTTTTTATTCAGCACTGATTACCAAAAAATTGAATTTCCCACTCACAAGAAAAATCAATCATGCGAATCAGATCGCGCATTAGAAATCAGAATGGTTCTGGCAGGTCGACGGTCTCTATATCGCTTGGTTTTGGCTTTCACAGCCATAGTTTTTTTTTCTTTTTTTTTATTTATTGCAGTGTAACAGTAAGATTATCCAAAAACAGAGGAAAAACCAATGTTTTTGGCAACCAGGCAAATGAACTCTCAAGCTCATTCTGGAATTATGTATTTGGTAAAAATTGAGTAAAGGCCTCCCTAGTAGCAGTGGCTCTTAAGAAAAGTTCTATTAAAAGTTGTCAAAAAAAAATATAAAAATCGAGTAAATTTTAAGTAAAAAAAGTCTTAAAATACTCGTGTTAGGAAACCCTTTTGGGAAATTCTTTTACATGAAAAAAGTGTTATCTTAATTTAAAGAAAACATAAAATTTACGTGAAAAACAACAAACTATATCCTCAATTGTTATGGGCTGCAACCTTTCCTTTTATACTTTTCTGTTCACCACTTTTTTTCCTCGTTTTTTTCCGCAGGAAGCTTATAAAAAAAAAAGTTTTAAGTAAAATTTACCTTCTTGAAATTTGTCTTTAATTTTATGTAGAAAAAGCCCCAAAAAGGGTTTCCTGATACGAATATTTCAAGAGTTTTTTTATGTAATTTTCAAGTGGTTTTGAAGTAAATAAGTTCTCTTAAAATTTACGAGTTTTTTTCAACTTTTCTCAACAGCCACTGCTACTAAGGTCATAACAGTAATTACCGAAACCGAATAAAATTAATCCTGGGAAATATTTCCTGTAACGTTGAGAGACAATCCTGATAGGTTGCTTTCTCCAGTGATCTTTCTCTTATATTTTTCATACTTTTGAAGCTTTTTATGTTTTGCCTAGCTGGTTGAATAAAAAAGTATTCTTTGCATTTTTTTTTCATTTTAGCCTAAAGTAATCCTACGTCAGTTAAATTAAATTTTTTTTTTTTTTTTAAGCATCAAAAATTCAGTTCGAACTTTCTTTCCGCCATGAGGATCCATGTAATTTTGAAATTTCAAACTTGTATTTCTCGAGATGATTAAAAACTGAACTTCAGCGCCTTGTACTCTGAGCCCCTTAAATGAATTAGTAAAAACTGGGAATGTATTTTTCAATAAGAATCAATAATGAGACTATGTCAGAGATCGATAGATTCAGAAAAGTGTTCAGAGGCGGTTTTCTATTCGATAACAACCTTTTCAGTTTCTCTTCTTATATGTGTTATCAAGTATCAACCTATTCTTGCATCACCTCATAACCGCGTTTGTATTTTTTGTTGGTGCACCAGAGAAGAAAGGCATTACCAGGAAGAAAAACGAACAAAAGAAGAACTAGTTAAAAATCTAAAAACCAAAACTGTTCTTCTCAAATCCGAAATGGGAAAGGCCCATGATAATGTTGAAGAATTAGAAGTAAGTTTAACTAAAGCTGTTGTTTTCTTCTTTATCTGCACAGATTAGTACAGATAAGTATGAACTTTTGAACAATTTTTGTTTACATCTTATTCAATTGTCTCTTAGTGATTTAATTTTTTTAATTTCTTCAATTTAGCCCTTAAAATTCTAACAATGGGTGCAACGATAGATTCAAGAAAATCACCAAGATGTGTAGCAACACTTATAATTGACCGATTTCAAAACAATATTATTTGGACTTAAAGACTCAAAGACTAATCAGGAAATTCAGCGAAAGAAAAATTTAACTTTTAATAATGGAGAATGTAAATTGTAGATTAAACTCTCTTTTCCTAAGAATTTTGACAAAATTATAAAATTCATTGTATTCAATGCTTTCTGTATTCATTATTGTCAGAAGTTTTAAGTTTTGAAACAGATCACTTTCTTCCTAGCATTTGTTTTTGTGCACTTTTAGGAGGAAAATTTCCGTGAAACAACCCTCCTTACAGATATGTCAAAGCTTTAGTTTGAAATTTTGTAACACTTCAGCCTAGTTTTCTGTAAAACTGTGTTTCTTATTGATCTCTTTCCTTTTCAGAATTCTATTTACACACTTTCAGAAGACATCGAGAACTTGCACATGGAAAACTCAGAATTGGACAAGCAAATTTCAGCCAAAGAGGATGATTTAATAGAAGTTGGTAGGCTCCCCCCAAGTTTCACCGAAGCGGATGAGAGGATACGAGAACTGAAAGAAAAGATAAGAAAACTTGATGCCCGCATAAAGAGGAAACTTAACGGTTGATATTTTACTCTCTCTTATTTCCTTGGAATTTTAAGTGTGATTTAGCATTTTGCTTATATGGAATTGTTCATTTTTATCACTTTGTTACCTACTAAATACATTCATATTTCTAATATTTTCCTGTTCATATTTCTCTATTTTGACGGTGTAAGTCGGCAATCACATATCTCGTTTGGGGTCTCACAGAATCTCTGCCTCTATGTTATTTTTCTAAAGGAGAACAAATTGACATCATTCCCAAAAGTTTTTGCGGAATTTTCTTCTCTATGCAAAGAATCACGGCAGTTTTAAAGAATTGCTGTTCGGTAGTTTTATGTTTTAAAAATAAAGTATGACAGGAAGTATGACAGGAAGTCTGTGACATCGCAAACCGAGTTATGTGATTCCCGACTTACACCGTCGATTTCTAGACAATAATAAAAAGAAGTGCAAAAATTGTTAGGTTCTACGCTGTCTTATGCAAATCAAGTACAGTTCCTCAATCCCTCATGAGCTTCACTCGTGTCTTAACTTGTACCCTCATTATTTAATCTGTCATTTTCTACTATGTACTTTGTATTCTTAGTATTGCTTTTATACAACCTGCAGGAGCCAATTCATGACAGAAGAAATTTTTTTATTGAAAAATTAGTCTTAAGACAGTTCCTGCTCTCTTCATTTCTTAATCATTATTTATGTATTTATTTATTTAATATTTTTTTGGAGGCTTAAGTATCAAGCTGTCCTCAACAAAAAGGTTGTTTCCGTCTAACTCAGTACGGGAAGTTTCACAGAAACTGTTGTTTATAAAAAATTACAGTGGTTTTTTTGTGAGCCAAGCACGAGATTTTTGTGATTTTTTCGTTTTCCAATCATCTGACTTTCTCAGGCCTTCTTGTACAACTTTCTGAGGTTTTCCTTTTAATTAAGCTGAATTTTTTTAAACTTTGGAAGAAATTTCCAGTTTAAGAGGTACAAATTATGGAAAAGGGCTCTTGGAAGTTGTTAGCACTCTTTCGAATGGCACTGGCTGAAATTGCTAAGCCGTCGAGCTACTCGCAATATGTCCTGGCCTTTCCACGTTTTCCAGACTGTCGGAAACCTTGCACACAGCTGATTGTTTTACCGATTGAAAAAAAAAAAAAAAAAAAAAAAAAAAAAAGATTGTGACCTCCACCACCCTCAAGGCAAATATACTTACACTATGCTAACTAGAGCCCTCTTTTTCTTAAAATTGTAGATGCAATGTTGTCTAAAAGTATTAGCTTCCCTTGAAAAGATGTAATTTTTTAATTTGGATTCCTGCGCAATGCGCGGTTTTGACCTCTTTCCTCACTGTGATGCAAGTTCAACCCTTCACCTCAGTGATGATGTGTAAAACTTAAATATAACACTCATCTTAAATAAAATACTCCGGATGATTGATTATTTATAATCTTTTACTTACAACAGCTTCAACATTAGAGTTAAAAATTGATTGAGGATGGTAAAAGGAAGGAAGATTGAGTTGTTACAAAGATAACAGTTTGATAATAAAAATACAAATATAACATTATGTACAGCTGATTACATCCGAAAATTCAAAGTAAAAATAACAGTTACTTACATGGATAAAATTACATTACGCTAGGGAAACATGTCACACTTTAATTTCGTGTCTGATCAATTGGACATATTTCTATCAAACGGAACTATGTGCATTAAGACATGAGCCCTGAGACCCATAAGAATATGTGTATATCAGGGCTCACGTCATTATGCACATAGTCCGTTTGATAGAAATACGTCCAATTGCAACCTTTCTAACTGAAAAAACTAAGGAATGGAGCTGATCTTGCATAATTTTGATTAGGGCAGCCGACGAATATTGGTGTTAATCCCCCAAAAAGGGTTAGTCGAATTCGAGGCTCAGAATTGAAGATCGGATTATATTACTAAATTGGATGAGACTAAAATTAGAGCTTATTCTGAGCAAAACTAATGATAATCGAAAAAAAAAAAAAATTAAAAATCGTTTTTATAGAGAGGTAAGACCGGTGATATATTATACATGCCGGACATACTGCTCAGAAACTGAACACTCTTCCTCGATTTTAATTCGGCAGTTACTGAAGTTGGAAAAGGATCTGTTATTGCTTGCATCCTTCAACTTTTCGTCTTTCTTATCATTTTTTTTTCACACTCAGATATTGATGCTAATTTGGTAATCATTTCACAAGTTCCAAGTCAATTCATATTTTTGAAAAGAGCTTGAAAATTGCATTAATTGTTGTTGGCTTACAATAGACCACTAGACGAGGTGCAAATTCAACAATTATATTCTGTTTTCTCGTCAAAAATTCTTCATGATGGGAATTATTGGAGGTAACACCTAATCAAGATACTGACGTTTTTCGGGGCATAAATTCAAGCTTCCTGCTATTAAAAAATAAAAACTATAATCTGCTTGAGTTAAATCACACGCAAAGTATTGCTGTAAAAGTCTGTGGGATGAAAATGTGACAGCCTCACTTTTGGCACCTCGACTCAGCTGTTGAACGTTTTTCAGACTTTGAACGGCGCAAAACGAGGAAGGAACACTGCTGGATTAAGAGTCCTGTCAAAACCGTTTTAGTGTACGATTTGATTCGTGTGGATTCTGGTTTTTCTCATGAGCAGGAAATTCAAATTTTTTGTGACCAGTGCTAAATGAAAATGTTAATATCTTGGTTAGGAGTTAATTTCATTAATTTTCATTGCAAGAATTGTGTTTTATGTAACATTTTAAAGAGATAGCATTTAACAGAGCGCTTAATTTAAAAAAAATTACTCAAGAGCATTCTTCCCTTTGTTTTCCAATTTATCGCAGACATGTTTCGCCCCCTATACACCCCATACCGCATCTACAAAAAATTGGAAAACAAAAGCCAGAATACTTGTGAGTACTTTTTTTTGACATATTCTACTGAGGACTTCAACATTAACTTAAATTCAAACCCTGTCCAGTGGTTTATTGTTTGCCTCTTAATTCAGAGTATCATTTCTGAGGGCGTACGCTGATTGAAACACAAGTCCATGATCTGACATTTGTGACACTTCTTGGTTGCCAATCAGGTTTAGCTAGCTATCAATCATTTCGTCAACTTTCTGTTAACTAATTCTAGAACTAGGGAGGGAGACTTTTGAAGGAAAGTTCTGATTAAGAAAACTTTTTCAAAACCAGTGACAAAACAAAAATAAAGACAAATTAATGCAGCAATAAACTACAGATATCAATGATAGTAAGTTTTGACAGAGTACCTTGTATCTGAGCCTAAATATGAACTCTTGAAAAATATACCTTCTGCTCTAAAAACAATTCAGTTGTGACAGGGCAAAAATCTTTCAAAACTGGCGATGGAGTGTTATGTACAGGACAACAGCAGAATGTACAAAAATAAAATTTTTGGCTACATATTTTCTTTTCTTTCTGAGCAAATCTTACTACACTAAGAATGTAGTCACAAAATATCACCCGAACATCTACTGAAGCAAAATTTTCAACAAATCTTCCAGACAATGCAAAGAAAAATTGAGTTATCTTACAAAATATTGGCATGATCCGCCTTGATTTCTTATGTTGTGACAAATTTAGGCCCAATGCATACTGTAAGATTCAAATGCAAGGAGATATATGAATCATAAAAGCACTTAAAATTAACAACAAATAGAAAGGGTCCATCTAATTCAATGTTAGACAAGGTGAGAACCATAGCTGAGTATTAATATAAAATTAGATGCTCATCAAAATTTAGCACTGACTTGAATCTCCACCAATCTAATGAGGGAAGAACCTCAATTTCTTACTGTAGGCTTTGTTAGCTCAGATGTCCCAAGCAGAAAATCATTTTTTTACGATTCAATTTTACAGAGAGACTGTAAAATTCATTTCATCTCTCCAAATGCTAAGTTTCAACACCTATGTGGAAAAAGATGGAGCTTTTTAGAACCTGACGTTTAACTAACCACTACTTACTTTAAGGGCAAGGATCATGTTAGTATTGGACATAAAATTGGATACATTTTCAGCATATCAATGCCCTAAGTCCAAAAATGTGTCTCAGAGATTGCTAAATCATAGGTCTCAGCTTGTGTTCTGTTTATTTTTTGGAGGAAAACTAGCCAACAGTTTTTGTTGACATTTCCTGTTAATTATTTTAACTCATTCTACAAAAATGATATAGATAGTAAGTAAAAATTTTGGTTAGTTTCCCTTAAAAAAAAAAAAAAAAGGGAAAATACTCGCAGATTTTTAAACGATCCAGGTGAGATATACATATTCCGCATTTGGCGATCCATATGGCTTTGGGTAGATTCCATTATTTTCACCTAGTTGCAAGATTAAACTATCATGTAACACTTAGACTACATTTTGCAATAAGGGACTACTCTTTCTGACTAATTTCAGAAACAAAATATGTATCATTGGTTTCCCCATACAGATGAGTGCTTTCGTGAGTGACATGAAATGGTGAGGCCTAATTTCAAAATGTAATCAAATTCTCTCAAACACACACCTGACCCACTGAAAATGTTCTCAAATTTTCTTTCTTTCTTTTTCCTATTCTTTCACGGGAGGCAAATACATTCTGATCAATACTGCTATGTTACTTTCTTTTTCTGTCTCCCAATTGGATTAAAATTTGCAATTAGAAACTAGAACTTTTGGCTCATTATAAAAACAACATATGAGCCACTTGCTTCCCTTCCCTATGCAGACGGATGTCAAGACAAAAGGTCAAAACAGGTATGCAGACAGGTAGTCAGAAATTGTAGTTCCTTATTGCAAAATACAGTCAAATTAGCTGATAAATAAGGATTGGTGAGTAAGTAGATGCAGTTTACGAGTAAAGAAGGGATAAATGATTAAAGACTAACAATACATGGTGGCAGCTATTCATAGAAAACGATGGGCAAGAGTAAAATCTTACCTCTCTGCATAACACGTGTAAAAATAGAGGCAAAAAATAAGGAACTTGGGAATAGAATAGAGTGGAGAGTGCAGAAATTCATGAGGATGACCAAAAAAGGGAAGACTCTGATACGATTAAAACATAAATCCTTCCTAGGAACATACTAAGGCTCGCGCACCAAGTAAGCAAACATCCGACGAAGATTGCCTGTGCGTGAGTACCAAAAATTACAACACTTAATTTTGAGTAGAATTAAATATTTTGGATAGCTTAGGAGTGTTACATTCAAAGAAATATGTAAACACACATTACAATAGATGGCTTAAGCACATTTATGATAATACTAGTCCCGAACTAAGATGCGCAAACTTCGGGAAACAGCCAGTTAAATTGGATCGCACATACTTCGACCTCGTTGGAGTTCTCATGGTGGGCCAATGGACGACATTTTAATTAGAAAAAAAGTCATATATTTTCTATGCAGAAAACGATCCAAACAACTAGAGGTTCGGAGACCAACCCCTGAACGAGATATTAACAAGTATTTTTAACATAGATCAAATAGAAGTTAGATCATACAAATGATGTAGAGGAGTCGTCAGCTAAGTTGACAGTTGTTTACTTACAGTTTGCAAGCGTTTTCGCGTCACCACTATCTATATGAAAACATTCGACTTTAGCAGAAGCAAGAACACAAGCTTGGAAAAGTTTTTTTATACTTTCAAACCTTGTAACACTTAAATTTTTAGCCACACAGAAATCACAACCACATAAAAGTTGCGAATCGTAACTGATAAGTAGTTCTTTTGCGATACGATCATGAGCCGGATGCTTTCAAGGTGGATAGTAGTGAGTGCCGCTTTATGCAGAGGCCCAAATTCGTCGTTGGCGCTTGCCAACCAAAAGTAAAATATTTTGCTGACCACACCTCTAATTTGCATCCACGCCATTCAACCAACGTTAATAGTTAACAGTGATATCTTGTTCAGTAGTTGATTTTTAGACTTCTTGTTATGTGATTCGTTTTCTGTGTGAAATTTTGAAGAGAAAACATGTTTCGTCATGTTCTAATGTGTATCTCGTCTAGTTACCCATTGTGCTTCCCACAGGAAATAATCTTGGTCCTTGAGACTTTCAATAAGTGAGTACATTTCTATTATTTTGCAGACATGTGGATACCTAGTTTTGAATTATTTTTCTTTTATTGTATACATTTTAGTGATATTCTTTAAGTTTTTCCTTCATTCGTTACAATGTGTGCTGAGGGCTTGCAGTTATTTGAAAACATTAAAGTTCGATAAGATTTTTGAGTTGGATTAAAAGACTTTCATGCAAGATATGATCGCAACATTTCTGCGGCAAAATCATTCTAAATCGAAGTTGGTAAAGATATTTCATAAATTATGCAGTAAGAGCTTCTGCTTGGTCTTGAGTGAAACAGGTATAGCAATACAATCCTTGTGTAAAAGGGGTTGCCGAGAGGAAAATACAAAAAATTACATCTGATGAGTAGGCACATTATCTTCAAAAAGGATAATGGTCAAAAAATGTTACTTTGAATCAAATGACTTTTTGCATCTTAAAAAATTATAGGTCAATCTCGACCATTTTGAGTCACATCACGATCCATTCATCAAAATCTTAAGGCTCATCCATTCAAAACTGTGCTTAACTACTTACTGCTTACTGAGATGAGTTGTAAACCAAATGTCAGTCAACCAAAACAACACTAATCTTCCTTGTGTTACATTGATTTGAAGATATAAAAAGTGGATTTTATACCTCTCACAAAAAACAAGAACTTCTTCTTACATTATTCTTGGTAATTTTTACTCAAAGCAAGCTGTTAAGAATGCCACTTCATCCCAATTTTTTGGCTTCGGAAAAAACTTCGGAGCGTTCTTTCACTTCACAAAAAAAAAAAAAAAAAAAAAAAAAAATGACCATCTAGATTGGGGGGCTTTGAACTGATCCATATTTTAAGAGACCTACAGAGGAGAGAGTGGTTGAGAAAAAAGAGAATCAGCGCTACGTAATTTTGGGGCACTGGAAAATCTTGGTAAATGGTACGAAATTCTCTCCTCACTACCACTAATATTGCTAGCACCATAATTTAACATAAATCTGCACAGATGACACTACGTATCTAGGCTAAGCGCAGGAATACCAGAGACATTCTACTTGCTCCTTGATGAATTGAGGCACGATTTCATTGTCAAGTTTGATGGATAAAACGATCACTCAACTGACAACTTTGACCAAAATTTATGACGGAATCTTTCACCTGTTGATTTGAATTATTGAAGATGTAGACTTTGTATTACTGCGCAGAATCAAAACTCAAGTCAAGGCATGTCGCCATTTGGAAATATTGGGAATGAATATTCGATAATTTCCATGCAAATGACACTCCATAAATATCGATAGTGATATGAGCAGTGTGACTTACTTAAATTGTTGTTTTGTACAGTTTTTTGCTCCTTGCTTTGCCATTATTTTTTAGTTCTACCTGACAAAGAAGCATTGCAAAATCTGAATTTTTTTCTTCTTATGATTTGGTGATTTTGCTGATCTTGCTATTTTTGAGATTTTGAAAGACCTAATTGTACAAACAAAATTTTAATGTTGATTTCTGTTGGAGTGCACTCTTATAAGCCGCTCTTTTAAATTTCAGCATTACTGGATGAATTTTAGCTGCAGTTGCTGGTACAAGGTTACTGATTTTTACGACATTGATTGCTAGTTCTTCACACAAAAGTGAGAAAAATTATTAAGGCGATGGATCGAAAGAATCGTCCTGGTTGAGGTCAGAGCGCTTAAAACTTAAAAATTGTACCTCTGATGTGGATAAATTCAAAAGATTTCACTACAAAAAAAAAAAGACCTGAGCGAGTTAAGCGCGAAAATTCAACTACAAAAAGGCTTCGACTGAACTTGAAGTGAGAAAATTCCCCTTACAACACTTACGAGTTGGGCTACCGGCTGAGCGGAGATCTACAAAATACAGAATCAACGTAAGATTACTTACGGAGGTATGAATAAAAATTTTCCTGATAGTAACAAAACAAAGCATGCAAGTCATAAAAATAAATAAATAAAAATCTATTATAAATAATCAAAATAATTCTAGCAAGTTACTTAATTACTTTAGAACAATAATCAAAAATATTTTTAACAATTTTTTCAATTCTGTACAAAAAGTCCTGGCGAATAGCGCACTCAGCAAGCGTGACTTAGTCCTGATGAGAAAACAGCGCTCACCTATTTGTATCAGGTGACCGAATGGATCAAAAAAGTTCTAGCCTTAAAATAGAAAAAAAACCTCATGAAATTTCCTGAAATTCAGCTACCTGATACGTACCTAATATTGCTTTTTCTGTTGAATTTCAATTAAATGTATTATAAAGTGGAAACTATGAATTTCCAAACAGTGCCTTAACAAAGAAAAAACTTTTTGACTAATCTCTGCAACACAGTGCAATCAAAGACCATGCTGATTGTACCGCAAATAAAATCACTAGAACTGCAAAAATCAGCGGGAAGTTTTGGCGAGTGCTATGAATAATACAGATGTTCGACCGAGGGGTTACTACTCTGGCGAAACTGAGGAGATGCTACTCCGTGTAGAGCCTCGATAATAAGGCGAATGACTTGGCGGAAGCTCAGATAAGTCGGAGGGCAACTGCATCGGACCAAATAAGGCTTCTTGTTCTTCAAGCTGCATTGCAAACTGCTCCTCTAACCTCTGCAAAGGAAAAAGCAAGAAAACAAAATTAGAACGAAAGTGAGCAAAGACACGCTTACAGTGAGGAATGGACCACTAGACAAGATGCTTTAAACCTTAATGGATGGGAATATCACGAAGATGAGTTCTCATCAGTCGGTCTGTTGCACGTAGGACAGCCAAATAAATACATTTGATAGAAATAAATCAGGGTGTTTAGTTCTTTTTTTCATTTTAGGAAATTCTAATTTTTCCTGATTTTTGACTGCTAAATCCTGATTTCATAATTTTTCCAAATCCTGATTTTTTGCGGAGAAATATTATAATTTCTGCTTAAGCGTATGCAAACGCATAAAAAAATCCGATCAGACAGCCGACTTTTCTCAAATCCTGATTTTACGACCGATTTTTCCTCGAATTTTGATAGGGTCGGGAAAATCAAGAAAATACTGATGCTAGACAACCTGTAAATTCGCTTGAAAATCATATTGAGCACATAAAACAGTCTGAAATCTACACCTAAGCATGCAACCCATTTGGTTTGTAACACGCTTTTTCAAATTTACTGTGTATGTGGGCAGTTTCTCTAGGTAGCCGGCAGTCAGGTTTGCCCGGAGAGCAACCTAACCGAAATACACAAACAATCTCGCAAACTGTTTTAAACTCTCCTTGAATAAGATTTCAATTGATCCAAAGCTTTTGATTTCGTAAAATAAAGGAGGAAAAGGGAAACAAACGCTTGAAAACTATTGAAATCATACAATAGAAAAAAATGAAGAAATCGTTTGTTCACTCAGGTTAGTTTTTTTACTCCTCTACTTCTGCAAACCTGGGCAGCAGAGACTGAGAAAAACTGACCACAGCCGCGGGAAACTTGAAAAAGAGTGTTATAAACTACATAGATTGTGTGCTAGAGAATAAATTTCAGACTTTTTTGGCAGGCCCCACATGAATTTCGTGCGATTTCACCTGTAGGGAGTATGTTTATTTGGCTGTATCTCTTGCGTGCGATAGACCCTTTCTTCTGTGTCTTATGAAGTTTCAGGGGTGTAGAATCTTTCGAGCTTACACTATTTCACATGCCTGCTAGCTTTTCTTATCTTCCTCTTTGGCTTTCCACCTAAGTTCCCTTTAATTTAAAAAATGATGACCTTTTTCTCCTATTTATCTCCAACTTACGACTTTGAACCTTTCAAATTTCTCTGCCTTTCACATCCTAAAGATCATTTGGACTGCATTTTGCAATTTGGAACTATAAACTCAGGCTCTTCTGGAAAAACACTTATGTGTACAGGGAAACTACTGGCACGTACGTTGTTTTTTAACCGGGCTAGAATTTTTAGTTCCAAATTGCAAAATGTAGTCCATTTCAACGATCAGCGCAACTGACCCATTTTGTGAACATCTGAGTAATCAGTTTCAAAAATCTGCTTCAACTGACCTGCTTCCTTGGTTTCAACAGACTCTTCCACTCCTTGAGCTCTCGACTGTACTGCTCTTCTTGTTCTTTCAGTTTGATGGTCTCGTGTTCCATCAGCATTTTTCCTAAAAGAGAAAAGGAATATCACTTAACGATAACATCTTGCAATCCAATGAAGTCAATAGATCTTGAAGAAAAACATTTGTCTAATTACTACTTACAGTGTCACCTTCCAGCCTGTCACAAGCCCCTTTGTGCTTAAACACTATCTTATTAAGCATGTTTGATTTGTTATGGAAAAACAAATGGACAAAATCCCTTGAAATATTCATCCAATATTTTTCTTATCATCAAGAATAATCCCTGAAATTTTCATGAAAACAAATGCAAAAGTTTGAAAGAGAAAAATTAAAGCAATATTGGCATATCCAGCAACATAGTCTCAGCATAATTGGCTTTTGTGATTCCTTGGTCGGAAGGTGATGACACTATTCCTATGCAAACGCACCTTACATTTTTATAAACCCTATAATGCATACTCTAGATTCTGCGCATAGAATTTTGAAAAGACGAGAGAAAGTTTGCTGAGTATTTTTGGGTACAACGTACATGCAATCCTGTGCATCTCTTGAGCAAAATAATTTTCAACGTTGATCTCTGTTTCTTTTTATATGAGAATACAAATCGTATGAAAAGTTGACATTTGGTCATAGAATAAGGCTTAAGAACTCTCCAAGTAAGAAAGTAGAAATTTTGACCAAAGCGAACAATTCATCATGACTATTCGCTTATAAATGGGAGAAAAACCACCGTATCCAAAAAAACTAAAATTCTCTTGTGATTTAGTTTCAAAATGGCCCCTTAAAAACTAGAGGCCGATTTTCTGTGTTTTTGCCGAGTCACTTAAAATTCGATAAACTTGTAGGAATACCCGTCACAATTGTATTTCTCCTGTTTCGGGACCATAGAGGAGGCACAAAGATTATTTGCGTACAAAAACTAATTGCGTACTTTAAAATACTGCTAAATGTGAGTTTAGACTGCAAAAATGAGGGCTCGGGCCAATTTTTATCATTCTTAAAAAGAATAATCAAATCGGTAGAAAAAACATGAATTTGAAAAGTTATTTTTCACAAGATTGAGAGGGGCTCAACCTCGAAAAACATTTTTACTTCAAAAACTCTTCGAAAGTGACGCCAATATGCAACTCTTCCGTAAGAAGCATTAGGTTTGGGTTTTGGAAAAGAGTTGTTTTTTAGCCCATCCCAGAGGGCTCCTTTCACCTCCCCCCCCCCCCCCNAAAAAAAAACCACAGCAATTTGGTCAACATTTCACGACCTCATGTAGAATTAATCTTTACCTAGGGTGATCCAAAACCTTTGTCTGATCAGTAAACAGAAAAAATGCTGTCTTGAATTTTTTTATTTTGATTGTAACCTTTTTTCTTTTATGAGGATGTAAAACAGCTGTTAAGAATAAGTTGAACTGAAAAAAGACCCTTGTCTTTCATCTCCCATCAAAACTGAAAGACATTAGGTCCAGACGAGTTGGACTCACTTTTTTCATTTTGAAGCTGTTCCAATTCTTTGATGGTCGTTTCAGAGGCTGCTCTCAGCTCTTCTAGCTGCCTTTGATGTTTCAGCTCGAATCGCAGCGTTTCAGCTTTGTACCTTTTCTTTTCATTTTCTTGAAACTGGAAACAAAGATAAATTATTTACGTTAGAGGCTGGGAAAAAAAGTAACTTGGAAATGATTCATGACACAATAAAGCACAGAGTTCACGGATTTTGAAAAAGAACCAATACCAATATCAATATTTTTTGAATATTCCAGGACTTTTCCGTGGGACTGAAACATTTTCCCAAACCAATCTGCAAAGACAGGAGCTAAAACTCTTAATGACAATACTCAGCTCACCAGTTTGGTATTTTTTAGGTCAGGGAGCAAAAAAGAGTATAAAATTCTCTTAATTTCCAAAAAATAATCGACAATATCAAGTTTTTCTGATACTTTCCTGTTTTCTGAGGCCCCACCTTTGCTGGCAGTAAAAATTATTTCACACTCAGCCGCCTTTGCTTGATATTTCATAATTGATAAATTACTTGGGGAGTACTTTACGAGTACTTTGGTCATTACTGGATAGCTCATACATAGTTTGCAGGTAGGTTGTACGAACTGAAAAAAATTCTATTTGTCAACTGCCTCAATTTAGCATTTTAAGCGGTATGTAAATTCTGTAGAGATAGGAGGTTATGTTGATCTAACTTGTGGCTGACGAAATTTGGACCCAGGAAGTTTAGGTTGCTGATAACTAGAGTACCCATATGGATGGTGTGCGGACATATTGAAATATGGAGCTCTTAGGGCCCATAAAAACAGCCAACTATTGAAAACGAAAAATATCACTGCCAATCTTCAAATTCCGGTATCAAACTAAAATTGCCAAGAATGTTCAAAGTGAGCGTTCTTCCACAAAAATGAGTAAGTTTAGGCAAAAACTATGTCAAATACACGTTTTACCAGCACAGATCCCATTAATTGTAATAATAAATCACTGTGGATAATTTGAATTCATAGTTTGGCTGCTCCTTCGGGCCCAAAGACATAAAGACGGAGTGCTCGTATCTAAAAGCACGGGGAAGAAGTGAAGCCTGGTTTGGCGCTGGGTGCTTGTGTGAGTGTGTAAATGAGCGCGGGAATCCATGGCGGCAAACGGAAATTTGATTTGAACTTGTCCTCTTGATTTTTCCTTATTTCTTCTTCTAAACGTGTTTTAAATGCCTAAAACGATTATATTAAGAAAGTTCGGTCTGCGTCCTAATATAATACACCTACTTTTGCTCAGTAATAGGCAGTAATCTCAGATAAAGTTAGTTTTTCTTCTGCTTATGGTGGTTCTGCAGGTTCAAACAGGTCGTTACAGTTCTAGATGACCGTCACTCCCAAATGAAATTAATCGGTCGACGACGGACCAAAGCTAACCTAAAGTTAAAGAAATATGAGTGGGTAAGTGAATTTGGGCAAAAATCAACCTAGAATACTTTGTTTCCGCAATTATTTTATTCAGTTCCCGCCCTATATTTGAATTCAAACTTGTCCCGATTTCGCCGCCAATCCTCTAGCCAATAGCATAGCCAATAGTAGAGGTGGTTGAAAAGTGAAAAGAAGCTTCATTTTTTGCTTTTAGCCCTCCGTCTTTATGTCTTTGTTCGGGCCCAAGAGCTCCATCACCTAACCTCAAAATTACCGACATGTCTGTACTCTCTACTGATAACTATGTTAAATTATAAAAATAAGAAATTATAAATACAGGTACAAAACTAAACAAAAATATAAACGACCTTCACCTTGGAGATTAAAATGAAAGGAGAAAAATGCAATTTGACGTAGTTTCATTGAAGAAAAGGGATGTTAACAGAGGTAAAAGTTAAGTTAATTTGTTCCCACAAACGAGGCAAAAATCAAGACAAGGAAAAGGTTCAAAGAATTATATAAAATAGAAAATAGACACACCTTTCTTAGCCTATTTCGTTCAACTTCCGAATCGGGGTTGGACGCCATACTGATACGAATTGACTCTCTGAACATCATCTCACGCGCTTTCATTTCCGATCGAATCCGTTTTGGCAGCGCTCTCCGCTCTGATGCTTGCCGTTTGATCAGTTCTTCTTCTTTCCGAGAGTTCATCCTTTTCATTTGTTCAAGTTCTTTTTCATGACGAATCAGCATCTGAAAAAAAAAAAAAAAAACAAGTTATGACCGGTTGAAGACTGGTTCACTTCAGAATCTGTCCACCGTTTCTCAGGATTCAAGTCTGAAGAGTCCATGAGCATACAAATATGACCATAACTTGAGGTCTCTTCCTGCGGAGGACAGGGTGTCTACGAAAACAGACTGACCAAAAGTCAGTACTTTTACAGTACTTTTTCAGTACATTCCGAAGAAATTCGGTACCTCCTCAATACAAAAATTCAGTACTTTTTCAGTACCTCTAATTGACGAAATTCGAAAAAGTTCAAAAATTTCAATTTCTCGCTCAAATTGCTACAAAAATGAAAAAAAATTCCAGACCTTCTTGCGAAATTTGCGCACTTTTTCAGTACTTCCGAACAGCCCTTAAAAAATCAGTACTATTTCCTGATTTTCTGGAAATTCCGGACTTGTTGACACCCTGGAGGAGTTTGCAATTCCAAAACTTGGATCACTTACAGCGTTTTTGCGGATGCGTGCTCCTCTTAGACTAAGGGAGCAAATGATGGACTGACTAATAGGTTTCCGGTAGTTGGTCTCGGTAGTTGGTCTATTACCCACCTCCTTTGTCTATGACACTAATAGAATCCCTCCATATGCTTTACGTCTTTTTTGTCTATCGCTTTATCTACCAATTCCAACAGCCAGCCAGCTATTCTTTACTCTCTTTGAGTGGCTAGACTTCTCACTGAGAATTTTTTCAGGTCTTCTTCATTACATTATAGATCACTGGACACGGAAAAAACTAGAAAAAACCTAAATGTTCCACTTGATGTTTATTGTAACAAAGTTCCTCTTCAGAATCTTACATACAAAGCAATTCACATGACGGCAAGTTCAGAAATTAATTCCTGAACAAGATATTGACAAGTATTTTTAACACACAACAAGTGGAAGTTAGATTAAAGAAATAACGTCTATTGTATTTTTGCCATTCACCCGATGATAATTGAAAAGGCGTGTATGTTCACAACTAGCTCCAACAACTTTTTTACATGAAAATTCAAGAGTTGCCAAATTTCTTCCAGAAACGCTCATTTTGGGGAAGTGCTACAAATAATTTCTCATGAAATTTTCAAATAATTTAGATCTGATGGCGAATAACATTTTTTGAAAAATTCGAGGAGAGATATTCACAGAATTCCCTGACAATTCATATTTTATCGAGGGAAATTTGGCAATGTCTTAAGCCTCATACAACATTCTTTCTTGGCTCGGCAGAATAGACTGTGTAAAAGTTACCTGATGCCTCTGAAGGAAAAACCCATCCTTTAACTGTCGCTTGGCCAACTGCTGTTTCTCATGAATCTGACGCTCTTCCATCTCCCACAATGCAGCCTCGCGAGCCCGCATGAGCTGCTGTTTTTGCTGTAGACACTGACGCTCCATCAGCGCAATCTTCTCCCGGTGCGATTCACTCAGCCGCCGTAGAGACGCTTCATGGTTCTCGTTCAATTTCTCCAGAAATAGTTTTTCACGTTCTTCATGCTCGGCTTCAAGTTTCTCTTTGCGATCCTATGAAAGCAAATTTGTACCTTTAAATATTCATCCTGACTTAAAAAATTCAATGGAAAAACAATCACAGGCAAGGCAAGGGTATCACTTTTTTTTTGCCAAGAAAAACACTTAAAACTCTTAACTTGTCACAAGTAGTGTCGTTAGATCTTGAATAAAAAAATAACCCTGATAAAATTGAGACACTCAATGGTTGAATTTAAATTATTTTGGGTAGTTATGGCCCAAGAATAAGTTTTAACTTAGGGAAAAACACAGGATTACGCTCTATAGGGATCTGCCGATCACTACAACCCACTCTTGAGTTGAAAGATGATTACTAGCAACCCAAAAGGAGTGGCTTCTCCATGGAAAATACAATCCTAGAGTTTATAGAACAATTGTGAGACAAAAACTCAACGTAATAGAATGTTTTTGAATACATCACAGCTGTATGAAACCCTGCCGTAATAGCAAAGAGAGCTGTAAGTGCAAAAATGAAGTTTTGAGAAAACGGGCTCAGAAGCTTCTGACAAGAACATTTTATTGAAAGAAGCCTCCGTTCTTTGTCAAATTGCCACTTTTCGTCCGGAAGACTCCTAGAAATCATTTGGGGGATTAAAACTCGACCGATTTTATTTTAAAGTACATGAAAAAGGTAAAATTCAGTTTCGTGTTAGGTTATTGTTAGGCAAGACAGCCGTAAGTGCTATCTTCTACATGCTTTCGTGGTTGCGTTTCGGACGCACAACAAACACATTATCAGGTTAGAAATTGGCAGAGGAGGGCAGCACTTTACTGGAAAGCACTGTGATCATTGGCTCTTATGCACCTGCGGCTGTCTTGAAAAAAACTAAGTCATTTTTTGTGCACTTACAACTTTCTCATACGTCTCGTTTTCATTGAAATAGGATGAATTATGCTGTTTTAGCTGTCTCAGTAATTTCATCTAAAAGAGTTTAGACGAATTTTGAAGAAAACTCGATTTCGAAAATGTTGCACTTACGGCTCTCTTCGCTATCACGGCAGAACCTATAGTTAGAATCTATGAACGTACCTTGAACAGACTTTTTCGCTTCTCCTTGGGCATTAAGTCGATCTCTTGTTTGAGTAATCGCAGCTCTTGCTTGAGCCTTTCGCGGAACTCTTTCAACTCCCGCTCTTGGTCAGCACGGATTTTCTTTGAAACTATCCTCAAGTCTTGCTCTTGCTGTTGTTCTGCCTTCTCGACTAGTTGCCTTTGCTGCCTCAGCAGACTATCTAAGTCTGCCTCGTACTGACGCACCAAATTGACTCTTTCTTGTTCGAATCGCTTCTCTTGTTGGTCCTTGGCGAACAAAGCTTTAAACGATAAGTCCTGAAACTGCTTTTGCTCCTGTTTCTGAAGCATTTTAAGTTCTCGCAGCTCTTGCTTGCGGAAAATTTGATCATCATACGACTTGCCATTCTCCTCGTCACCGTAGATCACTTTACTTGTTGTGGTGGTGACGATGACACCGTCGATTTCGAATTTCCGCGTGCGTTTCCGTGTCTTACGCTTAAGGTTGCGCAGCTCTATTTCCTCTTTTGACATTGAGCGACTAGATCGATTTGTCTCTTGACGCGAGTATTCTGGTTTACGGCGTGGAGGTGCTTCTTCTTCCGTTCGGTCAGGGCGGTTTTCTTTGTTGCTTCCTCGCGAGTCTTGACTGGTTGTTGTGGACACGCTTTCTGCATCCGAGCGGTCGAGGGTTCGTGTGCTCGCGGCCGAAGGGGGTGTGTGGCTCCGAACAGAACCTGTGTCCGAGTGAGAACCTGATTGAGTTGGGGAAACCCTCTTTTCGCGCAAGGGTTTTTCCTTCTCTTTATCTGGAATGTTTGTTGTTTGGTTGTTGACTACAATGACCACTTCTTCTGAGTCCGATGTTTCGATGCCGTTGACTTTTTTCGTAGTGTGCGTCGCTTTGGGGGGCTCACCGCCAGAGAGGATTATTGATGTGCTTTGGTTTTTCACATTGCTGTCATCTGCTTTATCTGCTTCTGAAAACCCAACAAATTTTAACACTTTATTAGAGTATTACAATAAAGTATTGATTCACACATCCTCCAAGTGAAGCTCTTCAAGAGGGGTTTGGAGGACAAGGCACATGAGTGTAGTTTTTGATATTTCGAGAAATACATGTTTTGAGTTTTGAAATTATATAGATCCTTTCGGCGGAAAGCAAGTTAAAACTGACTTTTTGAAGCTTAAAAATTGGAATTTAGGCACAAATTTTTCACAGAATATGCATTGAGACTAGTTTTACTTGAAATCATTAATTACTCAATTTATCCAGAAACTGCTCATCTCCCAAGCCCCTCAATTTGACTTGGAAAAAATGCATATTTGTAAAATTGAAGAGCTAGCTGCTTTTCACAGGTTAGAAATTCAAACAAATGTTTTTTTTCACTGAGTAGACACACTATTCATATAACATAATTTTAGATTCCAGAGGTGTGAAGAGTTCTAAAACGCCAGACATTTGCCGGATCAAGCATTTTTTCCTTTCAGAGTAATGTTTAATTTTAGGACTGGTTACCCCATTTTTTTGTGGAAAATTTGAACTTTCCTCAAATACAGTAGAAACAGTATTGATCTAAACTAACTGTATTAATCTATGTATCCGTTTTACAGCTTTGCTTCAATACTGTGAGCAATTAATTAATCTATTCATATTTTAGAGATTTTAAATGGGCCACTGTTATTCTTGTACTTTCATTTTTGGCGTGTAAATCTTTTTGAGGATGAATGATTCATTTGTGTGCCTGATGTTCATCCTGCCTGCTAATGATCCTACTCTTTGACTATATCGCAGTCTAGAGACATACTGTGAAAGCTTACCAGAAGTCCAAAACGAGTTGTCCTGTATCCTCCTCTGAGGAGTAGTGTTTTCACCCACTGTAATGACAGAAACATGACTCATTTCAGCTGGCGATTCGCCAGCTTGTAAGCGGCTCACAACAGTGATGTCATCGTCTGTTGCAGCATCGTCCACCTGCAAATCAAATCAGCAGACTCAGTTGTAAATACTAGTTTTCCTCAAATAGGTGCATGACATGAATAAAGCAGATCATCAGTCATGGAGACAGCATGTTGGAATAAAGTACTTTTCAACAAAAATAAAATAAAAAAAAAGGGACTGTATAAAGACCTCATCAATGAAATTGGTAATACGTTCTTCTGCAGAACACTTCTTGAAATAAAATAAAATTAACTAAGGGTGTCTACTAGAAGTTCATCAAGCATTTTCCTGAAATTTTGAATAAATTTTCCTGAATATTGACACGCCTTTGATTTTACGGACCAACATATCAAATTAATCGAATCAAATTTATCACTTTTGGACATGCTAAACTACATGTAGTTGAAAAATGTTCAGTGCACTAAGAATTTCCTGATCTACGATTGATTTTTCTGCTGACATCATGATGCCATACATTTTCAGATTTTCACTGACCGTAGACATCCTGCAACTGTTAAATTATTCAACTATCATGCTCAACAACAAAAAAATGGTCTGCGTGACAAGAGACTCAAAAGTGACTTACTTACTTTGACTCTCAAAATAGTGTTTTACAAACTTTTAAGCATTAAAGAGGTGTTAAGGGGTATATTCTGAAAATTTCTGATGTGTTACAAAGATTTAAATGCCTTTTTACCAACAAGTAATGTAGTCAGTTTGCTGAGTCTCATAAGCGCGAAAGACCCGTAACATCATTTTTACCTGTGTTTTGTTGAGTTCGTTTGATACAATTATAACTTGACTATTGGGAGTTGCGGCTCTGTTTGGCTGTTGTCTAGAGGGTGTGCTGGTTGCTGGATGCGTCAGGATGGCAGGTGGGTGAGTCGTTGTCACGACAGTTATGTTTGACTCGAGCGCCTCTGAGCTATGCAGCCGCAACCAGTTTGATGACGAATTCATCTCCTCACCATCAGCCTCTTCTCGTGCACCTTTGATTGAAACACATGTCGTTGACGCAGTGTCAACGTCTGAAACACAGAGAGAAAAATGAGCATTCAAAGGAGGAGAAAGAATAACTAGCTGTAAATTGGAAACTTAATTAATTTTCTGACTATAAATTTGTTTAACCTTCTAGTTTGTTTGAGAAATACTTTTTTTTAAAAAACAACTAGAAATTGGAGAAAAAGTCAACAATTCTCCAAATATAAGGAGAGAAAAGGCTTGGGCTTGCGAAATCAAAGTGACACATTGAAAGATCAGGCAGCCAAAATAACAGCCGGACTTTCAGAGATGTTATTTTTCATTAAGTGAAGTGTGCATATAAATTATGAATATTTTAAGGACTTTAGCCAGCTTCTTCGGACTTGGGAGTTAGATTACTGAAGACTTTCATAAAAAAAAAAACATTCCTCTGATAATTTGGAGCAGTACTGTGATACTTCACCGTTTAACATTCCACCTTAGGAAAATTAACAGCAGAAAATTGATCATGGCGATATTTCATAAAGATAAATCTTAAACTTTTCATCGCTGATTTCATACTTATTAATACCATCTACGGAAGCGCACTTGATGCACAAGAGACCAATCAAAGCATAGGTTGCAATGAGGTGGCATAGATAGAGAACTCTGATTGAATAAATTTGCATTCTGACTGAATTTCTTGAGAATTGGGCCCAAAATTCGAATTTCAAGAATTATTGATATACTATCAATTTAAAGGATATAGAAATGAACTTATTAAATTTAATGTAATAATAAAATGTATATTTTATGTAATTTACTGATTGGTATTTTAATTTTATTAAAATTTTAAGTCTAATAACACCGGTCAACATGGGTTCTGTCCTTTGAACCAAACCAATTTTTTACGATTCCTAGGTGCTAAAGAAGCCCGAAAATGGCCATATTAACTTCAGGGAAATTAGCTGGTGCTCAGGGCGCCGCCATTTTGAATTTTTCAAAATTGAGGAAACCCACGATTAGAATTTTGCAAATATCTCCTCAGCGGTTCATTTCACAAAAAGAAACAAAAAAACCAGCGGAAAGGACATAAAATTTTCACGAGTATCTGAGAAAAGAACTGTTATGCTCATTGAAAAGAGCGTAAAATTTACTTCTAGAAAACATATATCAATAGTTCCTAAACTTGATTTAATCCTGTGAAACAGCAGTTTGTTAGCTCCGCCCTTAAAATGTGATTTTTTCGACCATTTTCCTTGGAATCACGAAAAAAAGAGATAGAACCCTAAAAACGTGACCCAAACTGACCAGCCAATTTTCCTGAAGTTTAAATGGCCATTTTTGGACTTCTTTAGCACCTAGGAATCGTAAAAAATTGGTTTGGTTCAAAGGACAAACCAAAACCCGAAATTTGTTGTGCTGTGATAATTCTAACAATACTCTCTTCCCGTGAATTACATGCATTCAAAGACTTCAAAATACATAGGCTGTCCCAAAACAACTGGCACTAAGGCTGTCATTCGGAAACTACAATAGATATCGACATGCGATTTGCGGGAGGTGATAGCTCATACCCTTGGCTCTTAAACGAGCCTAAGTTGAGCTAGTTTGGTTAAAAACTCAACGAGTTACATCAATTTTCCCGAGACGTGTAAGAAATACCCCTACGGATTTTTCGGTCATTTTTCATTCCGTTAACTTTGCCTCCGCAAGCTTTGCAAGTGGTTCAGACGTTATGAAGCAAGTTTCCACTTGTCTGGATGCAAGTTTGAACTTTCCAGCAAGTGTTTCCATCACAGCCGAGAAGTTTTTTTCTGTGTTCAAAGTCCATTTAGTGAAATTGGCCGCCCTGATAACGCGTTTTTTTGTGTTTCGTCATGAGTTCACCCGCGCAGTTGAAGCAAGAGCAACGATACGCAATTCGGTATTGCGTTCGTCGTGAATTATCTGCTCCTGAAACTGTGAATGAAATGACAGTGGCTCAGAAGAGTTTCAGGAGCAGATAATTCACGACGAACGCAATACCGAATTGCGTATCGTTGCTCTTGCTTCAACTGCGCGGGTGAACTCATGACGAAACACAAAAAAACGCGTTATCAGGGCAGCCAATTTCACTAAATGGACTTTGAACACAGAAAAAAACTTCTCGGCTGTGATGGAAACACTTGCTGGAAAGTTCAAACTTGCATCCAGACAAGTGGAAACTTGCTTCATAACGTCTGAACCACTTGCAAAGCTTGCGGAGGCAAAGTTAACGGAATGAAAAATGACCGAAAAATCCGTAGGGGTATTTCTTACACGTCTCGGGAAAATTGATGTAACTCGTTGAGTTTTTAACCAAACTAGCTCAACTTAGGCTCGTTTAAGAGCCAAGGGTATGAGCTATCACCTCCCGCAAACCGCATGTCGATATCTATTGTAGTTTCCGAATGACAGCCTTAGTGCCAGTTGTTTTGGGACAGCCTATGTACTAAGAATTCACGGACATTTTAGAAATTTTAAGACTGTAGGTAAATCTACTTTCTAAACATGAGCCCATGGCTTTAAATATCTGCATTTCTGCTCAACTGCACCTTGTCGCAGTGCTGAAGAACACTTTGAAAATATAACTTGATGCGGATTACACTGATAAAAAACAGATGAGTGCTCCATGACTATGTAATATTTATCATGATTAAGGAAAGGAAGCATTGAATAGTAGACTCACCCACTAAAGTAACACCATCAACAACTCTATCCTTCCCATATGCCGATGTTGACTCGTTATCACTTGGAATAAAGTTGGTCTCGGCAACGCAATGCTCATCGTTTAGTAGCTTAACAGGTACATTATGAATTTGTGGCTGCTCTTTGTTCTTCCATGACTGACCTTCTGTTTGCATCAGAACACTGTCCAGTGATGGCGGGGTTGCTCTCCGTTGGTTGCGATTCGAAATCGACGAGCTCCGTTTCCTCGTTGGTGGAGCGTACTCCTCTTTGATTTCTACCGCCGAGCTGATCACGCCATTCATGTCTGATGACTTGATCGGTATCGGCGTCGCAGATGTCACATTCGTGACAGGTGGGACTGGTGTGACAGGTGTAGAGACAGGTGGAACGACAGGTGGAACTGGTGTGACAGATGTAGTGGCAGGTACAGCATCATGTTTCTCCGTTTCAATTTCTGGTTTAAGCTCCTCCTTGCTGGGCTTTTTACTCTCGTCAACTAATTTTTTCTTCTCAATATCTTTCTCTGGTTTAGCTAATTTGTTCTCTGAGCTCTTTTTTTCATTAACACTGGGTTTTTCTTCATTAATATTCAATTGACTCGACGTTTTGCTGAGTTTCTCTCTCGGACTTTCTTTCGCTTTATCTTTCGCGTCTTTGGATTTTTCCTCCGCGCCTTGCTTTGCTTTTTGCGACTCTGGTGATGAACTCAGTTTGCTAGACGTTGATTCAGTCTCGGTATTGTTGGAAGATTGGTCTTTCGAGGATTTTTCTTCGGATTTGGCTGGTGTTTCAGTTTCATCTATTTTGGCGACCGCCACTGGGGGCGGTGGTGGGGCGGGCCCTTTGTCCCGAGAAAACCTTTTTTCATTCCCTTCTGATTTCTTAGATACCTGGAAACAAGATAGATGAATGGTTGAAAAGCTGCACACTTTGATAAAAAAACTCACATAAAAATCATAACAAGTGGTTTTGGGAAAATTTCACAATCCGTTTACATCAAAATAATTTCCATTCCCTCCGTTTGTGGAATAATAGTTCTTAACATTGTACTGATTCTTTATTTATCAGACAAAAATTCAAAACCCAAAATTTTGAAATGAGACCTTCATCAAGTTATAATAAATTTGAGTGGTTACATAGTGACTTTCTTTGGCTCTATCAATACGCTACCAACGGCAGGAGATCCTTTTCATACTTGTAACTTTTGTTTTGTTGCTTGCAGTGTAGTTTTTTAAGTACAGCTAATGATAGCTAAGAGTACCAAAATGGTTAATGTATTAAGGTGATTTGATGGACGCCATTTTTTGTGTCAGAGCGACGTGCGATATATCGCATCGATTCATTCCATAATTTCAGCTACTTGTCATTTTTTTCGAATTTTGAGATTGCACTTCTGTTGTCATGAATCTAAAGAATTCATGTACCTAATTTGACAAAGGAATTCAATGTAATAAAGGCAAGGTTTTTATAGAAGAAAAATATCGCATTCCATACCGATATCGAAACTGCACTCGAATGCTATATTTTTCCTCTAAAAAAACTACGCCTTTATTACTTTGAATTTCTTTGTCAAATTTGGTACATGAATTCTTTGGACTCATGACAAAAGAAGTGCGATCTCAAAAACTGAAAAAAATGGCAAGTAGCAGAAATTATGGAACAGATCGATGCGATATATCGCACGTCGCTCTGACACAAAAAATGGCATCCATCTAATCACCTTAAGTTGTTGACTGAAATAACTCAGAAGACAGAGGAACAAAGAAAACAAACATGGAAAATAAAGTGGTTTAACACAAGCTGAAGAGTCTCTAAGTACGCTTAATCCTCATCATCCCTGAACAATTTATGCTCAGTAAGACTGAATCTTTGGTCCGCATTGAAATACAAGATCTAGATAAGTTCTCTATCATTAGGAACATAGACGATAATTAATCTTTGGAATCTGTCTACACCCATCATTTTATCCAAGGTAGCAGAGAGCAAGTGAACCCAAAAGATGAACAGTAATGAGACTCACCGGTTTCCTGTCGGCAAATTTGGCTGCTGAAGAATTATTAGTAGTTTCTTCATTAGACAATTTAGCATTCGCTTCTTCGATAAGCTTTGATTTTCTCCTGTCCATCTCTTCAACTTCCGCATTCTTCTTCGCATCTCCAGCATCAGTGTCATCTAATAGAAACAAAAATTTTTGCATCCGATGAAAAATTAAACTTGTATGAGAAATTATCAGAGACTGGTTGAAATGTTAATCTTCCTTCCAAAGATACGATCCTTTCTAAATTAGGGGGTGAAAAACTGAAAATTTATTGGTGTGGTAACCTCAATTGGGCTGTTTAAAGTGAATATTATCAGCAAATTTGAAGCGCAAACCTATAATTGCCATTGATTGACTTTCCATGCCAGCGCATTGTTTGCAAAATAAAAAGATACTTCTTCATGCAAATAACTTGAAGCGATGTTGCAAGAATCTTTGACAGACGAAGCTTTAATCTGATGGCTTCGAGAAGAAACACAGCTTGAACATGATTAGGATAATCAGAGAGCATGAATCGTCATTTTCTAAACGGTCCTGATTTTTAATTAAATCTGCCTTCACAACTCGCTACCTTAAGTCAACTCTTTAACGTTCAACTGAACAAGTGAACACCATATTCTATGGTACACTGTTACATTCAACAACTGGTAATGCACCAAAAATAAAAACTCTTCATTCATTCTAAAAAATAGATTCCAAATTTTGAACTCACCTTTAAGATCTTGATCACTGCGAACTGACACAGTGTCATCTTCGCCATTGTCCAAATCCAGGGGAGCTAGTTGAGACATGCGGTGCTCCTGGAATCAAATTGGAATGGCACATATAATTAACAGGGTGAGCTCTTGTGAAATGACCTACCGTTAATTCAATAAAAATAAAACGGAGTCCTGACCTTTTTTTCCTTCCTAAAGCATGATTTTCAGTTTTTTTTTTAAATTGCATGTGTTTAAATTATTCAAAATTCTTAATATCACAGAACAAAATTGCTGGACTACAACTATGTGAACTCCATTTTAATATTCCTGGGGTCTAACAAGCGCGAGCTCCTTCAGCTAATTTAATGGATTTCAACGCAGTGCTTGTATGCAATTTAAGTGATCAATTTCACATGGGATGTGCAGTAGTTTGAGAAGTGTCCTGGTACACACTATTGAAATTGATGTTAAACTTTACACTGCTAAATATAGGCTCAATTACGTATGGAACTAAAATTCAATGACAACAAAACAAAATAATTTTGGAAATAGATCATTAGTGAAAAATTTTTGATTGATATATTAACAAATAAAAGCAGTAAAATTAAAAGAGATATTTTGACGGCTCTTAAAAAATAAGAAAAAAAAAACCACCTCTACACGAAAAGAGAGGACAGGACAAACAACAATTACACCTACTAAGTACAACTGATGTCAGATAAGTTCGCAGGTAATTACTTTCTGCTTCGAGATAGATAAATTACTGTGATTTAATAGCTATCAAAGACTGGTTGATCAGTCGACTGCGCATAAAGTGCAAAGTTAACAACTGCAAACACATCTGACACAAATTCCAGAAACTTAAGAGGTAATCGAGCCATTTGCTGTGACAATCTTGCAAGCTTTTTTAAAACGAGCATTTCTTCAGCAAATGATATTCCCTTCTTTTCATTCATCAATTCAAATAGGGAGAGGAGTTCTTGCTGTTAAAACTTGTCTAAAAATTTGAACAATAACAATAAAGGAAGTTAAAGTAGGAAAATAACAAAAGCAAACAGAACTTCACCACAACGTGGGAAAAATTAAGTAACTCCAGCACACCAGACTTCAAGTGAGTAATAGGAGTAATTGTATTCAATCATAAAGGCAAAAATAACATTTACCAAAACAAAAAACAACCAAAACTCTTTAAAAAGTTGGAGGAAATACTTTCGAGACACTGGCCAATAGTAAATCACTTGACCAATAAAAAGGTCTCAACACTTGATTATTACTTTTAGATTGGACACGATGAAAACCAAGCAAGCAATTGTTTACAGTCTGACTAATCTTCAGAATCATGCATTATACACTGTTGGCGTATGATTGCAGCATGGCACCCAACTGCTATTATCAATTGTAGCATTCGAGAAAACATTAGTCTTTTCATTGTCACTACTGCTACCGGAAAAAAGTCGATACATTTTTTCTACTAGTAGTGGCGGTTCTAAGACCATCTCTGTGGTTACAACACACTACTTAGCAAAAAAACCCAGATCAGATCCTATGAAGGAAACAATAAACCAAACTAAATCCAAACAAAGAATTTACACACATATGGAGAAACAAAAAAATAAACAAAAATTCAAGCTACACAAAAATATTAATTTTTTCACACGGGAGAGGGGTGGCACCAAAGTAGATCATTGGACGAAGTAAGTAAATTGAGCACCATGAGACTTGCTTGCTCTTTAAGTTGGAGGTGTTTTCAGAGAATATGATGGGAACATTGTAAGTTTCACAATTTAGCTCGACCTGAGAAATTTTCATTCTCTATGTCCGTCGATTCAAATATCCAGCTTGTTGAGACAAAAGTCGACCCAAAGCTTTAAGCCGTGATTACTTTTTATTTGGCTCATTTGGGCTCTAAGCTGCAGAAATTTCTGTCATACATCATGATCACAAGACTACTCACAAGAAAAACTTTTGGTGAATTTCGCATCTTTTTACAGAGCAATTTGAGTGGGGTTGGTGTTGCGTGCATTAAAGACAAAAAAAGGCGATAGCGTGGACAATTTTTAGGGAAAAGATGTCTTTAAAACGGGAATGCCGTTTCGATAAAAGGGACGGCTCAGAACTTTTTGCACCCCTGCTCGGATCTCTTATGCTGGATCCAGAGATTTAAATTGATCTTTTTCAATGTGGACTGAAACATTTAAGTAGTTTCTTGCCAAAGATGGTATAAAATGCGGACAAGATACTCTTGATTTGTAATTTTTTCATCCTCACCCAGTCTAGTGATCTACTTTGTAATGGCACGGAGTCAGGCATGCCTGCTTTTTCACTGCAATAGACCACTGGGCAGAGCATGAAATTTGTTACCGCAAAATTGAAATCTAAATTATGTGAACTCAGAACGTTTATATCTCAGATTTCCGATACATTTAGTGTTAAATTTGGGTGAGAAAGAAAACGGGTTTTTTTTTTTTTTTTTTTTTTTTTTTTTCACTAAACGTATCGAAAATATGAGAAATAAAGTCACAGTGCTTAATTTCTTAGTCTGTCTAGTGGTCCATTCTCAGGAAATATGATAGCCGCAGGGTCAAGCAAGGACAGGGAACTTGAGAGAAACTTACCGATTCGCTGATACTGTTCCCTATTCTTTTTCATTTTCCTAACCGCTCGCTAAAAGAAAGCATGGAACCAAGCCAAGATATTTTCTCTTACTAACACCGAAAGACAAAAATCAAAAAAAAAAAAAAAGAGTATTGCACAAGCGTAAGTCGGAAGTTTGTAACGTTAGTCAGGCAAAGCGAAGTAATCCTTTAGAGCAAAAAAATAAATTTTCGCTTGATCGGCACAAAAGAATTGGATAGGAGCCCTTCTCGGAAAATGATTGCTTTTACTATGCTATGCTTCCAATGGTGGTAGATCATGGTATCAATCATTTCATGTTTGTTCCAGAGAGCACAGGATAGTTGCAAAGATTACAAACCATTCAACACAGATAGTTGGCATTGTTCAGGTTATCATAATACCAATCCAAGTCCATTGTGACTATAGAAGTACTCAGCATTCATCAAAGGGAATGGAATGTGAGAGATCCTATCTCCTGGGTCTGATTTTTTTTTTACTTCAGAGCTTGAATAGTTACAGGATTGTGTTTAGGTAGTTAAGTTTTACAGATCGGCAAAATCTATTTAAAAAATCTGCACGGATTCAAAGTTGCAAAGTAACAACCAAAGGAAACAAACCAAATTATTTGGTGTAATTTGGTTTTAATTAAATGTTAAAATAATTTTACTCAAAATCTAAATTTAAATCTCTACATTTTTATATATTTTTTTAAATTAAAGATTATCAATCTTATTTAGATACATTTGGTATTTTGATCTATTTTACTTTAATACTTAACTTTTAAAGTTTTCCAGTTAAGGAACCATAGAAATTGAAATCAGTCGTCGGTTCAAAATCAAGCTGGGAAAAGTTGATTCAGCTAAAATGTTAACTGAAAATGTGTAGTCATAAATGAGAATCTCGGTGGTTTTTATTAAAAATCTCGAAATTCTTCCTGCATTAAGTGACGAGGAAAAGGGCTTTCAACACTCGGGAAAGTTGGAATAGAAATTTTCCCTTTACAATTCCTATCTTGTAGAAAACATCTGCGAGTCTGTGAAAATTAGGTTGCAAGGTATCATCATTTTCTAAACAACAATATCCAGACAAATTTGACTATTATAAGCTGACCAAATGTTTAAAAAAAGGCTAAAATTGCAGGAGCCGAAAACTTAAACAAAGAAATGATCTGTACGTGTTCAACTATGTCTTTTTCAAGTCTTCCGGTCGCTGTCATCAAGGACAGTTTGGAGAAAACTGTAAGCTTTATTCACTCAGTGCTTTCAAATGACACAATAAAAAAAATTGACTTAACTGCCTTATTATTTTTTTCTCAGCTTTACCTGGCTCAGATTAATCTAAATGATCAGGAAACCCATTGAGCTTCCCTGTAACAGACTGATTAAGTGGCTAAGTTATATGATACTTTGCGATAAAATTATCAAAATCTAACTGGCCCGTTTGAATTTCGATTAATTTTGCTGCAGTTTGAAAGTGCATTAAAATTAAAACCGTCAATCAGATGGTTGAACTTTTTGAGATTGACGTTACGTTTTCGTTTACAATTGACCCAGCAAAAACATCAATCGATCAAATGACATAGAGGTCAGCTAAGTAGACGGTTGTTTACTTTCGGTTTGCAAGCGTTTTCACATCACAAACATCCACATGAAAGCATTCGACTCTCGCAGAAGCAAGAACACAAGCTTAGAAAAGTTTCTTTATACTTTCCAACCTTGTAACACTTTAATTTTTAGCCACACAGAAATCACGACCTCATAATAGTCACGAATCATAACTGATGAGTAGTTTTTTTACGATACGATCATCAGAAAGATGTTTTCAAGGTGGATAGTAGCGAACGCCGCTTCATGCAGAGGTCGAAATTCGTCGTCGGCGCTTGCAAACCGAAAGTGAACAACCGTCAACTTAGCTGACGACACCTCTAGCCACTGAATCAGTCTATTGGTGGTATAATGCTTGATATATAACAAAACAGGAGTTTAAGACAGGCACAGAAAGCACCTGTGGTGTGCCGTACATTCAGGAGGAATTGAATCTGGGTCATACGGCATGTGATGTGGATTGACGATAGCTCACACAAGATGCTGTACATAGGGAGGTGCTGATCTGAAGGGGCTAGAAAGCGCCTACTTGCCCGGACAGAGATGGTTTTAGTTGAATAAGCTGGAGTGAGGTAAAAGTATACACAACGAAAGGAAGCAGTAAATCCAAACATTGAAATTCTTCTCGTAAAGGAGTTAGTAAAAGAGAAGAGAGAGCAGAAAAGAACAAGAATAACCGAATGCTCGGAAACAGATACGTAGAAAATCGTAGAGGAAAATCTTTTTTGAAGACCTCCACCTCTCAGATTTCAAAAATGGCTGCCAGGAGATCTTTTCTTTCCTATACGAAATGAAAGCATTACGGATGAGGAATTCGTTTTTTTTTTATTTACAGTAAGACTTTGATTTAACGAACCTCCTTTTAACTGATCGACCTTCCGGTCCCTTCAAGAGTTTCAAACTGATTCGAATTTTCAGATTCCGATTTAATGGACCAATTGGTCAGTCCTGCGAAATCTGATAAATACTTCACTGTTTTTGGCGATGGCCATACAGTTTTGCAAATTTTTGGCAAGTATTACTTTCTACACATCTTTATCATCTAAAATTCAAGTATACGAAATAACTTCCTATTTTTTCATAAAGTGGTGCAAAAAACACGATGATGATCCAAATTCTTTCAATTGCGATTGGCCACTAGAGAAGGTCTGAACTAGAGGAAAACATCACATGTATCCTTTTCAAGATCTTACGTTGAAAACAATTCACACGCCGGGAAATTTGGAAATCGACTCCTGAACAAAATATTAACGAGTCGATGGCTAACGAACAATATGACCAATCTGCAAACTGACGATTTTTCAGAATGAAGAGATAACTTTGCCTTTTATGTAACAGGGTGTCTACTGGTGCCCTGTCATCAAAATTCCTTGCTTTTTCAGTACATTTTCCTTGCTTTTTCCTTACTTTCCCGAAAATTCCTTTTTTGGCGATCCTCAAAAATCTTTGCATTATCCTTGCCTTTCCCTTATTTTTTCCTTACGTCACCATCATTTTTAACTGTATTCCAATTGGGAAAATGATGAATGAAGAAATGACAAAGGAACACACCAGAAATATGAGGAATCGAACCGGGAACTTAATGAATGGATTACGTTAGGAAATCACGTACACCCAAGGCAACTTGAGTTCGTCACAAAAATGTCGAATTTCTGGACCTTTCGAATTTCTGGACCCTCACGGAAAATCCATACCTTTTTTGTACTTCCGTACCTACCTTCCAAAATCCGTGATTTTTCAGAGTATACGTATTTTATTCGTACAGCAGACACCCTGTATAATCTGCAATTTTTTCACTCATTACAGCGTCACTGAAGCGCTTCCCTACAGAACTGGAAAAACTGGAAACATCAGCTTGCGTATTTACTGTAGAATGCGGCAAAGTTGCTAACTTATTTCAGCCAAAATTGTCAGTCACACGGTATTGTTCGTTGGCCCTCAAAGCGTTTTTAACACAGTTCATATGGAATTCAGCTTATACAAATGACGTCATTTGTATTTTTGCCATTTAACCAATGTCAATTATAAACTTATTTCTTTTTAGAGGATGAATTCCAGGCTTCCTATCGTGGGATTCTTTTCCTATTGAGTGAAAAATTTAGATTAAATGTTGAATTGGGCCACTAACACAAAATAAAAAGGTGCCTGATCCAGATATTAAAGGTGAGAAACATAAGGTCATTTTGATGAAGAAGAAGATACAAATTTGACTTACATCCGTCTCGTCGTCTACAACTTCCTCTTCGACGACTTCCGCTTTGTACTCGAGCAGCAAATCTCGAATTGGTTTAGAGTCTAGATTTTTGCTTATAAATGAGTGCTGCAACAGATAAAGTTGACCGAGTTTTTCAGTAAAGTAATGTATTTTAATGGAACATTTGAGCAAGGTTGTCAAAAAATTTAGATTGTGGAATTCCTTGATACATTTTGGTGAAATTCCCTGACAACTGAAGATATGCTGGACGGTTAAAGAGATATAATTTGAAATAATGACAAAGATGACATTAATGAATAACAAATGTTTGTGATATTCTCAATGTAACACTCTCAATGACTTACTTCGAAGGCTTTTTTAGTGCAATGCCCCTTTTTCTGTATAAGCTCACGAATAAATAATGTTAATCTTTTTAAGACTGATGAGTCTTGACTTACCTTCAATAAATCATCCGCTGTGGGACGTTGACTAGGATCTTTGATCAGTGCTTTTGAAATGAAATCATTGAAATCTTTTGACCACTTCGACGGCTGGTCTAGCTTTGGTGGATCAGACTTTTGAATTTTGAGCAAAACACGCATCGGCGACATTTCATGGTTCGGGGGTTCCATTTGAGCAAATTCTATCAGAGTAATTCCTAAAGACCAAATGTCCACCTACAATGAAAAAATAAACTCAATTAAGATTATATCAGTACATACAGAGAGCAAATATGAACAATGAATTCTGACTAAAAAAATAACTTTCACCTTGATCATAGATTTTTCAAATTACGCGATCATGTGCTTCAGAGGTGAAGAAAGTTCCCAGCCTTCGCTTGGGAATTCATAAAATTGACCTTTCGCCATTTTTGACCAAAATTTATTGGACTCATAAATTAAAGCAAACGTTTTCCTGAAAAAATTCAATTTTTTCACAGATAAAAAGAAAATTTCAAAAAATGTAAATAATTAAATTATTGAAAATTATTAGTTCTGCCATTGAATATTCTACATTTATGAGGTTTTTCCCGTGAAAACCTTATCTTCTGGTCTGCTTCTGGCAATTCCCTATTGTTGTGGACCGAAAATTCAGGTAAGACTCAACATTTCTGAAGAAATACACTAATCAAACTGAACTTTAATAAATCAAATGATCAGCATATTGATGCATTGATGTGGTTTTCTGATCATTTAGGTCTCTTAAAAAAAGTTATGGCTGCATTGGAAGGTTTCAATTTCCATCACTTACCTTAAAATTATAGGGGTTATCTCTAAACGTTTCACACAGCACGACCTCAGGGGCCATCCAGTACGGTGTTCCAATGAATGTATCATGTTTTTGCAGCGTCAACTTGTTCTTTGCTGACACTCCAAAGTCGGCTGAAATCATCGGGAAATGTAAAATGTATTCAGTGGCAGGTTATAAGATGACAGTCCTTAAAAATGGCCGTAAGGGTCCAGTTTGAAGATCAGTGATAAGTTTTAGTGATTAGCAGATATGTTAGAAATTCCCTGACTTTTCCCAGTTTCCCAGACTGCCAGCAACCCTGTCCATTACAAAATTAGATACATTTTCTTCAGAACTCACAAGCAAAATAGCTTTTGAACCATCTAAAAGCATCTTTAATTTCCCCGAACAATTATGTGCCATTTGTCACTTATGCAGTTGTTCACTCGAAATCATTGACCTTGTCTTTGCGACTGTAGTACCTGTTTCCAGGTTTTCCAGACCGTTGGAAATCATTAGGCAAAATTATCAGGCTTCCGACGTTAGATTCTAGAGATCTAAAATTTGAAAAGGGGTTAGTTATGACAGATTAAAGTGTGACGCTGTCATGCAATTTTTTTTTTTTTCATTCTCATGCATTTATTAAATTAATAATTCTTCCTTTTTTTTGAACACTCTCAAATTAGAGATAAGATTTTGACGTGACGTCATTCTTGAATGACTGAGATTATTCCTTCACTATAACAGTCTTTTTTTTTTTATTTCAAAATTCTGATCACGTATGATCAAAAATTAATTGATGCAAGGAGGCAAAAAATCAAGGAATGTCAAGTATTGAACAATACCTGATTAGCACCTTTGCATCATAAATGAATAACTCGTAAAAGAGGCTCTACAATTTATCTTGTAATAGCTAATGCTCAAGATAGAGTAAAACTGAATGGTGAAAATCATACGCCAATGACTTCACAGCGTCCAAGAAATTGAAAAAAAGTAAACTTGGCATCGGCTGTATACGATTGAGAGGTAATTGAAAGATACAACCAAGTCTCCATTAATTCTAAGAGGCAGATAAGATAACACTTCACAAGACTTGAATCCTAATTTCAGGTGCTAGGAAATGGAGGATTAAACTTTTGATTCACCCTTGGTATTTGAATCAATGGGTCAGTGGCATCCATTTTTGTTCAATCAATTTTTTGAGATTACAGAGTGAACCACGTAAGCTAACAGGAATTTTTTCAACTTTTTTGTAGCTCTTAAAGGAGTCACCTCATTTTGAAAAATGGGACCTATTCGAAAAAAAATTTTTGGCAGGCACTGACGACGTAGCCAAACAGGAAAAAGAAATGCTTGCAGGAGTACATTTTCATACAAATACTTGCCAAGGGTAAAAATGCCCAGGGAGATAGGTGATTTTTTGAAGAAGTATAAGGAGAAATCATATAAAGTTTTAGGATAATGCATCCCCTGTCTAAATATAACTTAATAAAATGCCTCACTGTAACTTAATAAAATGTTGAAGACAGAAGTGAAACAAAACCATGAGTTTACAATATTTTTCTGCGCGAGACTAATTTAATTTTGATTCACTCCCTAAAATACCTAAGCACTGGCGCATTTGTCTTGAGTCGAATGATTTCACCTTTGATTTTTGACCTTGCAAAGAAATACTCACCGATCTTGACGCCTGCATCCATTGTAAGTAGAACATTGCCAGCCTTCAAGTCACGATGAATCACCTTGTTGGCGTGTAAAAACGTTAGTGCTTTACACATTTCCTTGCAGACGTACGCTATTTGTGGTTCTGTCAAAGGTTTCTCTAACTCGACCATAATAGAATCTAAGGCACCTCCATCACAGTATTCGATTAACATCTGCAACAGAGCCAAAGCAGACACAATTATTTTCCCACAGTTAAATGCTACACATGTGCAAGAATCCATTAAAGAAATACTGCACCTTCTACTACTTCAATTTACACTTCCTGCTAACAGAAAAAACCGGAGTCTACTCCAGTCAAATCACCAACTAGAGTAATTTTAGTAATTGTTATGATGGCAGAATGTCTCTGTGTACTAACTTTATTTTTGACAAAGTTAAAAATACCTTGTATCAGATGAGGAGAGAAATGCGCATGAAACCAACCTCTTGTTCTTTGCCCAACCTTTAGGTTGAGTTCGATGCCTAATTAAGTAGGCCTACCTTAACTACAGTTTATCCTCAAGCAGAAAGATTGAATTTACTGTTTATAATGTTAACTTCCCACAGTTATTTCTCACTGATGAATTAAGATTGAGATCTTTCCGTATGGTCGACTTTACAATAAATTTTTATGAAAAAACATGTGCCACTATGCTTAATTTCCTACCTTGTTTAGTGATCTATTAGACTACATTTTGCAATTAGGAACTACAATTATTGGCTCTGTTCAGAAACAACGTAAGTAATTTTACACTAAAGTGTTCTTATAGATGAGCCAGAAATTATCATTCTTAATTTCAAAATAAAGTCCTATTGTACCCTAAGTTTTGGGTCCTATGGTTTTATTCAACATTCAGATACTGTCAGAAAAAGAACTTTACAAAGAAAAAGAAGAGGAGTAAAATTCTTGCATACCCATAGCTTCCCGGTTAGGAAAAATGCTTCATAAAGTTGCACTATGTTGTCATGTTTGCATTCTGAGAGAATATCGATTTCGATCATGAAATCTGACAGGTCATCTTCGCCTTCTATAGCACACATTTTAGCAGCCGCCAGCTGCTTGGTTGTCCGATGCTGGGCCTGAGGAACAAAGTATAAGGTGAAAATTCAAAAGACAGAGAAAAAAGGAGCGATGAAAACGTTACTGTCGGTTAGCATAACCCCCCAGGGGAACTGGACTTAATATTGCGATTGGGAACTACATTCTCTGGCTTGGTTCAGAAACAACGTATGTTCAAATCAGTTTCTTAAGCACATACATGTTTTTACGGATGAGCCAGAAATTGTAGTTCCTAATAGCAGAATGAAGTCCAACTATAGTCTCGGCAGGACCAGGATCTCATGAAACCGCACTGACATACGATGGGTCAAAACAAAGTTTCAGACTAAGAAACAAACGCCACACCCTTCCCTCAGCTTTCCTGATGGCGAAGAGAGCCGCAACTGTCAAATTTTCGAAATCGAGTTTCCTTCAAAAGTCGTTTGATCTCTTATAGATGAAATCACTGAAATAACTAAAATAGCAAAATTCATCTTATTTTTAAGAAAATGAGACGAATGAGAAAGCCGCAAGTGCGCAAAAAATGTTGTAGTTTCAGACAAGACAGCCGGAGCTAGCATTATTCCTCCAGAGAACCAATGAAAAACAAGCAGTGAACTCCACAATGTGTTGATATGGCGCGTCATTAACTCACACATATCAACCCCTTTAGTTTTCATTTACAGAGATTTCAAAATAGGCAAGTAGCATAACAAGATAATTCATACGATCCAACTATTCGACGACGCACTTTGACGAGACCGTGTATTGTGAATGTAGAAAGCCATTCGAACGAGTTTAAGTTTTTTGATCTGCCCCCAGCAATATCTTATCAGATTCTTAAAGAAAAGTGCTACGGAATAATTTAAGCGAAGAAAGGAAAAATTCTGTCGAACTCCTGAAAGATACAGTCGATTTAAAGGTATTTTTGGGGCTAAAATATCCAAATAACCCGTACCTATTATAAATCCCGATATATTATTGAAAAGAAATTGACTCGATATAAATGTAATTGCATTAAATATGTCTTGATTTTGTTATTTTAAACGTATTTCCATGCAAAGAAGTTCAACCATGTCCATGCTTTATTCATTCATGAATTGAAAGTAAGAATCTACATCCCGAAAATCTACCGATTTGCCGTAAAAAAATTGCAGAAACTTGATATACCAGGTCGATGCACTCACTCGTTGAATTTACCAACCAATTTTGTGGGTGCAAATATATAAAAATCAATATGCTATAGTCATTTTGGGTGCATTTATTTTTCATGAAACAATAATAATTCCAATCCCGAAAAACCATCAATTTTCCGTATAAAATGGAAAAAATCGAGATGTGTCGACTCCCTGACGTGAAAATTAGATTCTACATGTAAAAATACTTACAAATGGATATGCTGAACAGAAACCATGTGTGGACACAGTTAGGATACATAGCCCCAGAATACTTTTAAAGCGCCTTTACTTTCCAGAATCTTGACGGAATTTTTTTTTTGGCTTAAACGACTCAAGAGACACTGTAGTTCAAAAATGCAAAGAATTTTCGATTTTGACACAAAAAAAAATGTTCGTTCAGGCACACCATGTATTGTATGATGTATTGCGCTGGTATTCAATCCTTGCCTTCAGATCAAAATTCTTACAAGGAAGCCCCTTGCAGGAGACGAATTTTTTGTAATTTCTCCCAATTTTTTCTCCGTTATATAGTTGAATTGCTTGCCAAATTCTGAGGTCAATTATATTTAATTGTAATTTATACATTTCTTTTTTCCCCTTCATTTTATTTTTTGTTTGGAGAAGTTTCGTCGATTTCTTCGGATTTCGAATACTGTAACTTCTCTTCTATTCGGCCGATTTTTATGAATGAGACCTCTTTCAATTCGTCTTTGGACGGAGAGTAAGGAAAAAATTACTAAGTATTCGCGAAACAATTTTTTCGAAAATTTGATGGATCCCAGCGTGACGGTGAAATGGGTAATCGAGTGAAAGTAAATAGGTCTGACTGTGGCGAGGGCCGCGAGGGTCGCCTTTTGTTCTTCAGCTGGGAAGCGACGCGGCGAACCGAGCCAGGACCGGGACACTACCTGGGTTTTGTGCCTGCCTGTGCACTGTTTTGGCCTGATAGGGGAGTGAATTTCTGTATGGGTCACGGTTAGCACATGGTCTAATGAGTCTCGAGGCTCATCACAGATTGCACTTACCACTATCCTGCTGGCCCCGGCTATCAGAGCAAGGGCTACCAAATTTTGAAAATCATAACAGGATTGTGGAGATCTGTCAAAGCAACGTTTTAAACAAAACGAAGAAGTGAAATTCTCATTCGACGAGTGCCGACCTGATCAGCTATCCTCGAATCAGTTCGCTTGCTTCTGCTTATATATGCATATTTTAAATCAGCGCGTCGCATTCTTAGGCTTTTTTTAAAAAAACCAAGTAACGTAGACTCTTGGTATTTACTGCACATAAACTAATGAGCCCCAGAATGAGAAACAACTTTCAATCATAATTATTGACGGATAAATAAACTTTTTACACGCTTTGGAAAATCTCAGAAGTTCGCGGTAGTCACTTTTCGGTAAGGAACTAAGGGACTCGGTTATTGTATCGGGTGGGGGGTCGAAACGATCGCAAAGGCGGTATACTACGTATACGCGCCAAAAGAGCTTTAAAGTAGAATTCCTCCCTTTCCTGCCAATTTTTAGCCTGAAAAAGAGTTTGTTTACCATGCGATTCCTATATTTTCTGCAGAATATTGACACAAATCCCTCAACCTCCGCTCTGAAGAAGCTACTGAGCCCATTGTCTCAATACTTCATTTTCGCACTTACGGCTCTCTTTGCTTACAGGCAGTCAGTATGTTAATGAACATTCAAGACCATGAGCTTCACAATGGTGACAAACCCTTGTGAATCTTTGTGCATGGGCTGTTCACACTCACTACGACATCATCACCGGCAAAGTACGTACCTAAAATGATAATTGCTGGTATTTGAGCAATGAGATTTTTAATTTTTTTGCTCTCTTTACCTTTGTTTTCCCCAACCAATACAAGTTTTCTTAGAGGATGGTGAGCTGTTTTGTTTTTTTGTAATTTACCGCTTTCTCATATTAAATAATATTCTGTACTATGCGTAGTGAAATAAAATAAACAAATTTATTCATTTCTTAAAAAAGATAAAGTATTACTCTCTATTTCCTTATAAAATTCTCTGATTAATTTTCGTCCTCACTAAAATTGGTCCTGACTTTTTTTGGGATTCCTTGACTGTGGGAACCCTGCAATCCAAATTTTTTAACAGACAGGCTCCAAATCAGCAAGCAAGCGCTGTGATCTTAAACGCTAAGCTGAGCCGTGAAAACATCATCCACACGTACCTTGTAAACTTTTCCGAAGGCTCCATCACCGAGCTCACCGATCATTTCCCAAAATTCCTCTGGATCGCAGTCCATGCGGATATTGTTGAACACTTTTTTCTTCTTCGCCTCATTGCTCCCGAGATGAAGCACTTTCTTCAAGCCACTTAAAAATGACATTTTTCAAAATAAACTAGAACGCACTTTGAGTTTTTGATAATTGTTTGCGACTGAGGGAGTTAACCCATCTTATCGCGGAAGACATAACAGTTCATTAAGACACCCGAGAACTAAACAACTCTGCACTGTTGTCGGGGAAGACATTGTTTTGGTCTACAGAGGGGCCCAATAAGAAGGCATTACAGTTGGAGCGAGACAAGGAATTTCCTGAAAAATGGGAAAAAAAAACAGCTGATTAAGTACTGATTTGATAGAGAGGAACTTTCTAAAGAAGTCACAGGGCCTTGAGGAACATCCACAAGGTGACAAGAAAAGTACATGGACAAAGGGTAGAATTTTGTGAGGTACCTAGAAAAAATGTAGAGAATCTCCGGGCCATTTATAGGCTATCTGAATAAATTATGAGGCATTTTCTCGAGTCTTTGGTTGTTTCCAGATGGTTAGATATGACAAATTTGAGAACACTCACTCATGATTTGGCAGATAATGGGGGAAAAATTATCTGCAGCCCAATAAGGATGAAAATTGCTGAGTTGGACAAGTGGGGAGGACTTCATTCTGAAAAACCTCCTTTCAGAAAACTATCTCTTGGATTCGGTTCTTTTTACCATTCACATCCATTGATAATTGAAATAATCATGTTACAGAGAAAAAACAATGCCGAGTTTGCTCATAGGTTCCAGTTTCCATGAGAGGAATTACCTAAATTAAGTTAGTGCTTCAGAGAACAGAAAAATACAACAGCTAAAATAAGGACTTTTTGAAGATTGACTGTTTGAGTGTGATTCTTTCGTCACACTCCGGCCAAAGTATGACATATTCTATGGGTGCTTTGGCACTAGGTTGCCAGATTTCTTAAACATTTCTTATTTTTTACAGAAAAACTAATGGACGAAATCACTGGAAAATCTTACTTACTTAACATTTCTTCTGCTATCTACATTAATTCTTAGGATTGACATGAAAGTATGTGCAAAAGTTTAAAGAAAAAAATATTAAAACAATGTGATGTTCCACAACATAGCATCCAAGCATAAATGGCGCTTGTAATGATTTAAACCATCAAACCAAACCCGAAAAAAAGCCATCAAACGCATGTAAGATACAGAAGTTTAATCTAAAAATGGACCTGGAGGCATTCTGGCTTTACAGGCAATGGATGTGCGGACACAAACTATTTGAAAAGACTAAGATGATACCGAAACTGGGATGCAACCAGAAAAGAAAATAGGATTGCACTTTTGCAAATCAATAAGAGGACAAGCTATTCTCTAGAAAAAAATTTAAAGAGAAAATAATCCAAAACAAATTTTAAGGAAATATCATGCTGGCTTCTTCTTCAAAAACACAAAATGAGGCCAGAAATTTTGAAAACACTACAATCTCCGTATGCGTTTCAGAGTTTCCTAATTAGTATCTCCACCAATTGATAACCTTTCAAAGAAAAAAATACAAAATTTTGAGTGTACCATCAGGTAATAAGAATGACGACTAAGGAGTAACACATATGAGAATTAGGATTTTTAATGCTTATGAAAAGTTCAGTATACGGAGAGATGCTCGACCACATCATATATTACAAAAAATAAAATTTAAGTACTTGGCAAGGCAATCCAAATTTAAAGTTTGAGGTTTTAGGAGTTGGTTAGAATACATAACCTACTACTTAAATGGTGCACAAAAAAATGAGAGCACCACAGAATTTGTAAGGCAAACAAATTTGGAGCTTGCATATAAACCTCTCAGCTTTCCTTAGAACACTCGTGAATCAAAATGGATAAAGTTAATTGAGAATAGGTTTTCTTGAGGAGGAAATTAAGCCAGGGAAAACTTGAATGGAGATACTCGGAGTGTGACCCTATTAACCTATAAGTAACACCTATACGGCTTCACAAACTTGCAAGAGGGATTGATTACCCGGATGGGTTCATCATAATGTACATTGGTGAGCATCATTGCCACTCGGATTGAAATTTTAAGTGCACTAGGGTGAATATGGTTAACCTACTTTGATTCAGCTACGAAAGTACAACAAAAAAAGCACTGGTTAGGGCAATGAGTTACGCTATGATAGAATTGATAGCTGTTCACAACTTTAAGAGATAAAATACCTGATGATTGGAAGGGATTGAATTTAGTAAATGGAAGAAGAGAAAAACCCGAAAAATATTAAGGGTATGTAATCTGCAAGATGAATGTTCATATCAGCATTTCCTACCTTTCAAAATCAAAACAAACACTGGACCGGCCATGACCACAGCGTGTCCAAAACTAGGCAAGTTAAAATAATACTAATTAATTATCGGGTGGAGATGGAAAGTAAAAAGGCGATCTAATGTGATTCTTCAAGCGAACTTGAAATTGCAGGATATTTCAGGAGAACTCCAGGTTTTAAAGTGATATGATGCTCATGTAACCTTCTCCAGTTGGAGGATAACTAAACGAAAATAACACCTGCACATGAAGAGAGATCATTGTGATAATACAGGGAAAACACCCAAATCAGGGCTGGGATCACGAAAACCACCGAAGATTAGGGGGAACTGATAGCTGATTATCATTACGCGAACTACTTGGCCTTAAAATTAAGGGATGGGCTATGTGCCTTGGGCGTAATTTCTTTCGAAGAATGCCAATCACGGCGAGTGTCTCTATCTTGTAGGTTCGATTGGGAAAAGATTGCGACACGCATATCGGCGTACTTACTTGTCGGTGATAGCTCCTGCAGTTGGAAAGCACTTACAAACCCACTGATATAAATACACGCACATGTTAGATAAACAAATTGGAGGATATTATCACGACAAAGATTCTGGGCAAGATCTCATTTCCATTTTGCGAGATCCATCGAAGTTCCTCTCGCCGTCGAAACCCTACCTACCTTCATGGTCCCCGTGACAGTAGGCACCACGCTCAAGTTGAAATGACGTCAGCAAATGAAGATGAACAAGTGGACATTGGTGGGATTTTAAGGATTTGTGGTCAAGAATCGTCGTAAATGAAAAGGAGAAAACCAATCTTTAATGAAGGCTGGATAAGTATATCGCTGTTCATTTGACTTCGGAAAGGAAATTAGGACGATTCTTGGAAAAGTACATAAAATCGACGGGGAAAAAAGAGCATTTATAACAGGCAAACTTGATTTTTACAGTTACCAACTATGTAAAAAGATTGTCACATACAACTGAGCATTGATCTTCGAAAACCTTTCAATTTTTCACCTCATAATGCTAGATTAACTTTAAAATTATACATGATTTCAAACCATAATTTTTTAACTTTCAATGTTTTACTCAATATTGGACTTTCATTCGTTCTGATCCCCACCTAATTTTTCTGTCGGAGCGGACCCAACAACGATTCAGTACTTTGCAAAGTCTAAGGTTGCAAACTTGCAAAATGTTTTGTTTTGATTGAGGTTAGGTAGGAGGTGACGAGAACCTGCCCACCGTCTCTTCTTTTTTTTACCTGCTTATGGCTTACCGTTTCCTTTGAGCAGAAGGTCTGTAATTTGCTATTATCCTTTTATCTGATAACAAGAAAGGACCTAGGTATTCATTATGTGGCTACTTTATTAGGTAAAATTTTACTCTTCAATGTGAATGCAAGTACAACACACACATACATACATTCAACTACTCAGTCTCTCCAAGCAAGCGGACAGGTCAATTTTTGTACTTATTGAAAGCATCAGAATACTCAGCACAAATGTCCGATAAACTTTCGATCTGTCGCAGATCTTAAAATGCAATCTAATTGTACCGAAGACACCTGACTCAGAAGCCTGACCATCATTACCTAAGCTAGCCAGAAAAGTGTCCATCCAGAAAATATGAGTCCTTTAGCAACAATCAACGCCTCCATGATGGCCCTGCGCCTCACAGGTAAGAACCACTCTGAGCCTTTTTTATGTCAACACTGAACACTTGGACTGCTTTCATCTCTGCCCACCCTACATTTTTTGTCTGATCCACAGATTCACTGCCACAATCTGTCCGAAACATTTATTGCACTGCGAAGAGGTCATGGTAGAGTACCTGTATAGGGAAAGTACCGACAGATCTGAAACTCCAAAAGTCCATCAGGCCTTCACCGATGCCCCCGGGAAAAAAGTTAGGGCCCAAAAGGGCAGCCAACCTATGAATTTCAATTATCCAGAGCGATTTACTGATACTATTGTTATGAACAGTCCTTTATTAAGCACGTGTTTGACTCAGTTTTTGCATAAATTTACTCAATTTTGCGGAAGAACGCTCATTTCTGCATATTCTTGGCCCTCTTGGTTAGAATTGGAATCTGTAGACTAGCAGTGAAATTTTGTGCGTTAGAAGTTGGTTGGAAGGGTGGCTGCACTTTTGGGCCCTAAGCCCTCCATGAACCGATCTGTCGGTACTCTCCCTGTACAGGTACTCTAGGTCATGGTTATCAGCACCTATTTTTTTTTTACAATTTTCCTACAGCACAGAGCTCCCGTTTTTTTGTGGAACACCACTTTCACATGAGTGTATTTATTTCCTAATTACTTATTGTCTCACCTTATCCCCATTGTACAAATGACCCTGCACCCTCCTTCTGAGGATGTGTACCACGATTGATTTGTAATTTTTTTCATAGAATTAAAGTCGTTTATGGATGCTGATCAAAAGTCATCGTTGCGCAAACTTTCTACGAGCTCCCAATTTTGCACAATTTACGATTGAAGTTTCGGTAATTTCCAGGACAAGCCGGTTAAAATAAAAATGCAGTGCGTCTGTCAAAGACGATAGAGTGAGAGAGGGAAGGAAGCTGATTTGGATGATGAAAAGAAAAGGCAAGTGGAACCAGAGATAAGACTATCGCTCAACTGCTGATCGGTTTTCCTGTTAACGTTATTTACACTCACCGAACCGACCCAAACAGTACGCGAGTACTGCACTGCCTCTATTTATGCATGGAATTATCGAAATGTTTTTTGTGGATAGTGCAAAAACGGTGGCTCATAGAAAGTTTGCGCAATGATGACTTTCAATCAGCATCCATAGTAGAATTTAAAACAAAAAAAATTTAAAAATCGACCTAGGTACACATCCCCACAAGGAGTGTGCAGGGTATCAGGTTATCTGCTGTACAGAAAAAGTACGGATACACTGAGAAAGCACGGATTTCGAAAGGTCGGTATAAGGCACAGATTTTCCGTGAAAGTTGTGGAAATCCAAGATTTCTGAGGTGAACTCTAAAAAGTAGTCTTAGGGGTATGCGATTTACATTTATGAAGTTCCTGGTTGGATTCCTTGGATTTTTTGGTTTATTCCTCTGTCATTCCACTTTTCCAATCCAATTATTATTATAAATCAGTGTGAGGTGAGGTAAAAGTAAGGAAAAGATAATGTAAGGATTTTTCAGAATCGCCAAGTAAATGAATTCTCGGGGAAGTAAGGGAAAAGCAAGAAAAAATAAGTGAGGAATTTGAATGACAGGGTACCAGTAGACATCCTGTGAATCTGCCAATAAACATTCGTCTCTTCAGTCAACTTGGTTCAGCTGTGAGCGAATCATCACATGCATTCACCATGGAAAATCCACTCCACCTGAAAAATGTTCTCTCAAGACTGGTTTTCCTGCTATGACCTGGTTCTTGGATAGAGTGATGACTGAAAACACTTGCTTTACAACTTTTGCACAGAAGAAGTCTTAAGATGAACCGACTCAAGGACAAGAGCTCCAAGGATGCTAGGTCTTATTTTTAATTTAGTCTGTTGAAGACGAAACTTCTTGCGGCGATGTGATTGAATGCTATAGTATTTGCCAGGTAAATGAGTTTGGATATAATGTCATCATAAGGAAGCACAGCATTTAAATACAGTTTGTAAAAAGATTTCCTTTTTTTTCAGTCAAAAAATGGACTCCTATTGTCCTGTCAAATGCCGCATTACATGATGAAGAAATTCCCAGAAGTTTTACGGAAGGTCTAACTGAGTATGAAGGTAATATTTGATTTTATTTCTCACTTTGGAAGTCCCAAAGTCTTCAAAACGTTAGCTCTAGTGCAGTCAATGGAGACAGACACTTTTTGGGGCTCAGAGACCTTTCAATTTTCGAATGTTATCTCTCAATTGTTTTCAACTTAATTTTTGTTTCACATTTTTTAGAATTATAACGTTATAAACAGGGCTAATACAGGGGATAAAGAGGGTTGTCACAAGGGAAAATGGGCCTGTTGCAAACTTTTGCTAGGGCAAAAATAAGAGTTGGTCCTTACAGATATTGTCTCAAGAATCACGATGAGCGCATCGGCAAACTCTGAAATGTACTCCTAACTTCACAATTTGCGCATGAAATTTGCGTTATTTTAAGATTCCCGCTTCAAAAAGGATAGTATAGCACAGGTGAACATTTCGTCAGAGGAGTCGCTCCATTCAATCCTTGCTCAACATGGCCAATGCTTCCACGCGCTAGTTGAGGAGAGCACGAGGTTAATCAAGGCGGATATCTATCAAAGCAAGAAAAATGTGAATGTAAAAACACGCCAATTGTTATCGGGTGGTTAGAATCATGGTCCTGTCACATGTGTTTTGGCGGATTGGTGTTGGCTATGTTGAATATTGCGTAGTATCCCAGTGAACAGGGGTTGTATAAAATAACTCCTCTAATGAAATGTTCACCTGTGCCGTGGTATTGTATTTCGAAATTGGATGTCTATCAAACAGAACTATGCACAGGGGAAAGATGGGATGTGCACGTTTGTGCTTGGGCCATAAGAATGAATGGGAAAATATAAAGCGCCAGTGACGAAGTTGCTGCCGCTGACTAACTCATGAGCCGCATCCTTAATGCTCTAGATACATGCCCACGGCTCTGGAAGGAGTGCATTTCAGACTTTGCCGATGCGTTCATTGTGATTTTGAGACACTTTCTATGAGCAACAACTCTTATTTTTGCTTTAGCAAAAGTTTGCAACAGACCCATCGTGTCTTGAAAGACTTGAAGTAAGGAGTGCATTTCAGACTTTGCCAATGCACTCATCGTGATTTTTGAAACACTTTCCGTGAGTAACAACTCTTATTTTTGCTCTAGTAAAAGTTTGCAACAGGCCCATTGGCCCCCACCTAAGAGCTAATTTGGTGCTGACCCCACATCCAGTAAGTAAATAGATAGAGGATTGCCGAACAGTAAGGTAATCAGGAATAACTTTATATGCCAGCGCTCATCACCCTCTGATGCAAAACATTATCAAATAGGTCAAAGTATAAACAGTGATGCAAAATATTATCAAATAGGTCAAAGTATAAACAGTAATACTGTAGTACAATGCTACAAAAAAGTGGAGATTGTGTAAAAAATTGAGTTAGCCAGCCAATATGGCTCTTAAAGTTTGGAGTTAAGTTAGAACAATATTTCAGATGATATAGGAGTTATGAAATAGTGAATAGGAGAAAGAGTTTTAATGAAGAATTGCAATTTTAGTTAATTGAATGTTTAATACCTGAAGAAAGGAAGTTCTCATGTCTCTGTCATTTGCAGTGAAAAGAATGTCAAGTCTATCAAGAATGTCAGTTCTACACCTGCGAAGTCATGATGTGAAAAATGAGGGAATGTTGATCCTTTTGGTCAGGGAAACCTGGAAAAATTAGGGGATTTCATTCCGCCATATTTGATGACACCCTGTTCATGCATGATAGCTGGCAAAGTTGAAGCTCTAATCTGAAGTCCTGTAGCCAATTCGGAAATTCATCTCCCAAAATTGATCAATTTCAGATATTGAACTTCCTGCGCGGAAACGACTCAATGTTACAAAAAGAGTGCCTGATATCCCGCCGAACATCAAATTCCCAAAAATGGCGAAGAGGATTGGTCTGATGCAGGGTCGTGAGGATGTTCATAACACTCTCCTTCACAAGCAGTTTGGCATCATTGTAAGAATTGTGAACGATTGAATTTGTCAGCATTTTAATGATCATCTCCTCAAAAATAAATTTTACAGGAAACACCAAGAACTGTAACGGCCTAACTACCATGCCAAAGAAGAACGCTGTATGAGCTTTCAGATATTGCCTTTCCTCTGATAAATCACCAATTTCCAGGAAAATTTCTTAATATTTTTTTTTCGATATCTCAGAGAAATTGGTTAGTAATTTAATCTAAAGTGACAGAAGATTTCAAGGATAAGCACTCATAACTATCTTCAAAAATAGATGTTTCCTGGAATGGAATTTTAGCAACATTCGAATGATCAGACAGTATTATATCCTAGCACGACAGTGTAAAAGTCAAAACAGAAGAAAACTGTCTGAGGTTCAGGAATATTGAAGGGCTTTGAACCAACTGATGGAAATGGATAATACAGCTAAAATGATAACCATCCAGTTGTTTAAAAGTATCGAGTTGGGACGTTTTTGAAGTGACATTGGGTATCAGAAATTGGAAAACATTGAACCACTAGACATGGTCTGACTGAATGCATCTTTTGAAATTTTTACCGATCAAAATTTCGCATAGAAATTGATTCACCCGATGAACATATCATAAATCTCAATGTAACATGATTCTGGTGGTCAATTGGGCTTATTTTTGCCCAACGGAACTATGTGCATCATGACGTGAGCTCTGTTATGTATATATTCCCATGGGTCTCAGGGCTCATGTTTTAATACACATAGTTCCGTTTGGCATAAATATGTCCAATTCCCAACCAGTGGTCCATTTTTAATCAGTTTCTTGCAGAGAGGATCTGAGTCTTTTGTTCCATTTCAAAATGCCTTTCAGCATCCTTTTTAGGTAATAATCTAGGGGCTAAATGGATTGTATTCAGCAGAAGGAAACCAACGCAATGATAATGTTTCAAAAAATCATGAATCTTCATCTCTAATGAATGCCTAGAATAGCAAGTAGTTTTTGTGCTTCAGTCAAAAAATATTAAATTTTAAAGGAAAATAGTCATGTACAATTCATTACTATACATATATTTGGTAATTTTTGAAACAGAAAAAGTAGCACAATATGAAAACAGGTTCCCTGCAAAAGAGAAAGTTCCCTTCCGCTGCATGCAATCTAACTACGCTCAAACACCTCTGTCCTTATTCTAATAACATGAGAAAAATCATGGAAAGTTGGATTATTCCGCTTTGGGTTCAATGGAAAAGCTATGTGCAATTTTGAAACGGAGCAATTTTATGCATCTCAGCAGAAACACAAGAGGATAGACATTTTCAGAAAAATTTTTAATGCCCTCACTTCATGGTAGCAGTTCAAAAAGAAAATTTTTCCAGACCTTAGCAGCAACATAAATTAAAATGGTCAGGAATGCCACAAATAGCTTACCTTTGGAATTTTCTCGACTGTGTTTAGGGACATTTTACCCAACAGAATTGGCAAAAAATGGAAAATGTCGCTTTCTAAGAAGATAGTAATTTGGTGAATAGATAATTTTGTACTGGTGGTGCTTTTTAATCTACTTGCATTTTAATCGCTTATTATTATTTTTTAAATTTCCCTTGCAGGCTTTAAGAGGTGGGAGATTAAAGGTGAAGCATTTCGAGCAAATCAGAAACACAACCTTTAGGCATTTAGACAAGGAGAAGCAATTCGCCATTTACAGAGTTGAAATGCCATGGCAGCCACTTTTCAGAAAGGTTTGTTTTGATTCTGTTTTAAAACAATTAAAAGCGTTTTTATCATTTAGTGTAGCAGGAAGTTCCAACCATTTGTTTTATTTTGGATTTTCAGATTTGGGTTAATGCACTCGGGCCATGCTTGGTATGTTGTAAATGTGTCAGTGGTATCCATTTTTATATTTACTTTCTGAAATTACTGAGTCAATTAAGCCCTTGGGAATTTTTACAGATTTTTAAAGCTCTTAATGGCAAAGAAACCCTGTTGAGAAAATATCAAAAATTGGACTTGTTTGAAACAAGATTTTTGGCGGGCACTGATGACGCGGTAGGGCAGAGTGAAAGGCGTTTGCTGATTGGATGATCTCTTAATGGAGATGTTGCATGTGCGAGGGATTTGAGATTTTACAATTGATTCTTATGTAAAAGTTTTCGAGAAATACGATGATGCCACTGGTTTTCTCTGAAGTCAACTCCCAAGCTCAAGAAAAGCTCTCAAGTTAAGGCCAAAATGGAGGGGATATCCCATGCTATCCTGAGAGTCCACCTTTACATAAAGACAAACTCTCCGTGCAAAGATAGGGAGCAAACACATTGACAGGGCTGCCACTTTATTTGGGGACTCTAAAACTGAAAACACGGCAACCCTGTCAATGTATTTGCTCCCTATCTTTGCATGGAGAGTTGGCTTGATGTAGAGGTGGACTCTCAGGATAGCGTGGAATATCCCCTCCATTTTGGCCTCAACTTGAGAGCTTTTTTTGAGCTTGGGAGTTGATTTCAGAGAAAACCAGTGACACCAGCGTGTTTCTCGCGAGCCGTAACATAAGAATCAACAGTCAAATTGCATATTCCTCACACATGCAACATCTCCATTAGGCATTGCTTTACTACGTCAACTCAACTGTCGGCTTTTGATTGGTTGGATTTTGATCTGTTTTTTCTCCCCTCGTAAATGGTTTTTTTTTTCTTTTTTTTTTGAGCTTTTTGGTTTTTTCACAAAATTTTACTCACAACAAACTATACTAAAGCCCTGCAAAAATCCCTTGTCAGTGACGCATTGAAGATAATTGAGTAATAACTTTTTCAAAAAATCAGACTGTTAGTCATTGACGGATGTTTCTTTCAAAATCTTAAAATGGACACAGGGGCTTTGTTCTTAATTTATTACCAACAACGATTCCCAGTCGAGTGTCATGGGAGGTTTATTTAAGCTTTTATTAAACCATTGATTTTGTCAAAATTAAAATTCTGGTTGAACTCTTACAGGGAATCGGTCATAAAATGGGAGGAGGCAAAGGAGGAATTGCAGAATACTGCACTCCAGTCAGACCAGATCAAGTCATCATTGAAGTTGGTGGCCTTTGCAGTTACTTTGAGGTAAGGCCTGACTCCATCAATACCTTCCTGTATTATGAAATTTAATTGAAGTAGCGGTGAGCAAAGCTAAAACAGCATCCTTTGTCGATTTTGACACTGAACAGCAAGGGTGCTGAAAGTGTCATGTCGGTGGCTAAAGTGCAAAACCGTGTATCTCCGCTTGTGATGTCAGAGTAATGGAGATGTTGTATGTGTAAGGGATTTGCGATTTGACCATTAATTCTTATGTAAAAGTTCGCGAAAAACACGATGGTGCCACTGGTTTTCTCTGAAATCATCTCCCAAGCTCAGAAAAAGCTCTCAAAGTGAGGCCAAAATGGAGGGGATATCCCACCCTACCCTGAGAGTCCACCTCTACATAAAGACAAAGTCTCCGTGCAAAGATAGGGAGCAAACACATTGACAGGGCTGCCACTTTATTTGGGGACTCTAAAACTGAAAACACAGCAACCCTGTCAATGTATTTGCTCCCTATCTTTGCATGGAGAGTTTGTTTTGATGTAGAGGTGGACTCTCAGGGTAGGGTGGGATATCCCCTCCATTTTGGCCTCACTTTGAGAGCTTTTTTTGAGCTTGGGAGATGATTTCAGAGAAAACCAGTGGCACCATCGTGTTTTTCGCGAACTTTTACACAAAAATCAATGGTCAAATCGCAAATCCCTCACACATGCAACATCTCCATCTCTTAAAAACTATCTTTATTTCTCTTCTTTGTTAGCAGAATATATGAATTGCATTTTGCAAAAAGGAACTAAGAGCATTCCAATGTTGTTAAGATTTTGCAACCTACATTCTTTGCAATAAAATACTGAACTGAGGCAAAAATTTAAAATTGACAAGACAAGTTTGACAAGATTAGGGCTTCTTAAAATAAGTGCAAACAAAAGAAAAGTAACATAATAAAAACCACCCACCAAGGTTGGACCTTGTGTCGGGTGGGGTCTTATTAATTGATAAATAAATGTTAACTAATCATTTGAAAATGAAAGAAAGACGAAACAAGAAGAGAAAAAAAAAGAAAGCAAGAAAGAAAGAAAGAAGATAAATACCACTTTATCCCCCTCCCAACCCCCGTTTCCCCTTTCTCCTTCCTCTTTTTGTAGTTTATTCTGAGGTTTTACCTAGGTATTGATTTTTAATTTTTTTTGTGACGGCTGGGAGAGAAACTAAGTTATTTGCTATGAGTTGTTTATATTCCAACGAGAGTTTATCATATTCCTCTTATTAATTAAAAGGGTAATTTTCGTCTTGAACTCATAGTTTATCGGGAGTAAAGGTACAGCTTGTTTAGATGATCAGTTTATATTTGCAGGGTAAAAACACATCTAGCACAATCTTAGCAACATAGAAATGCTCTTGGTTCCTTTTTGCAAAATGCAATCCATATGAGGGTCGTACAAAAATTAAGTGTCTCAGAAAGAGAAGACTCAGACCTTTATAGGAAAAAAACCACTTTATAATAATAATCATACTCAATTATTGTGGGAGCCTAATGGAACATTTCCCGCCAACTTCTAGAAAAGAGATACAGGAAGCGAAAGAAAAACGATTCAAAGAACAAGGATTGAAAGAACATGGTGATACCTTCTTTTTTGACAGTACCTCTTTTTGAAGTTTTCTCGACATAATTTTCAACTAGAAGGATACGTTTCTCACAGCAGGAAATGAGCTTTCCGACACCAGTGGCGAAGAAGGCTGGTTCCAAACTTTTGAGAAATATCATGACAAGCGTTCAACCGAATCAAACCCCACATCTCCCAGTGCTTTCTTCAGAACAGAACAGAGAAGAGATTGATTGCATTTTGCAAAAAGGAACCACTAGCATTGCAATGATGCTAAGATTGTGCAACTTCATCTTTTGCAATAAAATTGCGGAAATCGTGAAAAACTATGAAATTTAGATGGTAATTTTTGTCTTAAATTTACAGTTTTTAGCGAGTAAAATAGAAACTATTAATGGATAATCGGGTGTTTCCTCCAAGACAAAAGAAGTTGCACAATCTTAGCAACATTGCAATGCTAGTGGTTCCTTTTTATTGCAAAATGCAATCCAGATGATAGTCAGAGAGAGCCAGATCAGGACTGCTTGGAGCATGTAGCACAAGTTCCTACCCGAACTTTTCGATGAGGTGGGCCAGATTCCAGCGATAAAGGATCACTTGCAGTCTGTGGAAAATGTTCCGGAAGGCTCCCCCAAAAACTGAATTTTCTCGGCGCCTAATGGCGAATTTTTCCAATCTTTATCCTGTTGGAAAGCTGAGAGACGGCCTTTTGAACGGTATATTGAGTTCTTCCCGATAACGTTCCAAGTCCTCGAAAGAAAATACAGAAACTTACCTCTTGAACGACCCTCGCATTCTGTATAAATTTTAAATTGTGAAGCTTGCTCGTTTCTCTTCGAAAAAGTTAATGGCAATTTTAAAACACCGCGATGGAGATACCTGGTTTCCTACTTTGAGGGGCTTGGAGGACAAGGTGCATAGGTAGTTTTTAAAAAAAAATTGAGACATTAATAACTTCAACTGAATTATAGTCCTAAAATATATTCCGTGAGAAATTCACTCCTGAAGTCCAGTTGTTAAGCATCAAAAAGGGAATTCTAACTTTTTTTTGCCTTCACAAGGCTACATGTAATTTTGGAACTTGATTCGCATATTTCTCTAAATGGTAAAAACTGCAGTTATGCACCTTGTCTTCCAGGTCCTCCGAAGTTTGATTTTAGAACTTCATATGTGACACCCTATTACAAATGATTCCTGCTCAGCTTCGTCATGATATCATTTAGCATTTCAATTTTGAAACCTAAAAGTAAATTGTGTATACTCTTGGCCATTCCCTTACACTCTAAAGACAGTGTGGGCCAAGTAAGATTCAAACAACTTTTTTAACAATATTCAGGTCACAATTGCAGTGGCATCTGATTAAGATTTTTTCTTGCGTTCAACAAGAAATTCGCCAGTCATGCAATGGTCTCTTAACACGGGCAAATCATGATTACTAATTTCTACCGCGAACTGCAATGGGACGCAGAAGCATGTCTGCGCATTTAATCAGATATCGGTAACAATGGCTCAGACTCTGACAAATAGAATTTAATGTTTAACTGATCCCAACATGACCTACACTCGTGATAGGAGACTTTACAGTGAACTTTTTGAACCAATCTAGTAACTTAGCTGCAGGAAGGTAGGTCCCATCGAAAATCCAAGGACGGTGCAGGAGCTTTATTTTAATTTCATCATGTTTTTACCAGGATCATCACAGGCACATTTGACATTAGCTGTTTCTTGCAATTTTTTGTAGGTGGAGACGTGGCTTACTCATTTGGCCAACAGAATGCCATTCAAATCCATGGCGGTGAGTCAAGAGATCATGGAAAGGAGAGCTGAGAACTATGCCCATATTGAGAAACTCAATGATAATAAGTGGAATCTGGAGTATATTTTCAAAAATCAAATGGGCTCCTCAAAAAGGTGGATACGACGACAGGATTACTTCCACTTTGGAAAGTACTACTAGATTTACGCGATTACTATGAACAGTAAATTTGTGTAGCCTCAATGTAAGTTTTTTGTAATTTTTTGTTATTGCCAATGAAGAACTTTGAAACCATAAGGAGTTTTTTGTGTAAGATTATTTTTCCATTTCAACCCGCAATGTGATCTAAAAAGTAGTGTCCAAACGTCTGGAAAACTGGAAATTGTCAAGAGAATTTCGTCAGGTCAGGAAAATCAGGAAATTTTATGAACGACTGGAAATTAAGAAAATCTTGAAATATTAAAAACAGCAACGCTGTCCGCTAACCAACATGAGTTTCAATGTGATTTGGGGTTCAATGATTGAGTTACAGTACATTGAGACATTCTTCAGTAAAGGATTGTAATTTTAGTCGGTTGAACGATTGATACCCTAAGAATAAAAGGTTCACATGCCCATGTCATTTGCAGAGATAGTATTCCGGCCAAAGTATCACAAGCGCCATGAGACGTTTAAAAGTTTCCGCAGCCATTTTATTTTCTTACAGAGAAATTGTTGATTGAAGCTGTCCGAAAATCTTACTGAATTTTTTTTTGTGCTGCCGATAAAATTCAGTGAAATTTTCAAGCAGCTTCAACCAACAATCTCTCTCCAAAAAAAATAAAATGGCTGTGGAAATTTTTAAACGTCGCATGGCGCTTGTGATACTTTAGCCGGAAGGTGACGTAATGACGAACATTTTCTATTTTCAGTTCTCCGCATGAAAATTGTCTTTATAAAAGTTCTGGGAATTCTAATAATTTTGATCACACAAAAACCTAGAATTTAGGGAATTTTCCTGCAGAGTTGGTAAATACCCTGTTTAAAAACTTAGTTTAGCCGTTCAAGTTTAAGACTCAGTTTTCACCGTGTGGCAATGTCGACTTAGGAATTTAGCTCAAAACTTGGTGGATGACAAAAGAATATGCTTGCAGTTTTTGATAAACTCCCAAAGACTTCTGTTACAAAATAGGAATAATTAGGATACTCATCCCAGTGATAACCGAAATTTTCAGAGTTTATCGCTGGAGTCAATTATATGGAGTGGATCGACTAAAGAAGACTATTTTGTGCAGCCGTTAGATTACTGCACAGGTTTGTATAATATAAAAATCAGTGGTGAAAAATACATTTGACGTTCTGATAGGAATCCAATCCTTTTTCAAGGTTCAAAATCTTCATGCATATGTTGTCGATCGAACCCCCTAAATGAAGAAATGATTCTTGGTTGCATATAAAAACAGTTTATTAAATTGAAACTTAAGAATACTAGCACTAAACATTGTGACTGGGCAAAAAAGACTAATATACAAAAGGAACAAGAGTAACATTAATACTTCAGAAGTAAAGAGAAACAGGCAAAAGAAAATTTGAGCTATTTACAAGACGAAATGACTAAATCAGAAATTAACTAGAGTAATTGAGATAACAAAATATTTACATCAAATACAGTAAAAACAATCTGATAAATTTGACCTTGGACTCAAAGAAGTCATGATTAGCTATGTAACAAAATTTTTATAAAAACCAACCATCAAGTTTATGCGATGTGATTATACGGTTAATAAGTCTTCATAGCAAAAAAATCATACTTGGTATGTTCCTGCTTTCGAAAAACGTAAACATAATTAAAAGAAGGCAAGAATGACCATCATTATCAAAAATCTTTTGATCTTGAATCATAATTGGTAAAATTCAATTCTTGTAGCACAATTGTTTTCACATTGATAATTAATAAGTTGATGAAAATAGTTTATCAATCGAAAACCTGATGCAAAAACAATCCGCCCGCTTGAAATGTTTTTTTGAACAATCTTAATATTTTTAGATTCGATGATCAAAATTTGATAAAAAGGAATGCTTCATTTAGGTGCTTTTTTCATGATTGCAAGTTTCTTAGGTTTATGGCAATAATTGCCACACTAGAATTGGAATTCCAAATTAGATTAGTGATAACCATACTGAGGAAAACTTGATACATGGTATATCCTAAAATCTAGTAAAGGTTTTTGCCTTAATCTAATGACCCATCAATGAAAATCAACTTTTGTGATACACTCAGTCCTCAGTGGTTGATTCAAACCTATGCTCTTTCTTTTTCAATACCATGAAAAGAGCATCGTCAGTTAATCACAGGTGAGCTCTGGATTCAGAAAATATGAATCATTTTAACAAATTCATCCCAGCACCCAGCTACCTGACCCTTTTTTCCAGCAGGCTCACAAGTTACACGCTGGACAAAATAAGAATAGATAATAAAATAATTGAAATAAATTATAAGTAAAAAATATTTATGGCTTGAAAGACAAGCAAATAAGTATGACTGATCGATCAATTTTTCATAGTAAGGCCCAACAATTTCCCAGGTTGAAAGACGCCACATTTGCGGAGCGTCTGACAAACCTTTCAGTCTATAAGAACCTTTCCGCTAATTTTATAACATGGAAAAATGGTGGGTTTAAACAAAGAATTCTACTTGAAGGCAGTGGTTTAAATGTAGGTGTTTAGATATAGAGTTTATTTGAGAAATGATGATGCCGATCTCACCGAAGATTTCTGATTAAAAAAAATTACAGTAATGCCCTAAATATCTGATGCTTCAGTTATCTGATGTAATCAAAATTGAGTTCTCAGTCGAAAACTAATACGCCAACACAACAAAAGCCAGTTTAATAGGCAACAGTTGAATATACCTGGGATTGTAGTTTGTTTTTCTACAATTAAATTACTATGTTTTGCAAGTACGATAAATAATTGACCAAGCTTGAGCTCTTAGGTTACACTCAGAGCCTAAGATGGCATTTATTCTGCCTTTTTATGGTGGTTTCCTGCACCAAACTTTTTTCATATTCACTGCGACCCTTGCCAATCATTAGATAATCAGGGCATTACTCTACTTGAAAATCTTTAATTTTTTTATTCTTTTTTTTAAAAAAGAAAAGGCAAATAGTTGAACATTTGGTGAAGGATTTTCTCAAGTCAGGATTTTGTCGGCATGAATAGGTCAGGCAAGATTTCCTCTGCATGCCATTATTTTGATTTTAGTCGAGAAATTTATGAACAACTTTTTTCTTAAAGTAAAAATTTCCTGTAGCATAATGTTTGGCTCATAACCTCCATCCAGCGCTAGCAAAGTGAGGCAATTACAACAATATTGTCAATATCTGGCTTAATGTATGCTGTTGCGCCTGGCATTGCTGAAGGTTGAATATAATTTTGCTCATTTCTTAGTTTTTTCCAACAAATTTAACAGACAAAACGAATGACAATTCCTTAAGATTACTGATGCGTGGCTCATTGAAAAAATTATACAATGATTGAATGATTGATGAAAACAGAAATTTTACTAGACTATTCTGAGGATCTATTAAACACTTTTTGTCTTGAATGATACGTGAATAGGCGTTTCACATTTCACTTGAACTTGGTTTTAAGTTACAAGTCATGAGAGAGCCTCTAGGTTTTAAAAATATTTTTCGAAATTACCTACATTGTCCATACATAATGATAATTATCATAATCAATCATGATATTAATTATAAAATTATATTTTTTTTACTAATATTTGGTTACATTTAGAAAATTGGTTTGCGTCATTTTGAGGCTTCATTTCGATCTCCAAAACGGACCAAGTTAATGAAACAAAATGTTAGCCTATACAAATCTTGTGTGATAAAAACAACACTGAAAAAATGACAGTGCTTCTTGCGAAATTTCGAAGCTCCATTCCAGAAAAATTTTACAAGAGCCTGGGAAGCTCGCAGATTTGATCAACATGAATTGATCAAAATAAATAGTATGTTATATCAGACTTAATGTCAAAAATATGACTGACTTGCTTGACGCTATACATTTATGCTCAGAGAAAATCTTGCTGCACATATTTCAGGAATTTTGCAAAAGAACTTCCGCATCGTTAAAAAAAATGTTCATAACACATCATACAAAATGTAGGAATCGGAGCTTTTTAGAATGAAGGTAGAAAATAGAGAATAAAAACTTAACTTAGAGCCTTTTTTTCTGCGGTAAAGTTGTTCTTTGAAAAATTCCCCTTCAGGAATAGATTTGACTCTGATCTGGAAGCCTCAGTGATTCAGACAATTGAGCCCATCTTCAGAAAAGAGCACCATCATTCGACCTCTTTTTTCCTCTGCGCGATGAGCTAGGTTTTTCCCTAGAAGGACCTTCCTAGGTACGATGTTTCCGTGCTAAACCCTTGGCAGAGTTCCAAAAATCCCAGCTTGGTGTAAAAATCTAGGAGGTTGCGGTCTTTGGCATCCAGAGAGACACACACACCAAATGAACCTGAAATAAAATGAACAGTGACTCATTTCGTAGGGCAGAATCTCCTTTTTCATGAATTGGCTTTAAATAAAAGAGTCTTGACGGTACAGGATAGCTTTTCCAAGAAAAAGAGATGAAACTGTAAAATTTCCACTCAAAAGGAAAGTATGGACTTGGCAAAACATGGAACTATTAGGGCCCAAAAGGGCAGTCTATCTTGCCGCAAGAAAAACACTACAACAAGGTCACTGCAAACCTTCACATTCTCATGCCCATACTCTCCTTATCCAGTTACTCTAGTCTTCACCACAAACTGCCACACAACTAAACTCCCTGGTGGATAAGGAATATGCAACACCACAAACTGCAGTACCTACTTTTTGGTTTCAATATCAATATGCATCAAGATGAATTGAAGTGTAATTCAGTGACCTGTGCAACTGATCTGTAAATGGAATTTTGCAGTAAGTGGTGGTTAACACTCAGCTTGATGAGAGGTAAATTTACTCACCGTTGGCCCTTAAAGCTGCCAGTAAACAGATTACAAGCCTCTTTGCCACAGACTGGTCCGAAACTGTCGACAATAAATTGCAACACATGACTGAAGGGTGGTTAGCATGTGCAGCTGACGGTAGTGACTCGCCTTTGAACGAATGGAACCATTTAATCATTTCCTGAAACCGATTTGAGTATTACTGGTAATTAGATTTGAAAACAATAATTCAGAAAAGCGCACAAGTTGGATAAGTAAAATACAGGTGAATAAGGTGACACAAAAATTGCTATCCCATTATCATCATTAGCTGTCAACCAGGAATGCAGAAAAATTTTAGCCTTCCCATTTTAACCACGGGCTTTCCCCCAAAATTTTCGAAGCAATATTCATAGATACAACTTAGTTGATCACAGCGCTGACATCAAATAACAGCGATGGCGTTTTAATAAAAAAAAATAGAGCTTCATAGTTGAGTAGCTTGCAACTGATGCTTATTTTGATTCCTAATTGGACATATTTCTATCAAACGGACCTAAGCGCCATAGGGTGAGGAAGGTAGAGGGGGGCTTGGATTTGCAGCTTAATCGGGCGTCCGGCTTATTCCGTCCTATACTCGCAATGCTTTTCCATGGCGCTTAGGTCCGTTTGACAGAACGCCCTATCCGGGATTCTACATTCCTCAAAAGGAACTCAAATTGGCGCTTAGTTCCGTTTGATAGAAATACGTCCAATTAGTGCATCACTGTGTCTGACAAAATGCTTCGTGAGTGTGTCCTCAGAGTTGAAAATCCTTAAAATCCATTGAAAGCACTTAAATTGATCTATTTATCATTTTTTTGATGGCTTTATAGAGTTGACTTGTTTATTTCTCTCACCTCAACATGCTTGTTTGGCGGTGGACTGCTGGCATCGTTCAGTGGATACTTGGTACACATTACAGGGAGCCACGACGACTCTAGTTGGGTGTAGAACTGTTTGGCATTTAAAGCAGCACATGCATATCCTACGATCCCCGTTTCGTCTTCTACCACAAAGCACAATTCCGGGGATAAAATTAAGAATCCTGCTACCAACCTGCACAAACAATCCAAATTATAAAAATAACAACATCCAGGATAGATAAAATTTGGAACAGAACTGAGATACTTTGGTAGTTGCCATCAGGTCAATTCAGGACATTCTTACGTAATACATCAGACTCACTTTCATGAATGACACAATTTAAATTCAATTATTTAACTCTAGAAAACTAAGATTTACAGGCAGGGTGTCTACTAAAACAAGCTGGTCAAAAATAAGTACATTTACAGTACTTTTTCAGCACATTCTCAAGAAATTCAGTACCTCCTCCAACAGAGTATATCCGTTCTTTTTCAGTACCTTCATTTCACGAAATTAGAAAAATTTAAAAAATTTGAAATTGCGACAAAAATTTAAAAAAATTCCGGACCTTTATGCGGAATTTCCACAATTTTTCAGTACTTCCGGACCGCCCTTAAAAAATCAGTACTATTTCCGAACTTGTAGACACCCTGATAGAAGATGAGGATTGGAATTATAAAATGCGTATGGAATTTTGAGGTCTTGTCATTCGATGTTTATGATTCAACTGCAATTGAAGTATCGTACAAAGTAATTGATCAACCGGTGGAGGATCCATCCGTCATTACTTTGATTTTTGGTTCGATACTATGTCCTAAAAGTTTGGTTAGATACGCTCCAAAAAAGTATCTGCTTCTTTCAAATTTGACTGTTTATGACAGTGCACATGAAGCAGTTCTATTCAAGGTTGCCATAGAAATTAGAAAATGAAATTCCCTGCCATTTTCCTCAATTTCCCAAACGAATTTCGGTAAAATCCCCTGACATTTGACGATAAGCCGGACGAATAAAAATTGCCACATTTCAAAGCTGGAACATTTTCTGATTTTCACTTGCTTCTTAAAATTCCCTGACATTTCTTGGTTTTCCTGATAATCCCTGACTGTGACAGTTCTGTCTTTTGCTCACAAGCAATAATAGCAGGCAGCAAAATGTACTAAATTCTAGATCCTTGGGATTTTGGAGAGCTCATTGTTTTGAGCAGCGCCTCATTGAGAAAAATAACTATTAATGAACAAAATGAGTATTACCTGTCACCAGGCAAATCGCAATTCTGGGCGAAGATCTCTGATCCATCATTTCCATCAAGACATGTGCGTCGACAAACTCCGTACACTCCCTGTTCATCCTCGAACAAATATGGGCGAATGGTGTATGTTTTGTTTACCGGCACATCTGGCGCCTTGTAAATGAACAGATCGGACCCTGCATCTACCGGTACTAGCCGCTGAGTTGAGAGAAAGAGAAACAAGGGAAGAACTTTCATTAGTTAATGAAATAAACTCTGAAATGGAGACGCGCCTTGATGATTTACGCAAGCGATGAAGGAACTGAACTCAGGCATTGAGCAATCCTTGTATAATGTTAAAAATGCGCAATTGTGAACTGTAGTCAAAGAAAAAAGATATACTAAATTTACTTTAAGTTCCTGGGTTTTTAATAAAGAATAACATATGAGGTGACCTAATTAGCAAATCTTGCTTTTATAATTTTTCAGTTTTATGATGATGAATAGATAGTCCTGTCCCATTCACATGGGAAAATTAAATAAAGAAAAAAAATATGGTGATAACTAAACTTTCAAATTCATGGGGGAAAAAAAACTTATTTTGAGCTCCATTTGAGTGAAATTGTTTGCACTAAGGGAAATTTCATAGGTACATGTTCACAACCAAAATTTTTAGCCAAATCAAAATTGCAGCTCAATGTTCTTAAATTTTTAGGGATTCTCAGGCTGGTCCACTAAATTGAACATTTTGAAAATGACAGAACTTGTTTTTTTTTTATTTTTTTTTTGTAAAAATAAACTCGAAACTGATTTCTAAAGTCTCTTAATACATATAACTTTCTGATTTTCAGTTCGCACAAAAAAAAAAATAATTCCAAGAGCAGGGCTGTTTTGAAACACGCTTTTCACTTTGATACTCTAATACATCGCTTCAAATAACGAGTGTCTCAAATTGGTAGCTTCTATAGGAATAAAAAGTTTCAATGACTTACCACAAAGGAGGCCTAAGCAAAATAATGAACTGTAGAGGTCAATATTTTTAACCGTCTTAGATCAACAAAAAATTTTGTGAGTAAGCTACTACTTAACTGCGAACACAGCAGGTTAAAATTATTTCAGAAATTAAAACGTGATTTGTTTTTAATATAGTTCACATATTACTTGACCTGACAAGAATTTATTTGTAAAGAAAACGCTAGATAAACGCTGCGCAAATTCGGTTCTTTCCAATCAGTCAGTACACAATCTTTAGCGACTAAAAAAATTAAACTGCAGTTCCATTGGAAAGGCTGAAAAATTAAAGCCGTTAGCACAGACTTCCCAAGACTTCTGGTAAAGCTGAGTTAAACGTGATTACTGACAATTTACTGTTGAATTTTTTTTTTGTCATCATAATTATATTCTTCTCTCATCATGACACCCATAAGTAACGATGAAAAATTAGCTTGAAGTACTTGGACCAACTAGGTAAAGCAAACATTTTCCTTTCCTGTAAACATCAACAGCAAGGATGTTTAACTCAACTTTCAAACACCAGGAGTCAATGAGGATGCCACATCTGGGTACCTATTTCACAAGACTATAACTTTAGAAAATAGAAAATTATACAAGAGGCTGAAAGGAGGATCAGGAAAAATTGCAACAGTCGTATTTAATTTTGGATAATAGGTTGGATCATCATGTCACAAAATGGACTCCTATACAAGGTACAAACTTCAGCTTTCTGATGCATGTATCTTTTCCAAAACTTCATATAGAACACACTTGGTGCAACAAAAAGTACTGAAATCAACGCCCAACCAAAACATTAACGTTTTTCCTTAGCGTTAGTTATGAAAATTTGAATTCCCCGCTCCAGTGAAAAACCCGAGGCTTCTTGAATCATATCACACATTATAATAGTTTCGGTAGGCCTCTCAATAAGCAGTGTTCCTCCCCCATCCTATGCTCTCCAGAGTGTGAACAATGTGAAATAACTGAGTCGAAGCGCCAATATTAAGGTTGTCATATTATCATGCTGCAAAGACTGCCGATGTAATGATTAGAGTGCGATTTAACTCAGGTAGATTACGGTTTTCTTATGAAGTGAAGGGTGCATAATCATTTATGCAAACATTTTGGCATAAAGTTGCCAAACATTTATGCATCGAAAAACGCTCATGTATTTGTTCAGAGTTTCTAACAATACTTTTCGTTGTAAAAATCATATTCTACATAAAATTTTGATAACATATATCATGCTGCGTACGTTCCCACCTTGTCTAGTGGTCCATTCTTACCTTTACCAAAAATCTACTGCAAGGGGCTGTCCATAAATGACGTCATGGTTCTGGGAGAAATGGGGTCAAAGAGTACCTCATTTGTACCTGACAGTGGGGGAAGGGTACAAACCGAACCTAAAATCATGCCAAAATCAGCACGAAGCACCAATTTTTTTTCTTTTCATTAAAACTCAGATAGAATCGTGACTAATACGAAGGAAGGGAGGGAGGTTGACCTAAACCCGGTGTAATTTTGAGGGGGAAGGAGGGGTCCGACACTGCCTGACATGGTTGGAGAAGGAGGGTTAAAAAAATTGAAAAAAAAAAACCCTGACGTCATTCATAGATGACCCTGAGGGCATGTAATAAGGGCTAGGAGAGGAAATGAGTATGAAGATTCTTCAGCTTGGACTCAACAAAAGATGCGTAATTAGTGGATAAAGAGTGGCGAGAGAGTCATTTTTTCATTTGCTGGTGAGTAAGGAAAAAAAATTAAGGATGAAGGAGAAACTTATTAATTGCGTTGGATTCGCCGACAAATCATCATTTTCAACAGCTGTCGACGATGCCAACAAAAGAGAACAGGGTGTTACCGTGATGGAAAACAAATCTGAAAGATATTCTTGGGCGGAACGCTCAAAAAGGATCAAATGAAACAGAAAATTAAAAATTCATTCATAAAAATTAAAACCTGAAATTTATGTGAGTGATTGGAAAGAACTGAATTGGAGGTAGGAAGAATCCAAATCATACGCTGCAGAGGGGGATTTTATTTCTCGAATGGTCAGGGCTAACAAAGATGTTCACTTCAGGTTTTAGATAAAAGCTTAAGGTTCTCTCTTGGGTACAAACACAAAGTGAAAGCTCCGCTTGTAGTTATCGAAGAATCTCCATGACCACCTGGTGTTGCACAAAAGGACCCCGCACACTCCTTATGGGGGTGTACACCACGATCAATTTTTAATTTTCTTTAATTGTTTTAAATGCGTCTATGGATACTGATCAAAAGTCATCATTGCGCAAACTTTCTACGAGCTCCCGATATTGCACAATCCACCGAATAGCGTTTCGATAACTCCTTGCATAAATGAAGGTGACGAGTACTCGAGTGCGGTTCGGGCCGGTCAGGTGAGTGTAAATTACGCAACAGGAAAACTGATCGCAGTCAAGCGACGGTCTTATCTCGGATTCCACACGCCTCTTCTTTTCATCAGCCAAATTAGTTTCTTTCTCTCTCCCGCTCTATTGTCTTTGCCAGAGAGACACGCACTGCGTTTTGATTGTAGCCGGCTTGTCCTGAAAATTACCGAAACCTCAATAGCGGATTGTGCAAAAACGGTAGCTTGTAGAGAGTTGACGCAATGATGAATTTTGATCAGCATCCATACACGAATTTAAAACGATGAAAAAATTGAAAATCGAACGTAGTACACATCCCCATAAGGAGTGTGCGGGGTCCTTCGATGAGAAAATGAGGCTTGTAATGTATAATTTCTAAACCTGTCAGCGGGCCAATTATTGAAACTGATAGACAAAGCTATAGACAAAGACGACAAAAGGGATTTGGAGGGATCCTATTGGTGGAAGCGGGTGGTGGCAATAGACATAGAAGGTAGGTAATGGACTAACTAACGGCAACCCACCAAAGATCCGACAATTAGTCCATTATTTTCTTCCTTAGTCTATAAGAACCAACCATGTCAACCAATGGGATCACTCTATACTCCCTGTGTCTTCTTTGTCTATAGCTTTGTCTATCAGTTTCAATAATCGGCCCGCAGGTGGTCTTTTGTGATCTTTGAGAATCGAGAAATTCAGAAAGAACTAAAATTCCCCACTACAGGAAACAATGTTGCATTCCATTTCCCTCTTGTGAGATTATCGCTGCACGCCGCCGCCGCAAAGAGAAGCCGCCGTTTAGGGTCTACCTACTTGAAGATCAGCCGTTAAACCGCCCCTGAAAACCCATGGCTCTTGCTCGCCGCTCATGAAGCTTTCCTTCCAGCCTTTGGAAAACCCTGAAAAACGAAAAGCCCCCCGATTTGGTTCCATTAGTAAAATCACAATGATTCGACAAAAAAGGCATTAGCCTAAATGAATAAGCTTTGCAAGCAGCTGAGCGGATATTCTTGCAGGTGTGCGACAGAGATGTGCTTAATGCGGGCTCACCCGTTACAAAACAAATTGCAACAGGAACAAAAAAGGATATTAGGTTGGGATGGAAGGGAAAGGAGGACAAATAAAGGTTTTTGGGTTCAATTAGTCGTAAGTCTGAACCTACTATCCCAATCCCTGTACCCAAATAGCAGTGATTGCGATAGGTTGCAGAGAATGTATCGCGATTTTATTGATGTCGATTCATCGCAATATTATTGGATAAAGAATTGCGATTTTATTGCATAAATTTGCGTTGAAATCGCAATTTCATTGACAGCAATTGATCGCAATTCCATCGAACAAAAAATTGTGACAAATTGAGATAAAGTTTCGATTTTATCGAATGCAATTTTATGGAGATAAAATTGCAGCAAGATTGAGGATAATTGCTTAGAAGTTGATGATCTTAACAATTTTATCGCCAAAAATCGTCAAAAAATCGGAACTTAATTCTAAAATATCACAACTTATCTATTGACAAATGCTACTTGGGTAGTGATGGACATGATGACATTTTACATAACTGGCAAAACTGAATGTCATGCGTAGGGTAGAAGGATATACATTATTTTGTAAAACTTCCTTTTAAATAGATTCTCTCTGCTTTATGACGAGGGTTGAAAAATAGGATCAAAGAAATTAATAACATAGAATCAATTGGGATTGCTGAATATTCCGGGGCACAGAGGTTTTAAATGGTCTGTTGATCTTAAGCTTTGTAAAAAAATCAGGCCAGTTTTATTGAAAATGGAAAATATAATGTACGGTTCATAATTCTGTCAGGACAAGTTCTTCTACTCCGAGTCATCTTTTCCCTCAACTATTATGCTTAGGATCTGTCAAAGACAAAAATGGAGCACTGAGGATATAGGAAGAGTGCAGAGATCACTATCATTTATGACAAAAATTTAATTGAAATACCGAGCGCACGCGCAGAGTTGACATAATAGTCGCTTGATACACGAAAAAAATAGCATGGAAATTTCACTGAAAGAAAAGGTAAGCCAACCACCTGATGCTTGAAATAAACCAGCTGACATAGATCAAAATTTTAGGTGGAAAAATTACACAGACACAATTTTTTCCAATTCAAGCTCTCAGTAGCGAACTAAATGACGAAAATTGATTTTAAGCATTGCTCATGCTGGAAAATATTCACCACATCAATCAAAATCAACTAATTTTGTTTCAAGCTACAAATGATCAGGTCGTTGAAAACTTCTCAACATTGGTAGAAATGGCATGTGTATCTGAGACAAATGAAAATGGCTCAGAATATTTCTTGCGATACATAGCTTGAATTAAAGGAAAGTATCAATGGGTTATAGAAATGTTGTACATAGAATGGAACTGGAGGAACATATGATATATGTTCTCTTTTCAAAATTTTACATGAAACACAAATCAGGTGATGAAAATTACTGAAATAATCTCCCAACCAAGATATTGAGGTTTTTATTCGGCATTGGTGCTGAAAAATTTGAATTTTTGCTCACAAGAAAAAACAGAGTCTACATGAGTCAAGTCGCCCACTACAAAGGTTTTAGCAGACTCCTCAATTCCCCACCTTTTGCTGTTTATAGTGTAGACAATGTGCAATTGCTGAGCAAAAGCGCTGAGATTAAGGTAGTCATATTTTTGTACTGCATACACTGCCACAGTAGCGTTCAGAGTTTGATTCAAATCAAGTAGATTTTTTTTTTTCATGAGCGGAAGATTGAATTAATGCATCAAAAAACTTGATATCTCGGTTAGGAGTTACTTTCAGTAATTTTCATTGAATGAATCATATTCTATGTGAAATTTGATGAGAAAACATAGACCATAATGTTCAAATTCGCACTTTATCTAGTGGTTCATTGCTAAATATGATGAGGAGCCGACATACACCATTATGGTATGAGAACTTGCCACCAATTCCACAATTGGACAAATATAGTGAAGAGTCATCTCATTACTTCAACGCTTATGACACAACGAAATATCTTCGAACAAGTGAAAGTAATTCAAAATATTCCCGTTCTCCTGCACAGTCATTTCAATTGGTTATAATGTTATTTGGACAGATTTGAACATAATTAGCCTAACTACGTCAGATGATGCCTACTTTCCTTCATGTTTTATTTTTTTAACATTAAAGTAATTATCACTCTGACTCGAAATTTTGGAAGTATATTCAGGGTGGCTATCAAAATTTCATTTTATCGTTCCCTGCCTTTTTCCCGACTCCTCCTAATGAAATTCCCTGACTATCGTATGATAACATAAGGGCACTTAATTAATGTGGTCAAATCCTTGGCCCAACAACAGGATCAGCTGGCCGTCACGGACCTGATTTTTATGAGGAGCCCGGCTTCGCAAAAAATTCCCTGAACGTTGATGAAACTCCCTGATTTTTCTCTGTCGCTAGCCACCATGCGTATTTTTCCTACACCCAAAAACAAGTACAAAAAGTTTCAAACAAAACAAAAAATAAAACTTGAGGGGAAATTAGGCAACATAAAATATAGTCTAGGCTAATTCTAGTTTAAACTGTCCATGAATTGTGTTTTGAAGAAATAAATTGCCTCCTCTTACAGCTTTAGACTGAATTGCAGCCACCCCATTAAAGATTTTTAATTGAAGAACTGCAATTAATTAGATGGTTAATGTTCTTTACTTTCCAACTTTTTTGACGAAAACAAAAAAGGAAACCCAGGAGACAAGGACTAATGGCACAAGTTTCACAATTCGATGGTTAAACCTGAAAACATACACCTCTGTTCCACTTCTTACACTGTAAACCATCCAACATGATTGCTTGAAATTTAACAGAATTTTGTTCCCTCAATGAAAACAAAATCACAAAAATTTGAAGCAATACCGTTAATTGGTATACTGTTGGACTGGTGTAATAATAAAGAAAGATTTGCAACAAAATAAATTCAGAGATGAGCTTTTAAAGTTTAACATCAAATTTATGTCTCTATGGGTGTGAATCTGTTTGCTTCAAATTAAAACTGCACTTTACGATTGAAAATATACCATGAAAATGAGTAAAATCTTTCACTTTTTCCCAATGACTGAAAACCAAACAAGTTTGAGAATACATCAGGAAATTTTTTTATCAAATGTTGAAAACCTGAGAAAAACAGAAATATTTTACTCAAACATAGATCAGTGGTATTAACCTAAAATAATTATGGCTTCCAAATTGAATTATCACAATACCAAAAACCTCAGAAGCATAAACATGCTTCCATTAAGTTAGAAACTAAAAATTTAATTTAAGTTTCTTCAGTTGGTTGTTAAAACAAAAATCAAATTTTAGGAAAGAATATTTATACCGTGTTTGCAATAGAAATAGGTCCAATACCATCAAACACGGGAGGAAACCCCCCTTCAACTTCTTTCTCAGAAACTGCATGTTTCTTTGAAACTGTGTTCCATTTAGAATACATAGGTTATCCATTTAAGACTTAAGTAGAAAAATGCAATGTGCGAATGCTAAAAGGTTTTCGTGTGATAGAAAATTCAATTTAAAAAAAAAAAAGAATCATTGTAAAATTTGGAATGAAATTTATAAGTCTCACTGCAGGCAACAGAACACATTTTTCCAAACACCATGTTACAAAAATGTCAATTCAATTGGAGGCCACAATTAAATTTAAAAAAAAAACAACAACAAAAATCAAAGGTTTAAAATAAAACGAAAAGACCTGAAACTAAAAAATTTCTCAGGGTATAGGAGCACCCTTCATTAAAACGCAGCGCAAGATCAAAACGCAGGCGCGCAATCGCAGGCCGCAACGCAAGCTTGAATGCAAAATGATAATGATCTCTGTACATGGAAGGTCTACTATAGGATGGAAGAAGGTTTAGGAACAAGATTAGAAATGGATTTGGGTTGACTATTTTTTTGCTAAAAAAGTGCTTACATTAAATGAACTTCTAGAATAAGGGCATAAGTTAATTACTGACATTTAGAATCGCCTAAAAATTTTTATTAAGTTACTTGCTAACTGGCAGACAAGAGAACCAAAGGATTTCAGTAACTTTTTTTGTTTCGTGTAAAGGTCAAATGCATTTTCGGACCCATCTGTCTACCTTGCTGCAGGTAACTGGATAAAATTTTGCAGGCAATTTTAAAACAGCGATGCATTTCTGCCCTTCGGAAGAAATTTTTATTGGTTTCAATGAAGAATTTTGAGTACGTTTTTTGATTGGATCCGTTCGAGTTAAAAACTGGAGGATTTTGCAAGAGATACCCATAAATTGTACTTGAAAATAAAAAAAGTGAAGATGCATATCCTTCTCTCAGCTGTGCAAAGGAAAACTGGCCGTAAGAACTTTCAGGCATCGCCACATTTCCTTCGATGAAACACGAATTTATTGGGAAAGTTGTGAATATTTTTCTTCCACTTTTTCACACAATCTTAGTAGCAATTTAATCTTAAACATCAGAAAATTCCAAGAAAAATATGCATAACTTACTTCCAAAAAAATAATGATTTGTCAGGGGAAATTTGGCAACATTCAATTGTTCATACGGCGTTTTATCTTAGCACAGTAGCGCTGACCAACCCGATTATTTGAGATTTGATAGTGAGAAGTGTAAGGGCTTTACAAAATAATCAGGTTGAAAATCATAAAATACAGACTAGAAAAAAACAAACCCAACAAAGATCACAGGGAGGTTTTCCCCCCGACAATTAATACTCAAAATCATGTTTTCTTCTCTCTTCGAAGAGACTTATAGGCAATTGACAAGATTGATGGTAATTCTGATTAATTAAAGTCGTCCAGAAACTGACGAACATTGCTGGAGAAAAGATACAAAAAATATTGAAACTGAACTTTGCCACATATTTGGTGGCATTCTATCTCCTTACGCCTGCTATTTGCACTACTGCTTGCCCAATTTTTCTGTAGACACGGAACATCCTCATGTGATTTCACGCACAGATTATCTACAAGTATGAACAATGAAAAACTTGATTTTTAAAGCTTGTTATCTGAATACTTCAGCAATATTAGGTCTTCCAAACTCAGGGCTGACTCTCCGGCAATATTCATATTTTTGTTTGCGTTAAGTGCTACATAATTCCAAAACCGATATCCAACAAAATGGGGTTTTTATGGATTTTTGAGGGAGGAAGGAGTTGGATGCTTCTTGAGTTCTTGAGCATGCATCGCTCACGGTCAGAAGATATAAGATAGGATCACACTCAACTTGCGCATCATTAGAGAATGAAAAAGCGCAAAATGCATGCGTCTTGGTGTGTGTTGAAAGGGAATAATTTTGTTTATAGAGTTTCACTTTACTCTCGTCCAAAAATGTCACCGTTCTGCTCTCTTTTGACACTTGCACCCACTTCTGAACGCTTTGATAAAATTTGATAACTTAAGTTCTCACAACTAAAGTCTGGGTGTTAATTCTTCTCTGTTTATTGGTCTTTATAAAGAAAGGGACTCCTTCGTTTTCTAGCACTTGTTCCCCCAATTATTTTTTAAAGTTCTAATTCTATTCCAGAAGCTTTAAAATTTCTCATTTCTCCAAGTAAGGTATTTTTAAACTATGCATGATGAATAGAACAGATTAGTAGCAATGGGTCAACTATGCAAAAAATGGCGAAACTTTGGGTGAAGGTTGGAGGATTCTGGTTAGAGTGGATAAAAAAGGTTGTGCCCTTGTGCATGGATAATGCACCGAAATGTGCACAGTTGCTACAAGTATACCGAAATGGACTAAGGAAGGCAAGGCAAGTAGAAACTAGGGAGAGGAACGAAAATAAAAAAAAAAGAGCATTACATGTATAATTGCCGAGCGTAAAACTGGTGATCATCTGCGGAAAATGCCCGATTGCTGCGCACAAGAAACAAAAACCAATCATGAGATTAGTGAAAGAATAAGATGAGTAAAACAATTGTAAAACATGCTCTAAATTCCATGAAGATGACTTTCACTTGAGCTGTCCATGAATGCTTTTTGGGAGAGGTAAACGGAACTTCAAGATTGAATTAATATTTGGAAAACGGCTGGAAAACACGAGGTTTTTTGGTATCATTACCAGAGTGTAGCACAAAATTGAATTAGACAATCCTCACTTCTGAGAGGACTACACACACATTACCAAGAACTTTAGCACCGGCTAAATTTAGATATTATTTTATATGATGCTTCTTGCAACCTCTTGAGGACGTTGAGCTTTTTAAATGAAGCTTTCTAGGTGCCATCTTGGGAAAAACAAGGGCTGAAAAGTGAATTTTTTGCTATTTCCACCTGCATTATCTAGTTAAAGTGTTACGACTCATTTGAGAATGAGATGAGATTCTGTTTCCTTGCAGGTCAGAATGATAAGACGGATAAAGAGAATCAAATTCCTCAAAATAATATCGTACAAGGTAGCGTCCACACAGACATAGTCGCAGTCACACATCTCACATAGGAATCCAGTCAACATAAGAATGCTGAAATATCCACTTTTCAGCCCTATTTTTCTCCAGATTGGCGCATCGTAAGTTTGATTTGAAAGCTCCTTATGCTCAGAGGGTACATCATATCAAATAATGATGGTAGTTGGCCGGCGCCAAATTTCTTGGTATTCTGGGAGAAGTAATTTTAATTTTTTTCTAGATTTAAGGTGCTTACTGGCTTTTAAACTGCTGGACTCAATTTGTGGCAGCCAAAAAAAAAAAATAAAAATTCATGAACAGCTCAATATGTGGTAGAAAAGTAGATTCACTTCAAAACCTGTTTTAGTGCAATTACCAGAATATTTTTAAAATAAAATGCAGTCCAAGGCTGCAAGTAGTTGCACCAAAAATAATCATGAAAGAGAATCCTTTAAATTATTAAAATGAAATTTATATTTAAAAAAAAAAAAAAAAAAAAAAAAAAAAAAATAGAAACTTAAACATAGTTTTTGAGTTAAATTCTCTTTTCAGAAGTCAGCTTCATTAGAACACTTACTGGATATTTACAAAATGATAAATCAAAGCCAATAAAAATGATACAAAAAAAATGTGACATAGTCAAGTCTTTGAACAGTCTTTCTTGAAACTAAGGTATTTGTACCGCTAAAAATTTGCCAGTAGGTAATTGGTCACTTTTCGGCAGCGATTTACCAAGTGCAATGGACAAGCCATAAGATTTTTGCTACTGAACTACGATGAAAAATGGAATGTTCAACATTCTTTGAGAATAAAAAACAAAGTTCTCTACTAAATAGGAAATAATTGTACTTTTTACCACTAAAATGAACTATTGGGGCTGACTTCATGATAGATAGTTTCTAATATTAAGAGTCAACAAAAGATTCTTTGGAACTGACTTTTGTTGACTTAACAATCTTTACTTCAGGAAATGGATGCAAAGTCAAAATTTTGTAAGTGAATATTTGGTACAGACAGCAGCACAACTAAGTTTAAATCATTCAAATAGAAAAAAATGTCTGAAGGAATCTAGAAGAGCAGAAAACGCAAAAATTTAAAAACAAAGTGAACAAACTTTACCGGTCCAAAAAATAACATTTTGGAATTATCAACTAAAAGTAAAAACTAGGAGAAATACTGCTCATTGGCAAGAATCTTTTCAAAATATGTTTTGTTTCATAAACATACCTTCAATACAATCTCTCAATTCAATTTCACCTAAAACTGCAAAAATTGTTGGCAGTTAAGATCAAAAGTTTTTTTATTCGACATTGTAGAAAATGTGAAAGCATAAATATCAGAGAGAGGATTGAAATCAATAGATCATAATCAAGATTATTGAGATGCAATTCATCACAGGAAAAAATCATGTTTTGAAATTCGTATGAAAAGTTCGACAGACCTTTCAGAAAAATTTGATGACTTTTGTGTACTGTCTCTGATATAAAATTATAGTGTTTTACTCTTTGCTCATCAGAAGACTCGCATTTTGATAACAGGAAGCTAATTACATGGGGGTAGTGCACCACAGATCAACAATATGGAGAATTTGCATCCACTTCTACAAGTATTCACATCAAGTATGACTTCATCTCCAAGGCTTTTTTCAAAACATCAATGAAGCAAGAACAATATTCAAAATTCAAAACTTTTGAAGGGACTGAAATGATAAGAGAAGACGCAAGGATATTGTACAGAAAGAGAAAATCCGTATCATTTTGAAGTACCTTTCATTTCAGTGGGGATTTTCTGTTCATTTTTTGGGTGAAAATTTTTCAAAACACTCAGAGTTAAAAACAATGGTACTGTAGACACCCGCAGGTAGAGCACACTTCTTTCTCTCAATTTTATTTTTATTTACGTCTCAAGTACTGTAGGAGCAAGCTAATTCCTACAATAACACAGGCAATTGGCGATTACAAAAAAAAAGAGATTCTTTTGAGCTTCGATGCTCTAAAAAGATTTCAAAACTTAAAATCTATGGTGCAGCTAATATGCGAGTGCCTATCATATATCCATATCTTCCGGTTTTTCGAGCATGTTAGAATTTTAACTCTGACATGTTTAACATTGGTACATGAAAAATATTCATATAAAATGAATGGAATTGTTAAAAAATGATCAAATTGAGCATCTCATAACCGATTGCCCGACTATATGAAAATAGTTCCGAATTCTGAATCTTGACTTTTGCTCATTACTAGTACTTTCACAGGCCTGAGATCAAACTGACAAAACCTCTGGATCAAATTGAAAAAACCATCACCAATGTAGACAGATATGTTACCTAGCCATTTGACGTAGGAGTTCAGAAGAGATACTACGCCTCGCATGTCCCAAACATATGGATACAGATCATACAGCAGCTCTCGATTATTGCAAGCGGTCAGTCGATCCATCAACTGGTTCAGCGCCTCTGCGCAGTCATTTAGCTTCTTGGCCCGTTCAAACCATTCTTGAGCCTAAAATTCATACGTAAAATGTTATCAAGGAGGAAATCATACCTACAGCTCCCAAAAAAATTTCCTATGAATCTTTTACTTGATTTTCAGGTGAAGTAACCAAATTTTGTTGACTCACAGAGCGAAAAACATGACGGATAATGATGGAAAAAGCCTAGAAATTTGAAATATTTATCGAAACTTAAAAAATAGCCTGATACTTTCTGAGTTATCACTGTTTCTCCAAACTTATATAATACTTTACACTTCTAGAATTAAACATTCAGTTGGGCAAGATATTTTTGCTGGGTTGTCATGCGATATAACTGACAAAAAATTTTGTGAAAAATCCAAAAAATTCATTCATAAGGTCAAAAAGGCATTTCCGGTAGAGAAAAAGCCAACAGTCAAGACATGGTTTAAAGCACTGCTCAGAGAATCATTAACAATTGTTGAAACATACTAACCTCCGGTGTTTTTTCGGCATTTTTCCTGCAATGTGATGTTGAGGAGACATGATGTGCGTTGCTTTTGAGCCAGTTGAATTCCTGGAGCAGCTGGACTCCTTGAACTCCATGCTCGAACGGCAAATAGAAAAGATCACAGAGAAGCGCTAGGTCCTCGTAACGCAATTCTTCTTCGGGGGACTTCCTAAAAAAGTTGAAACCAAATTTTAACCAAGTAAGTAATTACCAAAAAACAATATGTTGAAAATCGGTTGTGATAATTTAGATTTTATCTGCTGATAAGAGGGATTTATCTGTATTCCGCCTAACTACATCAGATGTTGAGTAGTTTTCTCTGACGTTCCATTTTTTAAGCTGAAAACTAAGTAAAACAGAAGCTTAAAATTTTGTGAGTATATTCTTCATAGTTTAAGGTATATTCACAGAAGATTTAACAGCATTATATAGTTTAGTTCTTCATTCAAAAATTAAACATGAGAGAAAAATTAGGCTCATTGAAATGCAAATAGGTTGATTCCGTCAAGAAATAACAAATTCGTAAGAATTATACAGATCATACAAAAAAAATTATTCCAAGTTTGCAAGTTTACTACGATTTAAAAAAAAGTTACTTGTAGGAATCAATATTCAGCTAAAATCCCTAGACAAAAATATAAATGCTACAAACCTCTTACAGTACCAAATTAAACGGTGAAAATTTCAAGAAATCATGTTGATTTTTGAGTTTTAAAACACAATGAAATAGAGAACATTGAGGTACACAATTTGACTTAAGATTAATATTTGTTCCGGAGATGGATCAAAGAAAGTGCAGTTTTAAAAAACATGGACTATGAAATTGAATTCCGTTCTACATAACAGCAAGGTTGCTACAGAAAATGGAAAATGAAATTCTCCAACACTTCACTGATTTCTCTGACAAATTTTGGTAAAATACCCTCGCATTCAATAGATGAGCTGATTACAAATCCCCGATACTGAACCCGAACACACAAAATTTGTAATTCGATACATCAAACACATTTGAGGAAGCAAATAAAAAGGATTTATCAATTTTTCCTATACACTTCCAGATTTCATTGAATTTTTGAAATTCCGACACTTTTTCAAGATTTTCCTGACTGTAGCAACCTTTTGATAGATACATTTGGATCGTAAATGTTAGCATTAATTCCTTGTGCGTAGCTATTTGTTAAAAAAAAAAAAAAATATTCAAACCCTGCAACTGAATTTATACTTCCAGAGTCCAACACTTACTTCGCTTCAGTTCCGTTAGTTTCTGGCGGATTGGTAGGAGGATCTACAATCATTGTTTGACTAGAGGGACTTGGTGATTCCATTTGCATTTTGCTGTTTGCGTCACCTGGGAAACTGGAACACTACAAGAGAAGAGACTTTCATTTACTATTTAACAGTTTTTTGTTTATTTGTTTCAAAGAAATTAAAAATAAACTTAAAGTCATGAAGAAAGGGAAACAAATACTTATGGTGGAATTTCTAGTGCACCCCAAAAAAAGTAATTCCGGTCAGAATCAATATTCACTACTTTCTATGCTAATCACCTTTTAATACCTTCCAGAACTCTACGTCGAAAATTCACTCACAAAAAATAAAGCCAGTTAACATGGTCAAAAAATAAATGAAAGATATTTTAGCAATTGAGTCTCAGTTCAATTCTGGAAAAAATAATTTAATTGATATAAACACCAGTGTTTAAGCTTGTGCACTCATGTCCTGGGGTACGAGGTACACGATTATGTTCATCCACTGACTAGAGCCTCTGGAGGGCAGGTTGTTTTAATGAACAACAAACATTTTCTGCTAACTGATTATCCTGGTAAAAAAATCTTAACATCAACGATGTCTGCAAAACTTGGGATGATTGTGGAAATTTCTGGGGTCTTGTGAGGCCCAGAAAAGAGAGGGCGTTTTTAATAGACCACAAACTAAAACTTCAGGAAAAAGTTTTCTACGAAAATGGTTGAGTATCCTTCAAAATTAAAACCCTTGGGGCCTGCAACCGAGAAATTTACGGCAGTGACTACAATAGTTGAGCCTTCATTCATTAGTTTTCAACTTTTTTGGAGGAGAGATTTCTTGGAAAATCTTCTCAATACTTTTCGTACAAAGCATATACGTTAAATACTGTACTACTGATGGATGATTACTTGTTATCTGATGACCTTTTAGACCGAACAATTCATCCGATTTCATCTGAATCCAACAGATTCTTTTGCTCTCTTTAAACTTCAGAATTACGTTATTGTCAAAGTTTATTGATAATGTCAAAACTGGTCTTTCAACACTTCGGTGTTGAAAGCGCACAACACACTTACACTTACAGAAGTGTCCGAAGACAAGCACTCTGAGGTGGGGGTGGTTTTACAATCCATCGGTTCACTGATAACTTTATTCTCTGATGCAAGGGAGTTCATCACGACTGCAGGGCCGGTCAAAGTCACAGCAGGTGTGGGCTGCATTAAGCTGTCAGCACCGTTTACCTGTAAAAACAAAACAAAGAAAACACTAATATTAAAACACTATTTGTTTTAACGGTGATTTCAAAGACTGACGATGAATATAGCCAAGAGAGGTTGCGAAAAAAACAAAATAATTTTTTAAGTGGGTAACTTTTCAGTAGTTTTCAAAGACCGATTATAAAATTAAATCTTTTCAAGTAAATTTTCAAATTTTACGTCCTAATACTTAATGAATCGTCAAAGAACAACAAAAGTCAATATTTTAAAGCTCTTCATTATGTACTTCCTTCAAAAATACAGATATACATCATCAGAGACCTTCTTTTGAAACGTTTCTTTTGCAATTGCTCCACGCTAAAATATTCCCTGAATATAGGGACACCCAAACACAACACAAAAAGAAAAATTAACAATCAAAATTAACAAAATTAAGGAGCACTTAATTTCCATGCTACAGAATAACGTCATAGGAGCATTTGAATGTTGCCAAATTTCCTCTTAGAAAATATTCATTTTTGACAGAAGTCAGAAATCAGAAGAAAAATATTAACGAATTTTTCCGAAAATACAGGATATGTTAAAAGGGAATTTGGCAATGTCTGAGGACTTATACAGCGTTTTCCTTAGCGCGGCAGTTACGATGCCAAGAACATCAGTGGCGTGGCGTGCTTTGCAATATAACAAATGATATGCCTTTTAAACCTATGGGTAAAGATCGACAAACGGGGTGTTCGCAGCGAACACCTTAATAATCGATTCTTTACTATAAGTTTAAATGGCATAACAATCGATACATCGTAATTCACGCCACGCCACTGAAGAACATCTGTTAAGTTTCAAGAAAAGGCCAACTACTTACAGCTGAGCACACTTCCGCCAAGGCTTGAAGCTGATTCGTGTTATTAGGCTGTGAATCAGTGACAGAGGTCGTAGTGGGCGTAAGGGACATGCATGTGTTGATACTCGGAAGTATGACCGGGACAGGGATAGCGACGGCAACTTGTGGCTGAGGTTTCTGAATTGGCCCGTAGACCTGTTTGTGCCGCTGGAATTCTAAAAGCCATTCATTTATTGCGTTACGCAGAGCTCGGCGTGGATGGTAGATGTTGGTGGGCAACGAGGAGGGGACATCCTCTGACAATCCTCCATCTTCAGACTCAATTTCAAGCTTGATGTCAGCTGAGACACTGTCGTCTGCAAAACCAAAAAAATTCAGCGCTTTAGGTACCTCTAGAGTATCATTATAGGGAGAGTTGAGGCATGTGAGTCGACTCATGGATGTCACAGACCTGAATGCAAATTACACAGGTTGAACATTTATAATAAAGGGACTCTAGGTACCTCTTGAAGTCTGAGAGAATCCTTGAAGAATTCAAGGATGTTGACACACTTGTGTACCCAATGCGTACAAGGCAATTCACACAATGATAAGGAAAGCTCACAATTAGATGCCCACAAATTTATGGATGTCAATAGGCTGCGACTCAATTCAAATAAGCTAGATTTTCAATTGGAAAATAACTCCATTAAAAATTATACAGATATTCCATTGGAATCAGAATTAAGAAGTTAACCTGCATAGACAACAGTGATATGAGTCTCTTGTTATAAAAACATTTACACAAAGGAGGGTGCAAGATTTTTTTTTCCCCCAAGTTGAGGGGGAATCTTGAGAAAAAGCTTTCTTGAGAAATAACTGGAAATTAACCTACACTTTCCTTCTAGAATTATTCCTTTTCATTCCTCAACACATAATTCCCTACCAAAAATCTTCAAGTTTGAAACTGATGAACTTGATTCTCTTTACTATACCAGAGAAATGATACAGCTACTTACTCAAACTAAGATCTCGCAGTCCATCGATACTGCATCGGGACCACTGAGCCAACGTGTGGATGGCTACGAAATTGCAACCATACTCGCAGTTGGGATTGGTCAACACACCGCGAAGCTTCGGAATGAGATCGGGTGAACGCCCTTGGTATGGACCTAGGAAAACACGCTTTTGATCATAATCATTTGCATGGATGTTATCCCAAATCACCGGTGGCCTCCTCAAAACTTCTGTTATTTCTTCGATTGATTCCACAGTCAGCAGCCTGGAAATTACTTTCGGACCTGAAATAAAAAAAATACATCGACTTTTATGCTAAGATGTTCCTTTCTGACGACAGAGTTCATAGTTTTTAAAATTCATAGTTCTTTATGTTTTTCCTGTTTCTGCATGGTAAAGAAAAAGGCCAAATTTAGCGTGGAAAACAGTTAAAACAGCAAAGACTTAAAAAAAGTTTCAACGGAATAGCAGAAGTAGTACCAAAATACTCTAGCTCTTCATATAGTTTTCCCAACTCCCAACTTTCTTCCGCCAAATTGAATTCACTATCTTATTCCAGTTTCTTTGAGTCCTGAGTATTTTCCTACTTATCTCAAGAATAGCACAATAGAGATACTCTGAAATTTTGGTTCCGCTCTTCTGACTTCTCACTGATATAGCCTTCGGTAAATCACATGAATTCTCACTGTTTCAACACTTTGACAGTCAGGCAGCTTAAAGAGAGAGGAGCTTGTTATTAAGGCCTCCATTACCGCAAGGCATTATCTGAAGGCTCCCAGCTAAACAAGAAGTCACTTCGGTCGGCGGTTTCTAGGGACCAAAGAAATTTTCAACTTAAGCAGGATATTGTCTTACTATAGTTCTGCTTAGCAAAATTCCATTGCATAACTTCAGAATTGCCAAATTAGCTAGTTACCTGTCCACATGATGTCTATATCAGGAGCCAATTTTGAGCCCAAGGTGTTGAGATACTCTGAATTTGAGACGTTTGGGACAGCTCTTGCAGCACAATACTGGGTTGGACATAACAGGAATTTAGGTTGGCTGAGGTGCTGATAGACTTCATTTGTGATGGAGACCTAAACAGTAAATAAGATTAAAGATCGACATAACTTAAAATTGGAGCAGTAATTCAAGTCAAACCACACAAAGAGTGAGCATATCCTAAAACGACAGTTTTTGATTTCAGGGATGTAGAAACTGTTTGAATGCGCCAGCCTGGACTTGCACGTGACATGAGGGAATTCAATAAGAAATTTCGTTTTGTTTTTGCCATAATTTCAGAATAGAATTATGGGGCTGAGGTTGCAATCAATTTTCAATCTAGAGAACTTTCTACAGCCATGCGGGAATGTTTACAAAATGATAGATCTGTTCAGTTTGGCCTCCTTTTTGAGGTTGCTGAACTATTTGATAAAATCTTTCTTCGTGAATCATCATTCGACTAAATTGAGCATTGAAGTCTGAAAGTAACTTTTATACGTTATACTAAAGGAAAGGTAGTAGTGCAGGGTCTCTGAAATATATCGTCTCTGATTCCAATGTATCACATGATATGGCTTGTTATCAATCTCTGAAAGAATTTTTTGTTTATTTTTTTGTCAATTAACCCACAAGGGCTCCACGGGATGTTTCACGGGATTTTTCCCAAGTTCAAATTGCAGGATTGAAACTTCTGGGATTTTTCCCTGTCAAATAGCACAACACAATTTATTATTTTTCTTATGAAATCGTTCCTGGGACTCCACATGACTCTCAGTTAGCACTGTGATTTGTATTGACTGACTCGATATTTTCCCCAACTTTGCAAGTGAGATTTTCCCTGGGACAAATCCCATGAAACGTCCCGTGGAGACAAGGCCTGCACCTAAAAAACCATAATTTTATGTAAAGAGAGAGAGGGAGAGGAAGAAAAAAAAGTCTCTAATGATTAAAAACTCTACAGACCAAACTCCTTCCACCTGAATTGAAGATAAATCCTAAAATTTGATGTCAAAGTATGTGCAGAAGGGGTAAAAGCCTCACCTGGGCATGTGCAAAAGATTGAAAAACTTCTTTATCTGCTTCAGACATTTCTGACTCAATATCGTCGAACAAAAGCGCAAATGCCGTGCATCCAAACTGATACACCTGCTCCAGCTTCCGTTTGAGCGTTGAAACCTCTTTCGTTGATGAATATGTGATATCAAGGCCAGGAGAAAGAGCATAGTAAAAGTTGATTCCGCACTCTTGAGCAGCAGTGATGAGGCCAGTCAAGTGCTCGGCCTCTTCGACAGTGTAGAGCTCGCGCCAGTAAACACGATGCTTGTAATCATCTTTAGGGGCGTACAGGTACGAGTCCATACCCCACTTTTTCATCCTACACCAAAGAAACAATACCACTGTTGAAATTCATTTAATCATACTTACTTTTAGATAGTGATCCTTTCAGAAACGTTTCCCTCTGATGGGTTTGAGGTACAGTGATCTGAAGTAAAATCCTTAGCCAGGATGGGGAAAAAATCCTAAGATTTCGCTGAAAATTCTTGAATCTCCAGGTTCGTTCAAATATCCTCAAAAAATCCCTAGATCCTGCAAATGCTACATTTCAATTCCCATATCGATTTACATTATCAGATTCTGATTGACTCGTCTAAATTTTGCCACTCTCTGAGAATGTTGAAAAATGCAAATGGGATGGTAAAATAAAAGGACAAAAGTTGAATTTTTTTTTTCTTAACTGTTGAACTACGGAGTGCATGGAATGGTGCAATTCGACAGTGCAAGTCGGCAATCACATAACTCGGTTTGCGACGTCGCAGACTTCCTGTCGTACTTTATTTTTTAAATGGAAAACTAGTCAACAGCAATTCTTTAAAACTGTCATGATTTTTCTTCTCAATGCGAAGAAAATTCTGCAAAAACTTCAAGAAATAATGTCAATTTGCTCTCCTTTAAAAAAATGACGTAGAGGCGGAGATTTTCAGACACCGCAAACGAGTTATGTGATTGCCGACTTTCACCGTTGAATTGTTATATGTTAAACGAGAAAATAGTGTTGTCAATCTTACCCAAAAAAGTGCAACTGACATTCAAACCGTTTCTCTAGTCGAATCTAAGGTCAACGCTAGAATTGAGGAGAGGTGCTTTCAGATCGGTTGACATTGTTTACTTTCGATTTGCAGATGCAGGCAACCATATCCACCTTAAAAACATCCTCCTCTTGATCTTATCGTAAAAATACTTCTTATCAATTATGATCCGCGACTTTCATGTGGTTACGATTTCTGTGTGGCTAAAAATTAAGTGTTACAAGCTTTGAAAGTATTAAAAAACCTATCCAAGCTTGTGTTCTCGCTTCTGTGGGATGTTTTAATGTGGATAGTAGTGACGCGAAAACGCCTGCAAATCAAAAGTAAACAAATATCAACTTATCTGAGGACACCTCTACAAGAGAGCCATTTTTCACTTCCTATTTCCATATCAGAAAAAATCCCTAGATCTAGGGATAAAGCCTGTAACTTTAGATCACTACAGAATTATTCTCATAGACCTTAGAATCTTGCAAAATTAACAATATTTAAAGACTTGTTATGATTTAAGCCGACACATTCTGAAATTTCATCATGATGAATTTTTAATCATTGCAATTTTAAATAATTTCATGATTAACTGATAAAAAAGCCAGGCTTACTTCTGGAAAAGATCCTTTCGTTGCTCGGTGGTCCATGGTCTTCCATAAAAGCCTGAAAAAATTGAAAATAGAAAGTGAGAGATCGTTTGATACTTCTTGACAGAAAGAAACCACAAAGTAGAAAAAAATACAATGAAAGAGGGCTCTGAAGTAATCATCTCTGCCACGTCAACTCAATAATTAATGAACGATATTTTCACATTTTTTCAGCTACAATTCTGTTTGAATGCTGCTATATCCGAGACTTTTCTCCAATTTTTTCTTTCTCCATTTCTATGCTATAGCCAACAGGGCCAGTTGCTTTATCGGGGAGTTTCTAGACGCTTGACATAATTTAGAATCAACCCTGGAAATCTTCTTTATAACAGGCATTCCACACATTTGACAAGGATATAAAAGTTAGCAGTGCGGATCCAGCTTGAAAAAATTATGCGATCTTAAGATCATCGCCTGAAAAGATAGCCAGTTTTTATACCAAGAGGCTCCCGGCTACTGGGGGTGAAAACTCCATTATACAGGGGGCTGTCAACTTTAGCTTGTAAGTAACCTTTGACCTGGTGACGGTAAGTTTCATCAACCTTAAGGGGAAGAGCTGATCATGATGAGAGACCCAACTGTGTCAGTGAAATAGCAGATCGCCCATCCTAATTTCCAAATTAGATGTAGATAGGTATGTAGTTCAATCAAGATGGCCGATCTTTGAAAGCGCTGAAGAAGTTGTCAATCAGATTGACTTGAATTTACACCCGGAGTTAAACCTATGGTCAAATTGGAGGAAAAACTGCAAGTGTGACTCAATCATTTGCGCTGTACAGTTAGAGATTTGGCGCCTGGCGCTTCATGACCAGAAAAACTGCTGATGATACAGCATACAGTGACATCCTACCGTCTCATTTTAACAGTGGATTTGCTTCTTGATTCTTGGATCGTGAGTAAGAAGTGAAATTAGGAACACCGATACAGAACTTGCGAAACTGACTTACCCTCGACAACACCACAAATGAAGTTACTGTTTTTAACGTTCAAATTATCAGTAAGAGAACCGATGTCAGCCATTTTAAAAAGCTAATGGGGATGTCATTCAACATTCAGCTCAGCGAATCGCGGACAAGTTAGACACTCTTGACGGCCAAACAAGTTAAGCTTGAAGAATTGTGAATGATACACAACTGAGGAGTTTCGATTATAGAAAAGATAACTAAAATATGTAAGACAGAATTCTAGAAAATTCAACTATCAGCTCTCTCTGCTAGCAGTCGCACATAAAACAACAACAACGTCACAACACAACAACGAATCAAAACAAAAGATTCCTCTACTGCCAAAAGTGCCAATCTCAAAAACTGTTTCCACCCACCCACGACAACTACTTTTAGATTACATTCATGAAATTTTGCATGATTCTAATGTTTAAAATATTTATTTTATCGTAAAAGATCACATTGATCAATGACCAAAATTTGATAAGTGGGAATGCTAAGCTAAAGGAAGAATTGAGAGTAAAAATCTAAACATGTTTGGAATGCTGCAACAGTCCGATGTAATTAAAGTTGGTAAACATGAATAATATGAGCCAATCACGATTAAAAACATCTGGTACATTATTTTCAAACTATGGCGGGAACCATTTTAAAACAATTCCCTGGGCATTCCTCGCAAAATTGTACATTTCGCAACAAACCTAAAAGTTCAGAGGGTGGATATATTCAGGATGGAAATAATAGAATATTCGTAAATACTTCGGTGCATAGCAAAATAAAAATCTGATGCAATTCTGGCCAATAAATTTGCTTGAATCTGGAGTAATTGGGACTGGAAGACGCTAAGGTATTTCGATTTATTAAAAATAGGGGGGGGGGGGGGGGTTAAATATCTTTGATAAGATTCCTCGTGACCATCTGATATTTTCAAAGAAAAATAAAGTACGTGAACGGGTGGAAATCTGGGGAGCATTGCAGGGATTAAACTGGGAAACATCAGGTTTGAATTTACCCACTTGATGCCCATGAGCCGCCTGTTATGTATTTTGCTGCTTCCTTCTCATTCGTTTTGAAACATCGATAAAAGATAAAAACTATCAAGTAAACGTGCCGGAGGGGGGAGGGGGGGGTTTGCACAGGAAGCGTTTACTCGTGTTGGGCACATTTTTTTGAGAGCCGTGTCATCGTGTCAACACTAGAAAAATTTCACGGAACTTTGCAACTTGCATTTGAACTTTGCTTTGCCGTAAACTTATCTCTGTGTGGACAAGGCCTTCCATTTATAAGAAAGAAATGAACAAAAAAATTGTGAAAGAACAAACATGAATGTGGTTTAATAACTTTAACTTCCGCCGCCGCGCCGCACTGACCGCACTCTGTTTGGCACAATGCGTGAAGTATTCTGACAGTCTTGTAGGCGCTATGTGTTTCACGTCGACCGCTGCTGTCCGCATGATGTTTGACGCAATGCATGAAGTATTCATGCAGTCTTGTAGGCGCTAATATGTGTTACATGCCGACCGCCCCGCACCGAGGGCTTTTCATCTTAAGTCCTCGTCATCGTTGCTCTCTGCGCCGCGCCGCTCCTAGTCCAAATTACGTGTTTGGTTTCTATCTCAACTAGACTAATGAAAGGCGCTGTCTCTTGTGTCACCGAAAGACGAACGAATCAGAAATTACTATACTTAACTCTCAGGAAATGAGAGATTTTGTCGCCTTTTCTCGTTTTCCGAATCCGATTTGTTTTTACACCTATATTTTAAAAAAATGCAAAATTGCCGCCCCTTAAATTTGCCGCAATGGGCAGCGGCCCATGTGGCCACCCACTCCCTAAATCCGGCCCTGGGAAACATGGAAATTTTTTCCGGATCCTTAATTATATTACAATAATTTGATGATGTCAAATTTTCGATCATTTACAGGACAATAAGATTTACCATAGATCAAGGGGGCAAAATATTTAGTATCGTGGGGTCGAGTGGGGGGTTTAGGTCCAAAAATCTGACTTTGAGATTTCGATAGAAAACTCTCGATTCCAGGCAATAGATACTTAATTACTCATCAGTGCGTGGCGTTGTCGTAGACAAGGGGGGTCCGGGGGGGTCTGCCCCCCCCTCTAGCTACGTTAATAATTGTACCTTTTTTTTGCTTTAGGAGGGCAGACATAAAATATTAGCAGGGACGTACACAAAATAATGTAAATGGACCCCTCCCCCCCCCCTTTAAAGAATTCCTAGCTACGCCACTGTTATTTATTTTTGTGCCAAGAGAGAGCTTGAATTAGTTGAATTTGCATATTGCACTGTCAATTGTTTTCAGCCCACTTGAAAATTCATGGAAAAATATTCATTATTTCTTCCATGACAAAATAATATTTCACTCGTTTTCCTAAATTCATACTTGAATCAGTTAAATTTACTTGCCTACCGCAATAACTCGGTAAAAATAGTCAGATCCTGCCTGAGGTGTACTGATGTGCTTAATTTCTGCACCGCGAAGGTGAGGATTTTCTTTTATCAATGCGCCTTCAATGCGGTACTCAGCAATTGTGCATACACAAATGCCGCGCGTATTCATTACCTGTTGCCTGTTGTTGTTTGTTGATGTTGATGATTGCAGATTGATAAGAGAGATTGATAAGGGATAACCATACCTGGTCACGCCCAGATTGAGGTTATGTCGTTAGTAAATCGGTTTCCGCAATGTGTTTACGTTAGTGCTAACGGGTTAAGAGTGCGAAATCGCGAGTTTTCTTGTTGAATTCGAGTTTAATCAGTTTTTTCCTGGCAGAAATCAATTCTGTGCCATAAGCCTCACTCTTGGTNTGTGACATCCACGAGCCGAATTGTCTCGACTCTCAGTATAAAGGGACTCTAAGGTGTACTGATGTGCTTAATTTCTGCACCGCGAAGGTGAGGATTTTCTTTTATCAATGCGCCTTCAATGCGGTACTCAGCAATTGTGCATACACAAATGCCGCGCGTATTCATTACCTGTTGCCTGTTGTTGTTTGTTGATGTTGATGATTGCAGATTGATAAGAGAGATTGATAAGGGATACTCGGCTTTCTCGGCAGTCGGCACGTAAGCGCAGCACGTCAACACTCGGCATAAAATAATTTTTTATAAGTGTAGGTCAGTCAGAATTTCGCTAACATTACAGCATACTTAATCTGATCTTTATAAAGATTTAGTTTAATCAACACCCGATGATTTTTCCCACCAACGTTTCAATGAATCATGGTGAGCAAGTGAAGGAACATCAGAACATCAGTTCAGGGCCATAGCAATGCATATCTTTCAAAATTGTGAAGAATTTCGACAGCTTGACTCAAGGGCTATTTCGCTGAATCCATGATGACATTACCCTGTCAAGCTACCACGTGTGAAATCTCAGGTAAATCTGTTCAAGCCCTACATGTTTTGTTGACAATCGTAAAGCATCGTTTTTGATGTCTCTAAATATAACTGCACTCTCTGATTGATCAACGCTTTTTTTGTTCACTTTTTTTATTATTCTTTTAATGAAAGAAATGTAACATTTTGACAGTGAAGTTGCAAAAGTGCGTATCTTGGTCGCAGCCCCATGTTGTACTAGCTGGCCCGATGTTACACCGATTGACTGTACTGAACACCAAGAAGTCAATTGCTGAAAATTCTAGCCCAGTAGGTAATAGGTCAGTTGATGGGGTAAGTAAAGTTATGATGCAGGCTATTCAAGTTGTGCAGACTGATTTAAAATTCAAATTTGTGCACCTAAGTAAAGCTGCACGATAGTGCTTCTTATGATGTACCTACTGAGTGTGGCCCTATAGTCCAAGTAAAGAGCTGTATGACCCTAAGTATTTGGGAACATTAGGATTGGAACTTAATATTTATCATTTTGTGTTGTCTCATATGTCTGAGAAATTTCTTAAAATCGGCCAGGGAAACCTGGAAAAGCGAGGTAAGTAATCATGATCGTAAGTTTACGTGTCCACCACAATGGTAAATGATTTTCCTTTTCGTCTCCTTACTTGTGGATTTGTTCTGTGAAATTTGGGTGCATCAAGACTTGCCCCCATAGAAATTCAGATCTGTGAACCTAGTGCTTTTCATATAATACCTATGGTCTCTTACCCGTCCTGTGTGAACAGTGCAGGAACGAAATGTTTTTCTTTTGCCTAATTTCAAGCTGGTTTGATCAAATAATCTGAACTTTGATAAACATAATCACTCTTACCAGCCGTTTTAGGTTTTTCGGGTGAAGCACCTCTTTGTTAGGTATCGGTTGAGAACGCAGTTTGGTTTGAGCAAAGAATTCAGACCTGTCAGCAGAATTCCACCAGTTTCGCTATCATTGAAGCTCAGTAGGTGGAGTGTAGCGGAATGTTCGCTTAAGCTTTGTTTGCCCAAAAAATATGAAATGGGTAGAAAAAGTGGAAATAAAGGTCAAACAATATAAGTACAGCGACGAAGTTAAATTATTCTCGACTCATTATTCTGAATTTTACTGCCCCCAAGACTTGGTCACTTTCCGGGCCGCATGTACAATATTTTTTGTTAATGTTTTTGTTTCTAATTTTTCTAGCTTTGAGAAAATGGCATATACTCATTAAGAAGCATTCGCAATTCAACGTCAACAAGAGCCAAGAAAAATGCTCGTACCAAGACAGCAGCTTTTCATCCGTTAAATTTGTCTAATAGAAGCAGTTTATGTACCTATACTTAAAAATGGTATCCTCAAACTTCTAGATGCCACGAAATGAATGCCCATCATGTCTAAACAGTGAGGTGAGTGAGAAATTCAGCAAAATAGGTTTTCGAAAAAGTTTTCTAAACGGCAAATTCAATCAGCTAGCAGCCCTAGAAAGGCATTTAGATGTCAGCCTCTGAGTTCACAGTTCGATTTTGGGAAGTGTAAATCTGATTGTTCGAACTAAGATTGGTCTCTAAAAGGTATATCCTCTTCGTTCATGGGCTAGTCCGATTTACGCATTTTATATATTATGTGTTATTATGTATTTTATTTTTTATATTAGGTATTTTATATCATATTCGCTGTGAAACTACCAGACTAAGTATCTTGATTTGCGACATTGAGGACTTCCTGTCTTACTTTATTTTTTAAATGGAAAATCACTCAATGTCATTTCTTGAAAACTACTGTGTTTTCTCTACTTTAGAGGAAAAAAATTCTGTGAAAATTTCAAGAAATTATATCGATTTGCTCTTCTTCAATAAAATAAAATTTGAGCGGAGATTTTTAAACACCGCAAATGAAATACAAGGTCTGGTAATTTCATCACCAGTACGTTTTCTATTATCATACGTCCCAAGTAACACGGATTACCTACAACATATTACAACAGTATTGTAGGAGAAAATTACAATTTTTCTGTATCATATTATGATCGTAATTTTTTCCAGAAAAAAGTGTGATAAAAGTGTAATCTCATTGTAATTTTTAATTAGCTTCTAGCTGGTCAAGATTTGTAATGAAATCGCAAAATCTGAAATTTCTTCTCAGTTTTTAGACTACAAAGAACTATTTTTTTAATGTTTTGAAAAGTAAAATACTTGGGCAGTATCTTTAAATATCTTGTATTTCTGCTTCTTTTTTTTTTGGCCAAGCTTTTTTGAAATTGGAACTAAAATTTGGTCCAAAAAATTTCCCAAATTTGTAATCCCCAAAAGATTTCATAATTTTCTTTGAAATAAAAGTACAATTTTTTCAATGAAAAATAGATTGTGTTAAATGTTGAGAAAAAATTACGATAAGTAATATTTGGAAACAATTTTAATAATTTTATGATATTAGAGTCCACACCAAATAAGGTCACGCACTTCTAGACTGTAACAGAGGATCGTCTGATGTCACTTTTACATGTAAAGTAAATCAAAGAATCAACACGGCAGATCTTATTCTGTCACAGTCTAAAAGCTTGTTAATTTATTTTATGCGGACTCTATTGCAGTATAACGCAACATTCCAATTACAAAATGCTACTTGGGAGGCAGAAAATGTGCTTTTTACTTATTCCTCTAAATCAAAAGAATAATGAAGGAATAGTCCACATGTTGCTTTCAATGTAGGCCGTATTGTCTCAGTCTCACAAATCAGGATTGTATTTTGTTTAAAATTGGGGCTTTTGAGTGGTGACAAAACCAGACTGCAAAGCTTGGGAAACCTAACTTTTCAGGAGAGGATAAAAACTGTCTAAGTAGGTTCCTTATCTTTTACGATAAGAGAGAAATTATTCTTGAAGATAGCAGTAATAAGATGCTCTTCAACAATCTGCAAACAATTTTGAAAAGAATCCACATTTCTCTGTCATTTGAAGTGGCAATTTCTTTCATCTTCTCCTCATGTAGCTATAGCTGTTAAAATCATTATCGAACTTTCACCTCAAAAACCATTGTTTAACTTACAATAATAACAATATTGCATCTTGTAAACTGCGTTCTGGAATGAAACTTAACTAGGTATTTGATTGTGTTTTTTTCAGGTTAAATCAACGAACCAGGTCATTTGATTTTCGAAAAGACAAAAGATGCTCAAATTCTGCACTCTCCTCAAATTCAAGGTACCATTCAGGCATCATTCATTCCAGCAGTATTTTTAAGTAGCCATAATTTTTATCTGGGAGCTCAAACTGGAACCCCTGCTGTCAATACTTTTGTCTGCACTTGTACTTGTTCAACTTTCTTCTCTACTGTAAATCGAGCTTAAAATTATTTTTGATGAAGTTCGAAGTTTTTGTGAAAGTCAATTTCTATTGTGCCTACTCAGTGAGTACCTAAATTTTTTTTGCTTGGTTAATATCTAACTTGTTGAAATCGTAACTCTTACCTGTTTGTTCAGACCCATGGACAGGATTTTAATTAAAGCAGTCAAAATTGACTGGTTTTGTAAATTGACTGTGTCTAGTAGGTATTCATTTTCTTACGTAGCATGCAGGGTCCAAAATTGCGCAAAATTAAAATAAAAACCTAGATGATACAGATAAACCAAAAATAATAAAGCTGGAGTCAATTCAATTTTATTCTACTTAGAAAAAAGAGCCTATATTTATGCAGGTTCTTATTAGTTACGTATTGAAAAAATTTATGCATTGATGGTTTTTTACATCTTGAATATACGAACAAAGAGGGACTTTTAAGTAGTGAAGGCATCAGAGCAGTGGCTGTTATGTCTGTCATCTCCTACTTGTTTACGCAAAGGCCCAAATTTTTTTCAGTTCTACCGGAACTTGAATACATAATATTTTCAGAGAAATGGTTTTTGATTAAGCGTGTGTGAACGTTCAGTAGGTTTACATTCCTATGGCTTTTGCATTAATGACAAGTCAAAGCTGGAGCCCTAATAATTCTACATTTTATCTTTTATGAAGAAAAAAATTAATTTTCAGTCTTCATTTTTTGATGTTATATACATCTCTATATGTGTGATGTAAAGGGCTCAATTATTATGCTTTTAAATTGATATGAAGAATCAGAACATCCCTCACAGCTGCTCCCAACATTAAATATCTGTTATTTTTGAGTCGCCATGTCTATCTGGCTAGCAGGACATAATTGACTAATACTTTTCAGTAATTTTTGTTTATCTTCAATTATGCTTAATTGCATTTGTAATAAGTTATAACATCAGCCAAAGCTGATCTCACCATAAAATTTTGGTCCTCTCTCTTTAATGAGCACCTCATAGATACCTGAATGGATAACTCACTGGCAGAAACCATGACGGCTCCACAGGACAGTAAGAGTGGTTTAAACCCTTGTCCGTTCGGTCAATCTATGCGACTGCAACATTTTGGATTTGCACCTACATACCTACCCCTAAATCACGGTAGCTATGGGGTCTCACCTCGTTACGTACAGGAAAAATTGCACGCTCTGCACAAGGTATCAAATGAGCGGCCAACAGTCTTCATGAAGTGGACAATGCCGAAGATGCAGGCTGAGTCACGTGCAGCGGTCGCCCAAATTCTATGCTGCCCGGTCGATGACCTTGTGCTGGTGCCGAATAACTCAACAGCTTCCGACCTGATATTACGTAATGTGAATTGGAAGGAGGGAGATGTTATTTTGTACCATGATCTCACGTATCCTGCACTCAAGAAAGCGCTGTGTCACATAGAGGAGATATCTCCGGTTCGGGCCGAAAAAGTAAACATGTCGTGGCCAGTTAGCGACGATGATCTTGAACGTCACTACGAGGAGGCTATCCTGCGTATCAACGCTGAAACCAGCCGGCAAGTGCGCATGCTCATCATTGACACTATCACGTCTGTACCAGGTCTTTTACTCCCATGGGAACGCATGTGTGCCTTGGCGCGCCGTCACAGTGTTTACAGTTTAGTTGATGGAGCCCATGGAATTGGTCATATCGATATCGATCTCACTGCAGCTCAGCCCGATTTCTTCTTTAGTGCGCTGCATAAATGGTTATTTGTTCCTCGCGGTTGTACTGCGATGTATGTAAATCCTCGAGTTTGCCATCTCATCCGAGCCACGCTTCCTATTAGCCATAGTTTTCAGCCTCTACCAAATTGTACTATCATGAGCTTAGATGAGGTTCCCACACCTAACACCACTTCATCTTTAGCAGAGCTTTTTTCTTTCGTGGCCACGCAGGACTATTGTCCACAACTAGTCATTCCTGCTGCTTTAGCTTTTCGCAAGCAGGTATGCGGTGGAGAGAAGGCAATCCAAAAATATTGTGCGGAAGTTGCTTGGAAGGGTGCAGAAGCAGCTGCAGAAGTCCTTGGCACTGAAGTTATGCATATTCCGGATGCCACTGTCCGAGAAAAAGCTTGCTTCTTGGTAAATGTGCGTATGCCTATCTCTCTCTCAAAGTATCAACGTGCGGATCTGAAGGAAATATTTGATTACATACAGCGCGCCGCTGCTGTAGACTTTGATACATTTTTCCAGATCGCGTATGTTTCAGATACGTTTTGGTGGCGCATCAGCGGCCAAGTATACATTGAAGTAAAAGATATTGTTAAAGGAGCAGAGTACTTGAAGATTTTATGTGCGCAGGTTCGAGATGGATCGTGGATAGAAGATCGAAAAAGAAAAAGCTTGGGTTTTTCCATAGAGGTTGAATAATTTTCAGTATCCAGACGGCAAGCAGAAAAAAAATTATGATCCCTCAGAAAAATTGAAGAGTCTTCAACTAGTGATGGAACGTTTCACGTAATCAAATGTCTCCCTAAATATTCTTTAAGATAATTTTCAAACTAGGGATTTGTCCGCATGACATTTTAGTAAGCTCTTAACAGTTATGAAAACAATGCTAATTACTCAATGATTTCGAGGACAGTTGTGATTTTTGCATGAATGTGATGTTGTAATATTACCGTCCAACATTGTTCTAGTTTGATTTTCTTCTGTTATTTTTCTCCTTGTTACCTATGTTACGTAACAAATATTAATGATTGCCTTGTCATAGTAAGTAAGTGTCCAGGGCATCAGATCGATCTTCTCTGGTCGTAAGAATTTTCTGATTATACCTTTTAATTTAAGGGAAAAAGAAGCTGTAACTTCCTCACTGAAGCAGTCCTTGCAACTTTCTAGCAGTGATAGCTTTATTGGCATCGTTCCTGTAACTTTCATTGTTAAGAATTTTTGTTATGTTCTATGAAAAATGTAAATGTTATTGTTGTTATTGCTGAACCAACATGTGAAATGTTTCCTGTGCAACACAATTTAGTAAAAAAAACTGTTCACTTCAGAATTTTTCTCTGTAATTGTTACATCTCTGCGACAAGTAGGTATTGAGCAGTATCGTAGGCGATGATATCACTGAATATTGTCGTGTTAGGAATTGTGGAATACAGTGTACAATCCATATGTATTCTCTTAATAATAAAGGCTGTTGCAAAAAATATATATTTCATGTTAATACATATGTAGACATGACTGTCAAAGAGAAAAGGGACCTGAGGTCACTGCGTCATGCCCGTAAAACAGCTTTTGGGAGTCGGGTTTAAAACCCAGATTTTGACATCTCAAAGGACAACTTTTTCTAGTATCCTTAGAAACAAGTTGGAAGCATTTCAGTTATCTTCTGGGTTTTATAAGAGTGTTTAGTTGCATTATATTCCAGTGATTATGTGTCCTGAGGGTGGCTGACTATAGTTTGAGGTTTTTTCCCATGAGAATTTTTTTCAAATCGCAAACCTCCAACCGCCATAGTTTTGGTTTCAATTGGACCGCGTTAAACAGAAAGGAACCAAGCCACATCAGCTATTGCCAAATTTAATGGGGCAGTTTAATTTTTTACATGAAAATGGTTGTGCGGATTTTCGTGCAAATTTCAGTGAAAATTCTCCATGGTGCGAAGCAAATTCCTTAACATTTTCAAAGAAATCCGAACAAACGTTCTCTCGTAAAAAATTCAATTGCCCAGTTGAACTTGACAATAGCTGATGTGGCTTGGTTCCTTTCTGTTAAACTCGGTCCAATTGAGGCACTGGATGCGAAAAGGGCACTTCTCGATTGCAGTGTTTCAGAATCTCTGTTGCTTATTTATCCCTTGGTGAAAAATTAAGTGGGTGATTTTGCTAGAATTCTTTCCATAGAAAATTGTAGAATCATAAGGAATATTCGGCGAAATTCTTAGTGATATGGATGCACTCACTTTCCTTACAGTGAATGAAATATTAGAGGAGGCTCTGAAACACTGCAACCGAGAAGTGCCCTTTTCGCATCCAGTGCCTAAATTGATATCTCTTTTCCCAAAATGTTGGTTGAATATTGCGCTATGCTCTGACATTAATAACTCAATTTAGAGTTCTTATGGATTAAGGTCCCTTTTCTGGAGGAGAGTCACACATGAATTAATGATGCACTCAGGCTTTGCAAAAAGTGACATGGTTGCCACAGAATTCAGAAAATGAAATTCCCTGACCTCTTGTTTTTCCCAACTTTTTGTAAAATTTGGCATTAGAGAATATGCGAGATGATTACAAGGAAATAAAAATCGCCACTTTCAAATCCAAGTTTGCATGATTTGTTGTTCAATACATGGAATGTCAAGTATATGTAATTATGTAAAAAAATTTCCCCTGACTGTGGCAACCCTGAATAATGAGGGAAAATTCGATGAAAATTCGCAAAAATAAAGAAAAAATTGTTTAAAAGTTCATTTTTCATTTATTTAATAAAACTACGTAACTGTATCAACATTGACCTTTTATAAAATATATTGTTCTCAGAAAGGGGGAAAAGGACAGATTCCCAATGGTTATATTACAAACTCTGCAGAATTTTCTCTTAATTTAATACATCACGAAAGCAAGTAAAAAAAATTTCTACAGTAAATTTACAGGAACAGACAAATAAGATTTTTTACAGTTTTCACAAATACTATAGAACAAATATACACCGATACAATTGTACAAAATTTAATTAAGGCTTCAAAAAAAAAAAAAAAAAGACATGGGTAGTATGTCTATTTAACACAGCGCAAAAAAGAAGATATTAAACGGTAGAAAGTAGACAAGAGATTCTAAGTAGACAAGAGATTTTTGCCATGGCAAGTCTACTAATGAACTTTTGGTTCTGTCCCATGGAAACGCGGAGTTGCCAACATAGATCAGGCAAACTCAGATTTCCACCGCTTGATTTCTTCATGGTGCTATGATCGACTCTTTCACTTATCTTTAAGATGAGCAGTCTTTGAATTAACTCTTCTTTAATACTGAAGGGTACAATTCAGATCTCTTACGACAATGAACATGCATTAATGAAGGAAATATTTGAGTTTTGGCATAATCCATCTCGGATGCAAGTAAGTTTGACATGAGGAAAATTGACAGGAAAAAGATCATAACGTGGATGAGAGACAATATATAAATAAAGAAAATAAATAGATCACATGAGAGCAAAAAAAAACATGGAAAAACAAAATTTTGAAGATAAAAAACAAATTCAAATACTTGAGGATTTTTGTCAAAACAATCGTATTAAATATATGAAACAAAAAAGAGTAGAATTTTAGGGGGAATAATTATTTTTCCCCCATTGCTGCCAATAATGGTAGGGACAAATCTGAAAAAAGCATCAGATAAAAATAAATTCACTAAGAGGAGAGAATAATTACGAAACTGTTATAAGGAAAAACTGACAAGGATGAGCACACTTTTCCTTTACCCTTAACAGCATGAAAATGTTTCTGTTCATAAAAATATATTGACTGGTGATCAATTAGGACAGATCAAATGTTTGATGGCTGTTATGTAGGAAGACTGAGAATATTTTACAAAAAAAAAAAAAAAAAAAAAAAAAAAAAAAATTAGATAATTTAGGGTGTTTTATAACATTATTAAGTATTGAAAAAAATATTGCTCAATTCTGAGGAATGAACCAAAAATTGACAAAGAACACTTGAGCAAGTGAAAGGCTTACAAAGTAAAAAGACCTTAATCAGCATGCAAAGCTTGGGGAAACCTACGTCAAATTTAAATAATCAGTAATCTGATATAAATTTTTGGCGCTGTTTTTGGTGCATCGAGAGCGTGGAGAGGAAACAATTTGATACTTCAGAAAAATACCTTATACCAAAAATTATAGAAATCAATTATAACATGTTATGAGTGCTCTATTAACTGCTCCTGAACAAACTTAATGCAAAATTAGTGGGCAGACCTTTGAAGTGCAAAAAACGACCTGTTGTTTTCATTTCTGAATTGAAACGTAGGATGGAATAAAAGTAACAGATCTTCTACACCACTTCCAAAATCAGCAAACTTCTTTGGCATGAAACCCTAAAGGGCTGAAATTCTGAAAACTATGTGAAAGTAAAAAACTAAGAAATCCAAAAAAATACAGCACTGTAAGCTGCTTGTCTAAAAACGAAACACAAAAATAATAATAAAAGGCTTAATAAAGAGCTGCTAAAAGGGACACTGATAAATCTAAGTGCGGGCTGTAAGAGTCGACAAGATAGTTCATTTACTTTCCAAGGGGAAATAACTCAAATAATTTCAATAGCTGAATTGGGAAACAACACATTTCTTTTTGCGACATTGCAGACTTCCTGTCATACCTTATTTTTACTTTGAGAAACAGTCAACATGATTCCTTGAAATTTCCTCAATTTATCCTCTCTGTCAGTGGAATAATCTGCGTAAATTTCAAGGTAGGAAGATGGCACGTTTCTTCCGGAAAAATAAAATAGGAGCAGAAATTTTGAAACATCCCAACGGAGAAATGTCATTTCCCATTTTAGCCATTGATGTGCGACAGTTGAAATAGAAAGGATTGAGAAATAGTGGAGGGTGCATTTAAATAACGTTGCGGACCGCAATTTGAAAAAAAACATGCAGAAAGGATACATTACATCCATTTATGCCTATAACAACGTTTTTCTCTCAGTCTCCAAGGGTTGAAAGGTCAAAATAGATTAAGGAACTCGCTTTTAAAAATTCCTTTAAATTAGGCAAACTAACAAGGGAAGAAAATCATTCCGCTGCTCAGAATTTCAGACTTTACCTATGGGTAAGAACATTTGATACAGAATCTCTAACAAAATAAGTCTCATAGCTTTAAAATTAAATCCTCTGGCCACCAGAGACTGACCGAACATCAGTCAACGACCGAGCGACTTGATCGGACCTAGGGAGAGGATATTCGAGGCTCCGAGGGCACCCAGATTGCACACGGCTGGATTTTTAGCACCGTCGATGGATATCACTGGCAGACCGAAGACGCCTCCACCGGACTGGTTCCCCAGTTGCGATAGCGGTATGCAAAACTTAACACCTAGTTGCTGTAATCGGCTTAGCGTCCCGGGTTGCTTGAGGTCAACAACTGGCAGCGCCATCTCTGTGCCACCGGTATCTCTGTGATGTGACTTTTTGTGCTGCAGGAGCGACTGTTGGTTCGGGTACTGGGCATTACATAGATTGCACCTGAAAGAAGATTACAAGAGTTTGAGTACACAGAGGGCAAAAACTCCTAGGTATCTCTACAGGGTGGCAAGTCAAATTCTATTTAAAAATTCCCTGACTTACCGACGGAATTCCCTGACCTTTGGTAATTATTGCAAACCATCAAATGAAACACATTTTTGTCACGGAAAGCAGTATTTGTTTGCTGGATGGCTTTAGTGTTTCGAAAAGGTTTTTTTGGTAAATAATTGCAGCTGAGCATGAAATACAAATCTTGAGCCTTCGATAAAAGGAGGCAACCATTTCACAATCACTGCAAATTAGAGTAAAATAAATTAATGAATTCCAAATTCAAAATCGACTGATTGTGAGTCTATTCCTGAGACGGGTTCAAGGCTAAATGATGAAGAAAGGAAAGGCAAATATTAAATTATTCCTCTTTCGTCGAAGGAAAAATAAAGATGGAATTTAGGAATTGTTGAAGTAAACTTTGGTCAGAAAAGTGATTAATTTTCTTGAAAAGGGAAAATCGCAAAAATTCCCTGACTGGGTACGAAATTCTCTGACTATTCCCTGTTTTCCCTGACGCTTGCCGCCCTGCTTCTAAAAAAGGAATTCATCATCAATACTTAAATACCCTTAAATTTACCCCTTAATTTTTCCCTACTAGACCCTTAAATTTTCATTTTTTGTGCCGGTTCGCTCTGTCTTCCTACTGGGCGATTTTTATGATTCTGCGGCTAAAGACAGGAGATCATCTCTCGATGAGCCCACTCTATTCAGATTTTGGAAATGTGACCCTGGTTCTTTTACATTATATGATAAAGTAGTGAACGCTGTAACTTAAACAATGTGAACGCCCATTTTTTAATCATAGTTCATTTTAAAGATCTACAAGGCGTATTTTCAATATTTTTGCCGCTATTGATGGGAGATAGTTCTTAGTTTAACCATAATTTTCCAATTAAAATCTCAAGCTTTGTGCTGTGATGGTTGTGATAAATTTAAGTACAGTGCAACTCACTAACTCAAAATTGAAAGGAAGCTTCACCAATTGAAGGGGTTAGACCTCATAAAGCAAAATCGAATAAAATAATAATAAAGTTCAGCGGAGGTTGAATCTTTAGATTTTCCAAGCAGGGTGTTTTCCCAAAGTGATAACCTTTCATTTATATTTTTTCAATTTTCCAAGTACTGCCCTGACTCACAGATGGAACAGTGGAAGATAGAGAGACACACTTGCAGATCAAAAGAGATTGATTGATGGATGTCACTGACCTATAAGGTATTTTGGTTTGTTGGTTTGTCCGATGTGATTGCATGTGTTGGTTGAGCAGATCTGGACTTGAATAAGTTTTATCACAAACTTGACACGTATACTGAGCGCCGCCTCGGCCGAGTCTCTGAGGTGGGTCGTTGCCGGTTAGATCCACCGTCGGAGGCCTTGGGGGTCTTTCTGTTATGTTCGTCCTCCTGATGCCTTGTGGAACTGCAAACCCAGTGTTGCCAGCCTGAAATAACAAACATTGAAACATATCAATTAACTCTTCAATGTGTACAAACTGAATATACAGTAACAATATCATCATTTTTACTTCGCAGACTGTTAAAAGAAGACAGAATCCCTCCACTGCACTGACAAGAGGGTTTTTCATCGGGCGCTATCCCAATTTGCTTTTTTTAACTACACTTTTAATTTTACGATTCAGCACAAAGATATTTCACAAAATTCCATACTTCTTTTCATTAGAATAATTATTTCCTGGTGGCAAAATTTCGATAATTGACTAGAAACTTTGAACTGATATAATAGGATGACTGATGATGAACATTTTTTTAAAAAAGGGTCCACAGGTGCATCAGCCCTATTTCCGGAAACCTCATTGCTTGTTTTAGTGGCATTCCTCGACAGTACTGAAGAAACATATCACAAACCAAGATTCACTAAAGGATGCTGGAGCAAGTTGGAGGGAGGCTTTAGAGGCTGCTAAAATTTCATACTTCCAGCATCAAGATGCTCAAGATGGAACCACCGATGGAAAAATTAGCAGCACAATTAAATCTGGGACAGCCAAAGACTAATCGAATAGATCAGAAATAATACCTGCAGTTCAGTGTCAAGCAACCCCTAACCTAAGCTTCATTTCTACTGATTCAAAGATGTCGAAGGAAAACCGTGCGACCCCATCAATACCCGCACTGTAATTAGAATTTTATGAAGATCCATACATGGAGCCTGCTAGACATCATTGTAAACATATTTAACAAATTATACCCTCGCTAAGCATGTCGAAAATGCAAAATCTCAATTCCTCCAAAAAATTGGTGCGTTTCTTTAACGTTCAATTACAAATATGGATGTAGAGGCAATAAAACAAACGAAAGTAAGTCGAGTTGCTCTGTAATAAACTCTTTTGAGTTTTGACTCCGGTATTTGAAGAACTTATGCCATGCCTAAACAACTCACCAAGTAATACATAGCTTCCAAAGATTAGGAATGTAACAACTTTAGTGTCTACTAGTACCCTGCCGTTCAAAATTCCTTGCTTTTTCCTTACCTTCTTGAAAATTCCTTATTTTGACGATTCTCAAAAATCATTGTTTCTTCCTTACCTTTCACACATTTATAACTGTATTCGGATTAGGAAAGAGGAATGATGAGATGACAAAGGAATGAACTGAAAAACACTAGGAATAGAGCCGGGAACTTGATGAATGGATTATGTTAAGAAAGCGCATATCCCCAAGGTTACTTTGTAGAGTTTATCATGAAAGTCTCGAATTTCCGTAGCTTTTCACGGAAAATCCGTACCTTTTCGCGGAAAATCCATACCTTTTCCGTACTTCCCTATCAACCTTCAGAAATCCATGCTTTCTCAGTGTATCCGTTCTCTTTCCGTACAGTAGACACCCTGAACTTGCAACATCGAATTCAAAAGAACTAAAAGGCATATTTACCTGTTTGCCAGAATTATTGTTGCTGTTTGTTGAAATGATAGATATTGCAGAATTGTGATTCAATGAATTGAGGGCCGCTTCTGTTGGGGAGTTTCGTCGTGGCGAAATAGGAGCTTTGCTGCCACCTCCAGAAGGAGTAACCTGTTAGAAGACAATGAAAGATGAATAGTTTAAGTTTTATGAGAGGAAAGTTGAATCAAGGTTCAAAAAATTTTCTAAAATTCGAATTACAGTGATGTTTTTTTCCCCTTCTTATTTATTTTACTTACTCATTTATTTCAGAAGTGATGTTACCGATCAATATTATCAATGGGTCAGTGGCATAAAGTTTCTGCAGAGCACCTGACAGTTGTTTTCAACATCAAATTTCAGGAAAAAACTAAAAAGTTAAAAAAAAGTTTGAAAAAGAACTTTACTGGAAGCTGATTAAAAAGCTGACCAACCAGAGGCCGACAGTCATGATGATAAAACTAGGTCATGTGTTCTGTTGGGCTTCAATTAATCAGCTAATATCTAGCTTGTCTTCGTCAAAACAGACTGCCAAAAATTGTTTCAAACCGGTCTAGATTTTAACAACTTAAAAATCAATTTCTTTATCATTTTGAGTAAAAAAATCCGAAATCCTGGGAACTCAACTCGCTTGGCTCTGGCGGAAAATTAACTAAGAATATGAGGCACCACTGACCCACTGAAAAAAGTACAGAACACACCGATTATTAAACATATTTCATCAGAATAAAAGAAGAGAACAAAAGAATAATAACACAGAGGGACTTACGGTAATTCCTCTAGAGGCTAATACATTGGCGACAGACTTAGTTGGGTTCTCCTTGGGTTGTTGATTCCGCAAGGAAAGGGTGATAGCGTCAGAAAGTTGGAACAGGTTGTTATCTCGGCCTTGGACGTTTTGAATCACTAGACCTGCGTCATTGTTCCTCTTTTGCATAGCTATCACGTGACAATCATTGTCCTCTAATCTGTGGACAATAATTGAGTGAAGAGTGAATATCCATAAAAATCAATGCTGCCCTTTCATTAAGAGAGCATTCTGATCATGAGAAGCAAAATGCTCAGTTAGTTGCGAGAAGTGTTTTAAAATAAAGCAGTTGATTGTGGGTCTTGAGATGCAGGATTCAAAAAACTTGTCCGGCAAAAAATTACAACGTAAAAAACGTCTTCTGTCCAAAACAAAACACATCCCTGACTTTTCAAGATTTTCTTGGAATGGGAACACCAAATTGACTAATTTAATTTGTAAACAATCGATCAACAACAAACCAACATGCAAATAATATGGTGCGATACTGCCAATAATTTTAAAATTGATCATGATCTCTTAGTTTTTAAATTTTTTCAAGTCTCTCCAACTGGTTATGAAAGATCATTATATTGAGAAAATTCGAGCAGGAAGAAAGAATTCGTGTCTCTTTAATAAGAAATGTAAAAAAAGAACTTCTTCAGAGTACCTACACAGGGTGTCTACTAAACAGGCTGGCCAAAAATCAGTAAATTTACAGTTCTTTTTCAGTACGTTCCCAAGAAATTCAGTACTTCCTCAACAGAAAAATTCAGTACTTTTTCAGTACCTCGAATCAACGAAATTCGAAAAATTTGAATTTCTTCCTCAAATTGCAACAAAAATGACAACAAATGGGAAAAAATTCTGGACCTTCTTGTGGAATTTCGGCACTTTTTCAGTACTTCTGAAATACCCTTAAAAAATCAGTCCTATTTCCAGACTTTTAGACACCCTGCTACAGCCTCAGCAGGAAAAATTTCCCTGAGTTTTCCAGGTTTTCCCAGACCAAAAGGATCACAATTCCCTGACTTTTCACATCAACAGTTTGCAGACAAAAACTGGAAACAACACAGTCGTTTTTTTATGGAGAATTTGTTATTGAACAGCATTTTCTAAGTGGCTTTTTTCGAGCGTTTTTGTGGCCTGGCAGGAGATAAGAGCTAAAACACCGAGGCAGGTAATGTGCTACGGAATGAGAGAGAGAAATTAAGATGAAGACTGAAATTACCTGCTTGGCATCAACGTATCATACCGACGTTTTTGGGGAATTGGAGTGCCCCCTCGGCCGAGCGGTGGTCCAGGCCTCTTGACGACTCCCCCTCGTCCCACCATAGGCTGCCCACGTCCATTGACGGGAGCTGAAACAGGAGTTCGAAGATTCAAACATTAAACAAGTTCAGGAACAATTAAGCAGACTCATTGAGTACTAAGGTTTATCTAAGCTCCAAGAAGTAAGATATTTCTCCACGCAGGGGGTGCCAGCGCTAGGTTTTGATTTTTGGTCTACGCCATTAGAGTTCGTACAGCTCCACATGAGTCCTTGAGCTATTATGAAAATTAAAGGAATTTCTGATAAAATCGGAAGGTCATAAGTTCTAGCTGTAACATTCTTCTTCCTGTTGACACCAAAAGAGACATGTAAAATCATTTCTGAAGCTCTTGATCTCAGAAAAAAGTAGGGGTAAGCAAAATGATCTTGATACGACCAATCCTGAGTGATACCTCTCAGCAGTTGAAGATATCTTTCGCCCATCGTGAACCCTCTCTCTCGCACTTACGGACTTCCGATAAGAGGAACTGGGATCAAGTTTTAGCTTTTATTATTAAACTTTCAAAGTTCCTGTTTGTTTTGAAAGATTCAGGACATATGCTTCTAGAACATATGAGCCTTAAAATTTAATAATTTTGCTGTGATATATAAATAATCGCTGATTTCAGAGCCAGATTTTAGCACACAACATGGTTGATTTTTCCAGAACTAACGCTCACCAACACTGAAGATTAACATTAAATTAATGAATATCTTGAAAACTTTTTGCATTTCCAGTAGAAAAAGATTATGTGAGGGTGTAACCTGAATGTTAGCATTATAGAACAAGATGTGGAGTACTGACAGGGTTCCCAGAAACCTCGGGGAAAGAAAATTGCCTGACTTTCCCAGGATTTTGGTTCCACAGCAGACTCTTAATTTACTACTGTGGAACAGCAGAACGATGGACCGGAACCGCCGGTTCAAAGTTCAGCGCACAGCAGATAATTAAAATACTCCCGCTGGATGGTTTCAGCAAAAAAGGACTATTTCTGTACTTTTTATTTTTTTTCTGTTTGAAAAATTCCGGGCTTTTAGAGCAAATTCCCTGAATTTTCCAGGCCCATCTATTTCCACCAGACTTTTACGGAATTTCCAGATCGCTGGGAACCCTAGGCTTACATGTGTAACCAATGGGAAGCACTAGTGCTACAGTAATTAGAGGTAACCATCTTTAAGTTCATATAGAATAAAAATAGACAGGAAAAGGCTAGGACCAGGCTGAGAAAACAAACAATAATTATTACACATCAAGGGACGTTTCAATCGGTCTCCCGGTCACTACCCACTGTCAAAAAAGAATTAAAAAGTCTAAAAAAAAAAGTTAAAAACAATGTTACACATCCCTGGTCATGGCTGCTCTGACCAGGGACCGATAACATTTTTTTCAGCTTTTGTTTTTTTAAAATTATTTTTCGACGGTTGATAATGACAGGGAGACCATTCGAAACGTCCCGTGACTAAATTATTGTACGTTTTTGAGTCTTGTCTTGTCGCCTTTTCCCGTCTATTTTTACTTTAAGTTCACATGCAAGTTTTTCTGGCCTGAGGGTTACAAACACGCAACAACACATCAGCAGAGGACGTGTTAATATTTTGCTGAGAAATCTCCTTTCTTTAAAGAATTTTAAATTGAGGCAAGAAAAAAGTAAACTTACACATCTGCATGCGTTGTCGAATAGGCTGGGGAAACCTCCCTGGTGGTCCAGTAGGATACCTTGGACCGCCCATTGATTGCTTTGGGGCGAGGAGACCGCCGTGAGGCGGCATTGATTGGCGAAACTGAGGGCTCATTCCTCGCATCGAGTACTGCGGACCTTGCGGTGGCATGCCTGGTTGTTGCTGCGGAACGGGCATTCGCTGCACCTGACCAGAAAACTAGAATTCAATAGATTGAACTAATTAAAGATGGCCCTTTGACATCATGCAAAAAAAGGGGGGAAAAAAGCAAACTTTCAAGAACAACTGAGAGAGTTATAAGACCTGGTTCAAAATTTTTTTTAGACCCGAGTCTGTTTACAGTTGGCAAGAAGTTGACAACATAAGTTTGTTGTTAGTCAATGTCTGACAACATTTTGTCTGCGTCAGGTCTGTGAGCCAAAATGACTCGCAACGAGTTAAAGCAGATCCTGAGGAGACGAAACAGTTAAGGAACCTGACAATTTAAAACACGATTTTTCATCCATTATTTGTGATATAAAAGAACTATGAATTTTTCCCTATCGAAAAGATCAATTGGTACGCTCAAAAACTAAAAATCCACCCACACCGCTGTTTCATTCCATTCAACTGGTGACAAAAAGTGACATCTCATTAAACATGCTTTTGTTGTTACAGATCAGTAAACACAGGGTGTGTCTGAGGGCCTTCTTAAGAGACATTTTAACACAAATTCACACTTTTTGAGTACTTTTCCCTTCCAAGGAGAAAAACCAAGGTAGTATTCAGCAGCAACAAGCTGCTTGAGGTTGCTATTCATACAGAAAAAAAGGAGGGGTTTTCATTTCGGACATCTTGGGATTATTTGGATAATATAGGTCTGAACGACTTTTATCATCGATTTTCTTGAAAATGGTGTAGTTTATGGAAAAAAGGCATTCTATAAGAAGTGATTGAAATTATATCATGAGTTGATTGAAGCAAAAAGAATCTGACTTTACGGTCCGCTTTTCATACTTCGAATTCAGGATTTTGTTGGCCATGCTGTACCAACCTGCGTCATAGGGGTGAGCAATCCTCAAGATGTGAACACCTCTTTTTTTTCTCTATGGCTGCTAATAATATGAACTCCCAGGATAACCTCATCAACCAACACATACAAAACGAAAAACTTCAGGCGGTGTTAATTTTTTCCATATTATTTCAGCCCTTCTTCTGCACTCAACAGACCTGGAAACACCTTGTTAAATATCTCCCAACAAATAAGATCTACAATTGGAGACAGTCTGCACAGCATTCAACCATTGTACATGAAAAACAGGTAATTGGACAGATGATTTATTGTGTCCTTTTGTGTAACCAAGAGACACGGCAAGAAAATCAGCAGCGAAAAAAATCAATTTCCTGAATCCCAATAAAGGTGCAATGGAGATACAAAGAGGGAGCTTACCTGTTGAGCAAGTTGTTGAACTGGAGGCACCATATTATGAGTAGAGGCTTGATGGGCGCTTAGATCGGCAGCGCTCATGAACATCATTCCGCTGCATTCGGGTCCTAAATTACACCGATAGTTCATGTCCCCGGCTCCCAGTTGGTCTATCGACATGTACTCCGTGCCCTCAGGCTGTATGGGATAATTGTAACCGCTCGCCAGCTGATTCTGATACTCCATGTTCTGTAGAAGATTATCCGAGTCGCAACTTGAATTCTCCGTAGCGCCCAGTTGAGCGGCACTAAGGACTGTTAAACCCGGTGAGCTAGGGACAGGCGCTCCCGTTTGGTCATCGGACATACTTGACATGAAAGAATCAGTACTTTCAGCGTGAAGCTCTGGGTCTTTCATATCGAATTCCGAGGCAGATTTCATCATTTCTGACGAAGATCTGACTCTCAGCAAGCCACCACCTTCGCGTTTTTCAGGTGTCGGTGTGGGCGCTGACTCCGGTTCCGATTTGCTTTCGACGCTCTTCTCTCCTCCCTCGCTGGGGGCAGGCGAGACAGTGCCTTCTGCCGAGTTGAAGGAGTTCCGCCGGGATGAGCCGTTTTCTTCCATGTTATCTCGGTCGCCCTCTTTGAGCGCATCTTCTTCTGACTCCGATGTGATGCTATCTTTGTGGTTGTACTGCTTTTCGTCCTCCAAGTCTCCGTTCTTCATGTCTTCAAGAGTTTGCTTTACAATCCCGTTTTTGAAGCTCATCTCTTCCTCTTCGCAGAAAGAGTCTTCTTTCGACTCGTTTAGCTCTTGTTCCTGTTCCTCTTGTTCCTCAGGGTCCAGAAACTCCTTCTTCGAGGTGAGTTTCAGGATCAATTTCTTGTCTAGGTCTTCAGGAGGATCGTCCGTGTCATCCTGAGCGGACATTTCCAAGTCCGGCTCTTCATCGCCATTAACTGGAAAGTCAAACATTAAAATAAGGAAGGGATAGAATTATAAGAAAAAGTAACAATGGACGTGCTAGTACCAAGATCCCAACCCACATAGAGTTTCAAAGGATTGATAATCCGAGATAGTTTGCGACCATTGACCACACAACAACACATCAAGGGAAAATTCATAGTAAATATCAAGGATGTATGTTACCTAGTTTTCTGTTAATAAATAAAATACGAGAGGAAACTAGTTGAAAATAAATGCAATTAAACAAATTCTAGGATTGAATTCGTCCAATCATTAAAATATACTCAATTAAAACAGAAAAAAAACCTTCACCTTTAACTTGTGAAAAACTGACATGAATTGTAACAGGAACCCAAGATTAGATAACGAGATACTATGAGTGATAAAAAAAAAGCAAAATAAAGGCAGTAAACATGCCTGTTCAATAGACAAGAATGAAGCATCTTTTAATGTACTTGGGCTTGCTTATCTATTGAAATAAACAGTTTTCTCTGTGTTTTTCGTGTCACAACATACTACAACCTTTCATACAGGACTCTAATGTTTTAGTATTACTTTCGAGACAAACTATTGTCACTTTTACATACAAAACTCTAAAATCACTTGAGCTGGATTCATGAAGGGCATGAGGAAGATGGCCAGCCATTCGGACTGTTTTCATGCCCTTGGATGGGGACTCATGAAGTTGTGTCAAGTCATTGGGGCATTGAACAAATTTGTAGAACGAATTTTTCTTACAACGAATTTTCCTGTATTTCATGGAAATCCTCAGCATTCCAAAAACAACTCAACTTTTTTCAATAATATTCCTAAAATATTCTATGTTCCTGAGCTCAAATGAATAAGTTCTCTTTTTAGACTTGCTCTGATATCTCTCCATGCCTCACTTTCGCCCCCCACTAGATATTAGAAAGATCAGGCATTTCCTGTTCTTGTGGAGAAGACACTCAATGAGCCGAGTTATCCATCAACTTGTAGATACCTTCGCTTTCTTGCTGATCCATGCCGACGTCGGATTCAGTTGTTCGATTGGCATCCGAGTTCTCCTCGTTAGAGGAGAAATTGTCGTCAGCCATCTGCTCCTCTTCCTCTGACATGGACGTCAGCCCATTTTCAGACACACACTGATCCGTCATGTTTGATGAGGCTAAGCGTTCGAAGGAGTCTTCCGTATGCTCTCTCAAGCCGAGAGATATATCAGAGGGCGGAGAAGGGGTGGAAACGACCTGAGGACAGAATAAACACTTTGTAGGTTCCCTCTCCCAAAGTGTTCAGGTGTTTTCGGCTAGTCCTTTAATTTTCGATCATCAATGATGATTATTTCACTATAGGGCTACCTGGCCACTAGGGATATAATGTTGTTATTTTGATTTGTGCAGGATTGAGGCTAGGTCTGGTAAAGAGCCTCAGTCTACGGGTCAATTCCAAAATTTTCAAAAACATTACGACCAGATTTTAAGATTTAGAAGATATGAAGCTTTCGTTCTTTCATAAGATATCAAGTAATTTAATGTCCCCTTTGAAGCTAAAGCATCTTTCATAAGATATCAAGTAATTTAATGTCCCCTTTGAAGCTGAAGCATTTTTCATAAGGTATCAAGTAATTTAAGGTCGACTTTGAAGCTAAAGCTGGGTTGCCACCGAAGCTAGGAAATGAAGTTGAAATTCCCTGACAATTGAAGTTATGCTAGATGGTCAAAAAAACATTTAGAAATAGTTTTCGGGCAAAAGTTCTTGTTCGAAACGTCAAACCCATTCTAGAGAACAAATGAAGGTGCTCCTCAATTGACATTGAAAAAAATGATAACTGAAAAAGTAAAAATTACATTTTCGTCATTTTCCCTGACTTTTTAAAATTCCCTAACATTTCCCGGTATTCCTTGAATGTGGCAACCCTGTCAAAGTAGCAAGTTTTTCTTCATACCAAAAATTTCTGATAATATCTTTTTCAAGTTTCTGGGAGTACATTCTTGGATTTCTTTCATTTCTGATACTTTTTTATTAGGTTCTTGCAAAAGTATTAAAAATAAGTGTGAGAACTTTCACTGATGGGATTTGCAGGAACAATAATCCTGACCACTCAATTTTGACTTCATCTAAAATGACCAAAACTATGTAATTTATAGTCATATGGCTTTAAAAACTTGATAAAACTCGGTGACGATCATTTAGTTATTTACTGCCTCCTTAAAAGAATTCCGAAAACAATTAGCCCTTTCCACTGATGCTATCAAACTTATTTTCTGCGTTTCCCTCCGGCCATTAAACATTTAGAGTACAGAAAACCCTCCATATGCTGGACAAAAAACAGACAACTTTTCTTTTTCCATTCAACTACTCAGTACAGAAACATATCACATTGATTTGAAGACTCGTTTTTAACCAGTACCTTACTTTACCAACAATTACATAGTGAAGCACCGATTATCCGTAATTCGGTTACCCAGCACAGCTTTTTCACCGTTAAAACATGTCATTTCCAGACGTGACACGATAGAAACCAGTGTCTTGGGTAAAAATTGAAAATATGGGTGGTTTCTTGTGATTTATTCTTGAAGTAGATGACTATGTTTTACAAATACGATAGAGCACTGGCCAAGATTGTGCTTTCTGGTGACAAATAGAGCTTGAAATGACATTTTTTCGGGTTTTTTTTTTGGTGTTCTTAATTCTCCGTCATTTTCGTTACCTGGCATGGACCTCCACCACATTGCACCGGATAGTCGGTGCTTCACTGTGCAAATAAATTATGACAAAGACGTAAGAAAAAACAAAACGAAACAAAATAAAAGGCAGGAGTTCATGCACCAACCTTCGGGAAAAAAACAAACAAAAAAACAAACGAGAAAATGCATGCTTGAATTATATGATTAGTCGAGCTTTTTCCAAGGAAGGGGGCATTTCGAAAATTCTTTGGAATGGGAACACAAGTCAAACAGTGCTTGAGTTTATATTTAAACATACATCTCGTAAAGTTACATCTTCCATCAATCAATAGTAGTTTTAGTATCAATTTGAGGATTTAAAATTTTACCCGGTTCTTTCGACTAGTCTTGACACTAGTCACTTGACAAGTTTTCAGCCAGTGGCAAGTATGTACTAACACAACAGAACACTTGGACAGGAGTTTCATACAGCATTTTAGCATTGAAATTAGTCGACTTTCTAACTCGCATAACATGAATAAAAATAGATAAAAAATAAAACTTCAAGAAACAAGTGTTTAGATCAATGCGGTAAATGACTCGCCAAGTTTATCAAGTTAAAAGAAATTCAGGTATTACTTTAATGAGTCTTGATGATTCCACTAACATACTTCGAATTTCAGAAAAAAAAGCAGAAGTCTCTTAAAGGAAAATTTTTTCTCTCTTTTGAGGGACTTTTCTCTTAGGTCAGTTTTATATTAACATTTAACGTGAGTTGGCTGAATCATCAACAGTCTCTCTAAACGACAGCAACGGACTGCGATTGTGATTGTCCTTATAATCGTCCGATTGCTTCTATCCCTAAGATGTTACATTTTTAGTTTAATTTAAAAAAATTTTCTATCAAGATTTGACACTCTCAAGGTGTGTAAATTTTCTCAATTTAATTTGAAAAAAATCGATTTTTCACTTACAAACTCAAAGCAGTGGTTGGATTAATTTTCGAAGGAACTTTCTGGCAAACCAACTTTTAATGCGGAAAATTACTCAATTAGGAAATTTCAAAAGATTGGAGGGTAGCCATAGGCATTATTTTCAGCTAAACTACCCTTAAAACAGTGGCCAGACGTGAACGATCGATAATCAATACTTCCCATTTGAGGCTGTGGTAAAGGATCCATTCTTAAGGTGTTCGTTGCAAGCATTCTATTTACTGATCCTTTTCTGTGGGTTTAAATGGCAGATCAATCAATAAATCGCAAAGCACGCCACGCCACTGCTTTAAAAATTTGAATTCAGGGAACAAAATTAAGCATATCAAATTTTCTTCAGATAAAGGAGGATTTGTTGAGGGGCTTGGCTTTTTCATTGAATTGATGAGACTAGGTAGATAATTAAATACTCAGAACCGGCTTAGAGCTAAGACAGCCTAACAATATTAGAATTTTTAGAGTCTCTGCAGTTGGATTGAGCAGAAGAACATTTCATGATTTTATAAATCTGTCCTAAAATTGTCCAAATTTTGTTGCATCAAGTCCTCTGTTTCTCTTGTCTCCATAGTCAAAGTCACTAAATTGACACTTTGGAGAGCGAAATGACTAAATCTAGAAAACTTCAGACAGTCTGGACAGCCAAATGAGAGATTTTAAAGGTTATAAAACTCAACATCAGGTGTAAGCTGACCTGCTACGTTTTAATCCTCTCTACATTCAAAACAATTCAGAATTTAAAGTACTTACAGAAAATTCAGGAGCCCCAGCAGAATTTTTTTTCTTGTTAATCTTGAGGGTTAATTTTAGTGGACACGCTTTGCCAGAGCTGTCATTGGATCTTTCATCGTCTGATTTCTTTCGCTCTGTCACCTTCAAACAATCTGTTGGTGGTTCCCCATAGTTGTTATGAGAATCAAAAACCTCATTCTCTTTAAGGTTCCAACGATCTGCAATTTAAAAAGTTTCTTGTCACGCTTTTATTGCCAGTCTAAACTCTTGGATCTGGTTTGCCGGAAGGAGTGAAATGCTTGGTACCATCTTTAGAACCTGACTATTTTTTTTCATAAATTCATTTTAATTATAGAACATGTTAAATATTGGCACGGTTTGAATGAGTGCCCTGAATGGACCCTACTAAAAGAGGAACAAAAGTCACAAGACAATAAAATTGAAAAATTATTAGAAAATTCGAAGATAGATGTAAAAGTATAGACACAGCAAAGACTGAATTTAACTCTACCAAAACGAACAATCTTAATGCATGCTGGTCTTGATGTTCTATGGATGAACCACTGGATAAGGGGTGAATTTATGCATTCTGGTATATGTTTTTTCATCAAATTTTCACGAAGAATACAATTTTGGCGCCAAAAATTACTGAAAGGAACTAACCACGATACTAATGTTTTCATTCAGCACAGCTTACAAGAAATTTTCATTTCCTGCTCACAAGAAAAACTGAAGGCTACATAAATCAAATCACACACTGCGATAGTTTTGGCAGGATACTTAATCAAGCAGTATTCCTTCTCCGCCCTGCATTCTTCAAACAGTAAACAATGTGCATCAATTGAACCCAAGCGCTGAGATTGAGGTTGCCATAGTTATATGCGGCAGAGACTGTCACAGTAACGTTTAGAGATTAATTTAACTGATGCACCTACATTATGGTTTCGTATTGAGAGCGGGAAATTGGAATTTATACATTGGAAAACGTTAATATCGTGATCAAAAGTTACTTTTAATAATTTTCGAGGCACAAATCGTGTTTGATAGGAAATTTCAATGGGACAACGAGTCTTGCGATGCTTAAAATTTACACCTTGTCAGACAGTCTATTTCAAGAACTCTGTCATCCAATTAAAAACGAGAAGAGAACAAAAAATAAAACAAAAGAAACTCCTTTCAGAACTAAATACTTTAGAAAATAGATTGATTGCAATACTTGTCCAGTAAAAGATCTTTCAAAAGAATTTATGGAGACTTGGAAAAAGTTGTATTCTCCGCCTGGGACTTCTAGGCTGCACTGAGCTTGATGATTTTGGATATTATAGACAAAGATTTTCTACTATGTACAAAGCAAAAGAGATGATGCAACTATCACACGGGCGATTTGACTCCACCATGCATCTACAGATATCTTCTGCTCTTAAACAGCGGTAGAAATTCAACGAAAATCAAAAAAACAAAATCTACCTTTATTGATCTTCACAACAATTGGCCATCTGATCTTTTGAAGTCTAACTATAGGTTGAGAGACATGATTCCTGATATGTTTATGAAACTTGTGTTTCGACAAGAACTTCAAGGAGCAGAGTTTACAACGTCCAACTTTTCGTTTACGTGCTGTGGGTTGCACAAAAATACCTGCAAATAAAACAAAGTAGGATATTACAATCTTTCATTCACTTCGTTTAAAAAAGAAACCATTCAAAAGTTATCAAACACACAGATTTTAAACACAGAAAGGATAAAATAATTTGGATGATATCGAACAAAGGGAATTAACATAGAAAAATAAAAATACATGAAGTGATGTTAAACGTTTTCAATACTATTCCTAAATCTTTCAAATTTTTTTTTTTTATGATGAGCACGGTGATGTGTTGTTCATTGATAGCCTGGCAGATGATAACACAAATTGATCTAACACAATCAGACAACAGGGACTGAAAAAAAAGTAAGAAAAAAATTAGGTAGGAATCAAAGAAAGGGAATGAGGGAGAAAAAACTTAAAAAGTTGGAAGACCTGATAAATTTCTTCAGGTATTGGATGGAATTGCAAGCTTCGAGTCTCAAATCTAACTAATACCTTGAAAAGTAAGAGCTGCAAATTGGAGATGAACACATAGATGCTTTGAATGAGACAGCGAACAAAAAAGTTGCGAATTTCACTAATTGTATGAGGCAATGAATTTGAGCAACAAGTATAATCCTAATGACATTGAGGAAGTGCATGCATTGGTAAATATAAAATGATTTCAGCTTTAGAATTAAGTGTTAATCTGAAAGTCTGAAAGTAAGAAAGTTCATTTCGTTAGGCAGGAATCTACCATTCCAAATAATAAAAACGAATGACGGAATTAGGTCAGAGGCACAGTCCAGCTAGGATGACAATTCAAAATTTGTTGGTGAAGGTGGGCATGTAAACAGATGAAGTGTCAGTGCTTCTGACAATATGGGGAGGGGTGGGGAGGGTATACACTTAAGACTGGGGATGAAAGCAAACCATTATCACTCCAATTTGTCATCTCCAATCCATCTCAAAAAGGAATGTATTTCGTCCACCCTATTTCAGTATTTCTACAAACATTTTATTTTTTAATACGAAAACTGTTAAATCGATTAGTCCGAAAAAATAAGAAACTTTTCTTAAAGGGTTCAGTAAAAACCAATAATATATATGATTTACATATTATTCTACCTCTCCTTCTCTATTGCCATTGATTAATATATTTATTATTCTACCTCTCCTTCTGTATTGCTAAAGATTAATATATATATTATTCCACCTCTCTTTCTCTATAGCTAATGATTAATATACTTACATCTTATTTACCTCTCCTTCTCTAAATCACTAAAAATTAGATAAATTATTGGGAGGGAGAAATCACTAAAAATCTCAGGAAAATTCATGGGAGAGTTCTGCTATGGACAAAGAAAAAGAGAGAAAGAAATACTGAAACAGTGCGGTCAAAATAAGTTCCTTGGGGTGGGAGACAAAAAAATCTATTCGGCAGGTGTTCAAGTTTCTGGAATTAGATGAAAGAATGAGCGGGACTCAAAAGAGCGCAGCATAAATTTAGGTGATCAACAGCAATAGGTGACACAGCAGTGGGTTACAATGATCCATATACAACATTGCCAGATGTAATTTCAAAGATTTATGAGCTGATTGGGACGAACATTTTGATTCTGGAGTCGCTCCCATGGAAATCACATAATTTGTGATTATGCAGTAAATCGGCTCTACCTCCTGATAACAAGATGAGAATAGAGGTGACTTGATCTTAATGATAAAGTTTTAGCTGAAGGGCAGTAATATTTCAACTTGAGTCTTGGCAATTATGCATTACCTCACAACTGAGCTTCAACGCTAAAATGTGATCTAAATTAAAAGAGCTCCGTGCTTTACTCCGTCATTGGTACCTATATTCTTGGGAGAGCTTGCATTTTGAGTAAACCTGGATAGACTTTTTCACTTAAATACTTATCTGGCAATGTTAAGGGTAATCTTATGGGGGATGACAATGAATGATACGAACTTGGGGGTTTGATACAAATAGAGTCTTCACCTGATGGCTGAATTTTTCTGGTCATGAGCAAATTCTTCTTTGTTCTTATTAAAGCGTAACGTTTATGCTTCATTGGAGCATGTCATATGGAGAAAAGTCTAATTGCTTTGGCTTGAAAATTTGAAGGTACAATTTCGTTTTGAGAGACAATTGGTATTTCAAGAGAAAATTGACAAAAGATAATGCAAAGGCATGTTGATGAAGGCAAATTTTGAATAGAATTGTACTTAATTGATTATAACGAAAATTAATAAAAATGGTTGAGCAAAATTTGATAACTTGTGAGGCAAAAGGTAAATTTTCTAAAGAAGAAAGGCAAATAGGTATATCATTATTTGAGCAATAAAAGCTGAGAGAAAATTATGAGGTACTTTACGTCCGAAACCATGGAGTGAAAGCGTAGATCAAAATGATCACAAGATAAGAATTTATCATCGATTTTTTCCAGGTTTAAAGTGCAGATGGCACAAGAGTATCTAACAGACTTTAGCAAACTACATGAATTCACTTTAAGCCACCGTTTAAGCAGACATTGACAAGAAGAAAGAGTAAACTTTCTGGATAAGCTTACTTTAGACAATGTTCGGGGCGATAACCTCCATGGCAATCTGCAAAGAAAAAAGACGCGTAGTAGACATTGCTTTCAAGAGGAGCGCAGACACTTGCATATGTAATTCATCCAAACCGCTGGAGCTGGGTAAGTTCAGTGATAGATTCGTATGCTTAATGTAAATGGAAACATTTCACTCATGTTCGAACTGAAGATCTTAGCCCTGGCACTAAATTGAAAAGAGGTTAGGGCTGCAAGAACCTGTCATAATATTATGCATCCGGTAAACGCACTTTCCCTCTCGGAAGAAGAATAATGGCAGATAAAGAGAATTGATTCGAATATGACACTAGCATTGACTATTTTAGAACTGGAGAAAAAGCTAAAATGGGTACATTTGTCCATTTTTGTAGGTAAACAACACAATCAAAACAATGACCGCATACACAGATTAGTCCAGATCGCTAACATCCAATCTAGCCAATGCTTCAGAAGCGTGAGTAATTTTTGCTACAGGTTAGGCAACTTTAGAAAATTGATGGCACTACCAAAGACATAAAGACGGAGCACTAAAAGCAAAAAATGAAGCTTCTAGAGCTTCTTTTCAATCACCTCTACTATTGGCTAGAGGATTGGCGGCGAAATCGGGACAAGTTTGAATTCAAATGTAGGGCGGGAACTAATAAATAAAATTGCGGAAACAAAGTATTTTAGGTTGATTTTTGCCCAAATTCAGGTAC